TCTCCTCTTCTTCCCCTCTCCTTCCCAAACCGCGTCAGCCTTCCGCTCCACTTGCCCAGCCGGGATGTTTGGAGCTGGAGCGTGGAGCCGTAGGGTGAAACCGTGCATGCGAGCCCTGCCGAATTCATGCTCAGGACTCTCCGCAGACGGATGATGATCAAACCGGGCGCCGGTAAATTTTCCGCAACCTTCGAGTTCGCGTTTGACCGACCAGAACCAGAGTTTGGGATGCAGATTGGGTTTGCGTGTCGCTCGCTTGCGCAGTCGTACCGTCGCGAGGCAGCTGAAGTCGAGCGGTGTCCGAATGTTGTCGGAGAACATTCGCGACCGACATTCCGCTGCGGTATGGAACTGATCCCCGTTCCCCGTTAACCGAGAAGGAATGGCGTTCTCCCACGCCGAACGCGATCCGAGCATGAGGAATGGCCCCCAGCATCTACGGCCAGGCCTATGGTCCTGGCTTCCTAGCACCTGGCACTGGCACATAACGCCCGGCCGCCTGGCATCCTGCCTATCATGTCAGCAAACGGCTGGTGTGACGTCTCATAGTGAATCGGTCTGGCCCGATAGATCCCGATAGCATCCCGAGACGCTACCGGAGGATGAAACGGCGCCCTCTGAGGCTGCAACGACCCGCAGGCAGCGCAGCAGGTGGCTCTGCGACTTGCGTCCTCTGATTCAGAGGCAGGGACACCCCCCGATTCCAGCGACGGCAAGCCCTGAGGCCGCTGTTACACTGTGGCGACGCCGTGGCGCTCAGTCGCTTTTGGCCCGCTCTGCGTCCGTCCGCCACGGCCTCACATCGCAGCCCGCCGCCAACAAACAGCCCACAGGGCAAGACCCAGTAAATCGGTATGCAGTTCCGCACTCGCGCCGCACATTTCAACAGCGTCCATTCCGTGTTACCGCGTCTCGCGCCTGCAGCACGTACGTACAGCCAAATACATGCCGCTATGAGTCAGAAGAGCCGTGCGTGTGCGTGGCGGTGGCGTGTGCCGTGGCGAGCTACGCGTGCGTGTGGGGGTGGCGATGTCGGTGTTGAGATGTCGAGATGTTGAGGTGGTTCGGTGATGTGGTGCGGAACGGCGGACGCGTGGCAAGCTGTGAAGATCCAACGTACGAAATGCTGCAGAGCATGCTTAGTGAAACCTCCGTGAAGAGGATGTCAGTCTCCTCAACTAACCTCCGAGAGCTAGAAGCATGAAGCAGACCCCGTTGTCCAGCATTTTCCACCCTCACCATAGCATTGTCACCACCGCTTAATGACGTCCACGTGTGCGCCACAGCGGAGCACCCGAGGCCCGACCCGCGCCCCGATGGCATCCCGGCGTGACTGAATTACTAGGTGGCATTCCGCACCGACCCCCTCTGCATCTCTTTTGTTGGTCAGCCTGGCGTCGAACTGGCTGCAATGATCGACTGACGCCCACGCGGTGCGGAGCCTGCCCACCTTTCATGACTTTTCGTCTGGCATGCTCAATTTGACGTGTTGGGCGGCCGTTGAGTACAACTGAATGCGACAAAAATTTATTCAAAGCACTTCTAGACTGACTGAATGACGAGGATGACGAGGAATCAATTAGCCTCTGACGCCGTCCATTCAGTCCTTGATTGCCCGATTTACTACGAGATTGCACCAAACTTTTTGGCTCGCCGCAATCAGCATACATTCCATCGATTGATTCGATGTCAATTGACAAAGCTCGCTTGGGCCGAAGCATGCCCGTCGGCCTCATTCAGACTCGTCATCATACAGGAAACCTATTGCGTACAGACCTGCTGGCGCTGGGCGGGTGCAGGCGAGTGCGCGGCGCAGGCGGGTGTGCGTGCCAAGCGTCCATGGTTTACCCTCACACACACGAGTGCGGGCGTGGGCTCAAGGCCAGCGCACAACTGATCAGGCGAGCTGGCGCACCGATCCCAACATTCCAAGACCCAAGGTTCTCTGCTCAAAACTCCCTGTGGCGCGCGCTCGCCCTGCCCCGACTAAATACCCTGGCCTACCACACTTCGTCGACACCAAGCCGCAGGGTGTGCACAGGGCGTCTGTCGACTCTGCAGCTCCTTGCATCCTGGCCTCCCCTTCGAGCCACCCTCGCAGCATCCTGATGCCGCTACAGTCATCCCCGGGCCAGGCCCGCAGCATGCAGCAGAATATATAATTGCGCTGTGAACAACATGCTCACCGCCTCCTCTTCCTGCTCTCCCTATCTACGATCACGAACCCCAGCGTACCCTTCAGACTCGACTCTGAGCACTAGCATGAACGGAAAACGGTGTACAAGTCTCGAGATGCTCAGCCCCGCCTCGCCGCACTTTGTCGACGACGCCCTCGAGTTTGTGAGTCACTCAACACTGGAGCGGAACAGTGCCACAGACGCTGACAGCAGCAACTCCTCCACGGACCACACGCGTGTGCGCGCGGCACCATACCCGCCGGCATGCACCTTGCCAACATGGCATGGGGCCTCATTCGCGCATTCGAAGTGTGGGACGAGTACGAGTGCCTCAAGGCGGCGGGTGTCGACATGGAGGACTACTTCGACGACGATGAGTACTACCAGGACGAGCAGTACGCGGAATGTACGAAGAAGACCACGCCGTACCACACCTACGACTTTGACTCCGAGTCCGACAGCACACCCTCCCCCGCCTCCTCACCGCGGCTCAGTCAATCTCCTCACTCCTCCTACACCACCACGTACTCGTACGAGCTGCGACTAGACGAGGCCGAGCACGAGTGGCCGGCCATCTTTGGCCCCGGCGAGCCCGTGCGCTCACGCTGGCTCCTGTCTTTCGCGAGCACGGCATCCCTCCTGCAATCAAAGGCATTCAACCTTGCATGCCACCCCTAATTGCCCCGACCATGGGGCTAGGCCGCCACCACGGCACACCCACTACACACCTACACATTTACACAATACAAGACTAGGGCCACTGGCCATCACGACCTTTGACGATGTTGTACACAGTACAGTTATGACAGATCTATACATAATATCAAGTCGGGTGAAGGGGACTGTAACCAGATTGACGCTCTGACCTTCTCACGCCGACAGCCGCCCCAAGAAAGCGCAACCGGTATCATCTGACTGTCCGCTTACCCCACCTCCGATCGGCTGCTCTTACTACCCGCGACGATCGCACAAGATGTCGCATTAGGGAGCAGTGTGGGAAAAGGCGTACTGACAAGAACGGGGCCTTACACGTTCAGGGAACGGAGAACGATGGCCGCCACGCCTGTCTCGCTGACATGCTCGCTCATCCCGGATCTATGGCACTATGATCACGCATCGATGCAGCCACACCGCCCCTTCGGCACCCCTCGTTCGGTTTGTCTTTCGCCATTGACATCGGCCCACATCGCCCCCACGTCGCACCGTGCGGGCGCCGTCGCACCCACCTTCCCTGCCACATGCCACATGCCACATGCCACATGCCACATGCCACTCGCCACTCTCCACTCGCCACATGCCACATGCCACACGCTGATCACGATGCCCGCAATCTGCTCCCGTCGCCGTCCCCTTCTCGACGCTCCCGGATGTTCTCCTCACCACTCACACCATGTTCTGCTTCAGCTGCGTCTGGAAGAAGACGGCGCTCACCGAGTACTCTAACGAGGGTAAGGCGCGGCAACGTCGTGGGCTGACCGATTTTTCAGCCTCCCGTGAAAGCGTCGACGCCGCGCTGGCCGAAGCCCCACGCCCTGGACCAGAGCGTCTCGAAGACGAGACGGTGAAAGGATACCTTGTCACAGCGCCGCATTCCACGAGTGCGGTGCCGAGCCAGTGCCGGAGGGACGAGTATACGAGCGGCGCCAAAAGTCTCTCTGTCTCGGGAAGCGAGCCCTGCTCGATAGACGGCGCAGAAGAAAAACGTCAGCTCTCTGAGTTAGACGACACGACGGGAGATCCAGTGCCTCGGAACGGCAACAAGGACAGTGCAAGGCCCAACGCGTGCCGAGTCGGATTCTGGCGAGGCTCGGATCACGCATCTGGATGCGATCCTGGTGAGACGACTGTCCCTGCGCAGGACGCCGACGTCAAGCCGACGATCGAGGAGCTTGCCGCCGTCGATCGCGAGGCGGGGCATAGTAGCCCGCACCAGGGTCGCGGGAAGAGCAAGGACAACGGGAGCGGGGCGAGCGGCAAAGCCGAAAAGGATAGCGAGCCTGAGGCGGCTGAGATAAAAGGCGACGAGACGAGCGACCGCCAAGACCCCAAGCCGGCCCCTCATGCCCCCATTTGGGCTAAAGTCGTAGTGCCCGACAGCGGTCCCAAACCTGCCAAGAACGCTGCTGAGAGACTGGAGCCGAAGAGTTCTGTCCCTGTGACTGAAACGCTGTCTATCGCCATATCAAAGTCGGACGTGAATCTGTCCGTCGATGGAGGGAACGTGATGGATGGCCTCTACGTTTCCGGAGGCACCTCGCACGCGAGTAGTGCCACCCCGTCAGTTGAGGTTATCGATCCACTTCCGCGCAAGAATTGCGTGTCCGTTGTCGACCTCACGGGTGATGAGGAGGATGAGATCTCGAGTGTAGAGGGCAGCAGCGACGACAGTGATGGCAACAATCAGAGCGATGGCAGCCTCACGAGCAGCAACGACCTCGCCGATGCAAAGACACCGCTTCGGCTTGATGCTCCGCTGGCGGTGGTCAAGACCGAGCTCAGTGCGTGAGAGATGAAGACGAATTAGAGCCGTCAGCAGTGTCGTTATAGACTAGTATATGTGTAATGGGTATGGGCTGACCGGAGCTCGCTTGGCGGTATGAGCTCGGAGATAACGGCATGGCACGTGACCCACTTGGCAGATCTTCGATCTCGGTCTCAGCGATCACACTGGCGCGGAACGTCTTCGGGGCAGCGAACACACCCGTGCGTGCAATGCATCAGTTGTGGACCTCAGCGAACAATGGTGCAAGCATCCCCACCTGCGCCTGAAGTAGCGGTAGCTCCGGGACGTGAGCCGGGATAGGCCGAGCAGCGTCATGATTGGACCTAAATTTCGCTCGATCGATAAGAGGTTTGCTTTCTGTCCATCCTCGACCCCCGTCTTGTGACCGTCGACCCCGTCAACATGGCTCCTCCAATGTGAGTGTTTCGGTCACGAGAGAGGGAGATGCACTGGCGGCGATGCGCCCGCAACGTCGGAGTGCTGCGTGCGTGGCCCAGATCAGGCAGACTCCGGCGCGGCATGGAGGCGCTCGAGCACCTGCTGTCGACAGGCCACTCCCGCATTCGCCCCCTGCCCCCCCTAACCCCAGGCTCCGCCTGTCGTACAACGACATCCACAATGCGATCGCGCGCACGGCGCCGCGCATCATGTCCGAGTTCTCGCCGGACCTGTTTATCGCGATCGGCGGCGGCGGCTTCATTCCCGCCCGTATCCTGCGCACTTTCTGCAAGGTCACGATGGAGGGCAAGAAGCGCAACATCCCCATTCAGGCCGTCGGACTGACGCTCTACGAAAGCCTGGGCGGTGTGAGTCTAGCTGGGCGGGGTGATTGCAGTGTGATGTTCGCCGGGCTGTTGCGCACGCCACTTCTTATCTACCGCTGTTCTCTGCCCCACATCGTCTGCCGCACATACTAACCCCAGATCGAGGAGGTTGCCGGCCAGGAGGTTGTCCGCGTTCAGTGGATTGACTTCTCCACGCTCGGCTCCAAGCTTAAGCACGGCGGTCTGCTTGGCCGGCGCATCCTGATTGTCGACGAGGTTGACGACACCCGCACCACCCTCGTGTACACCATCAAGGAGATGCAGAAGGACATCAACAAGCACCTCGAGGCAATCGAGGACGTGACTGAGCGCGAGCGCCTGCGCGCCGAGACCAAGCTCGGCATCTTCGTCGTGCACAACAAGTGAGTGTGGGAAGGGCTGCAGGTGTCCTCGCAGAGTCATCCCAGTCCGGATGAGGATGGAGGATCCGGCAAGTCGCCCGCTGACACCAGGCTCAAGCCTAAGGCCGGCGAGATCCCCGCCGACGTCGCGTACTTCTCCGCCGTCGACACGCCCGATGTCTGGCTCGCATACCCGTGGGAGTGCGAAACGGACATTGAGGAGCACGACATGCTCCGCAAGGACAACCCGACGCTTTAGACTAGACTGTAGCATGTATGTGTCGCCGACGATGCTGTGCTGGGGCGTGGAGGCAAGCGGTACTCGAGGGGCGTCGAGTGCAAGCATCTACACAGCCAAGGGTCAGTCCGTCTCTGCCGACGCCTGCGCGGACGACGGCCGTGGTGGACGCGGGTGGCGCCGGCGTCTCTCGTCATCGTCATGTGCCGGTGGAGGTAAAAACACAAAAAGTTGCCGCTGCTCAACTCGTCACTCTACTCTCTTTGTTCACCATGCCCGAGCGCTCCGGCCTCAGCTTTGGGCAGTCTATCGCGCTCACGGCGCTCGTGGCCTCTCTCGCGACGACAAGCGCGCTCCTCACGTACCAGTCCTTGCGGCGAGACTACCGTACTGAGCAGCTCAAGGCGCAAGTTGGGCGCGACGTTGCCGAGTGGGAGGCCAAGCAGGCCGAGAGCGAAGAGAGCGCACCGCAGACACCGTTCGAGAAGCCAGAGTGGAAGTGGCAGGGCGAGTATGACGAGTCGCTGATCCGGGAACAGGTGAGTACGCCAACATGTGTTAGAGTGCTTTGCGTGCCGCTGACTCAAGCTCACGCGCAACTACTCGTTCCTGGGGGACGAGTCGATGAGGGCCATCCGCGACTCGTACGTCGTCGTCGTCGGCTGTGGCGGCGTCGGGTCGTGGGCCGCGACGATGTTGCTGCGCTCGGGTGTCGGACGCCTCCTCCTCATCGACTACGACCTCGCGACGCTCAGCTCGCTGAACCGGCACGCGTGCGCGACCCTCGAGGACGTGGGTACGCCCAAGGTCATCGCGATGCAGAAATACTTTAAACGTATTGCACCGTGGGCCCAGGTGGACGTTAAGATCGGGCTGTGGCGCAAGGGCGAGTCGGAGACGTGGCTCGATGGCGCAGACTACGTCGTCGACGCCATCGACAACATCGACACCAAGGTTGACCTGCTCACGCACTGCCGCAAGAACGGGCTCAAGGTGTTCGCGAGCATGGGTGCGGGCGCCAAGCGCGACCCGACTCGTGTTCAGATTGCGTAAGTCCCGCCTGGGTACGGCGACCTCTCTAACGCCAGCGACATCTCAAACACGTACGAGGACCCGCTGGCGCGCAGCGTGCGCCGCCGGCTTCGCCTTAACGGGATCCACGGCGGCATCCCGACCGTGTACTCGACCGAAGTGCCGGGCGAGGTCAAGCTCCTCCCGCTGCCGGAGGAGGAGTTCCAGAAGGGCGCCGTGAAAGAGCTCGGCGCCTTCGACGACTTCCGCGTACGCATCCTCCCCGTCCTCGGGCCCCTCCCCGCCCTTTTCGGCCTGCACGCCGCCACGCACATCATCCTCGAGCTTGGCGGCAAACCGCTCGCGCCCGCCGGGGGCGAGATCAAGAACCGCCGCAAGCTGTACACAACGATCGAGCGCAACCTGTCCGAGCGGCAAGCGCGGGTCGCGCACGCCCGCGGCGAGAATGCGCAGGGGTTGCAGCGCACGCTCGAGGTCAATGCCGACGACATCGCGCTCGTCTTCGAGGACGTCAACTGCGGGCGCACGACGGTGCCGGACCAGATCGTGACCCAGCGCCCGCAGGCCGTGCATTGGGACACGAGGAAGCCGCTCACCGCGGACAACATGGCCATTTTGACGGACAAGGATGCGAAGCGGCACGAGAAGGAGGTCCAGGTCGAGGGCAGGAGCCCGGCCGAGGTGTGGGGTGCTGATGCGGTGGCGCTTGTCGCACGCCGCAACGACGAGGTGCGCAAGTGTCTCGCGTACCGCCGGGGATAGAGCATCTGCTGCAGGGTTTATGCACACTTCTACTCTTCCGGGGTTGTTGTTGGGGAATAGGAAGTGTCTCGCGCCGCCCGATGAGCCGCCATTAAGCACCTCGCGGCATCGGCACAGCGGATTGAGAAGACATTCCACTCCGTCTGAATGATTGCTACCTGTTTTCCTTCGCCGGCGCTCGTAGATCCAGACCTCATGCATGATCCCCAGGCTCCAACCCAACTGTACTCCGCACTCCCCGACCCACGCCACTACCGGTAGTCCTCCCACTCGTCCAGTTCCCCGCGATCCGCCTCCGAGTCATGACTCCACGCCCCGTCAGAATACGCGTCCTCATACCCCTCCATATCCTCGTCCGCATCCTCGTCCTCAGGATAATCGTTCCGATAATAATCCTCGTCGTTGCTATCCTCGTCCGCCTCATCCTCCGGCTCGCTGTCCGGCGGCGTGCTGGGCGGGCTCGACTCCTCGTACCCCAGCAGGGCGCCAACTGACCCACCCGCACCGGCCTCCTCAGTCTTGAAATACAGGTCGTAGACGTATTCGTCGTCCTGCGGTGGCGGCGGTGCAGCGCCCTCGACTGCTGTCAGCGCGTCTTGGCATCACGCACGTCGGAGGTACTCGTTCAGCATGGGGAGGAACGCGGCCATGTCCGGGTCGTCGTGCACGGCCGTCGCGTCGACGAAGAGGAGGGCGTTGCGCGCTGCATCCCGCTCTGCGTTCGTGATGACGCGCGGGGGCAGGTTTGGGTCGCGTGCTGGCGCACCGGGCACGACGCGGTATTGCGTGCGCGGGACGGATGGGGTGGGGTGGGGCACGGACACTGTTTCTGCTGCTTCTTCTGTCTTGTCTCGGGGCTCGGTCATGAGGCCCTCAATGCGGGACTGGGGTTAGTGGTGCAAGAACGGAGAGAGGAATTCTGGGAGCAAGAGTGCCGGGGTCGAAGTGTGAGCAGCTCGTCGTGGGTGAGATCCGCACGGAGTCATTGGTTTCCACCTGGTGAACCCAAGGTCCACGCACCACCCCCAGCTCCACCCACCTTGAGCATGTCGCATTCGGCGCCCTCTCCCCGCCATGTATGCGGCACCGTCTCGGCGAGACGAAACACTCCCCGCTTACGGAGGGTGCGGCGCTTTGCCGCGCGCTCGTCGCTGATCACTACCGTCAGTCCGGCGGCGACGCGTCTCACCGAGCGAAGAGAGGGGCGGCTCAGTTGCTTTCCGCTTGATGCGGAGGACGGTATACTGCCCTGGCGGGGGCGTGGCGGAGGGCATCTCTGTGGGTGCAAGAACAAAACGAAGACAAAGAGAAAGTGGAGAAGAGTCAGCTCGATCGGTGGCCAACTCGAGTGGAGGCATGACGTCGCGCGGAAGCTAATTTCTAGAAACGGTGATGGCGAGCAGGCACATTGCGATGGCAGGAGAGCCATGAGAGCAAGCATGCATAATCTACGCTCTCGGCTTGCCGTCGCGCCACACCACGCCGCGCGGGCTCACCACACCGTCGAGCGTAAAGTCGTCCGGGGTGACCGGCACGTCCTCGTCGATGAGCTGCGGTTCCAGTGCGAGCGCCACTACTGTCAGCGCAAACGCGGGCACGCTCACTGAGCAACGGTCGCCGCCGCTGTGCCGTGTACGTGGCGAGGAAGCGGTCGTAGAACGCCTTGCCGCGCCCGAGCTGCGATCAGTGTGCGCGCGACGCACTTACGCGATTGCAGTGCGCGTCGAACGCGACACCCGGCACGAGGATGAGGTCCAGCGGCGGGCCGTCCATAGCTGCCGTCAGCGTCGCGCTAGAGAGCCTCACCGTCTTCTCGCGGGCCCGCGGCGTCGTGCCGCTGCGTGCCCGGGTCCAGGATGCCCCATTTGTCCGTGGGGCACGCGGCGAGGTCCGCGGGCGAGTAGAGCCGCAACATGTGCATCAGGTTATCTTCGCCTGCGATCGCCGCTGGCGGGAGGTACGGCGTGTACAGCGCCTTGCCTGATGTTAGCTGGGCGAGAGGGAGGGGTACCATTTGCGAGGAGGTCGGCGACGATTTCCGTTGTGCGCAGCTCGCCACGCGCCATCGAGAGATAGCACCCTACAGTCTGCGCGGACTTGTACCAATCCTGCTGCACGAGGATGCGCGCGACGGCCGCGGCTGGCGTCAGCGTGTCCTGGAGTGCGCGCACATTGCGAGGCGACGGCGTCCTCGGGCATCTGGCGGAGCGTGCGGAGCATGCCCTTGCGCAGGGCGGCTTTGCGCGCGAAGACGGCGGACATGGTATCTTCCATGAGTGGTGCGGAAAGCAAGACCAAAGTGGGCAGGACGAAGAGGAAGATGCGGGGTCCCGAGGATGCGTCACGGATCTCGGTTCCAACTTTTGCCAACTCATTCCGACGTTCCGCTCCGCTCTCATCTCCACCCTCTTCCCCCTTCGGCCTGACAGCTCTCGCGCCGTCAGCGTACGCCGCCCATTATGGCGTCTCGCACGCAGCCCCCGCTCCCGCGCACCGTCATCATCGACTATTACGACTCGTGTAAGCCACGTTGGGGAGACTGAGACGGGGGCGGCGAACGCTGACCGCAGACACCAACAATCTCCTCATCCTCTTCACGCGGTTGTACTCTGACGCCGATGTGCTCCGCAAAGTCGTGGTGATCAAGAGCGACAAATACGACTGGTGAGCGATGCCTGGGCAAGCTCACACCAGGCCGACGTTCAAGCGCGACGTCCTGCCTTACACGGACTGCGTAATCATCTCCCCCGGCCCGGGGCGGCCAGACCATCCCGCCGTGAGTCGGACCGCGCTAGCGCTGACCTCAGGACATTGGCTTTGCGCTAGAGCTGCTGCGTGCGCACCCCGTCCCGATCCTCGGCGTGTGTCTCGGGCACCAGGCCATGGCCGTTGCCTTCGGCGGCACGGTAAGTTGTCCCATGCCACAAGCTGAAGCAGATCATCCACACGCCTAAAATCACTCACGGGCACGAAGTGCGCGTCGTCCCCGTCTCGCCTGCGCTCGGTCTTTTCGCTGCCCCCGAGTTCCCTGAGGACGCGCGCGCCGGCTTCGACGCGGTCGTGTACAACTCGCTCGCGGTTGGCGATGTTCCGCCCGAGCTCGAGGTGACGGCCTGGTCAGACCCGCGCAACGGCAGCGAGCCGACCATCCAAGGCCTCATGCACAAGGAGTATCCCATATGGGGCGTGCAGTATCACCCTGAGGTCGGTTGACGTCGTGAGCGAGCTGACGGCAGTCCATCTCATCTACGCGCGGCGCCGAGCTCCTCCGCGCCTTCGTAGCGCAGGTGCACGAGCACCATGGCGCCCCGCCCGTCTTTCCACGCCTGGAACACCGGCTCGTCAAGGCCTGTACGTACCGCGTAGCGGCTAGCGCGAGCGCTGCACCGACCCGCGCCCCGTCTCCCACCGGGCCAGGGTTGGCGCAGTACGCCCTGCGCGAGCGGAAGCTGGCTGGGGGACTGGAGCGTGAAACTGCCGAGATCTACGAGCGCGTCGTGCGCGCCGACAACGCGCGCGTCGGTGAAATCTGGCTGGACGGAAAGAGCGTAAGTCACGGTATGTGCGGGCTGACATCAGCCATCGCGCCCGACCACGACCTCGCTCGGGGCGCCCCGCTTCGTGATCACCTACTGCCTGAGCACGCGCACCGTGTCCCTCCGCACGCGTGCCGGCGTGCAGGACGTGCGTCTGCCGCGCGACGAGACGTTCTTCTCGTGGCTCAACGACGCGCAGATGGCGTTGCAGGGGCGCACGGGCGGCGAGGTCGGCGGATTCCGCGGCGGATGGGCCGGATGGTTCACTTACGAGATGAAGGAGGAGAGCTTGGCGGGATATCGCGGGCCGGCGTGCGCCGGTGAGCGCGTCGACGCGGTGTGGGCGTGGGTCGACACGCTGGTTGAGCGCGCCGAGGACGGGGCGTGGACGGTTCGCGGTGTCGTGTCTGATGGCGGCTCAACCGGCGGCAGCGAGCTGCTGGACTGGCTGGCGAAATGCGGCGTGTATCTCGGCGTCTCTGAAGCTGCTTTTACTGAGTACGCCTCCTCCGTCGAGGGCGTGCTCGCCTCATCTCCTGAAAGCACCATGGCACCCGCTGCGGGCTTCCCGACCTTCCGTCCGCGCATTAGCGGCGAAGAGCACATGGCGCGCATCGACGCATGTCGCGAGGCGATCCGGCAAGGCGAGAGCTACGAGCTGAATCAGACGATGTCGTTCCTCGCTTCGCTGGACCCCGCGGACGCGTACGCGACATATTTACGCCTGCGGAGCTTCAACCCAGCGTACTACTCGACTTTCATGTCCTTTCCCTCCATCCCCACACCCAAGGGCATGGGGTTGCACGTGCTCTCGTCGTCGCCCGAGCGCTTCTTGCAAATTACCGGGGGCGAGATCGAGATGCGGCCCATCAAAGGCACGGCGCGGCGCGTGCAACCCGGACAGTGCGTGTGCGTCGCGGGGCGCGGATGCGGGGGCACGGCGCGCGGCAGTGCCGCGTGCTTGGAAGAAGGGAAGCGCGTGGACTTTGAGCGCGGCCGCGCGCTCAGCGAAGACAAAAAGGAGCGCGCTGAGAACCTCATGGTGAGTTTCAGTCGCCGCCGGGCGGGCTGACGCAGATCGTCGACCTCATCCGTTCGGACCTGTTGTCGTGCTGTGTTCCCTCGACCGTGCAGGTGCCGCAGCTGATTGCGCTCGAGAGCTATGGCGTGCACAACCTCGTCACGACCGTGCGCGGGCGGCTGGCGGAGCACGTTGGCGCCGTCGAGGCCACCAAGCGCTGCTTCCCGCCCGGCAGCATGACGGGGGCTCCGAAATTGCGCTCCGTGCAGCTTTTGGACGAGTTCGAGGCGCGGTATGCGCGCGGGATATATTCCGGTGCCCTAGGGTATTTTTCGCTGTGCGGCAGCGCGGACCTCAGCGTTGTCATCCGCACGATGGTGCTGCAGGGGCGAGGTGAGTCTGCGAGCGGAGAGACGGACGAGCTCACGCCAGACCTCAGCATCGGCGCGGGCGGCGCCATCACGTGGCTCTCGGACCGCCAGGAGGAGTGGAGCGAGGTTCTTACGAAGGTTCAGAGCGTTGTGGGGCCGCTGGGGGTGTAATGGCATGGATATTGGGTTGGAGCAGCATAGTCTCATGCATCTTGGTTGGCGGCTGGCGGTGTTTGGTTCCAGGGCGGTGAGCAGCATGAAGGCCGCCTCGGAACGAGGCCGATGACGTTTCCGGCTCCGGCTATATCTCCTCCTGCTCACCACATGCTCCCTCCCCGCTCCTTCTCAACACCGCATCGCTATGCTCCCACACACGTCCGGGCCCCTCGTTACCGCCGCCGGCCTCGCCGGTCTCCTCTTCTCCGAGTGGGCGGGCAGCTATCTCGGAGTCTGGGTATTCAAGCCGCTCGCCTCCCTAGGCTTCCTGCTGACGGCCTCGCCTGCACTCGCACCTTCGAGTGAGGCGCACAAGCACGCGCCGTCGTCCGCAGCTTCCAAGTCGGGGCCGAGTCACACCACACCCTCCTCCAACCCCTTCTCCACGCCTGCCGCGCCCTCCCCCCGCGCAGTCTTCAATCGCTCGATCTTCGCCTCCCTCGCACTTTGCGCCCTCGGCGATGTCCTCCTCATTCCCTCGCGCCACTCCTCTCTCTTCTTCCAAGCCGGCCTCTTCGCCTTCCTCCTAGGCCACGTGGGCTTCGGCGCGGCCTTCATCCAGCGCGACCTCGAGCCGCGGACCACGCTGCTTGCGGGTGTCGCGCAGGCGGCATTTGCGGGGATCACGTGGCGCTGGCTGGCGCCCGCTCTCCCGCAGGCCGACCGCGTCCCCGTCGGACTGTACACCGTCGTGCTTTCGGCTATGGGAGCGCTTGCTATTGGCGGCGCGGGCGGATGGCGGGGAAAGGAGGGCGCCAAGCGTTGGATCCAGATTGCCGGGGCGGTGCTGTTCGAGCTGAGCGACTTGTGCGTCGCTCGGCAGCAGTTTGTCGCACAGACGTTCGCGAACCCGGCGCTGGGGCTGCCGCTGTACTATCTTGCAACCACGCTGTTGGCTACGCTGGTGTGGCCTTGGTGAGTTTTAGCTTGGCGGGGCTGATGTCAGATGGATCTTAGGTACACCCCATGCAAGGTGTCACTGGTGTTGGAAAGAGTGCTGGTTCGCGTGTGATCACAGACAACGAGGAAGGCCATGCGGCGGGCGGGAGGTCGTTGACTCACGCGTGTGGAGTGAGTGGGAGACGGGGCGGCGATGCGGGCGTGGCGAGGTCAGCGTGTGACACGATACTGCTCTCTGCTCTCGGCGTGGGGGTTGCAAACGGCGCCAAGCACAGTGGGTAATGAGCAAGGGACAGAGACGATGGCGCAGTGGATGAAGAGGTACCAAGTCGCGTCAACTGTTGCGAGCTTCCTTCCTCACTACATCCTCGACCTCTCTATCTCTCTTCTCTACAGACTCGCCTCCTCTCCACAGAATGCCATCGACAACAACATCGCTCACCTATCGCCTGTTTATACTTTCGACGACGAGTCTAACGACAAGGCCGCATTGGCCTCATCCGACCTCGTCGCGTCGTCCTCCTGTAAGACCTTGTACTGGCAGCCAAGACTTTCAGCAACACGACAGCGCGGCTCGCGTCCGGCCTCGCCGCTTCCTCGCCACCCGATGGTGATGACTCTGATGCTCTCGGATCTGATGCCGACAGTCACATCACAGCAACGAGTGCCTCGAGTAATTTCTGAATGTTTCGGGTGGACGACATGGTCTGCATTTCATTCAATTCAAACACGTGCGACCTCTGCGAGTCGACAACAAAACCAATCAGCCCTGTTCAAGTTGACTGTCAGCATGAATCTTCCATAATGGAGGGCGTTGAAGCAGAATGATGCTTGCATGAATGCATTGCATGGAAGCAGAACCAGGTGAGCTCAAGGCTGACAGAGGGCGGTGGTGGCAAGCGGTGGAGGGCGGTGGCGGAGGCATCTGTGTCGTCACTATTCACTCACACGTTATCGCCGCCGCTTGATGTTGCCGTAGATGCCCTCCATCCAACCATCCACTTTTCCATCATTCATCAACCCCTCTTTTGGTCCCCTGCCTGCCCATTCTCCTTCTGTGTCGCCCTAATAATCGCAAAAATCAGCTCGCTGCTCGAGCATGTCTCGCTCTACGTCTTTCCCACCCGCCAAGCGAGTAAGTCAGCGTCTCGCATGGCCATGTGTGGTGCGGACTCGTTGTGTGTCGACTCCCATGCTCCCAAGCTCCCATGCTCCCATGCTCCCATGCTGACATTGTCCTCGACACTTATTTCCAGCCGCGCATCGACAAGTCCTCTTCTCCTTTCCTCTCATCTTCAGGCGACCTCACCGCCATGGACATTGCGCCCATCTCGCTCGGCAATGGCAACCCCGGCCGCGCCTCCGTACATGGGCTCGGCGGATGGCGCAAAAATGGCCGCCCCGTCCCCCACGACATCCTCCTTCTAATTGCGCGCTATCTGGGCGACATGCAGGACGAAGGCGATGTCCAAGCCCGCCTTACTCTCGCCGCCATGATGAGGGTCAGCAGCGACGGCTTCGATGCCGCTGCCCGCGCGCTCTACCACTCGATAACCATTACGCGCGACTCGTTTTCTAATATGCTTGGTGGCAATGACATAGAGCACTCAAAGCTGTTCGAACACCCCATCACCTTTCCCACGCGCGACTCGGTCGTCCGCAAGCTCGGCCTCTTCCAGTGGGTCAAGCACATGCACATCGAGGAACTGCCCAACGAGCAGGCCGTGTCGGATCTCCTCGAAGCGTTTCATGTGGCATGCTCGCAGCCGGCGTCGGCCGTGTCGTGTCAGCAGGTGTTGCGGGGCCGGTTATTCCCCCGCCTCGAGGGAGTGTCGTTCAGCCCCAAAGTCTTCCTCAACCATCACAGCGCGCCACCCCTGGGACCCGAGTACAAGGGCCGCATGCACCGCTTCCTCACGCTCTTGCGCCGCGAGTCGGCGCCCACACACATGTGTCTCGAGTTACCCACGCCCGGCGACATAGCAGTGTACAAACGCCGGCACCGCGGGGCGGAGCGCCCCTGCCCTCCACCCGAGCCCATCAATCCTGATCTAATGGCTGTGGGCGGCGGCCCTGCGGTGGCGCCGAGCGCACACGAAAACAGCCTTGTGCACGCCGATCAGGCTGAGTGGCCGACAACCCTCGCGCGCGCGTGGGACATCAAAACGATCTCGGTGCACAACGTGCGCTTTACAGGCTCGATCTACCGCACTATCGTCCCGCTTCAATGCGAGCGCCTGCGCCTCTTCGGCGTAGACAGCCCCTGCTCCGCCACGTGCGACGACGGCACCTGCAGCCACTGCGACCTGCGGTGGAGCCGCGCCGCCACCTTGGTGCAGGGCCTGTGCAAGAGCCCGGCCAACTTCAAAGTCGTGGAGATCGCCAACATCGGCGCGGGATACCCGCTCACATGCCGCTGCGTGGACAAGTACGCGAACGCCATCGCGGCGCTCAAGGAGAGCATGCACAGCCGCGCGCTCGGCGCGACATGGACGCTCGAGACGCCGCACTGTGCCGTGGCGGCCGCGTGCGTGTGCTGCGGGGCGCACGTAGCGCAGACCGGCGACACGGGCGACGGGGTCGACACGGGCAGCCTCACACCCGACCCGTACTGCGTGAGTTCTAATGTTGTCGAATGCTGACGCGCAGACGGACATGCACCCGTGGGAACGCAGCTTCCGGCCCGAGCCGGTCGCAGGGCTGCTTCTTGGCATGCCTGCAGTCGGCGTGCCCGCGCCCCATGGGCCCGTGAACCTGGCTGCACTTGTCCCGGGGTGGATCCCGCCCGCTGGCCTGGCGCCTGGTGCCCACCCTGTCTTTGACGAGAACCACGACGACAACGACGAGCAAGAGGACGAGCCAGTGGAAGAGGAGGAGGGGGAGGCGTATCCCGCGCTGGCGTTCGCGCACACACACTTCGGCTCGCACATCCCGCACACCCCGTTCCATCATCAGACCCAGCCTACGGCCACACAAGTGCAGCAGGGGGTGGCGCTGAATCTGCAGGCCTTGCAGGCGGCAGCGAGCGTGTGGGCGCAGGCGGCGGACGCGTGGGAGGAGGCGGCGGGCGCGTGGGAGGAGCACCTGCACGAGCAGGGCGCGGCCGTCCAGCCGGATCTGGACGAGACCGCTCCGGACCACGAGGAGTAGCGCGGGTCTGTGTTGTACTTGTCAACGTCGTTGTTGTCTGTATGCTACTGTGCATGCTGGTTGCGAAGTGCGTTTGTCTGGCGTTTGCGTGAAGGAGTCGGGATCAGAATGACTCTTCCGCCATGTCTGAGGCATCCTCGATCGTCGCACGGCTGCTTGCCATCCGCCACGACACCACTCTCCCACCCCACCACAAGCTGCTGGCTGATGAGCGGTGTGCGGCAGATGGATGAAGACCGACGCCGCGACGAGACTGATGTCCGTCATGTTTCTGGTGATGTTTGACGACAAGTGACGAGTGACGGCGGTTGACGTAACCTCGAGTAGAGTGCGGATGCAAAACCGCCGGTCATGGCGGAAGCTTTGTCATCCCCCCTTATCTCCCCTTCCTGCGGAATGCAGAACAAGGCGCGTGGCGCGTCGCTTCGAGGAACATCCAGTATCCAGTTGCGCGATGTTGCCCGCCTTGCCCGCAGGCGAGAGGTGAGGGGTGAGCAACCAAGAGCGAGTGGCGAAGAGCAAAGAGCGACGAGGAACGAGGGAGGTAAAAGTCTCGCGGTCAGGCGGGGCTCGTACATGTACATGGTACAGTAGTGTGTGCTCTAACCCGCTCCTCACGGAAGAGACTTGCCGACCTACCATCCTGCTCGAACTGCAGTAAATGTAAATTTTGTGGACGCATCTGAGCAGGAGCCATGCGCCGCCGGATCCTGCTTCCAGCGAATTCGCCACGATCCACCCGACGCCAAGACGCTCCACCCTCCCCATGCCAAGTATGTTTCCGTGCCGCGTGGAGCAGTCGCGAGCCACTCGCGAGGGGGACCGGCGCCGGTAGATTTGTGCGAGGTATGCAAGCGACTCTCAACACCGGTGCCTGGCGCCGTGGCATGTTTGCGCTGAATAATCATGTCTCCACGGTCGCCACATTGACAAGTTTGCAAGCGAGCAGCGAAGAGGACGCGAGCGACGATGGAGGCGGCGGGGGCGGCGGGGTGTATGTATATAGGAGATGGCATGGACACGATAGCTCTCAACGACCAGATAGCGACGCACTCCTTCGCCTGCAACTCACTCATCGACTGCCACTTCGACACTATTGATTGGTATAATATAATCTCGCAAAAACTGCAACTATGCCCGCAACGAGTGTGGACCCGGCGCCGTCAGCCCCGCCGTCCTCGTCGTCGACGGTGTGCGACCTCAATAAGGATAAAGAAAAGCCGTATTTCGAACTACTGGAGCGGCCTGTGCACGCGCACCCATCCTCGCTATCAGGCGCAGCGCCCTCACCGTCCCCCACTCTGCCATCCGAGCCGCAGGGGGTTACAACTCCCGATGTCGAAAAAGCCGCCAACACCGACGCCGCGGAGCGACCCAAGCTCACACAAACGCGCAAGTGGGGCCTGCTCGCGATCTTCTCGCTCGCAATGTTCATCGACATCTGGATGTACTCTGCCTTTTTAATTTTTACGGACGTCGTCTCAGTCGACCTCGGTATCCCCTTCACGCAGCAGGCATGGGTGATCACAAGCTACAGCGTGACGTTCGCGGCCTTCCTCCTTTTCTGGGGCCGCGTGAGCGACCTGTACTCCGCCAAGCCCGTCTTCGCATGGGGCTTCACGGCGCTCGGCACCATCTCTCTCGTCATCTCCTTCCTGCCGGACATGTACTCGTTTTTCATCCTCCGCGCCATCGCAGGCATCGCGGGCTCGGCGCTCATCCCCTCGTCGTACCGCCTCATCACAGAGGTGTTTGAGGTGCACGAGCTTAGCCGCGCCTTCACGCTATTCGGGATGGCTGGCGCCCTCGCGAACGTGACCGGCGTCATTATCGCGGGCGTCATCGATCTCATCCCTCTGCACGGACAGGGTGCGAGCTGGCGCTGGTTCTTCCGGCTCGCGGCTGTCATTGTCATCCCCTTCGCCGTGATGTCCATGTTCGTGATTCCGCAGCGCCGCGGCGCCGAGGCCGAGACTCACACGGCCAAGTGGAAGCGCCTCGACCTCCCCGGCTCAATGCTTATGCTGGGCGGCACCGTCCTCCTCGTGCTCGGCTTGACGCTCGGCGCCGCACAAGGCTTCAGGACGGCCGCGTTCCTCGTACCCTTCCTGCTCGCCCTCGTAGTACTCTTCCCCGGCTTCTTCATCTGGGAAGCCTCCATTCCCGAAGACGTCGCCCTCCTCCCCCCGTCCTTCTGGCGCATCCCGAACACGATCCTGCTCATCGCCTTCGCGCTGCAGCTGTACGGCTGGATCGGCGTCAATTTCCTCGCCCACGTCGAGAGCTACATGAAAGTGTACCGCGAGTCGAGCCTCATCGCGGCCCTCCGCATGCTGCCGCAAGGCCTCGTCTCGTTCCTCACCCTCATCATCCTCGCGTGCGTGCCCCGCCTCGCCGCGCGCCCCCGCTGGTCCGTCAGCGCGGGCATGCTCGCCGGCATCGTCGGCTACGTTCTCTTCGTGCAGAACCAGCGCTTCGTCGGCTCCGACTACTGGAAATGGGTGTTCACCGGCTCCGTCATCGGTGGAATCGGGATGACCGTGTGCTTCACCGCCACGAACGTCGCGCTCATGACCTCGGTCGATCCGAGCGTCGCGGGCGTCGCAGGCGCGCTCCTCCAAGTCGCGCTGCAGGTTGGGTCGAGCGTCAGCTTCGGCGCCCAGTCTGGCCTGTTTACGGTCCACGAAGGCGGCCTCGCTAACTACAAGAACGTCCATGCCTCGTTCTACTTCCAGCTCGGGCTGTCGGTCGTCGCGCTCGTCGCGTTCTTCGTCTTCTACAAGCAGCCCAAGGCTGCCGCCGCGCCTTAGCTCTCTCCCTTTCATATTACATCGAAGTAGAAGTTCCCGTGCCTGTCTGTAGCACCATGCATCGTCTAAACAACCGATCCGTGCCGGCATAACGCTGATCTCCGCACTCGGCTAACTACCCGGCCGCCCGGCTTCCGCATTCCGGCCATCCAGCATCTCACCATCGCTCTCTCCACCATGGCGTGCATCAAGTTCGTCCGCGAGGTGCGTGAGCGCGCAGCATCGCTGACCCCAGGCCTTCGAGAAGTCGTGTGTCGGTGAGCTGCAGGCCCGGATAAGCTGACGCAGGCCACGACAAGGTCGTCCTCTCCAACGTGGGTGATGCACGGCCACGGAGCTGATCCCAGCTCCAAATCGTCGAGGCCCGCCCGGGGTACGTCAAGTGCATCTTGCCCGTCCAGGCGCATAACCTCAACACGTTTGGGACGACGCACGGCGGGTGTGTCATGTCGGTGGGTTTGCGGCGAACGGCCGCGCTGGCACCGTGCGGTGGCATACGGTGGGGAGCGGCTCTGCGGGTGCGCGGTTGGGTTGAGGCGCCGATGCATTCTGGGGCTACCGCTTCTTCGTGCCCCGCGCTGCTAGGTGATCGTGGTGGGCAACGCGCACGTTCCAGCTGCCGGCGAAGTCGAGATGGCCTTCCGCCTCATCCTCGGTTGCCGCCGACGGTACCTGCCCCTTCCCCACCGCCACCATGACACCGCTTTCCTTGCTCACACCAGCTCGTCGACACCGTCACCTGGTTGGCGATGGCCACCGTCGGCCTCCCCGAGGTCGAGAGTGTCAGCACCAACATGAGCTGCGAGTTTGTCAAGCCGTGCGGCCGCGAGGGCGACGAGCTCGTCTGCGAGGGCACTTGCGTGCAGCAGGGTGAGTGTGGGGGTGAGGTGCGGTGGTGGAGAGGAGGGGCGGAGAGAGGAGAGCCCTTGACTCGCGGGCACTGCGGCGTGCTTTCGCCTCCAATCGCTTACCCCAGGCCGCCGCCTCGCGTTCACCCGCGTCAACTTCTCCGTCAACGGCAAGCTGTGCGGCTTCGGGTCGCACACCCAGGCCGTGGACGCGCACAAGTGGACGCACAAATTCTCGGCGGACGGCGAGAAGCTGCTTCCCGTCGAGCAGGGCAAGCTGTAGCATGCGTGCACCGGTTAGAACTAGAAGTATGCACCACACATCGTTGTACCGGTCCCAGCGCCAATGCCTCCCCAAGTCCTGTGCACTGCCCGCATACGACCAAGCCGTGCTGAATTCTGCTGAGGTGATGGGGCCCGATGACCTGCCAAGCTCCGGCGGCAAGGCCGTGAAAGATTACCGGATTCGCGGATCGGTGACTGCCGAAAACAATTTCTGCCCTTCTTCAGAACGGTGGCAGTTTGCCTCACGCCCATCGTCTCGCCTCATCACTCAGCATGCCTGCGCCTGCGCCTACGCCCAAGCCCGCGCCCAAGCTCACGCCCGAGGGCAAGCGCGCGCTCGACGCCTGGTTCAAGGCTGAGGTTGCCAAGGGCGAGCATCCCGCCATGTTCGCCATCGTCGCGACGCCCACCGAGGTGCTGTATGAGAGCGCACGCGGCGACCGGGTGTTCGGGCAGCCGGAGAAGGGCCAGGTCGACTGGGACACTAGTGGGTGCGTTCGCTGCAGCGCTGACCGCAGCGCTCCAGCTGTGGAGCATGACCAAGCTCGTCACCTCGGTCGCGTGCTTGCAGCTCATGGAGCGGGGGCTGGTGGACGTCGACGACCCGAAGCTCGTCGAGGAGGTGCTGCCCGAGCTGGCCGCTCAGCCGATCCTCGCGGGCTATGACGGCGACAAGGTCATCCTCAAGAAGCGCACCCAGCCGCTCACCCTCCGCCACCTGCTCACGCACACGAGCGGCAGCGCGTACTCGTTCCTCGGCACGCCGCTGGTCAAGTGGGAGAAGCAGACGGGCCACAAGGCGTGGACGGCCAAGGGCGCCAAGCTCGACAGCATCACTACGCCGCTCCTCTTCGAGCCCGGCACCGCGTTCCAGTACGGGCACGGGATCGACTGGGCCGGGCTCCTCGTCGAGCGCGTCAGCCGCCTCACGCTCGAAGACTACTTCCGGAAACACATATGGAGCGCCGTCCCCGGCGAGTGCCGGAGCATGACGTTCTACCCGACGCGCCGGACCAAGGGCCGCATGATGGGCATGCACGGCCGCAAGGGCCGCCGCGTCGTGCCCGAACCCGGGTGGCGCGACGTCATGGCCTGGGACTCGATGGACATGAAGTTCCGCTTCGGCGGCGCCGGCCTCTTCGGCACCGCGCGCGACTACACCGCATTCCTCCAGCACCTACTTGCGTGCTACCAGGGGCGGGAGGGCATGCTGCGCCCCGAGACCACGCGCTTGCTCTTCGAAGACGCGTTCCCGCAGGGCGGCGAAGGGGATACGTGCCGCAAGGGGCTCGGCAGACTTATGCGCGACATGGGCGTGTCCCAGCCGGGATGGCATACGGGCGCCGAATTGACGCACAGCCTGGCTATGTGCGTCAACACGGCTGACTCGCCCCATGGGCGGCGCGCGGGGAGCGCGACGTGGGGCGGCGTCGCGCGTACCCAGCAGTGGATCGACCCTAGCACGGGCATTGTTGTGAGTTCACGAGAGAGAGAGAATTGCATGGCGGGAGCTGACAGCAGGCGTTCTTTGGCACCCAGATCCTCGAGTTGGATTGGCGGGCGTATGGGCGCGCTCTCGACGGGTTCGAGCACAAGGTGTACGGTGCCCTCGAAGTCGGCGCCAAGCTGTAAGCGTGTGTGCTCGTGATTGTTTGTGTGTGGCATGTACCGGTGTGTGTACACTGTTTCTGACGGGGACGGCACTGCTAATTCTGACGCTTGGCTCATCAACTGCTGTTCATTACTGTTCATCTCCGCCAGGGAGGTCGTTACTGATCATAATTACACGCGCAGCTCGGCGAAGCCGACACGCGCAGGCTTCCACTGGAAGACAGAGTAGACGTTCTTGAGGAACGAGTCGCCAACGAGCCAGTACGAGCTGTGGTCAGTGCAGTTCTACGCCGCAACTTACCTCACGGAAGGCACAATAGCCGTGTAGCACTGGCGCGGGTCCGCGCGCGAGGCCACGTACAGGAAGTCGCGCGGGGGAATGGTCCACTCCTTGCCGCTGAAGGTGAGGGAAAACGTCGCAGTCGTGTTGCACGGCACGCGCCACATGCCCTGGTACTTGTTTGCGCCGGGGATCGAGCCCATGGCCTGGTCGACGATGGCGGTGGGGCCGTAGATGAGCGAGGTGCCCGTGTCGATCACGGCCTCCGCGGTGCCGTTCGTAATCGCCTCGCCGTTGAACTTCGCGACGTCGAGCGGGATGCGCCAGAACCCCAGCGGCTGCTTGACCTTGGTGTAGCGGATCTTGCCCTTGAAGTACTTCTTGTTCACGCCGCCGAGGGTGAGGACGCCGCCGGGTGTGGAGACGGGGATCGTTTCGTTGGCGAGCGCAGACGTGTGCTGCAGGTAGAATGAGAACATGGGCTTCTTGAAGCGGCCGATGGCATTGGCGATCCAGTTAGTCTTGATTTTCTTGCCGACGCTCAACTCGCCGAAGCTCATCCCAAGGAGGCCCGTCACGTTGCGGCCCGCGTACCCCGTCTCGCCGCCATATTGCGCGACTGGCGTGAGCTATGTTCTTCGTGGCACGCACGGAAGTTCTGGTGCTCCTGCGTGAAGCCGCCGAGGCTGACGCGGTCCTGCGCCCAAACGCCGCGGCTGAAGCCGATGCCATACTGCAGGAGCGGGGGCGCCGAAGTGTTCACGAGCTTGAAGGTGCTCGAGTCCTTGGGGTGGAACTGCGGCTGGTTCGTCGGGCTCTTGCACTCGGGCATGGTGCAGTTGTCGCCGTTCCAGATCGCGAGGTCGCCGGATCCCGTGTCCAGGTGCAGCGTGACGGTCTGCGGCGGCGTGCCGACCTGGATCTGCGTCGAGTACATTAGCTCACGCGCCCAGTCAGTCACCCTGGGATTAGCAGAGCAGAGGGAGAACGCACGGGACGTTGTGGGGCACTTTGGCGGCCTTGTGGATGATCTCGGGCTCGTCGTCGACGAGCTGGGGCGAGTTGTAGGTCAAGTCCAGCGAGATGACATCGCCGTCCTGGTCCTCCTGTCGCTTGGTTGGAGCGGCGTGGACCAGTGCGGCGAGGATGGCGAAGACGGCGAGCTTCATAATGAGTGTGGGTGCGTGTGGGCGTAAGTAGTTGGCTATGGGTCTCGAGATGCTGAAAAGACTCGGCTTATATGTCTGCGACGACGTCGATACGGTGTTGATGTGATGGACAGCAGTCTGTCGTTCATCGCCAGGTCCGGGTGCCTTGAGCGCGACGGACGAAGCAGCAGACACGGACAACGAAAGCTTGAGCTAACGTTGTGTCTAACACATGCTTGAGATGCCGGTACCGTAAACGGACTGACAACCCCCATCGACCGCCGAGGTCAGTCCAATTTGGAGAGTGGACTGGAACCAACCTAAACTCCATTAAACTCGCGTCGGCGGTGCTTTCGCCTGCCTGCCGCGTTTGTGCCTGGGCACCATAGGAACTGAGTTTTGTGTCGACCAGTGTGCGTTTCATAATGCAGCTTAAAGGCTGTAGGTGCATGAACATGTCTATTGTGCAGTATTCCCACAGTCGGCGTCTCACAGCTGGCCGTAGCTTGTTAAGGACGGATCCCGGGAAACACACGACCTTCCCAACGGTATATTGCGGTGGTCGTCGGCTCGGCCTTGACTTGAACTTTGTGCATAATGTTTGTCCCGAGCACGGCGCGTCCTACCATGTGCGAGCAACCCTCGTAGCTACGCCTCCCCCGGCCAGAGGTCGTCGGCGATCTCACGCACTAGGCGAAGCTTGCTCACCATGCCATCCCACGAGATGGCGTTCCCCTCCTCGTTAGAGGCAAACCCACACTGTGGTGAGACGCTGATACGCGTCATGGCCTGATCAATACTGCCTCCACGCGCCATGAACTCAGCGGCCTGGCGCACGCGCGCAGCCATCTCCCACTTGTCTTCCATCTGGTCAAACTTGGACGTGATGACGCCCAGCACGACGCGCTTTTCCGCCGGCAGGTGCGCGAGGCACTCGAAGCCGCCGGCCCGCGCCGTGTCGTACTCGAGGTAGTAGGTGTGTACATCGACCTCGTTGAAGAGCTTGGCAGCGATGCGGTCGTAGCTGCCCTCGGCGAAGTGGCGCGAGTTCTTGAAGTTGCCGCGGCACAGGTGCAGCCCGAAGTGCATCTTATCCTTGTGGTCGCGGAGGCAGGCATTGTATGCCGCGATGTACGTCTCGAAGAGCTCGTCGAGCGTGCACTTGTTCGCGGGGTCGGCTGCCCAGCCGTCGATCATGACCTGTGAGCAGAAGTCTGGTGTCAGTGTTATGCAGGTACGGCGTGCGGCGTGCGGCGTACATGCCAGGTTCGGGTCGTCGATCTGCACGTTGCGCACGCCTGCGTCATAGAGGATGTCGAGTTCGGCGCGGAAGGCTGCGGCGATGTCGGCAAAATACTCTTCATCGCTGTTGTAGACGTCAGAAGGGTACGCCTCGCCCTCATTGTATCGGAGGTGGTACCATACGGGCGAGATCATGGTGAGTTTAGCCTCACGGCCGAGCTTCTGCGCCTTGTCCCGTGTGTACGTCCACTCCTTGAGCAGGCTAGACTTGCCCGTATGCGAAATCCGCCCAGTGCACACGCACGAGCGGCCCCACCCGCCGTTCTCGTGGAATACCATCACGTCTGGGACATAATCACGAAACTTGGACACAGGGATGTTATCGCGTTCCTGAGGTCAAGCTGCCTAACCTGCTCGCCCACCTCCATGCCGTTGAGAGTCTGGAAGAACTCGCCCCAGAACATGCCCCGGCGGTACTCGCCGTCCGTGAGTGCGTGGAAGCCCAGGTCGGCCTGCATCGCAAGGGCCCTATCGATGGCCCGGTTCGTCGCGGCGTCCAACGCCTCGATGGACAGCTTGCCGGCGTCGAAGGCTGCGCGGTCAGCCAGCAGCTCCTTGGGGCGGAGGAGCGGGCCGACGTGCTCGGCACGGAAGGGAGCTTTCGTCTCGGGCATGGTTGATGGTGTGGTAATGATGTACGCTCATGACGGGCGCGAGATTGTTGTGGGCATCGCGGATGGATACAGTGTTCTAGCTCGTGCCTCGGCGTTCCGGCTAGTGCCTCGAAACGCCATGACACTTGCCTCGGTCAGTCGGCCTTCTCGGCGCCGGCCGCTGAAAGTCAAGACAATGCCGTGGCGTGCACCTTGCAAGAGCCGTAGCCGGGCTGGCCAGCGGTTGCCTGGTGCCCACAAGAGATGGGTACCTAGCCGTACAACACGCGTCCTACGCCGAGACGACTTGTTGTCAGGAACATCAATTGCTTGATTGCTCTTGGGAGAGGTGGTTCGTAATCTCTCCACGCTCTCCTTTCTGCCAGAGACTTCCGATGCCGAACAGGCGAGCAAAGCGTCGCCCAGATGCCAAAAGCAATAGATTAGAGACACGCCAGGATCGAACTGGCGACCTAAAGATTTGCAATCTTTCGCAACTACCACTGTGCTAGTGCCTCTGAAGGCATGGTGCTGACCACTGAGTCACGTGATTGACCATGACAAGCACCGTCGTGTGTGTGTTTTGCGACGGTCTACTAACATGTCATTTGGCGTCAGCACTCCAGCGGAGATAGAAGAGAACAGAAAGAAGCACAGCGCCGTCTCGGTCATGAGCGACAAATGTCGGTCCGGGGTCAAGGTTTGGTGTACAATATCTTTGGCGTACCAATATCAGTAATAGGTCGTGTATTGCCACCAGCCAGTCCGATCGGTCACCTCGAGTCCGGCAATCATCCACCTGACAGGGGTCGCCGATCGCCGATCTCGCCACCCATCTCCCTCCTATAATCCACCACCGTTCTCTCCACTTCGCTTCTTATCGCAACTTGGTTCAAACACCCTCTCCATCTTCTGCTACAGCATTACCTTCAACGCCAGGCATGACCATCATCCTCGTCCATGGTCTCTGGAGCGCCCCTGCGCACTGGCGCGGTGTTATTGAGGCGCTCAAGGCTCTTGGCGTGACCGACGTCGTGACAGTCGACCTTCCCCTCGAGAGTCTGAAGGGCGACGTCGACGTTGTGCGCGAAGCCATCCGGAAGGCTGGCGGTGACGTCGTTCTCGCTGGGCAGGGATTTGCCGGGATGGTAATCACCGAGGCGGGGGCTGAGGAGGCCGTGAAGGGTGAGGAGCTCGCGTCACTAAGCGTCGTCAGCGTGCAGTGTTATCAGCCATGCTTATCTGTGGGTCGGCTGCTGACTCCAGGTCTGGTGTATGTGTGCGCTCTGGCCCCCGACGCCGGCGAGTCCGCGCGCACCGTCTTCCCGGATCTTCCCTCCGAGATCGCCTCGGACTTCGAGGTCGTCGACCGCAAATTGCGGATTAAGGAAGACGCGTTCAAGGCCGATTACTGTCACGACCTGTCTGATGAGGCAGTGGCGTGGCTGCGCGAGACGGGCCGCAACCCCTCCGCGAGCATCATGGGCGAGGCAGTAACGCATGCAGCGTGGAAGGACAAGCCAAGCTTTTACATCGTCGCGGGCGGGGATAAGTGCATCGCGAAGGAGAAGCAGGACCGCATGGCAGACCGGATCAAGGCGAGCCGGATAGCGTGTGTCGATGGCGCTAGCCATGCTATGCACGTCGGGCATCCGGGCGAGGTGGGATTGTTTGTCGCTGGCGTGGCGAGGTCGTGCGGAGTGTAGGCGGATATGTGAGGATGTAGCATGTATAAGGGTGTGAGGTGACCTACGCGGGGTAGGTTGCGGAGTTGTCCTCGGAGGATTATCCCATCTTCTGACCGCTCCGCACGTCCCGCGGCCATGCGTCGGGTTGTGCACGTCCACGTCGTTCGTGCTGGTAGCTTCGTCGACCCGCTGTATTACAGCGATGTGAACACGGACCTCGCGGACAAAAAGTTTGAATAAAACGTAAGCTAGGTTCCGAAACTCGAAGGCCACAGCCCGGCATCGAGGGCCAATTCATTGCCTTTCCACCGTCGGAATATGAACGATCGTAGCAAACCTCAAGTTCATCGCCGAGCACCTCCATTCCTCGAGCGCCGGCACACTGCGGTGGCGAGCAAACCGCCACCGGCGACCGGCACGGCTTTGGCAGCTTCAGGACTTTTAAAGGCGAGATACTTGAACCAGAATACCGGGAGTGAGGAATCTCGGGGATGTCTCATATGTGTGTCAGGTGGTGTCGTGTGCCATCCCGTGTGGCATGCGTGTGTCTCACGTGGATTCCAAGTCGGCCATCACGACTTGCAGAAAGTCTTGGACGTAGGGGAACGTGGCGAAGATAGCGAGGCATGTGTCCGTGTGGCTTATTATCCAGGTTGTCTCTGTGGCCCGTGTCAGAAGTGTGAGCCACAATGCCGAGGACGCAGGGCAATCCAGCGAGCAGCGGGATTTCCGCTAGGTATCCGGGAGGCGTTTGGAATTGGACGCAGCTGCACCTCAGGAATAACAGAACAGTAGGTGCTTCGAAAGAGATTTTGGGGAGATTCAGCTCGCGCTCGTGCACGGTGGAGAATGACTGGGATCGGTGGATAGGCCAAAATGATGGAATGGAGTGCCTGCCTCGCGATGTGGGAGTTTGAGCTGGTGAGGTGTACGCCGAGCGCTCATCTGGTGGCGAGCGCCCAGGCATGGAGCGGAGACGTCGGGTTTGGCTTGTTCTAGGACACCGAAATCCGCACCACATCATGGCTCAACCAATGCGCAGTCGACGAGCCAGGGACTCGGGCCAGCGTCGAGTCGAGCAATTACTTTCGGCGAACTCGAGTGGCCACCGACCCGCCAACCTCGCTGCGAGGCGTTGAAGCGAGCGAGCGAGCTAGCGAGATGAATGGTTGCGCACATCTCCGCATCGGCCCACCATCAACCCGCACCGATCGCCTCCACAATCCACAATCCCCACACTTGGCCAGAACGAGCAGGGCATTGGAGATGCTCCAACTCAGGTCAGTTGACTCTCCCATTGGCAGGAAGGCCCTTCAGCCCGGGGAAGCTCCGGGGGCCCAGGTGGGCAGCCAATAGCTTAGTCGCAGGATCCTCGAGACAAGGCGGACGCCGCCGGCTCCGCACGCAGTCTTGCCGCACAAGAGTCACATACCAACCGCGCTGCAGGGTGGACTCCGCGGGGACCCACTTGGCGAATTGTCTTGGCATTGCAAGCAGATCTGGGGAGACGGGGGGCGCCGGGGCCCGGCCCTGGAATACCTCGCCGTTGCCGGCGGTCGATGGGTCTCATTGGGTCTCCTTGATGTGGGCCATGCTCACTGCTATGTCACATACCTGTTTGTGGCTAACAGAGTAGCCTCTTGCCCTGGGCGATCGCAGCTCAGAATTGCAGTCGCGCTTGAGCATATTGCCAGTAAGAAAGTACGGCCTTGCCGCCAGCGCCACACGCAGAGTACGCCCAAGCGAAGCGTTTAGCGGTGGCGCCCATGTTGCAATAGAACCTCGGTTATCAATATCTACAGTGTCCGGCGGCATCAATACTTGGCACGGCGGAGCTGTTCATCTGGGCGAGCTGGGCAGGAAAAGTAAGACGGAGCTGGGGGTTCGGTGTCCCGCGAAGCAAAGTCAGTCACAAACTGCGCTGGTACAATGGAGAAGCTGGTAATCTTCACAGCAATTGCAAGCTTCGAAAAGCAATTGTCTCTGTACTCCGGCCTGAGCGGGTGGTGCCGCCGGTGTTCTAGACAGCTATGTTTGCCGATAAGGTTGTCGTGGGGTAATGACTGGGTGCGGACCGAGAGGAGCAACCCCTGACAATTCTCGTTGTCCAGCCCCAGGCTCCCGGGCGAGCCCCGCGAAAGCCTTGCTGTCTCCCCGAACGCCGCATCTCACGTACACGTACGCAAGCGTTCAGGAAGTAGTTCACGCGCAACAGCCAGGCCATTCTCCATCGGCAAGCACGAGGCTGATATTCGATATCAGGCCCTGCTCTTCGTGGTCGTGCCTGTCTGTGCCGGGCTCCTCTGCAACCGTGCGTGATGCTTCTCCCCGCTCCTCTCACGCCTCTCACGTTGCCCTCATGCCCTATCAGGTGAACATGGGCTGCTCAAGTGGCCGCCACATACAGGGAGGGTGGGCTGATACTGGGATGCCAAGCCGGGTCGACCGCATCGCGAGCCGGAAGGAGGGGTATTGGCAGTGTCGTTAGACCTCGGTGACTTGTATAAAGAGTCGGAGCGATGGCACATGAGGAGGTTTCTCATCCGCGGACCGACACACCTAGCGAGCAATGTCCGGCATTAACGAGGTCAAGTACGACGAGAACGTCTCGCACGTCGAGCGCGCCGAGGGCGCCTCTAGCGACTCTGTCAAGTTCGACGAGCCTCAGCGCAAGCTTGGTGTCGACATCGACGATGGCTTCGACCCCGCCGAGGTCAAGCGCGTCACTCGCAAGGTCGACTGGCGTCTCATTCCCATGCTTATTCTCATGTACGCCATCTCGCTCATTGACCGTACCAATCTGTCGGTGGCGCGTACCGCCAACGACAACAAGTTCGACGAAGAGCTCGGCACCGATGGCGACAACAACCGCTACTCGATCATTACCGTCCTGTTCTTCGTTCCCTACATCATCTTCGAGCTTCCCTCGCAGTTCGGTCTCCGTGCCTTCGGTGCTCGTCTCTGGCTCGGCTCCGCCGTCGTTCTCTGGGGCTTCGTGATGCTAGGTATGGGCTTCGCCCAGAACTGGCAGACCCTGGCCGCGCTTCGTGCGATCCTCGGTCTCTTCGAGTCGGCGCTTTTCCCCGGTGCGGCGTTCCTCATCTCCTGCTGGTACCCCCGCAAGGAGCTCGCCTTCCGCAACGTCGTCTTCTACATCACTTCGGCCCTCGGTTCGTCCTTCGCCAAGCTCATCGGCTTCGGCTTCTCCCACCTCGACGGCCGCGCCGGCCTTTCCGGCTGGCAGTGGATGTTCATCATGTACGGTATCATCACCGTCGCCATTGGTGGCCTCGCCTACGTTTTCCTTGTCGACATTCCTTCCAAGGGCACTTTCCTTACCGAACGCGAGCGTGAGATCGTCATGACTCGCATTGAGCGCGACCGCGCCGACTCGGTCCCCGACCCCCTTACCGGCGCCAAGCTCAAGACCTACTCGCTCGAGCTCAAGTCGTGGTTCTTCGCCGTCGCGTTCATGGGCACCACCATGAGCTCGTACGCCCTCGCCTACTTCATGCCCCGTATCCTCACCATCATGGGTTTCAACAACATCGAGTCGATGCTTCTCGGTACTCCGTGAGTTTCTTGTTTGGTTTCCCTCGGCCTATTGCTGACGACATCAGTACCTACTTCTGGGCCATCATCCCCGCCCTGATCTGTGGCCGTGTCGCTGACCGCATCCCCAACATGCGTGGCCTCATGATCATCTTCAACGCCATCTGCATCATCGTCGGCACCGCCATGTACAGCCAGCTTCCCGCTGCGCAGCGCGCCGCCCGCTTCGCCGGTCTCTTCATCGCCACCGGCGGCGGCAACGCCAACGTCCCCCTCATCCTTGCCTGGCAGGCTGTCTCCATCCGCGCCCAGTCCAAGCGTGCCTTCTGCTCGGCCCTTACCGTCGCCTTCGGCGGTGTCGGCGGCATCCTCGGCTCCACTCTCTTCTTCAACAAGGAGGCTAAGGCCGGATACCCCACAGGTGTCTTCACCATCATGGGCCTCAACTGCCTGACCATCTTCGGCACCCTTGCCATGATGTACTGGATGAGCTCCAAGAACAAGAAGGCCAAGCGCGGCGAGGGCCTCATCGAGGACGCCGAGGGCTTCTTCTACCAGATCTAAGTGGGTGTTAGTATCGGTTAATGGGCGCGGGTGGTTTGGGCAGGACTGGGGCTGTGGGATGTTGTACGCGCTCATGGGTAGTGTAAGGGATATAGTGGGGTTGTCAGAAGGTTAGTTTAGCAGTCGAAGTAGGACACTATGCAGTTAAGCGGATAGCACAACTAGGGAGGGCTGGCGACCTGGCTCGACTGAGTACGTGAATGCCAAGTCCTCACGAACGCCAGGATCGCCACGACCGCCGTGTGGCACTGCTGTCTTCGTTCTTCAGTCGCGATGCTCACTCAACTCCAGTACGTCTCACAAAAGCGGCCTCCGCGTCCGAATGCGGTCATGACCTCGTGCTGCACATACCAGGCGGCCAAAGGCCTTCGTCCCGACGATGATTCTTGTCCTATCGTCCTTCTCTGGTCCATTAAACTATAGTCTTGAACGAACTTTCCTATCCACGGCGAGCTGCAATGTTTTTGAAATGGCGGAATGAGCACTCCACAGAGCGGCTGACCGGCCCGACTCCGCTCCACCACATTCCACTCCCCTAGCGCCATATTCACGGACTGTACATCCCCCTTTCTGCATTACCCACAACATGGCCGCCCCAATAGGTCTGCAGCACGTCAACCTCTCCGTGCCAGCCGGCACGCTTGCACTAGCTCAAGAATTCTACGGAGCAGTCCTCGGCCTTGCCAATGACCCCGTCCCGCACCTCCAGAAAGACGTGCTGCTCTGGTACGTCCCCCTTGTTAACGCTTACCCAGGTTTCGCCTCGGTGGGGGCCCTCAGCAAATCCACGTGTCGATTGAGCGCAACCCCCTGCCCGCGATGCACCTAAGTAGCCGGCACCCGTGCTTTGCGCTGCCGGACGGGGCGGCGCTCGTCGAGCTGCAAGGCCGTATCTACGAGCACCACGTAGCGGGTGGAGCTGCTGCTGCCGTCGAGTGCGATCGGCCTGGTGCGGACAACTCGGGGTCTAAGGTGCGCAGGGCGCGGGCGTGCTGACCCCAGGGCGTAGAGTATCCCGACCGATTCTTCGCGCGGGACTATGCTGGGAATCGGCTCGAGTTTGCTGTACATTCCATGTAACTGGCCAACGGTGAATCCCTTGGGTGAAGCGGGCGGACGTGCATGTCCATATCCCGAGCCAACATTTCGGCGCTCGATGTTAGATGACGTGATAACCTGCGTTGTTAATCTTAGTCGAAGATGCTGCGACATGCGCCTTCGTTTTTTTCCGCGTCACTCTCCTCTCGCACGACGTTATATTGCCAGTCGGCTCGAACAATCCAAGTGTAAGTTTGATTGCGTCGGGGTCGGTGGCTTGGTCGTTCGGTTATTCCGGTGGGCAGTGAGATTGCCCACGTCACGTTTCCCACAAGCAATCATCGATGTGTGAGGCTCTGAGGCAGTTGGTGGCAGCACAGACTTCATTTTGCTCTCGCGACGACGTGCCATCATACGCACGAGAGCGTTGCGCAGAAGTGGGGCGCGTTCTCTGGTCACACAAGTGCCAGGGCCTCTTCCACTCATGGAAGTCGTGGACGAGAGCTATTTTCAGTCGCGCTGCGTTTCTATCCTGTGTGAAAGTTGGAGATGCTGCGACGTCGCGACGGCGTGTGATCAACAACCGCGACACTTTCGGTGAGCAATTGAGCAACGTGATAGAGTGGGAGCTGTGTCATGGGAGTGAAATGGTTGGCCGACGAGGATGAGATAACCGGGCGAGCCGGCTCGGATGAAGCCGACCCTTGTGGACCCCGCGGGGCCGGGCTGTTGCCACAGGCAACGCAACAGTAGGCGAAGCGGCCCAAGGCGGCGAACAGCGCTGTCCAAAGTTTGTGCGTGCCGCACTCTTGCCGTGCCCCATATGCGCAGCGGCATCTTTAATAAACCGGTTCGGTATCGGTGGCCGGTGGGCTTGCGACAACCCACTCAATATAAACTCGCACTTCGACTTCCCACACTCCATCTCACCACCCCACTCTACGGACCACCATGCAGGCACCCCCCGACTTTAAGCAGACCGAGGCAGGCCTCGCCAAGAAGGGCTTCGACCGTGTCTGGCGCGGCAACAAGGCCGGCACCATCCGCGCCACCACGTACCCCGACTTCTACTACAAGACGGACGAGGAGAGCCTGCTCAAGAAGCGCGAGTGGGTCAAGGAGCACCTCGCGCTGTGTTTCCGCCTCTGGGGCCGTGCAGGGTACAACGTTGGTGTGGCCGGGCACATCACTGTCCGGGATCCAATCCTCCGTGATGTGAGTGCTTGGGAACCCTGCTGCAGCAAGCCTCTTAAACTAATGCGTAGCACTATTGGATGAACCCCTTCGGCCTGCACTTCAGCTTGATCACGAAGAGCTCGTGAGTACCACTTCTGGCGGCTGGGAGAGGAGAATACTTAGCCAAATGACCTTCTTGCCACAAGCTTCTCTTTGCCACAACACGAATCCTTCTGCCGCCCGCCACACGCTAATGCCCCAGCCTCTGCCTCGTCACCCCCGAAGGCTACGTGCACCCTGAGATTGGCGCGCAGCTTCCCATCAACATGGCGGGCTTCCACATCCACAGCGCGATCCATCGCGGGCGCCCCGAGGTAGAGGCGGCCGGCCACTGCCACAGCTTCAACGGCAAGGCTTGGTCGGTCTTCGGCCGGGCCATCGACATTACCACGCAGGACAGCTGCCTTTTCTACGACAATCTGAGTGTATACAACTCGTTTGGCGGCATCGTACTCGCAGATGAGGAGGGCAACAATATTGCGCGCGCCCTCGGTCCCAAGAACAAGGCTGTCATCCTCCAGAACCACGGCCTGCTCACGCTCGGCGAGACGGTCGACGAGATGTGCTCGTACTTTATGGCGCTAGACAGCGCTTGCGGCCTCCAGCTGCAGATCGAGGCCGCGTCCGCGTCCGGCATCCAGAAGCAGATCATCGACGATGACAGCGCAAAGTTCACAGCCGCAGCCATCCAGAACGGTGAGGCCATGTACTTCTCCCTCCAGGCCGAGATCGACCTTCTGCGGAAGCTCCACCCCGACGCGCTTGAGTAGGCGCAAGGCGGAGCAGGGCTGGTGCCGTCAAGGATGAAACGCGAGGTGGGATTTGTCTGAAGTCGTTGTTGTCGTAGTCTCATGCATGGAGTGAGTTATGTCTAATAAGCTTTGTTGACGCTTTCTAATTGGCAAGCGAATCACGCTTATCTTAAGGATTGTAGCGCCGATCAGCGACAGCACATTTCGGACTTGCCATCCTCTGCACTCGCACCTCCCCTGCCTCTCACGCCGCACCCTCCGCCGTCCTTTCCCATTACAACAAAAAGAGCGACGCGCGGAGGCCCTCACACAGCCCATCGAAGGATGTGGCTCCGTACTGCCCCGCCGCTCTTGCTGCTCGATGGCGCTTCCGTGTGCTTCCTCTGGCGCTTCCTGCTCTCGCCCCGCCCTCAGTAGCTCGTCATCTGATCTCGTTGTCTTACCCAAATGCAAGGACGGCGGACGAGGAGGGCTCGGCTCTCCTTCCGAGGCACACGTCGCTCGAGCCTCCCTTGCCTCCTCCCGCGTCGTGTTGATGGCGAGAACGACGCTGCGCCCCAAGGCCTCGACCCAGCCCCTCGCTGTTCGCCTGCAGTGATCCCCGGTAACGGCGCCCAGTGACACGACATCCCAGCTTGTCCTCAGCTGACCTCTCACGCTCGCATCCTAATAACACCTACTCCAGTGCAACACTCTACCTCGTCTCTCCTCAACACTTTATCTACTCATACTCCCTGACTCATCAGAAACAATCCCAGCATCAACATCCGGCGCAGCAGTCATCGTGGTACCAATGGCACCGTGCTTCGACTACGCTCGTGGTGCCTGTCGGTGAGTGGCCGATGTACTCTTCGCTCTCGCAGTCGCTGACAACAGCTTCGGCGATAGGTGCCAGTACTCACATGGCAAGGGCCAGCCTGCCAAAGCTGATTCGTACCCATCAAAGCCAGAGCCGTGTCACTCGTACTTTGAGCGCGGTGTCTGCGAGTGAGCGCGTGGGGCAGTTTCTGGTGCTAACATAAACAGTTTGGGCACTCGGTGCACGCTGTCCCATGCCGCTAAGGACTCCCCGAAGGCCAAAACTATGGACACACGGAACATCTTACACCAGCGCGCTCGCAAAGACGTGTCCCAGGTCGATATTGCCAGCCTCATCATCGACGACGATTTTCCCTCCTTGCAGGCGGTGGCCTCCCTCCATTCTGATGCACTCATCTTCCCTCTGGAGGCGCGCGCCTCGCAGAATGCACTGCGGATGATCCGAGGCATGTCGTTCTCCGACAAAGCCGGCGGCAGCGTCAGTGAGGCGGAGGCGCTCATTTACGTGTTGGCACAGAGCAACGCGTTCAACAACGGCTGGGTAGGTAATTCCTATAAGCCTGCTGATCATAGACATTCGAGGATCGCCAGGCCCTGCTCACTGATGTGACCAAGGTGAACTGAATCTCCGCTGACTGCTAAAGCCAGATGCCGGGTAATGTTGCCGTACGCCTTGCCAAGGCGCTGGCCTTTGCCAACGTCGCCAACGACGCTGCGTTGGTCACTCACATGTCCTTTTCTCGCGTGTATATGCCGCTCATCGGGGTGAGTGAAATCAGACGCTGGCCTGACAACAGTATTTCACATCAGAGGCTGTGCTCAAGACTGCTGCCCTCTCTCGCACCAATGCATTGTTCGGCATCCTCGACAACAATCTAGAACAGGTTCTTCTGACTCTCAGGACGAACATCACCTCCTGTATTGCGGGCGGAAATTTCGGCGACAAAGCCCGTCGTATGTATGGCCAGCGTAACCCCAATGGGCTCGTCATGATCGTTTCTGGCATCCAGATCTTCAAGCCCGTGATCGTGATGCTCAACGAGTACGTCATTCGCTTCCGTCATGCGCCTACGCACCATCCCGACCTTGTCACTTTCGCGTCCGACCTCAAGACACTCTTCGAAGAGTGGGCGGACAAGGTTGTGCGGGGAACCTTTGGCGACCACCTGGCCAATCGTCCAGCTGCTTCTCTCAACGCGATCATCGCCTGCGTTCGCAAGGACCTCGATGAGCTCTCGCAGCGTGTCACGAGCACCCTCCCAATTGTACAAGAGCCCCAGTATCTCAAGCGCTCAGGTCTTTCAGTCGGACTGCTTAGCGCCATCGATCGCGAATACGATGGCCCCGGAGAGCTCTCGGAAGACGGCCCACGCCATTCTAACGGTAGTGACTGATCCCAACGATCGCTGACACCAGATTGTGTTGACATCCGTGATATCCGCATTCCCCCCACGGGCGATGAGGTAATGGCAGCGCGCCCCGTTTATATGCCCATCAACTTGCCTGGCGCGAGGCACCACCTCCCGGACGATTCTATGGCCAAGCTGTATGTTGTGATAGCCGGAAGTCCTGCTCATCAATCTCAGTCTGGATATCCAATTCCGGCTCCTTCGCGCCGACTCCCTGAGCGGACTACAGCAAGGTATCCAAGCGGTGTCTGAGGACCTTCAGTCGAAAGACTTCAACGAAACAGAGCGTGAGCCGCCATTCTGCAAACTGACAGCAGTTGCCCGGCGACTCCGCGAGCGCGGGGGATGGTATATCAACCACTCGATCGATAGGGACTCAGTGTAAGAGATTATTGAAACTCCTCGTTTAGCTTACCTGCAGACGCTTACCCATTCTCACCGACTTGAAGATCATGGACATTTCGCTTGACCGTCACCAAGGACTGGTTATTCAAATGACGGCCGACGCCCCTCCGGGGCGTGCGCGAGAGGGAACGGCTAAGTCTCGGGCTGAATTCTGGGGGACGGGCAAGCGAATGCCGCGGGGTGGCCTTGTTGCTGTCCTAACAAAAAATAAGGGCAACGCAGGTACACACGAATTGGAGGTGGCCATTGCCACACTGACGATGAGTGAGTCCCATTCCGAGAATGACAGGGAGGGGGAGGAGTGCCGCATCCGCGCCTCAATTGCACTTTTGCTTGCTCGTTCAGTACGGGATGTGAAGCACATCCTGGTTTCGAAAACATTCACATTTCGCTTGGAGATGGCCATGCTGACTTTAAGACCCTCAAGACTTCCGCACCGTCAAAGATTCTGCGACTAACCGTTTCAGCTTCGGCCTCCATTTCATTGATGACGTGATCGGCATGGAGGCGGTTCGCATCTTCCAGCAAGGAGAGCGCCGTCAATTCGAGACACGCTTCTTGCTGGAAAGTCCTGTTTTGTACGAATCAGTGCGGCCATTCCTCCAAACGCTTCAGCAACTGGACTCCCTCCGCGTCCCGCTCCAGAAGTATCTGGTGTTCGGTCACCCAGATGGCAAGAACATTAGCATGCCACAATACATGCTCGATAACCCTGAACGGGTCTGGGACCTATCGTGTCTTCTCAAGGACGCCAGTGGGGTTGTAACGTGCCAGTTCACCCCGCACAACGAGCTCTCGATCGCCAATGCGCGTGAAACTATGCGTGAGCATGGGAGGCTGGACCCCAGGTACGTTTTGCTGTTATTGTTTGTTTATGAACAGTCAAAGCGATGCTGTCATTGCGTCCCTGTGCCGTGAAATCGCTCTGATCCAAGGCCCACCAGGTACAGGCAAAGTAAGTGTCTTGCCGAGAAGCTATCTTTCTCGCCTCCTTCTCTAATCAGGAAATTCGCTTACCACAGACGTTCACCGGTGTGGAGCTCCTACGTGTGCTCTTCGCCAACAAGGCAGGGCCCGTTCTACTTCTTGCTTTCACGAACCACGCCCTGGACCACATTATTCGCGCGATTCACGACGCAGACGTCACCAAGGATATTGTCCGTCTGGGCTCCCGCAGCAAGGACGAGGTTGTCTCACACAATACAACCTGGATTGCATCAGCCGGGTGAAGGGACACACGAAGCTCAACGGTATCGTCAACCGTTGCTTTGGTGAGACCAAGAATATTGAGACAGTGAGCAAGCTGCTGTGTGCATCGCTAATCAACAGGAACTTGCCGATGCGCTGGAGAACTTGACGGCCACGCATACATCTTCAATCCGGCTGGCACGGTACCTGAGCATCCATTACCCCGCTCTCATGGAGTCGCTTAATCATCCTCCTCCGTGGGTTGACAATTGGCTGGCCTTGGAGACCTCCGGTAATTGGGGGCGTGTCAAGCCCGCCAAAGCCAAGCGCCAGACCATCTCCTCCAACCCGGAGTGGGAGTTCTGGAAAGAAGGCGCCGACATTATAAACCTCAAAGGCCTGCACGGTCAGCCGGCGGTGTGCGAACCTGCGCTAGAGCAAACAGCGGTTGTCAGCCGTGTCCACCTTCTTTCACCCCAGTCGACGGCAGAACTGAAACGTGATGCTGAGGACCGCGAGGCACTCGCCCTCTTGGGGCTCGAATTCCTGATGGATGGCGTCTCCGACAACAGCGAGGACGAACTCCAGGTCGGCCAGAGTGAAGCCTCTGACACCGAGACCGACTCTGAAAGCGAAACCGGCAGCGTCATCAAACGAAGCCGGCCTACGGCCCAGGAGGCTGCAAAGTATCGGCATTTGTTCCTTAAGTATTTCGACCTGAAAGAGCTTCCATCGATTCCCACAACGAAGCGGTCGATCGATGAACTGCTTCTGGCGCTCGACATTGGTGACAGCGCGTGGAACTTTTCACTGTTCGAACGCCGTCAACTCGTCCGTGAGCTTGGAAGTGAGGCAAAGGCGTCGTTGGATGAGAACTCGTGGCTGTCATTTCAGCAGCTCGCGCGCCGCCACAAGGAGGCACGGAACAAGTTGGCCGAGGCATCAGACAATGTTAGTTTTCGGACCTGACTGGCTGACACCAGGTTCGTGTGTCGCTATTAGAGAGGATCGAGCTAGTCGGAGCCACCACCAATGGTAAGCAGGAGGTCGACGTCGCTAACCGCAGGTGCCGCAAAGCTTGGTGCTGTCATGAAAGCAAGTGAATGTGTGACTTGTGCGCTGACGAACAGGGCTTCGCGCCCAAAGTTCTTGTTATCGAAGAGGCCGGGCAAGTTTTGGAAGCCCATGTACTTGCTGCCTTGTTTCCGAGCATTCAACATGTCATCGCGATCGGCGATCCCCTTCAGCTCCGCCCGAGTGTGAATGTCTATGGTGAGCATGATCAACGCACCTCTGAAACCAGGACTATCCATGGACAGCCCGCGCGGCCGGAGCCTGTTCCGCTTCGACATGAGCCTTATGGAGCGCTTGGAGACCGGTGGCCTGCCTATGAGCCAGTTACGTGTGCAGCGTCGCATGAACCCTGCCATCTCCTCGCTCTTGCGGTAAGTGCTGTAGGAGAACTGAGCCCGCTGATGGCAGGAACACTCTATATCCCAATCTGATTGATCACGACCTCGTGCTGAGCTACCCCCACGTGGCTGGCATGGCGAAGAGTTTGTTCTTCATGTGAAGGGATGCACAGAGCACAAGGCTGATGTTCCAGGCACCATACGCACGGAGAGAAGGCCGGCGGGGACAGCGGGAGTTCGAAAAGCAACCCTTTTGAGGTGTTTAACATGCTCAACCTTCAGCTAACACCAGGCGGCCATGGCTTGTGACCTCGCTCTTTACCTGCTCAAGCAGGGTTGCTACTCGCGGGAGGGCGACATTGTCATTCTCGTGAGAAAAGCGTCATGGACGCAGTGCTGACAGCAGTGCGCATATCTGGGTCAAGTGATCGAGGTCCGAGAGCGGCTGAAGGGCAAAGTCACGGTCATTATTGATGAGCGCGACCGGGAGAAACTCGTCAAGACCTTAGGTGACGATGGGGAGGACGGCTCCACTCTGGCACTCCCCACAGGGACGGTGGCCAAGCAAGTTGAGACTACTAAGCAAGTGCGCTCTCTGCACCCTTCACTCGCCTAACTGACAGATCCTCCTTCGCACCGTGGACAACTTCCAAGGCGAAGAGGCCGCTGTTGTTATCTTATCCCTCGTCCGCAATGGCGGCAGCGACGGGAGCACCGGCTCGAGCATGGCCTCGACTATCGGCTTCTTGCGTGTAAGTTCTTCTGTCATCATTTCTCACACGTCAGTCTCGCAATCGCACAAATGTTGCCCTTTCCCGTGCCAAGCACGGCATGTACATTTTCGGCAACGCCGACCAGCTTGCGTGCAGTAACGACATGTGGCGTACAATCATCAACGAGTTAGGAGATAGCGAAGCTATCGGGACTGGAATTCCTATCGCTTGCAAGCGCCACGGGGACGTGAAGTTCATTAATGAGCCCGGCGTGCTTGGTATGATGTCTCCGGATGGTGAGTGCGGCGCGACGCGGGGCGGCTGATTTCAGGCGGTTGCATGCGTCCTTGCGAATCAAAGCTGACAAATTGTGGGCACCGGTGCACTCGTAAGGTGAGAACGATACGGGTGGGGACTCTACTGATCTCAGTGCCACCCTGATGACCTGGAGCACAAGCATGCCCGCTGCGTGGCTCAATGTGCCCGCCTGCACGAAGCCTGCGGTCACCCATGTACTCGCCTCTGTGCTGAAAACTGCGGCAAGTGCCTCGTCTCCATCGAAGGCGTCACTCTGCCGTGTGGTCACAGTGCCAACATCTTCTGGTGAGCAACATTCGCCCGTTCTCTGACACACAGTTGGCAATCGCAGAATCTTCAGGCAATTCGTTGTGTAACTCCCGTGCCTAAACCGCTACCGTTTTGCGAGCACTCCGCGGTAGTCGAGTGCCATCACGATGACCTTTCAGACATCCAGTGCCACGCGCGGTGTGACATGCCCATGGCATGCTGCAGCAAGACGTGTGTCAGCCCCTGTCACTCCTGTCTAGGTCTTACAAAGACTGCCATCAACCAGACGAAGGGAGCCAGGCCGAGGATAGAACCCTTCACGGAAGAGAGCGCTCCTACGAACACAGTGATCGAGCGTACTCACCACGTCAAGCACAATTGCGGTGCACTTGTGCCCGGCTGTGGTCACCCTTGCGGGTACTTCTGTGGCTCAAAGCACACGCACTCCACGGCTACTTGCATCGCCCCATGTCATCGCGCGTGCGAGCACGGCGAATGCCCCTCGCCGTGCCACGAGGCTTGCTCGCCGTGTAGGTTCAACTGACTGTCCCGAAGCTGATGAAACAGGCGCAGAGCGCTGCACGTGGGCGTGCGAGCACAAAAAATGCGCGATGCCTTGTGGGATGGTTAGTTACATGACAGAGCAATGACTAACCTTGAGCCATGCGACCGCCTCCCGTGCGACGAGCCATGCAGAGAGACACTCAGCTGTGGCCACCGATGTTCATCTCGTACGCTCAGCTGCTGCTCTAGCTAACTCCAGTTTGTGGTGAACCCTGCTCCGGGCAAGTATGCACCGTTTGTGCTACCTCGGATCAGTTGGAGCAGGTTGTCGATTTGATTATGCAGGCCACTCTGCGGGACTCCCTCAAGGATGACCCCAATAGGCGTCTCATTACACTCGAGTGCGGCCACATTTTCACGTTGGAAACCCTCGATGGACACATGGACCTTCGTTCGTATTACACCACTGACAACGGAGGAACGTGGAGGGGGCCTTCGACCCCGAGTGGCTACCAGCCACGCAAAGCTTGTCCATCGTGTCGTGCCTCGATCTCCTCTCCCCGCTACCACCGAGTAACGAAGCGTGCCCTTCTTGACCTTCAAGAGCAGGTCGCCGTCGTGCGATTCAACGCTACGCTTCACGACTTGTCGGAAAACCTAGCTGCAATGAATGAGGAGAGCACCGCGGCCGACATTGCCAAGCTTCTCAACGGTGTCGTCAAGCCGTCGGCAGGCAAGTTTGATGCCAAGCGCATGGTGGCCGAGCTTGGCAAATTTACCGACCAGATGATCCACTGCGTGGAAGCAAGGGAATTCCACTGCGAGAAGACGAACATCTTCGGTATTGTGGGTGTGCTGGGCCATACATGGCGCAAAGCCGCTCAGCAGCATCTCTACCTGTATGCCAAGCTCGCAAAACTGGTAAATCAAAGCAACATGCCACACAACGTTGCCTACCAGAGCGCCGTTTCGTCCATCTACTTTCAGGAGCTTGAGTTTGCGCGCCAGTCGATTGTTACGAGGTCGCGGGACCCTCAGAAGACTGCGCTGCTCACGGCCCGCCGTCGAGTGGGGGCACCACCGCCCGGAGGGCAAGCTGTATACAGCGTGGAGGCTCTCGCTTTAACCATCGAGATCCGTCTCCAAATGTTCCGTGTCGCCTTACATTTTGTCGACTTCCTATGGAAAGGGGAGGGAGTTGGCCGCTTCCACGGCAAAAACGCGCATGAACAGGAACGCCAGGCCCTCGCCGCATGCCGTAAAGGCGCAATGTCTTTCCAGCGCCTGGCCACCGGCCTTCTTCTCTCCTGTACGCGGGACGCACAAGTCATGATCGGCCTAGCCACTCGCCGGGACCTTCCGCGTCTGATTCTCCAGGGTCACTTCCTCTGGCTCACCGTGGCCGCCGATCTCACTCAGTACAAGTCACGTTGGTTGCTCCGTGTGAAGTCTGGCGCTGGCGGAGCTGTTGGGCGGACAAACGTCGATGCCAAGGCCAAAATTGTGAACGAGTCGGCCGAAGCGCGCAAGCAGTGTACGAGTCGTTTCTTCAAAGCTCTCGGGGTTCTCTCCATCGAGCAGAAAGGGAACGAGGCCTTCATCTCACAGGCTGACAAGATGCACAAGCTGGCCGAGCAGGTCACGGACGACTGGAAGAAATTCGAAGACGAGATGTTGGAGGGAAGGTGGTACGAAGACGTCACACTTGAGGAGAAGCAGGCCGTTCTGCGCGCGGTTCTCGAACGCGAGTATGGTACGCTGAGCATTGGGGTTGCATGTTGGCTGACATCAGGGTCAGCTGGTCACCTGTATCAGTGCCCACGGGGTCACCCGTACATGATCGGAGATGTAAGCCAAGATATGGCCACAGCTAACATCAGTGTGGTGGAGCGATGGTGGAGGCGCGCTGCAACGAGTGTGGCGCTCTCATTGGCGGGGGGAGCCACCGACTTCGTAACGACAACCGAATCGACGAGGAACTCGAGGACATTGCCCGAAGTGTTGACCGTCGTGAGCCTGCCAATCCGTGGGTTGCACATTGGTGATCTACGGAAACGCGTGTGGAGTGCAGCGTCTGAGTGAGCGAGATCTGGGTGTGGTAGTGTGTGCTCAGTCGATTTCCATGTCTTCATAGTCCTTCTCATCCTTCTCATGTCAACTAGTGTGAAAATATGATGCGCCTTCTGCGATTGGTCGCCGTTAGCCCGAGCCAGCTACAAACGCTTCTTCGCGGGGTTCGCATCAGCTCTTGACTCCGCTCCGTCCAGCAGGCGGACCAGGATAGCCCCTGGTGCCGCAAAACCGATAGTCACAAGCGCTCCGTGTACGAGGTAGTCGGCAGGAGGCCCCAGCTGGGCAACATAGTACATGGGCGAGGCCCACGGGCTAAGGCTGAAGAGGAGGACCCCGCAGACCACGAGTACGCCATTGATGGACACACCGCGGCGCGCGAATAGCGATACAGCGAAAGCGAGGCATACGGCGCTGAAGGCACCCTCCATCATCCAGGCGCCAGTGAGGTACCGCCCCCACCATCCCCACCCATAGTGCTCTACCGAGTATGGGTACGCGGCAAGGTCGAGATTGTGGAACGGGAGGTCGCAAAGCCAGTGGGAAAAGGAGGCCGCGAAGGCAACGGCGCCCATCTTGGCCGCTGGAGCGGTGGACGTCGACCGGGCGAAGAGCAGCGCCCACAAAAGTGACAGCACAAACGCCATTGCGAGGCTGTGGTCCCAATCGATAAAAACCAGGTCGTAGTACAGGTAGGGGCCCGCGGCGAGGTTGGGCGCGACCTTGTTGATGCCCACCATGGTGAAGATGCCGTCGAGGAGGTCGAGAAAGCCGACGCCGTATATGATTGGCGTGGCGGGCACTGTGGGGAACAGCGCCTTGAGGAGAACGCCTGTTGCGAAATGACCCACGTACATGGCCAAAGTTAGTGAGAGGGTATGAGTGGGTTCGTTTGAACAGAATGTGTAGGATGCTTAAGTACAACTTGGAATTGTTGACTTGGCGTTTCGGCGGGACGAGGCCGACGGCCAGGCGGAACGACGTGCGGAACGGGTGACACGCTACGCTGTGACCGTCGGCCTCGATCGCCGTTGTCCGAGCATTCACGCTGATCTTGTCAGCCACTGAAATATCCAGAGCTTACATTTCAACATCTGTGCGCCTTGTCAGTTGTCACCAGCTGTATCTTAGTTGGGCACAATCTCTACATACTGGCCCTCCCGTCATATGTATGACGCAACGCAGATCTGAGGGGTGATCGGACGCTATCGTGCCTGGCAGTGAGGAATATCCGTGAACGTGGACATCCGAGTCAATTCGTCTCCTTTGTCGTCTCCAACTTATCGCTCACTGTGAACTCCGACTTCTAAATGCACCAGTTCCCCGTAGCATGCCTCGAAGACTCCCGGCCGGACATTTGCGTCGAGCAAGTAGTTGGGCGGCAGACGACTGCGGGGCGTAATCGCTGTCTCCTGACATCAGACCTCACAGTGCTCTACGCGTTTCCAGCGCTCCTGCACGAGACACGGCGGCACCACCCCAGTGACTAGCATGTGATCATTCCACGCAAGGAGCCATCATGCAGGGAGTTTACATGGCCGAGCTAAGACACTGACGCCGCCCCCACCCGCTCCAGATGTTTTCCGCGAATGGATAGCTACCGATTTAGGCACGATCGAGGTGCGTGGGACCTTACTCACCGACACCGAGGTGGTTGTCGTCCACAGCAAGTGCGATGAGAAGCTCAGGCTTTGTCATGTTGACCGCATCGGTTCAGATCGCCCGGCCTGCGGATGTGTCGCGAACCACCGAGGGCCTCATCGCTGCGGCAGGCACCCTCATCGCCAAAACAAAACTTCACGGCCGACTGCCGTTGGGATAATGTGCGCAAGAACCGGCAGCGGCGAGCCGCGAATGAGGCGTTTCCCAGGAGCTCGTTGAGCACATGCTGAGATCTACGGCTGTTGGACCACTATGTCGGCAAAATCGGCAGTTGGTGTATTGTACATTTGTTCGGAACCGGGGTGGGGGAGTCGAGGACAGTGTAACATTGGTTGTGATACTGGACTGTGTGAGGCTGCTGGATGCATTGTTCGTCGTGCCAGAGATAACGGCTCCCACACTCGTACAAGTGACGAGGCACGCACGTGACCATGACAGTGCCCGTCACGACCGTATACCATGATTGTTCCTCTGCGGCAGTGGACCGATTCCAGCGTTCCTCTGGTGACGGCAGTAACGGCGTCATTTGCCACTGACGTACCTCGATCGCCAAGGTGGTCCATGGCCGTAATCTCTCCACTTTGATTGCAAGCGCAGGGCCGACTAGTGACTGCGGGCGTTACTTTACCATCCCTATATTCTTATAGCCTCACCGGCCCAGCGGCCTTTGATCGACCTCGTAGGAATGTTTTAGCTTTGCTCATTCGTCAGGTGGGCCCATGTGCACATGTGCACGCCTCCACAAAATTCACTTTCCACTTTGCGGATGTACGTTGCGCCAAGCGTCGACGGGGCTGGGACGGCCAGACGTCTAGAACATCTGCAGAACACTGGTGGGAAGCGATTCATTGAGGCGGAGATTTACCAACAGGGCGTAGGGACGACTGGTATGCATGTGGAGTGAATTGCGCTAGTGCAGGGTGGAGAGTTGGAGCCGTGATCTCGGTGCGGAGTGATACAATTGAATCGAGTGAATTGGTGGCTGGGGGCGGAGGTGAAAGACATGGGGGATGCAGGGGAGATCAGTCGTGATTCGGTGAATAATGGAGCGAGGCACGTCATGTCGGTTGTTCGGTGAGACCAAAGTGTTCATCATGAACTATCTACAGTGTAGTACGGAATACTTTTTGAGGAGGGAACCTGCCCGTCGTGAGGACCAGCCATGGAGTCGTGGAGTACAAGTGGCCACCGGGGCCTAGGGGCGTGCGCCTCTCAGAGGCGAGGCATCGTAGGCGGAAAGCGGGCGCTTTACTTGGGAACGATAGCGTCCTGCTGAGCACCGTTGGAGAAGCCGAAGCCGCGGTTGTAGACGGGGTAGCCGAACTTCTGGTCGTTGTTGAAGTTGACAGTGTTGCCGCTGGCCATCCAGGTGATGATAGGCTTCTTGGGGCCCTTGACACACTTGGCCGCGTCCTTCGAGCACTCGACGGGGTTCTGGCCAGCACCGACCTTGTTGTTGTTGTTGATCGAGCCCGAGACCTTGCAGCGCATGAGGGTGTTGAAGATCTCGTTGCCGTAGCCCTCGCCCTGGGGCTGCCCGTTCGGGGCAGGGGGGTTGCGCGTGTTGAGCGCGGTGTGCAGCCAGTTCCAGGTGCACAGGCAGCCCTCAGGCGGGCACTCGGGCATGCCCGAGGGAATGTTGAAGGTGATAACACGCTCCCAGACGGCGCGGTACTGGACCGAAATGACGGTGAAGTCGGAGGCCTTCACGTTCTTAGCGTCCGAGGTGTAGGCAATGGCGAGGGCGGCGCCGCCGAGCTTGGAGATGTCAGGCTGCTTGTTGAACCAGTTGACCGTGTGGAGCGGGTACTCCTCGGTGCAGGCGTGGGCAGGGAGCGGAGTGGTGATGCCCGGGTGGCGGTACGAGGTGAAGGCACGGTTGCACGAGACCTCGAAGCGGGTGGCACCACCGGCCTTGAGGTCGAGGAACTGGCCGGGGGCAGGGGGGTAGTCGCGAAGACCGTTGCCGAGCCAGAAGCTCTCGTGGGGGTTGGCCGAAAGGCGGATGGGGGTCACCGGGCGGTTGTTGTTGTAGTTGGGCGCCGGGCCGTTGGTCTTGTAAGGGTAGTTGGACTGGTTGGGGTAGTCGAAGCCGAACATCGACGGGTGCCAAGGCGAGATGTGGGCGTCGGCGGCAATGGCGAGGACAGCCGCGGCGGCGAGAGTAGTAAAGGCGACCATTTTGATTGTTGAAGTTGGGAGTTGGAGGTGTAGGAGTGGCTCTAGAGACTGGTGCTCGAGGCTGAGGCTGAGGAGTGGAGTGGAGAGGAGTGGAGAGGAGCTGGTTGCTGATGTCTTTCGAGGTTGCCAGACCGCTGGTTTATATAGACAAAAGAGACGAGAGATCACTGATGAACTTGAAGTTCTTTGCGTTCATCTCATGAGTGCAACTCACGCATCGGAGCAGCGTCGGCGCTCGCAGATGCCCACTAACGCCCACGGATGAGAGGAGATGAGCGGTGATCAGGAGCGTCAAGACACAGGTGGTGCAATCCGCAACCACAAATCTCCGCATGACATGACTCGTACACCCTGTGTCCTGTGTCTGTGATGCAGCGCCACGGCACCATTGATAACGGCGAGGAACATGGCGTTAAAGGGACATTACGGCGGCCTCTATCCCCGAGAAACTCGTCGGCGCAGACGCACAGACTCTGGCTCTGGCTCTGGCTCTGGCTCTGGCTCTGTCAGCTGCCTGCGCTTCCAATGCTTCTCTGCGGGCGTAACCTTGAGGCTGGACGCTGGCGATGCCTGCTGTGGCGTCGATGGCGTGGGACCTTGGGCTCGCCTGAGGCACCGGGGGGGGTTGGCGGCTTGCCGCCCCGGCAAGCGCTGTCGGACGTCCCACAAACCCTATGGGCTCCAGGCTAGTGCTGCAAACTCTATGTGCGAGCGCGCAGCATGTCGGGGGGAGGAGCCGCGCGGACAATGTTGGATTAACGAGGGTTTGTTTATGGTTAGGGCCGTATACGTAACTTTGTTGACGCCTGAAGCGCCGCCGCTGCTTGCACCTGAAGGGGGGTGGTGGGGTCAGGGCAAGTTCTGACGGTGTGACAATTCAGGTTGTGGCGACTCGAGATGGACCCAGGAATGGAAACAGGTTGAGGAACGGAGCTTGAATGTCTCGCCGAGATTGCGCTCTGCTCTCGGGCCGATTGGCATCACAACACAAGCTTCAGTTAGCTCAAGCTGCTATACGTACTCCTATCCGGCACGGTGGTTTCGTACGTCTGGACTAATGCCCTGCATCTGCTCGTCGTACTCGCAATCTCCGCTTGCTCGCCGTCCGTACTCCGCTCGCAGTCTCGGTAGCTCAAGCTCGTCTGACGAGGTTGAGCTTGTGACGGCCGCACGAAGAGCGCTGGACCTCCGTCGGTCCTACCTTGGGCAGTAGAGAGTTTGTGGTTCACGTCCAAATTTTTCTGGGGTGAGGAACAGCAGGTCCGGTTCCAGTCCAGTTCCAGTTCCAAGAGATCCAGAGAACTGGACGGTGTACGGCAGCTGTCCGGTGTGCTGTACGCTAGACATATCGCCATCTTGGCACGTCCGGTGTGCCGGTTCGATCGTACATGCCGTACATGCCGCCCCCGCACAATGCATGCCTCGCCTGCCGCCACCAGTTCAGTGAAACCGCCACTGCGGGCGACATTCCCAGCCAGCCCCGCCACCGCCACGCCTACGGCATCGTGTGCTGGCAAGTGTGGTGCTTGGTGCTTTGTGCAGGGCGTCGCACGTTCCGTCTCTGAATTGCAGACTGCTCTGGCCCGCCCAGCCCTCTGGAGCCCAGCGCCACGAATTCATGCACATCACGTACAGCGACATGGATCATGAGGACTAGTGGCTCAGGAGCGCGGCAGCGAGCAGGGTGAGTAGGGCCGGCGGCAGTCCCTGCTCGACATGTTGCGTCTGTTGACATCAGGATGCGTCACGGGGGTCAGTCGGGCATCGGGGGGAGTGACGGTGCCGGCATTGTCTTGAACCCGACTGCCACCGTGCCACCAGGCGTTGAGCGAGGCTCTCGAGCGCCCTGAACCGGACAGGAGTTTGGGATGCGCGTGACGATAGAACTCTACTGTGGCAGCCAAGGCCGAGGTGGAAAACGGGGTCGGGGAGAGAGTGGGGGAGAGTGGGGAGGGAGCACATGACGGGACAGAGTTTGGCAGGGATTGTTCCGTGCCTGTCAAGGAAAGAGGATGTGTCGATGGGAGGTTGGGTAAAGTTGGGCGGGTGGATGGATATACACCGAGAAAACCCCGGCTATCGCTGCACGGTGTAGTGAACTGCACAAGCGAGGCGAAGCGATGGAGGCGCCGGTGTGATGAGTCAAGCGCTTGACGTGGTAGCTCTTGTGGGCATCCATGCTAGCTTGCCGAGGGAACAATACGCCGTTCGGCGGCCATCTGGTGGCGCCCAGGCGCGCCATCAGGCGGCCACTCGAGGATGACCGATACCGTCCGCGCACGATCCCTGTATTTTCCATGATCTAGTGCACTAGTCACGCTTGCCACGACTTACGTGACCCACTGCCCCCAGATCCGTGGCGCGAGGTACGAGGCCATGTCACTGGAACTGGGGGCACAGGCTCTTGTCCAGTAGCAGTTGTCCATTAGCAGGTTAGTAGCGACGAGGTGAGTACCCGGTGAGATTTGCCTGTACCGACTTGCCCGTCTGTGCGTCGTACTTGCCCCGCTGACGAATTTCTTGGCATGCAGAGTGATCTTGAGGATGCAGGTGTAGACGTAAACCTGTTCCTAGGCACTGGTACGCGCGAGGCTCAGGACGCGCTCTCTCGCGATCACGATCGTGGGTTGAGGTAGGCCAAGGATTGCGTGCGAGAGTTGTGCGGCCGAGTGGGAGGGGTGCGGGCGGGGCAAACGGGGCGGACGGCGATGTCGTCGCCTGATGTCGGCCCTTCGCGAGTGGTTGATCGACATGACGGACGGACAGACGCCGTTCAACGTTAGCGTTCCGCACTGCTGTCGAAGGCCATTCTGTCCTCACCGACGGGTACAGGTCGGTATCGATATCGGCGTATCAATTCTGCAGAAATCCGTCTCGGCACATCAGGCTAATGTCGTGACATCATGGTTTTGGAGGCCGAGGTATCCCCGCGCAGGTCGGAGGATCGGGATCGGGTCGGGGGTGCGGGGCATGACGTTCGACGGTGAGCAAGATGGTGAGAGCGGGGCAGGAGAGGATGAGCAGGAGAGGGAGCACGACAGTCGGGGTCGACGAAATAGGCACTCGATCAAACTTTGTCTCTTTCTCTGATCGACGTCATCAGTTTCAGAGATCATGGCGATAGAGCGTAGTTTCAGCCACTCGTGAGTCGCTTGCTGGCGATCAGTGGCAGCGAGGATGCCGAGTTATGTGGACCGGGGGCGAAGGGTGGCCGGGTGTAGCGAGACATCGGCGATCGATGGACGCTTGTACCGCCAAGACTGATGGCGTGTACGGCACGGAGCCAAGATTGCAATGAGGGGAGGGGTGAGTGATGTGGGGCTCGGCAAGTTGCTTGTGAGTGTACCCAGACAAGTAAGTTGTGGCTGAATTGACGAAACAAGTCTGCAGTGCCACACTTCGACATGTGCACACAAGCTTCTTCCGCACACCAGCTTCCGCTCCTCTGTGCTCACCCTTGTCTGAATCTAGATAGCCGGCCTCGCACGGCCTGCCAAAGCTTCCCACGCCTACGAGCAGATCACGCCTGCCTATCCCGCACGTGTACAACATGCATGTCCCCCAAACTGCTACATCACCCTTGCAATGTCATCGGCCAGCCTTTGGATGTATGGGTTCTGGCCAGCCCGGAAGAGTGTGATCTGTGCGAGAAGCTGCGCCAGCGTCTCGCGTCCCGTCATAGTCATCTCGGGGCCCGACACCGGCGCGTCAAGCACGCTCGCGTCCATCTCGGCCATCTCGACGATCGTGCGCCCAATGTGCCAAAGCTTCTCGCACCACATGAGCCCGTTATATTCGGCCCCACGAGGCGAGAGCCCCCGGTACATCGCCAGCGTCGTGTTGCCGAGCGCTATCGCGTACAGCGGCGAAAGCTCCCATGCGGGTTCTTCCCCCTGGTCCTTGAGCGGGTGCACAAAGCCGTGTGCGACGCTCAATTCGAACACGCGATTCTTGAGCCACTTTTGGTTCATGAGCAGGTCGGCGCGCTGGCCCTCCGTGAGTGCGCGGCTGGGGTCTGGAGGGTTGAGAGCCACGTCTTCTCCGTTGGGCCCGAAGACGTTGTCGAGATCGTGCTGAAGCTGCACGAGCGTCTCGCGCGTCAGCCCACACGAACCTGGCTCATGTCCTGGCACTGCGTTCCAGCAGTTGATAACGCGCGTGTCGATGAGAGAGAAGACGCGCAGGAGTAGCGAGAGTCCCCGCACCGCGCGCTCGTGAGGGGCTTGCGGGTCTGCCGCGCCGCGCTTCAGTGCCGCGTCCCGCCATTCTGTAGACGGCCTATGCCGCTTAAGCGAGTATGCCCTGAAGGTCAGCTACGCCGAGGCACAATTACATACCGCTCGCAGACTGTCAGCAATCCGATTAGGCGCGTGCGGCGCATCCGTTCTTCGTCGTCAATCTCATCTGGAGTGCCGATGGCGCGCTCCTGCTGCGTGACCATGCACTCGGCGACTGCTGTAAGCATGTAATCTTGCAGTCGCTACCTATAGCCTACTCACGCGTGAGAGACTCGCGCAGGCGGAACCACCCGGCGTCATAGTCGCCAAGGCCGAAGAAACAAAGGAAGAGGAGGAAGCTGGAAAGTACGGCGTCTATGCCCACAGCTGCGCCGCACCCCGCTGTCCCCTTGAGGCGACATGCGAGGTCGAGTAGCTCGCGTGCGCGGATCACGCGGGTGCCTTCAAACGCTTCGCGCGCTTCGACGGTGTGGAGCAGCACATTGGCCGCCATGGCAACCAGCAGAGCGGCAAAGTCAGGCGCCGAGTCGTGGTCGCCCCGGTGTGTCCGCGCGTCGATGTACGCGTACGGCAGCAACGTGACAATGTACACGTTGCGGGAGTAGAAAGTCGGGACGAGGTCTAGGACAGCTGAGAGGGTCGGCCCGTCGAGGAGTTTGTTACTGGTGGACGGAGGCGGGGCCGTGTCGGGAATTCCGTGGGCAGCGAGACTCAGCGGTGGTAGGAACCATGTGCCAATATCAAAGCCGAAGCCGTGCTCGCCGAAGAGATGGGTGAGCGCATCGTCTGCACTAGTGGTGAAGGCGCTTCCGTTGTCCAAGCCTGTCTGGTTGGGCGGAAGGGAGAGGGCCGACCACGCCGATGGTGCGGATATTGGCGCCGTGGAGGGCACTGACGGGATTGAGCTGGGCACTGACGGCGACGAGGAGCTAAGTCGACCTGCTTCTGACGCCTCGCGATCGCGCTTCCGCTTTCCCCTACTGTCAGAGACGTCCCAACCGACACGGGGCAAGGCGTAAATGACGACGGCATCGGCATCGGCGTCTAGTTCGGTGACATTCCCACCGAGACCACCAATCGTCATTCAGTCACACCGAGAGCTGAGCTGACCTGGGGCCTGCCCGATAGCAGACTCACGGTTCGGGCCCCTTGCGCATAAGTGGGCGGTTGTATGTACAAGCCCTGTCGCCACATCGTGCACATGGTTGTTGTCCATCACACTACTGCCATTAGGATCTGAATGGGGCGAGGGGAGGGAGGAGGTGTAACCCACCTTTGCACGACGACGATGGCACTGGTCGCAGGCGCGGGCCTTGCCTGGCAACCTTGCCGGTTTCTCGTCTGCTGGCATTGTCATGGATATGGGGGGGGGGAGGAGTAGAAGAGATGAATCGAGATGAATGAGGAGATGAGAAGGACACGTGAAGAGAGTTCTGGGGAGTGGTTGCGGGAAGAGGGAGGGAAGGAAGGCTGCGTTGAATGGGGGGATCACGCACGACTCCCGGAAAGGAATGCCGGTGTCTACTGGCATCCAATCACATACCGAGTTGCCGACCCTTGCTCGGATATCACCGATGCCGGTTGTCGCCTACAAAATCCGCAAGCTGCTTGCATGCATGCTGCTCGTCATGCATGGTCACCTGCTCATCGGCACCACATGCATCGCCGTGCAATCGACAGGTAAAGTTTAGTTGGATCTGGTTGACGTGGTGACAAAGTAGGTGGAGCTCACGGTGAGCACATGGTTGATGGTGAGTGGCGACGATGATGAACAGAGCGAGTCGGACCCCTCGTTCATTGCCAAGCCGCACTTCGCCACATCGCCAAGATACTTTCGCAACTCATCCTCACTCGTCTTTCACTCGACCTACGTATCCTCCTGCTCGTCTCCTCTCTCTTCCTTCTTGCGTGCTTGCACCGCTGTAACGGTGTCGGCACCGCCGTCGAAGAGCTGAGACCCGGCGAGAGGCGCGCAACACGATTCACTGACTCATGACCCCACTGATGCTCTCGATCCACTAGCGATCACTCTCCGTGACTGACGCCAGTACGCCAGAACGCCCCGTACGCCCGTCGGGGTGGTGGGCTCGTTCAGGCGCAACAGCCATGCATCGGACAGACGCACGCGCAGCGCCCGCGCCCGATGGGGTGGAAGTGACGAGGCTGGCCGTCGTGGCATACACACCAACGCTTCGCTACCGCCACACGCCACTTCGCTACTGGCACCACTTCTCGCCTCTGAGGTTCTGACAGAATCCACTCCCCACCTCTTCTCTCTCTTCTCGCTCTCTCTCTTCTTTTCTTCCTAAAACCTCAGTTGGTCTCGTCTCACCTCCTACGTCCCCACATCTACCATGCCTCCCCTCACAATGCCCGACGACCCGCCCCAGACCCTCGAGGACCGCGTGCCAGCCGAGGCCTTTATGCACAAGCACGGCATGCTCCCCGAACCCGGCATCGACGGCGCCTACGGGTGAGCATCCCCCAAGGCCCCTTCCAGTGTCCACTGGGCACTCCGCACTGTATCCCATTCACCCAGCTCGGGCATGTACGCCTGCAACTCGTGCCTTTCGGCCAAGGCGCGCTGCCTGGTCCCCCTGCTCACGCACATGGGCCACAAGCGGTTCCGCGCCCACGCCTGCCTGCGCTGCGGCGACCGCGGCTGCTCACTATCCGGCACAATCATGAGCGAAACAGCCGCCGGCGGGGTGAGCATCGAGAGTGGTGCAAGCGCCGAGAGCGGCGTGGGAATGGTCCAAATCAGCAGCGCGCGCGCCACGCGCACGACCACGCACACACTGACGCATACCGAGGGCGACAAGGGCGGACGCCTGCTGCGCATGCAGCGCAAAGTGCGCTCGCGCGGCGGCACGCCCGATACACGTGCCAAGTCGCCTGCGCAGTCGCGCACAGGCTCCCCGCCGCCGCTGCCGACGCCCCGCCACTCGTCGCCCAACCACACGGGCTCGAGCGAGGGTGCGGTGTCCGTGCTCATAAGCTCGTCGCCGACGACTACGAGTGCCCTAGGCTCTCTGGCCGGCACGTCCTCGCTCGCGGAGCGAGTTCTGGCTACCGCGTAGGTCATCCCCCCACCCCTTTTCACTCATCCATACTCACCCACTCAGCGTCGACGGCCTCGTGTCCCCCCTCCAGAAGCACGAGCTCAAGCACAAGCTGGAGGAGAAGAACGGTTCGGCCGCGCACGCCTCGGACGATCTCGGCCCGCCCCCCGCGCGCCCCACCCTCGCGGCCTTCACTAGCAACATACACATCGTGAAGCGGCGGCGCGTCTCGTCCCTCGCCCTAGGTCCGGGGCTGAGCATCGCCTCCGCCCTCCCCTCGACCGAGGCGTACCGCGCCGCGCTCGTATCCTCGCGCTCGGAGATGCACGCCGCCGAGAGCGCGCACGAAAGCGCCGTCGCGCTCCTCGCGGAGGCGCAGCACGCGTGCGCGCTCGCCGCCGACGCCGAGGCGCGCGTACACGCCTCCCTCGTGCGCATCGACGAGGAGCGGGAAGCTGCGCTCGCGCACGCGGCCGCGTGCGCTGCCGCGATGGAGGAGCTGCGCGCCGACGTCGCCGCCAAAACGCGCGCGAGGGAGGACGCGGCCGCGTCCGTCGCGGGCGCGCAGGAGCGGGTCGTCACGGTCGCGGCTGAGCTCGAAGCCTGCTTCGAGGCGTATGACCGCGTCGTGCGTGGGTTCATCCTGTAGTCTCACCGACATGCATAGGCGGCTATGTACGGGTTATCCTGTTTGGGTACTCTCACCCGGCTCACACGTCGCAGAACTCCAGGTGCTCCAAGTCTACTTCGACAAGCGCGAATACGCGCACGCCGTTCGTGCTCTTGAAGAACCCGACGAATGCCTCGCTGCTGATCGCGCGCGCGGCCTCCTTCTCTGCCTCGGCCTCGGCTTCGGCGTCAGACAGGTCGGGTGAGAATAACTTCACGGTCACTGGGACGTTGCGTGCCGGGCCAGGCGTGCCGGCCGGCATCTCCGCGTCGTAGGTGTGCCACAATGCTCGCTCCCTCAGAGCCGTGAGCGTGAGGTGCAAGTGCTGCTCCGCCTCTGCAGCCAAAGACGTGCCGAAAGACGCCATGTGCGCCGTATAGAGGAGCTCGCTTGGGTCGAGGTACGCGCCGATGCCGAGCGTGAGGGACGAGTACTGTGTGAGCGGAAGAGAAGAGGGGCTTACGAAAGGGATACTCCATGTCACCGGGGGGTGTGCTTCGCGCGTCCGTTTGATTACGGCGCGGAGGCTCGGCGGCGTGCTCGATGCGCGGGGACGTTTGTTTGTGCGCGCTTCCAACGGGCGGCCGGGCGAGGCGGGTGGGGGACGTAAGGGGGCGCGCATGGCTTCGTCTTCGGCATTGCCCTCATCGTTAGAGCGTACACATTCGTCCTCCTCGATTGAGGGGAGCGTGGGGGTGGAGGGCGTGGTGCGCCGCGTGCTGATTCCTGGCGAAATGGACCGGGAACGGGGGAGGTTGGGTAGGGTGTGGGGAGGCGGTGTGAGGGGAGGCAGCGCTGGGAATGGTAGTGTGCGGGGTGGGGGTGTGCGGGGTGAGCGCAGAGCCTCAGACGCGACGGGTTCCATCGTGGGAGACATAAGCAGCGCGACTAGTTGTGCCAGGGACGTGGGCGCAGAAGATTCAGGCGACGCCGGAGGCGAGGGCGACTGTCTCTCCCCTCGGTGTGCCACGCTGAGCGTTTCCTCCACAGGCATGGGAAACTGCGCGACCTCGTTGCCTGGAAGCCCCTCAAATTCATCAGCTGCTAGCCGTACGGCTGACGGAGGCGTCTGCACAATCTCGGCGCCTGGAGGCTGCGCGACATCCCCGTTGGCTGGAGTATGCGGCACTTGACCGGTCGGACGCTGCTCCCCCTCATCAGCTGCAAGGTTTGCTGCGGGGACGGGATCCTGCACCATCTCAGAAGCTGGAGACTGTGCCACCTCGCCGGCTGGAGGCACTTGTGGCACCTGCCCCGGCACCTCCATGGGCACCCTACCGAGCTCGCTCCCATTAGAGCGATTCGGTGATGGCGTACGAGGTCGCTGAGCTCGATTTTCACTCCAGGACGGGAAGGGTGAGCCCATCCGGGTCTGGAAGCCAAACAGGCGCAGGTCGACAAAGCTCATCGAGCGGATCTCTCGAGTGGGGGGATAGGTAGGAACTGCGACCATCAGCGTGAGGAGGCTTATGTGGGGTGGAGAAAGGGTCGAAATGCGCAACTCGGCCGGCTGCATTGCAACAACTACCGTCTCGACCCCACTGGTAATGATGAGGTGGAAGAGACAGTAGGTGTGCATGGTCCAGAAGATCTGAGTTAGCAGAGGCTTTAAGAGCAGCTCACATATGCGATTACGTCGTTCAACTCATCGCTGAGGATGTAGGGGGTGCTGCGGTAGCTGTGGTACCATGTGAACGGCCGCAAGCCGAGCGTGGCGACCAAACGCATCCAGCCAGTATCGGCCCCACGGTTGGTCCATATTAGCAGGCCGTTGCCACCGAGGATGTACAAGTGGGGGCCGTTCGCTTGGGCCCATCGCAGCCGGGGGTTGTCCGAGATATACTGCATCAGGAAGGCATTGGCGAGGGTGACAAGGTTGTCAATGACGAGGCATACTTGGTCGTACTCTGCCGCGTCCGCCCTCTCAAATGTCGGAGCCATGGAGGCCACGGCATTGTTCCACTTCTGCAGGAAGTCTTCTTGGGCCCCGTCGACGCCCAAGAAGAGGTCAAGGGTGTGGCTAAGAAGTGCGCTGCGAAAGCGCCCAAGCATGCGCCGGTCTACCTGCACGCGCGTACACCTGTTGCGCAGGATAATGTCGAAGGCGTAGCGCGCGGGAGCAGTCGCGGTGAACAGAGGCGGGAGGGGGTGGAAAACCGCGTCGTTAAAGCCGAAGACAACAGATGGGAAGGCGAAGAGGATGTCGGTGGGACGGTCTATGAATCTTATTCCGGAGGGGGCTGACGAAGTTGACGACGAGGATGATGGCGGTGAGGGGGAAGGGGGCGGAGTCGGAGTCAGGGTCACAATTGAAGACAGAGACCGGGACGGGGTTGGCGTCAGTGCCAGAAGAGGAGATGGAGACCGAGACAGGTCCTTCGTCAGTGAAGGGGACTGGGACTGGCATGAAGACGGTGATGGGGACCGCGATGGGGCTCCAGCTGCGGCCGTTGACAGTGACGCCGACACGGGGTGCGAGGCCGATGGCATTGGCCGTGGCAAAGCCCATGGTAACGCCGATGACAACGGGACAGGTGAGGGTTGGGACGATGACCCCTCTGAGGATGCCACTGCCGATAACGGATTCCGTGTCAATTGTTCTTCCGGCGACGTCTCGGACGACGAAGTTGTAGTCGAGGCAGGCGGCGGTCGTAGCAGTCGTTGTGAACGTGGTGGCGGCATCGTTGGGTGGAGGGAGAATGTAACGGACGCCGGGCTTTAAGGCAGTGAGCGTGATGTAGGACAGTATCCACGACATGATGAGCTAGGGGAGAGTGATGGCGGTGCGATGTGAGAAGCCGCTGACCACATTATTGACAGCGGACATGCGAGATTATCGCTCCGCGTGCCTGGGTGCGATAACCACGTGTTCGTGATACCAAGCCCGAGACAGTGATCAGCGATCTGTCACTGCAACCCAGTCTTGACCCAGCGACCACAGGCTCTGGAGATCTACTGTAAAACGGAGGGTATCTTTAGTATTGATGATCCTGTGGCATGCACGGCCGAGAGGGGTGGCGGGCTTGGGCGCCGCTGGGGGTCCCCAGAGTGGGGGAATCGGATCTGATGGGCATGCGTGACTACCCCCTAGTCCTCGCTGTCACCCAAGGTTCGACATGCCAGATGGAGACACACAGGACGATGAGCGGAGGTTCAAGTGGGGTAGCGGACTCTGCCGTTACATTGGAATGGTGGAAGGCGCGAGAACTCCAAACCATCACACGCCCTAGCGGCGTGGACGGCCCTGTATCGCTGACGTTAGCGCCATAGCTGCGCACACGCCCCTCCATCACTGACAGACGCCACTGTTTGCTTGGTCCGTTTGGCAGACGGGCCTTCGAGTGCGTGTCAAAAACATCAACACATGTCCGTAAAGGTAGGTGAGGTGCTACGAGAGTTGTTACCCTTACGGGCAGTGACGAAATGCTGAACAACCGATGGAGAGGCAAGAGATTATAAGTTTGTGCAGCTTTGGCCCGGGTATACCTATCATCATCCGATGGAGTAGCAGAATTGTCCTGCTCATCCCCTGTGGTCGCGGCGCAGAGCTGGATGTCAGCCTGCCACGGACTCGTCGCTTTTCGCTTTTCACCTTGGCGCAGGGCGGCTTGAATCGACGATCTGCGAGCTGCAGATTTGGCCTCTTGCCGCTCCTGTATGTGGCATTCCTCGCCGGGGAATTCTAATCGCGCCACGCAATCAACGCGGGGTCACCGATGATGGGCGCGCCTGCCCACCGAGGGTGGCGGAGCCGCGGCACCCGTTGCATCTGCTGATGGCAGATCAAACCCCAATGTGCACGTGGTCCACCGGCGCCAACGCCAAGTTAGGCAGTGGGGGATGGCGATGTACGCGAGCGTCGCGCCAGTGGTGTGGGAATCTAAGCACCCCGCAGTTCATATCGCGATATGGTATGTCACTGGTGACAAGGGAGCAATCTTTTTACACAGATTGCACGTTGCAGGCCAAGTAGTCGAAGCCGACCGCCAACCGCAGCTGAGGCGCCTGGTTCATCCTCAAGATCCAGGATAAAGCTGTTGGCTCGGTCAGAGCGCATTTGATAAAACCTCGCATCAGGGGATAGAAGTAATGAGGCACACCCAATGGATTATCCGACGCGATGCCCACCAAGACTCTGCTGGCCGACACTGCTGGCCGACACTGCTGACACCGCTCACTGCCCTCACATCCATCCGCAGCACAACAGAGGGCTCCCTTATCCACAGGTCTGCAGATCCCGATACAGGCTGCCCACCTCTGGAGCGAGTGATCGGGCGGTCTGGCCATCGCAGTCCTGCACACGTGCTCGGCGACCTACGTATCGCCAGTCACACCTCTGGTCCGCGGTTTCCTTGGCGTCGCCAGCCGTACGAGCTAAGCAGTTGGTCGTGCGAGCGGCGCACGAAGATACCGACATGATTGCTTCGACAAGCACATCGCACATTCCTCGCCCGGCACGGGCCCCACGCATCGAATAGTGGCCACACACCCGCAACGTCTGGGGCCCGGCGACACTTCTTGGAGCGTAACGGCCCTCCCTTTCCTCCGAGGGGATGTTGGAGGGCGAGGGCGAGGGGGGCGACAGCTCGCGACAGTTGGCCTCCTGCTCCCGGGCGCGCTGGAAGATGCCAGTAGTGCCTCTCTCGTTGGCTGCTGCCCAGCCTTTGTTCGTGCGGAGGGGCCGAGCCGCCGTGGCGCCGGGCATAGGGGGGCGCGCGGAAGTCGCTAATTTCGCCAAAACCGCCTCACGCGCCACGCAGGACTATCTCGCCAACCACGCCAGCTCCATCGCTTACATGGCATGCTGCACGCATGCCAACCACTCTGCGCGTCTCTGGTAATCTCAGGACCGGGACATGGCCCGTGGGGGAGGAGACGACGGATAGGCACAAGCGATGCGATGTGGGGGCGGGGCCGATATCGCATTTCATTCATAATGGTCGCCTCGACGCCGTGTCAAGCCCATCCCCGCAACTCGACGCCGTGTCAACGTCCACCCCCACACTGCGGCTCACTACTTGACCTCTGAACCATCCACATTCACTCGCCCGCCCAGCCCGTCATGTCTAAAGACGTCGAGGCGCAAGCCGTCTACTACGACGAGAAGACCCCCACTTCGGTCGATGTCGAGGAAGCGAAGGACGCCGATGGAGGCATGGTCGAGCCCGGCCTGCACCGGGGCCTCAAGGACCGTCACATCCAGATGATTGCCCTCGGCGTGCGCTCGCGTCTGCAGAACTTGAGCTGACAGCAGGGTGTCATCGGCACGGCTCTCTTCCTTGGCACTGCACCAGCCCTCGCGGACGGTGGACCTGTAAGTGTTTAGTCCCCCCTTGCTATGCGGAGCTCGAAATTCGAGCCTCGAACGGCGTCCAAGCCTCTTTCCACGACCCCCGTTCTGGCAGGTCCCACATACGGGCGCGAGACGCTCAGCGTTGCGTCAGCCGACTCAGATGTGATGGGCTCGGACGAAATGCCCAAGATCCGTGCCTGAACATCACGAGTTCCGGCGATCCGCGATCCGACCATCCGGCTTGAATACACGACAGTGTCGTGGCGAGATAAGCGAGAGAGGCGACGCTGACTTGCTTCTAGGCCGGCATGTTCCTTGGTTTTGCGAGTGAGTACCTGCTTGGCAGATGGCAGAAGCGGTGGGGGTGCATCGTCTGAGAGCCTGCAGCCTCGAGGCATGAGAGCTTTCATTGTTGGCGACCGTGAGGTCTCACAGCGGGAAAGCGCGTCGCGCGCCGCCTTGTTGTGCCCCCTCGCCATCTCCACCCGCAATGCACCCTCGCGCGCGGACATGGCCGCTGACGCACAGTGATGGGCACGGTCGTGTACTCGATGATGGCGTGCCTGGGTGAGATGATTGTCCACACTCCCATTGCTGGTGGTCACATTGCGTGAGTCACCTGTTCCGAGTCACCCGCCTGTGTAGGACGTCGCTCACCGCAGTCTGGCGCAGCGATATGTCGGCGAGTCCATGTCCTTCGGTAAGTTCTTCCTTAATGGGCTTGGTGGAGTAGCCTTAGGAAATCACTCTGCAGTGGCGTAGTATGCGGCTGACACACAGCCATGGGCTGGTTCTACTGGTACCTCTGGACCATCCTCTACCCGGCCGAGCTCGCAGCCTGTGCGGTACTCATCGGCTACTGGCTCCCCGACGTTAACGTCGCGGTCTGGATCACCGTCTGCCTGGTTGTCTGCACTTTCCTCAACTCGTGGAGCGTTAAGGTGTACGGCGAGAGCGAGTTCTGGTTCGCCCTCACCAAGATCATCCTCATCATCGGTCTGATCTTCGCCTCCGTCATTGTGTCCGCCGGTGGCAACCCGAAGGGCGAGGTCATCGGCTTCAAGTTCTGGGGCGGTGAGAACGGCCCTTTCCGTCAGTACCTCGGCATCCAGGGAAGCCTGGGCCAGTTCCTTGGTTTCTGGGCCACCCTCACTCGCGCTGCCTTCGGCTACTGCGGTCTCGAGAACGTCTCGATCGCCGCCGGTGAGGCCGAGGACCCAAAGAACAACATGGCCAAGGCCATCAAGCGTGTCTGGATCCGTATCGTCATCTTCTTCGTCTGCACCTCTTTCGTCATCACCCTCATCATGCCCTCGAGCGACCCCAACCTCCGCCTCGGCACCGGTACCGCCGCCTCGTCGCCCTTCGTCCTCGCCTTCACTCGCGTCGGCATTTCTGCCCTCCCGTCGGTCATCAACGCTGGTGTCCTTTGCTCGGCCACTTCGGCGGCTAGCGCGCACATGTATCTCTCGACCCGTGCTCTCTGGGCACTCTCGCACAACGGCCGCGCTCCCGCCATCTTCAAGCGCACCAACCGCTGGGGCACTCCTTACCTGTGTGTTATTGCCACCTTCTGCTTCGGCCTCCTTGCCTACACCGCCGCAGGCAACAAGACGGCGTGGCAGATCTTCGACTACTTCTCCTCGATGATCGCCGTCGTCGGCCTGATCTCTTGGTGCGGCATCGGCTTCATCTACATTCGCTTCCACAAGGCCTGCAAGGTGCAGGGCTTTGACCGCGCGCGTCTTACCAAGTACCGGACGCCCGACTTCCTGCAGCCTTTCCTTGGCTACTACACGCTCATTTTCTCCGGTCTCGTCGTCATCTTCAACTCGTGGCGCGTCTTCATGAAGGGGCGTTGGGATGTCGCCGTCTTCATCGTCGGCTACCTTCCGATTCCGCTCTTCTTCATCGCCTACTTCGGCCACAAGGCCTGGAAGAAGGACAAGATGGTCCCCCTCGAGCTTATCGACCTCGAGACCAACTCGCACGAAGAGGACTTCGGCGAGCCCAAGCCTCTCCCGACGACCCTCTGGGGCCGCTTCGTCCACGCCATCATCTAAGGCAAGGGAGGGCTCTGTTCATATCAAGTATCGTATTAGCGGGGTCAGCAAGGAGTGACCGCCGCCGTAAAGTCTGTGTGTCTCGGGTAGGGTTAGTCAGTAGCACGTCGCGTGTGAAGTACCGGGTAGGTAGTGGGGGTGTAAAGAGAGAGGGGGAAATAGTTCAAAGTCGTTGTCCAGTGCTCTCCGCACACGCACATGCATCTCACGTTCATGAAAATGAAGGGGTCGGTTGTATCGTCCACGAGATGCTTGCCACTCAACAAAACTTCTGGTAAATTACGGCACCCATTTCTCGGCTTGATCATTCACTCCCCCATAGCTAATCAGTTTCTCCATGGACAAGCCTATCATTATACGAACAACATTTACTAGCGCGGCACCCACCGTCATTTGTCTAGGGGAGAGCTGCGCAGAGGGCCAACACGCTTTCCTTTGCGGCCCGATCTGGCACTCGAAATGGTCACAGAGCCAACGACAAGCTCCGAACCCTGCCCAAAGATGCGATTTTCCTCCGCACTAATGTCGTCCACAAATTCGAGAGGCGATCTTGTGGTTGGATGGACGTAGTAGCCGTTCGCGGGGTTGAGACGGACCATACCCTTGCCTAGAGACGGGACGAATCCATCCATGAGGGTGAACGTGCCGAAGCCGCACACGAGCTGACGCATCTCCCCCACATCCTCCTCGATACCGCCGCGGTCGATGACGACCTCGGCCCGGTCGGAAGGGTAGTACCCAACGCGGTCGATTCTGTACACCTGGCGTCCGCCCACAAGCCAGCTCACCGTCTTGGCGGAGCGATCATACGAAACCTTAAGATCGTGCATGTCGCCAGGGCTGCGCGATGCGACGCGTTTGAGGGCGGTAAAGCTGGCATAGTTGTGGCTTTCGGTGCGGCCGAACGGCAGCCGCTCGTAGAGCACATACACGCCGTCGTTTGTGAGGGCGAAGTCGAAGATCATGAAAGTCTCAAAGTCGCCATTGACCCCGCCAACAAAGCCGAGGGAGGGATCTGTCGCACTCGCCCCGAACGGGTTGGACTCGGTCCCGAACAGGCGTCCACCAACCTGTGCTTCGCACGAGGTCACATAGCCTGCGGCCGTGTCGAAGCCAGGGTATCCAGCGCTCGAGGTCGCGTTGGCAAAGACGAGCCACTTGACGTGGTCGATGTCGCCGGGGAGGCCGCCAGCGGGCGGCGCCGTCAGCGTAAACGCTGGCTCACCGCCGGGACCAGTGCCAGGAGAAGTCACTGTGAGCCGTCCACCCTTGGGGTTTGAGGTGCTCGCGACGCCGTCGCTGCCAATATAGGGGCCAAAGGAAAAGTAGTTCCACTTAGCGTTGGGAGAGTTCACGCTAAAGCCCTTCTTGAAGTCATCGATCACGGTGGTGTAGACTAGCGGATCTTTGGCGCGTCTCTCGTAGGCAACAGCGCTGGGTGCGAGCCAAATAAGGAGCGCAGCGAGAGCGTCGTACTTCATGGTGAGTGAGGATGAGGGAGGTCTCGTGAAAAGTGCAGATAAATAGATAGGATCTGCCCACGTCTCAAACAAGTCAGCACATCTCGATCATCAGGATCGTCCTGATCAGTCAATTGCCCCGCAATCGATGTTGTAACCAATGATGGGCTGCAGATCGAGTCAAAGTGGGCGTTTTCTCGGGTTGAGCCCAGATCGAGCGCGAGTAAGCCCCGACTAAGAACGCGTCAGGTTTGTGGCCTACTGAACCAATGTAAGTGTGCGCTGCTTCAGCGCCCAATGTATTGAATTCCCTGACACTACTTGCCTGGTTGTCGTCACATCTGGTTGAAGTCGTTATGGCATGGTGCAGTCAGACGTCCCGTGTTAGGCTATTCATGGGCAAACGGAATGGATTCATCTGGGCCTTTATGCCGGCAAGTTGCGCCTATCAGTGCGGATACGTGGCCCGATGTACATCGCGGCTGTGTGGGGCCAATATGGCGTGTGGCACAACGGCGGAAAATGATGGCACGGGTTTCGGGGGGCGCGGTCACATTCCCGGGCAACCAGGAGTCAGGATGCAACCTCCCTGGCTGCCACAGGAGCTCGGCTGGCTGCCACTGTGTTCCGCTCGGCCGAACACCTGGCTGTCTTCCACTTCCGGCTCGAAGACACACGCCAACAAGGCACGGTTGTCGTCCCGTGCCGGCAATGGCCCGGTTGTTGAAACACGTTGAAGTGGGTGTGCAGGGTTTGGATCTGATGATCGGGAGTACGCATAAACCACTTGCGATGTACGCTTCTTGCCCACCTTGTTTTTGCCATGTATCACCGCAAACGAGCTCAACCGACCCAGCGACCGGCGACCCCAGGCGCGGTGGACGCCTCAGCCACCGCACAGATCGTGGATTAAGCTTTCGCAGCGGAGAGGCTGAAGCCACCACCTTAGCGTGGAACACTGCATGCCGCACGAGGAATGTACTCGGCTTGGTCTGACAGCCCGTGCCGACCATTGATGGGGATATTGGCTGGGCGTTGCAGCGGCTTATTCGCGCAGTACGGGTGAAGCAGTACGGGTGAAGCGAACGAAGAACAAGCTCAAGGCAGGCCGACGTGAAAAGGCACACCAGCTCACAGATCGCAGAGGGTCCAGCAGATGCATCGGTAGGTGGAGGAGGAGCTCCTCTCACTCAGCCCCTCGAGCGCATAATGCGCTCAGACCAGATAACAAGAGAGGAATATGGGTAGATGACTATGGGAATATGGTTAAAATGATGATGGAGTGAACCCTTCTAGTGATGGACTTAGGCAAAGAGGAGGCGATACAGGCGCTTGTACCAAGGCTTCGCGGCGCGCTCGGCGCGGAACTGGCGCATCTCCTCGACAGTGAGCCAGCTCTTGCGGCCAGTGTCGAGGTCAATGTCGCAGGCGCGCTTGGGGCGGGTGCGGATGCACGCCCAGCTCACGCCGTACATGAAGAGGATGACGGGGAGCGACAGCCAAATCATGAAGAAGCCCTCGGCGGCCTCCTTGCCCTTTGGCGCTTCGCCGATGGGCCAGACGGCTGAGTAGAACTGGGCGATGAGGATGAGGACGATGAGGACAGCCGAGAGGTAAGAGCCCCAGACGCCACCGAACGCCTGGTAAGGGAGCTCCTCAACGGAGTGGCCCTGGACGGCCCACGCGCGGCGGAAACGAATGTGGGTAAGGCAAATGGTGAGCCAGGTGAAGAGGGTCGAGAGACCCGAAAGAGCCAGGAGCCAGGTGAAGACGTCCGAGCCGGCGTTGGGGATGAGGTTGAGGTACGCAATCGGGCCGAATGCGACCAGGAGAGCGACGGCCCAGAGAGGACGGCCCGACTTGTCGACGTAAGTCAGGAACTTGGGGCCGTAGCCCATCTCAGAGAGGGCGACGATGGGGCGAGTGCCACCGTAGATGCACGACATGCCCATGGCGAGGACGGCAAGAACGATGGTGATGTTGACGAACGAGTCGAGACCGGCGATGTTGGCACGGCGCATGACAATGACGAAGGGAGAGCCGTTGGCGCCCTCGCCCTCAGAAAGAAGAGGCTCGTCGTAAGGGATGGCGAGACCGATGAGAAGAATGAGAGTGAGGTAGACGATGATGATACGCCAGAAGATGTTCTTGATGGCGGGGGGCATGGTCTTGCGGGGGTTGGGAGTCTCAGTGGCAGCAAACGAAACGATCTCGGAACTGATTGTCAGCGACGATGGAGCACAGACATGCTCAAGACTTACCCAGCGTACGAGAAGGCGGCAGTGATGAACACGCTGCACACGCCCTTGAAGCCGTTGGCAAACGCTCCTGGCTCGTACCAGTACCGGGCGCCGATGTACTCGTCGTAGACACTTCCGGCAGGGCCGCCACCGCACACGCAGACGACGGCGATGAAGAGGAACATGACTACGACGAACAGCTTGAGGGCAGATACCCAGAACTCGGTCTCGGCATATCCGAGCGTACCGAACAGGGCGCCGATGATGATGATGATGTAGAAGATGGTGTACCAGGCAGCCAAGGGAATGTTGGCTGCGTTCTCCCAGTACATCACAGTCGAGGTGGCGACGGTGATTTCAAGAGGGAGAGTGACGGCCCACTGGAAAGCGTAGTTCCAGCCGAGGGCACAGCCGACGGCGGGGTCCAGCATACGGCTTGCGAGAGTGAAGAAGCCGCCAGAGACCGGGTAGACGATGGCAAGCTCACCGAGAGCCTGAGCCAGCTGCATGTCAGACGGTTCGTTCAAGGGCTGACTCACGAAAAAGACCATGATACCCATGATGACCCAAGCGAGGAGGATACCGGCGGGGCCACCGACGGAGAGAGCGTAACCGGAGCCGACGAAGAGACCAGTACCGATAGCGCCTTGGGTCAGTAAGGTTAATTACGGGCACGGCGGGCAGCGGAAGAACAGGATCGAGGTACGTCGGATGGATTGACCCCTCTACACATTGCAGTGAGATGGGATGAGGTGATGAGGTGAGACAACCGACCAAGGCCTTGGTGGGGTGGCGTGCACACATCCCCGTTGGATCTCGGAATCTTCGGAGGCAGACTTACCGCCGACAGCAATCATCTGGAGGTGGCGGGGGCGCATCTTCTGCTGCAGCATCGGGTTGTCGTATGCGAGGAGCTCGGGCGGGATGTCACCATGTGCGATAAGGCCACTGCACTGTCAGCTCGGTTCCATCTGCAGTCCTGCCCGCCGCCAGCAAGGAGCGGCGATAACAGCTGCCAACGCACCGAGTACTTCCGGGCGCGCGCTTGAACGACTCAAGGTTGAGGCCGGCGCGCGTCGCCCAAGACTCCTTGGAGGGGTCATAGTAAGTCTCCTCGTGACCAGAGGTGATGCCGTCAAAGACGTTCACATGGCCGTGCGAGGACGACTTCTCGAACTTGTCCGAGCTCATGAAGGCGAACGGAGCGACCAGCGGGGAGACGGAGGAGGGAGGGGAGGGGGGAGTGCTGGGACGCTGGTCACGGCGGGGTGGGTATGTCGACGATATGGTTAGAAAGCGGTCGGGGACCGAGGCCGGGGTACAGAACAAGAGACGAGAGAGGGGGATTAGGTCTCTGGTCTCGAAGAGAGCGAGTTTTGAATGAGTGAGGGTGAGGGGGAGGTGGAGAAGGAAGTGGAGAAGGAGGTGGGGGAGTGACTGGGGACTCTGATGAGCCTTAGTCTCGAAGTGGCAAGCGAGGGTGGAGAGATAGATGGAGAGGATGATGAAGGGGAGGAGGCGTCCGGTCTGTGCTTTGAGACTGTAGAGACGAGAGAGCACGTCGCAGGGCCGCGCTGCCTCGTGTGCGCACGGGGCAGAAAACTCGCAATCTTGTCAGACTGACGTCGCACACCGCCAGAGGGCATCTCCGCGCCATGTCCAACAAAAATGTGATTGGGAATGGGCCTTGTAGGCGTGCTTGGGGGCCAATCTCGTCGCATTGTCGCTGCCGGCAGGATCTTGTGAGCGGTTTGAGGTGTGGGGCCGAGGGGGTAGAGGGGGCAAGAGGGGGTGTACGAGGGTCAGCGAGGGTCTACGACGCAGCCAGCATCTCCTACATGCCCCTCTGCCCTACATTCTGCCTACAACTTTTCCTGGCCACCTCGGAGCTGCCAAGCTCGCGCCTTGCGCCACAGCTCGTGTGATAAGTCACTCCTAGGTCCCAAAAGAGCGGTGGACTGGAGGCACGGGGGGAGGTCTGCCAAAATCCCTGGCAGGACCGTATACCCCGCCAAGCTTCTACCAGGCCCCAATCTGGCCCCACCCTGGCCGCGAAAAAAATACATAATTAGTTGCTCCGAGCTCCGACGTCCGATTCTACTGCTGCGGATGGTCAACTCTGCGAGAACCGCAGTCTGACTGGTCTGTTAAATGCGTCAGAGCCTTTCCGGCGCCGAAGAGGGTAGGCGTCACGAAGTCGAGTGCAGGAGTCGATGCCAACACTCCCTGCACTAGGCGGTCTGTGGGCAGACAAAGAAGTCTTGGTAGTGCACGTTGCGCCGCCGCTAGAACCACGCTGCGTCCCAGGCACAGTAGGAGAACGTTCTGACGTGCTAGCTGGCTGATATCGATCAGGACCAAGTCGCCCTCGCAACAGCACCCGCTGCCATCAGCGTCGGGTGGGTCGGCCGTGTCTATTTCCAAGACTTTGATGACGAGAAGAGGCCTTACGGCGCTCCCCAAGTCCGTCCTGCCGCTCTCAACCCATCCCTCGCTGCCGCAATTCCGCACCTCATGCCGGGTGATCTCGGACGCCTTTCCATCTCTGGCTGTCGATCGTTCATCGTATGTCGCCCGCTGTCTATAGATAACTCGGTAACATGAGTCCGTAGAAGCGGTCAGAGCACATGTCACCGAACAGTGGACATCCTTAGTACACGGGTACTCGGCCGCCATGTACTGTAGCTGAGATTTTGTTCTGCCAACTCACACGAAAGTGGGCTATCTCGCCGGCATGGCTCTGCGAGCTCCTGTTGCACAGGCCCACCAACGGGCACTTCAGACGCTTTCTTGGGGCCATTGGAAGTTGGAACAGCGAGCCAGAATCCGGGTGCCTCGTTCGGCATCTCCCGAGATCGTATCAGCCACCGCACGTCCTGCTGCTTCTCGTCCTGCACTCGTGCCTGCGAATCCTGGATGCTCGGTGGGCGGGCATCAGTGGCACCGAGGCACAAAGTGCGTTATGCAATTTGCAGTGAGAGATGAGAGGAAGCCGTCGCCGCAACCTTATTATCAACCGCCAGCGTGACCGTCCAACCCGTCCTTAACCGCGGGATCGGGGCGAGCCTAATAGGTGCTAATGTGAAACCGGAAACCGGAAACCGCGGCCAGTCCGAGACACGGAACAGTTCATTGGTTATCTGCTTCTGCATCTTCTTCATTACTGGTTACAGCTCCTACTACGTGTCTGCTGCTGCGCTTCTTTCAACTTTGCTTCAGGCTTCAGAACTACGATCGAACAGGGGCATGAAATATCGTTACACTGCTCAGCGCTCAAGGGAGGCGCGAAGCACCAGTGGTGCTGTCGCCGAGGCCGGCTCCGGTGCCGGTCGTGGTGCCGGCGCCAGTTGTCGGGTTGACACCGTGGCCGACAGCTGTGGGGTGTGCACCGGTGTTGTGATGGCCGGTGCCACTGCCGCCGACGACCTCCTCGACCTTGTCCTTGATCTTCTGCATGAGGCCGCCACCCGAGCCCGTGCTGCCAGTGCGGTGGTGCTCAGTGCCGTGGGTACCCGTGCCACTGGTCGGGCCACCAGGCATGATCTTGTCGTGCTGGCGCATGTCGGGCTGGCGCATAGTCGGGTCCGCACCAGTCTGGGTCGTCCCGTAGGTGTTGGCTCCCGGGGTAACCTTGTCCATCATGCGGTCGGAAGTCGTACCCTGGTGGTGCGAGTGCGAGCTCATCACACCAGCGCCAGAGCTTGCGACGCCGTGCTGGCCAGTAACCGAGCGACCGTCGGTTCCGGGAAGACCGTGCTGGCCAGTAACGGCGGAACCAGTGTGCATGGGGTCGGTCGAGCCGTAGGTGTTGCTGCCAGGCGTCATCTTGTCCATCATCTTGTCACCAGTAGTGCCGGGACCGTGAGCTCCAGTCATACCGCCGTGGGTGCCGGTCATGCCAGTTCCTGTGCGGCCCTCAGACCCCGGAAGCCCGTGCTTGCCAGTGAGGGCTGACCCCGAGTTGGTGGGGTCGGTGGTCCCGTAGGTGTTCGTACCCGGGGTCACCTTGTCCATCATCTTGTCGGTAGTCGTACCAGGCCCGTGGCTGCCAGTCATGCCGCCACCCATCCCGTGCGTGCCAGTGGCACCAGTACCCTGGTGCTGGTTGTACTGGTGCTGGTTGTACTGGTGGGCAGCCATGCCGCCGGCGCCGGCACCGAGGGCTCCGGCTCCGAGCGCTGAACCAGTACCAGTGTGCTGGCCTTCCGAGCCTGGAAGACCGTGGCGACCGGTGACCGCCGATCCAGAGTGCATCGGGTCCGTCGAGCCGTACGTGTTCTGCCCAGGGGTGATCTTGTCCATGGCGCGGTCGGTCGTGGTGCCCGGGCCAGTGCCATGAGTGCCGTGGGTGTGCGTACCGTGGGTGTGCGTACCGTGGCTGTGGTCGTGCGTACCATGAGTGCCGTGGGTGTCGTGGGTGCCGTGAGTGCGCTCGTGGGTGCCGTGGGTGCCGTGAGTGCGCTCGTGGGTGCCGTGGGTGTGCGAGCCAGTAAGACCCGATCCCGTAGAGCCGTGAGATGGCGAGACACCAGGCTGAGTGGTTCCGTAGGTGTTGCTTCCAGGAGTGATCTTGTCCATGATCTTGTCCTTCATGGTAGCGTCATGAGTCGAACCGTGCTGACCGGAGAGGCCGCGGTCGCCGTGCTGGCCGTGCTGGCCATGCTGGTTGTACTGGTGGGCAGCAAGGCCGCCAGCACCTGCGCCGAGAGCGCCGGCGCCAAGAGCGGAGCCGGAGCCAGTGTGGTGGCCCTCGGAGCCAGGAGCACCGTGGCGGCCCGTAACAGCAGATCCCGAGTTCATGGGATCAGTTGATCCGTAAGTGTTCTGACCAGGAGTGACCTTGTCCATCATCCTGTCGCCAGTGGTGCCCGGGCCGTGCGAGCCGGCCATTCCGTGTGAGCCCGTCGTTCCGTGGGAGCCCATCATGCTCTGCTGACCGGTCGTTCCGTGCTGGCCAGTCATGCCGTGCTGGCCAGTCATACCGTGCTGACCAGTGGCAGAGCGGCCCTCGGAGCCCGGGAGGCCGCGCTGACCCGTGACAGCGGAGCCAGAGTGAGTGGGGTCGGTGCTACCGTACGTGTTCGTTCCCGGCGTAACCTTGTCCATGACCTTGTCGCCGGTGGTCCCGGGACCGTGAGTGCCGTGGGCGCCCGTCATGCCGGTGCCCGTACCGGTGTGCGAGTGCGAGCCCGAGTGGTGGGAAGCGAGACCAGCTGCGCCAGCGCCAGCGAGGCCTGCAGTGGCGGCGGTGCCCGCACCCGAGTGGTGGTGGTGGTCGCCAGTGCCAGTGGCGCCGGTGGTACCGGAGGTGCCAGTGGCGCCAGAGACTGAGCGGCGGTCGCCGCCCGGCAGCGTGGTGTCGGTAGTGCCGGTGGTGTGGGTGTCGTTGTCGTGGCGGAACTCCTCCTTGGAGATACCCATCTTCTCGAAGGCCATGCGCATCTTAGCGTCCTCGGCGGTCATGCCCTCCTGACGGACAGCCTGGGCGGGGACGGAGCCGTCATCGGGCGAGCGCTCCTGGCGGGGGAGCGAGGAGAGGTCGCCGCCGCTGCGCGTGCTGGACGGCGACGTGGAGTCAGCGAAGCCGACGTTGCCGGTGCGGTGGCCCTCGGAGCCGGGCGCGCCGTGGCGGCCCGTCATGGCAGACCCGGAGTGAGCAGGGTCGGTCGTGCCGTACGTGTTCTGCCCGGGCGTGATCTTGTCCATGACCTTGTCGCCGGTGGTGCCCGGGCCGCTCGAGCCCGTGTTCACGCCGTGGCGCTCGTTGTACTGGTGGGCGCCGAGGGCGCCAACACCCGCGCCGGCCGCACCAGCGCCGAGTGCGCTGCCGTGGCCCCGCCCCTCGGATCCGGGAAGGCCGCGCTGGCCAGTGACGGCACTGCCCGAGTTGGTGGGGTCAGTGGTGCCGTATGTGTTGGAGCCCGGAGTCACCTTGTCCATGATCTTATCGGTGGTGGTTCCAGGGCCGCGGCTCCCGGTCATCCCGCTGCCGGTCATACCGGTCCCGTGAGTGTGGGTGCCGTGCGTGTGGGTGTCATGGGTGTGGCTGTCGTGGGTACCGTGCGAGCCGTGCGAGCCGGTGAAGCCTGAGCCCGTGGTCGGGCCGTGGCGGCCCTCCGATCCGGGTAGGCCACGCTGGCCAGTCATGGCGCTTCCAGAGTTGGTCGGGTCGGTAGTGCCGTAGGTGTTGGTGCCGGGGGTTACCTTGTCGAGCATTTTGTCGGTGGTTGTACCGGGACCGTGCGAGCCAGTGACGCCCGAGCTGTGGTGCTGGCTGTACTGGTGGCCCGCGAGGCCGCCGGCTCCGGCGCCGAGGGCGCCAGCGCCGAGAGCGGAGCCCGTGCCGTGGCGGCCCTCCGAGCCGGGGGCGCCGTGCTGGCCTGTAACGGCCGAGCCCGAGTTCATGGGGTCGGTAGACCCGTAGGTGTTCTGGCCGGGGGTGATCTTGTCCATGACCTTGTCGGTCGTGGTGCCGGGGCCACGGGAGGCGGTAGTGCCCGTACCGGTAAGGCCAGAGCCATGCTGACCAGTGAAGCCAGAGCTGTGCTGGCCGGTGAGGCCAGAGCCGTGCTGGCCGGTGACGGAGCGGCCCTCAGAGCCAGGGAGACCGTGCTGGCCCGTCATGGCGCTGCCCGAGTTCATCGGGTCAGTCGAGCCGTAGGTGTTCTGACCAGGAGTGATCTTGTCCATGATCTTGTCGGTCGTGGTGCCAGGTCCAGATGAGCTCATCATGCTGCCGGTGCCGTGCTGGCCCGTGGCGGAGCGGCCCTCGGTGCCCGGAAGGCCATGACGGCCGGTGACGGCGCTGCCGGAGTCTGCGCGGTTAGCATGTTGCCGCTGAAATGGGGATGTATACGGGGCACAGTACAATTCAGTGGGCAGGATGTGCACGATATGTGATGAGAGATGAGGAATGAATGTTCCGCTCTGCACTCTCACTAGCCTCGGCCCACGTGATTGCCGACCAAAAACAGTTACTCACTCATGGGGTCAGTCGACCCGTAGGTGTTGGTGCCAGGGGTAATCTTGTCCATGGTGCGGTCGGCAGTTGTGCCAGGACCGTGGTTGCCACCGGTGAGGCCAGAGCCAGTGCCGTGGGAGCCAGTGAGGCCAGAGCCGCCAGTGGTGGGGCCGTGGCGGCCGTCAGTGCCGGGAAGACCGTGCTGGCCGGTCATAGCACTGCCAGTGTCTACATGTCAGTACAAGAGAGCCTTCGCGGGCGGGCGGACTCACGCATAGGGTCGGTCGAGCCGTAGGTGTTGGTGCCAGGGGTGACCTTGTCCATGACGCGGTCGGTCGTGGTGCCTGTTCCGTGGGTGCCGGAGCTCATGAGGCTGCCAGTGTTGGTGCCATGCGAGCCAGTGGCACTGGTGCCGGTGTGGTGGCCAGTGCCGGAGACAGCGGGGTCGGTGCTGCCGACGCCGGTGCCAGTGCTAGGGCTGAGGAAGTCCTTGACCTTCTCGATGAGGCCGCCGCCCGAGGAGTGAGAGGTCGTGGTCGCACCAGTGGTGCCAGTGGTACCAGTCGTGGCGCCAGTCGTAGTGCCGGTGGTGTTGCCGCTGCCGAAGCCGCCGGGCATACCACCGACACCCATACCCTCCCTGCGTTCGTCGCTGTGGGTGGGATTCATGTTGGGTTGTTGGTTGGTGTTACTCGAAGTTGTTCTGTACTGATCACTACGAGACTGAAGTCTGGGGATGTGAGAACGCGGAGCTGCTACTCTTTATACAACGGTGGCGGGGACTTGTGGAGCAGCGAGGTCTCTCTTCGTTGGTGGGGTGAGTAGTGAGGCCGCGGCGATGAGGTCATCCTGTCTGTTCGATGTGCGTGTCCGGGGTCATGTGTCCGGTGCGCTCGATGCATAGGCGGAGCATGCGGAGCACAAGGCCGCAACGATACAGGCGCAGGGCCCGTGTCGTTAGCGGGTGCGCAGCAGCGCTGTGGGTTGAGAAGACTGTCAGACCGAGAGAGAGAGTGGACTCGAGGATGAGTGATGTCATGTTGTCGTCGGCGACCAAGGGTATCGTCTGCCACTTGCTAGAACTCTACCAGGGTGGTGACTGTTTTCGGACCTGGTGCGCTCAAGGCACGTGCTTGTTCGCGGCTCGTGGCCCGCTGCAGATGGGCTCTACCATCGCTGCCCTACACCCAAGCGCGCACCGGAGGGTACTCTGACGGAGGCGGCGCTCTTGGGGAGGGGGCGGGCACATGGCATTCCAGGACGCCAGGAAGAACGCGGTCCAGTCGTCGTCATTGTCTACATCAAGACCATAGCCCACCCAGTACAGCTGAACCTCGCGGCCATCGATGACGAGATGATGTGAGACTGACGCTCAGAAGCATTTCGCGATGTGGCGATGATAGACCTGATGCGGGATGGACGGCGGAGGAGTACGAGGAGTACATACGTCGCTGCTGCACCATTACTGTTGCGACTGTTGCGACCCAAGATATTTCTCGGCGCGATGACGTCGATAAAGTTCCGCCCATCCATCATCACCCCCACCCCTTTACCACACCTCTGGGCCAGTGGGTCCATGCAAGTCACCAGTCGAATGAGACGTATGATACGAGCGCAGCAGGAAATCAACATGCATGACACCTGCAGAATGCTCACTCGGCTCTACTGCCCGACTTGTAGGTGTGCTGTTTCAAGCTACCGCCACTCCGCCCCTCGCCTTGTTGGAAGGGTGGAGCTTTGCCGGATTTAGCCTGCCACACACCCAGTCTGCCACCACCACCCTCGAAACGACACCATCATGGATCATAGAGGCGGATCGACAGATCATCGCCACCAGACGGCTTGCCCAGCTTCCCCGTAGGGCGAAGCTAACCGAAGTCACTGTCCCAGACCTGGGGTTCGACAATGTGAGACATATGTGCTCCGAGGTCAAACCTATGATGGGGCGGGCCATGACAGTCATTTTGCCAGGAGCAGGCCCGCCTGACAGACAGCAGGCAGTGGCAAGGGAGTGATCAGCGTATCCGTCTTAAACTCACGTCCGCAACCCCGACACCGTTTGATCTCTCACCGGTCTCAGTGGCCCCGGTCAATGGGAACGAGCAGCTGACCGAAGGCTGCGCAGCCGCAGCAAGCTCCGACGATCGTTCTTGATGCATGGCGGTTACCAGTGAGACTAACACCAGCAAACTGTTCTGCGTCTCAGTCCGTGCGGCCGTGCGGATCGGCCATTGATTCGAAGAGCACGACGCTCGCGAGAGTCAGTGAGGTACCTGCCGACTATCCGCGTTCCTCAAAACTACATAACTGCTGCTATGACCTCATCGCCATTGTCCATACGCGCCGTATCTTACTCCGGGAGGGCGTTAAGCGCCGCGATGAGCTCCTGCATCGCATTCGTCTCGTCGTAAAAGTCGAGATTAAGGATGGCGCGTGGCCGGCGCCCCTCCATGGCCTTGTTAAGCAGCCAGCGGACAAGGCGCGCATTCACGCCGCCCTCGGGCCCCGTCTCCTGCCCACCACCGCCGCCACCACCTCCGCCTCCGCTGATCTTGCCGAAGAGGTTAGCGCCCACGGAGAGCACCTGCGACATGCCGCCCGCCGAGCCTCCCGACGCCATCCAGTGCGGCGGGGCCTGCGGGAACTTGCCGCCGGACGCGAAGACGATGCTCATAGGGTGGTTTGGGCCGACGCCCGCGCCACGTCCGTCGCAGGTCGACTCAAGGAAGTTGCAGATCCGACTCGTCTTCTCGCCGATGTTCTCAGTGTCGTACCTGCGGTTAGCGTGGAGGCAGGTCCACTCACCAGTCATGGATGCGGAAGGCCGTGCCATGCCAGTCCACGTCGAAACCCTCGCCACGGTTGTCGGGCCAGCTCAAGGGCTTGAGGCCCTGCCCGTTCGGGAACTGGTCGTCGCGCTTCTTGCCGAAGCGACTGAAGAAGATACCCTTACCGCGCACGTCGCCCAGCGTAGGGACGTTTTCGTCAAAGTGCCACATGCCGGAGGACAGGGCGTCCTGCACGAGCTGCGGGAAGTCCTCGGCATCCTCCTGCTCCTGCTTGATCGACAGAATGACAGTCTCGCGGGGATTCTGACGGAGGAAGTTCTCGATCCACTCAACCTGTTGCTGGAGCGTGGAGTCTTGAGCCTGGATGCCGTGGTAGGCTGGTGTTAGCGGGACGTTAGAAGAAAGGCCAGTCAGGCGGCGGGCTCAGAGGCGTCGACGTCGGCCGCCGTTGGCAAGCTCTATCCTCAGCGCCCATGGCTCCGTGGTGAGACGGAGCCTTGGGCGCTGAGGATGAAGAGGAGAGGCAGAACGGACACGCTCCCTTCCCGGGCCTGCTGGCAGCTCATGTCAAGCCACACAACTTAACTCACTCTCCAGCTGACCGTTCTTAGACTTGAGGCGAATGTCGAAGAAGCGGATGCCGTGCTGCAGCTGCTGGCCGACGTCGTGGTTTTGGCATTGCGAGATGAAGCCGCCGTAAAGCGACGCGGACTCGTGTGTGCCCGGGATGGTGAGGTCGGCCACAGCACGGTCGTCCGGAAGCCCGCTCATCCAGTCGTTCATGTTGCAAGCCGGAAGCACGACGACCTTGTCTTCGTCGACACCGAACGCGAGCGCATTGTTGGCGTTCAGGCGGCGCCAGCCGCGGCGGCGGTCGTCGTCGTTCGCGGGCGGCAGGTCCACGCTCCCATTGTCCAGCTGCAGCTGGATGTTGTCTCCCGGGTTGGCTTCGACGACAAAGTGGTGGCCGTCAATGGAGATGTTAACGCCGTTGCCATTGGCGCTAGCGGCCGTAACCTGGCGGCCTGGGGCGATGATGCGAATCGTCATGGTGGGAAGAATGTAGAGATGAGAATGGGCAACCCTGGGACAAGTCTTAGCCGAGAACGTGCTTATATGCAACGTGTCAACAGTTCAGGCTGGCGCCTAGGATCGCCGCCGCGGCGATCCTTGGCACAGGTGGGAGAGGAGCAGGGAGTTCGGAGGGCATCCGGCGGTTCCGCAGTTCGGGTGCAGCCTACATTGCCGCTTTAGGGTGCAGGTAGAGTTTCTTGTGCCTCGTTGCCCAGAAAAGACGGGGCTGAGAATGCTGGGCATGCTGGGTGAGCGGCCAGAGGGAGAGATGCCGAGCCGGGCAATTCAGCCATCTGACGTGACATCAGCCTGGACGCCGGAGGTTACGGCAACTTATTGCTCACAGCCAATGAATATTGATTGCCGAAAGCATGCCCCGGGGTGGCTGGAACGGCAACGCCCTCCCCTCGTACGCCGTAAACGCACGGCGCCATGAGGAGTTTCGGAGAGTGGGCACATCGTCCCAAAGACGCGGGCGTCGAAGCAGCTTCCGAGGAAGTATCGTGGGGAGATTGCGTCGATCAATATGATCGGCGTTCTGGGGGGCGCACAGACCTGGCTGGACCTGACGATAAGCATGAGAGGCTATGCGATAATACGACGATCATTACTCCGTCCTCTACGATCACCAGATCCGCAGTTCACATTGGGCTAGAACTTACTCTAAAGATCGTCATGTCAGCCTCACGCATGGTACTGCTCCTTTTACTTCTTATTCCCCTCGCCACGGGAGGATGTGCGGCGCGATTTCAGCAAGTCGTGGGGAGAGCTGTGATATCATAAGCTGGTTGTCGTCACCGGTCCAGTCACTCGTCAAGTCCTAGCCTCCTAATGTCGTCGGACCGGTGCAACTCTATGTCTGCTCATCTGCAGTCGGTGTTCTTCCTCGCACGTTGGCTGGTGTGTACTTGCCTCGGCAGATCAGCAAAAGAAGTTCGATCTCGGAATTGAACCAAGGACCTACAGATGTATTACGATAGAGGTAATTGCAATCTGCCGCGCTAACCGCTGCGCCAATCGAACCTCTGGCGGGTTCCGGAGCACCCGAAGATTGCCGAGACTTCCCGGACTTGCGTGCGGAGATGCATCGCATGTCGCGATCCTGGTAATGATGCATGGACTATCTTTGTCCAGGTAACGAGGGGTGGTGCCTTTCTCCATGTACACGTAGAGAGTCTTTGGGACGCTCGCAGCTGCTCGACTGCTGCGGCAGGTGCCAATGCGTACCTCCATGGACTCTGGTGCCATCCAAGCTCATTGTCCTGAGTCCCATCAGACTGTGTTCATTCACAGTCATCGCCTAATGCCATCTCACGGCCATCATTCACTCGCTCTGTGCTCTTAGAAGCTGGGGGGAGCTTGAGCTGAGACTGTCACACTGCCGCTCTGACTCTGTCTCAGTCCTTGATTCTTCTTGCACGGTGAGTCGCCATCGAGGGGAGTGTGCTGACCCAAGCGGTTTCACAAATGAATCGCCATCAACTAACGATCTCTCCTCGCCTTCATTATGGGGAAAAATGGTCTTATGCTGTTGAATAATGGCGCACGACCTCCAGATATGAGCTTTCCGACAGTCTTTTAACCGCAGTCCATCCTTCTGGTCGTAGCGTTCGGGTACTGGGACCGGCTAGCCTGAGACGATACGTCGTACGAATCTCCTCAGCATTCCCGCTGTGACTCGAGCGGCACCTCTGCAAGAGCCGGCTCACACCCTAGTCACGCCTGGTCAATGTGAGAGAGCGTCGCATGGTAGATTGTGTGGCGTTGCGCGCACGGTGGTCGCGAACCATGCACACGCAATAAAAGCCGAGCACACACATCAATGCCTGTGTATGTCCCCCTGTTCATCGCCACCTCTCCCCCACTCAATCAAACAGTCAGCCGCTTCATCACACGCAACAGCGACAACAACGATAACGTGCTGTGGTGTAAACATGGGGCCGGTGGCGCCGGGTGCGCACGACCAACAACACGCCCGGGATAACCTCACACGGCTGCCTCCATCTGCTCAGCCGCCCTTTGCTCCTCTGCCTGTCTCTTCGTCTACTGTCGCGAGTTTCTTTTCCAAGCTTCTCAAACAGTCTCGACTGGTGACTTTAGAACCTGAAAGTGAGCGCCCTCTTCAGCAGCTGCATGCTTGACGCTGACCGCAGCCGCACCTAGCTACTGTTCCCCAACCAAGGCGTCACTAGCCAAAGACCTGCGTGTTGAGATGGCAACAAAGGAGAACGGTGAGCCTCGCCTTTCTGGAGGCCGCGTGACCGCGTGGTAGCTGATATCAGTTCCACCGGTGGGCTCGCCGCAATGGTATGGGAGCACAGTCTCCTCCTCGTTGAGCGATGTAACGCACGCAAGCCGACACAGTACCCCCAAGCGCACAGTCCAGCGCACACTCACCCCCATGAACACACCCGTGGAAGCTTCAATGTACAGACCGACCTCTGTGCAGGCCAACACGCTTGGACTGACTGCTGACGGTGATGGCGTGGATGACGAACCTCTACGGCGCCCGCTCAGCGAGATGAGCAAAGCTGAGGTAATGGCTCGTCGGCGCGAGAGCAAGACGAAGAGTCCTTGTCCTTCCAAGACTTCCCATTCCGGCAAGGGTATCGCAGCCACAAAGAACCCAGCCCCGGCCACAGCACAAGGGGACTGTGTCCACAAGACACGGTCACCCAAGACCACCACGTCCCATCCCGTGCCATCCTACGCCGCGCCCACCAGCGCCAGCCGCGCTTCGGCGACCCCGAGCGTGAGGCGAACAGCAAAGAGTCCCGCGACACCTGCATCTCCGAGCAAGCTTCCTCGGCGTTCGCCCGGAAAGCCTGTTGTGCGCAGCCGACGCAACACATTGACAAAGACCCCCAAAGGCCTTCGCATCAGGTGAGCTCGTAAAGCTCTCTCCAGGCGGAAGATTGACGTACTGATGATAGCACCACGTTCAAAACCCCGCCATCCATCTCTGAGAAGGAAACGGCGTGCCGCCGTATCGAGGCGTGGGCGCTGGCAACTGCCGTCCCGCCGAGCCCACGGCGACGAAGCTCAGCCAACCCTGCCCCGCGGGACCCGTTCAACTTCCCATTGAGCCCCAAGCTTCCGAGAGAACGCACACGCAAGGCTGTGGAGCATGCGCGGGCTAAACTTGCCGGAGACAAGGCCGCGATGCTCGGAGCCAAAGCCGTCCTTGATGCAGGAATCAAGAACGGCGACAGCCCCGGGACTTTGCGCACTGCAGGCCTTAGGGAGATTGGGTACAACGACACGCCGCGGCGCACCGCGCATATGGCGAACCCATCCGTGAGCACGCCCACCCAACGCGCAATTTCAACACTCCACACGAAGGCGGGCACCAAGCGGGAGGCACGCGCGCTTCTCAAGGCCAGCCGCAACCGCGTGAACGGGGACGCGGCAGATATCATTGCCGCTGCGCAGGTGGTGCTGGGTGGCGCGGTCAAAGATCTTAAAGAGTCACGATCACCGACAGCCATACCCTTGCCACTGGCGCCTCAAATCTCAGAGCCTGACCCGGTCTGCTGCAAATGCCGCAGTAGCTTTGGGATGGATGTCAACGCCTCGGGCACTTTCACCCCGTCTGAAAAGTACGCGCTGTCAGAATTGACTGACATCAGAATACTCATCCCTGCCAGTCCCCCGCGGTCGTTTCTCACTCCTCCCTTTCTTGCCGACATGGGATCTTTAGCGGCCCAGCTTGCGCGTCGCCGCGAGAGCCTCACGCCTGTCGCCCCGAGCTTGCCGCCGAGTGCGCTCAGCGCACCGTCACCATCTAGTACCGCTCCTCCCAGCAAGACGATGTCTATTGCGCCCACCACTGAACCCACATCAATGCAGGCAGTGCTGCACGCCACACCCGCCATGCTGCAGGCCGCTGCGCAGGGGCTGAAGCACATCGAGGTGGGCCACCCGGCCACTCCCAAAACAGGTGCCCAAAGTGTTCGTACACATGTGGCGTCTCCCGCCACCAGTGCAGAGGATCCCGCCCCCACTTCCGCTGCCAGCCCACCCACACACTCACACTCGGAGACAGCCTCGCCTTCACGCTCAGAACAGTGAGTTTGTGGATGGTGGTCACCGCTTATAGCCAGGATCACGCCGAGGCGGACGATAGCAGGGATGCTGGCGCCGGCTGATGTGATCAAGAATGCACGGTTTAGCCTTAAACCCGTGGGCAACGCGCACGGCGCGGCAGTGCGCAATGAGCGCCGACTGTGGTGATAAGATAATGTGGCACGTCGATGAAGAGGTGGATTGGCCGAGGAGTGGCTGTTGGAAGAGTACAGTAGGTCTATACGTTGCAGATGATACACCCAGAGCGCATGATGGCGCAACTCGCTCCCAACATTCCTGCAAGCACGTTCAATAATTACACGCTGATGGCGGGTCCTTTGGAGATCTTTTGACAGAGACTGCCTTTGCAACCGTGACACACGGTTATCTGTCGTCTACTGCTTTGCTCCAGCCACACCACAAAAACACAAACGAGCTGCATGCAAATCAACGCGAGCTGGCTCATCCCACGAGATCTGGAAAGATATATAAGCGGCTTTACTCTGCATTGAGTTGACATTCTCACCGACTAGTCTCATCATCTCTTTACCAAAGGCAGGACAGACACCCCCGTCTATAGCCAGCCTTCACTTGAGTTCACCGCCAGTGTATCCCCTCCCGCCAACACCCTTGCCCCACTCCCATCATGGCCACAGACGAGCCCATCCGAAAAGTCGAGCGAGCGCTGCGAAGCGCTGGCTACGAACCAATGCCAAAAAAGAACGGCGGCTCACATTTCAAGTGGGCCCGCGCCGATTTACCAAATAGCATTCCACTCAGTGTTGTACATCACGGTGGAATTGTGAAAGGAGGCAATGTCCATGCACTGCAGAAAGCCGGTATATTGATTTGATATCTGCCCAATGCATTATCGTAGCGGCGATTCTTGTTATAGACAATGCTACACGAAAACGACTAATTGTGCAATAGCCGCTGCAGTTATCTGAAGCGTCTTGCATGCAACCAAGTGCTGAAAATGGCCGAAGTTACAACCCGCATGGATGTATGCACTCTCCAGAGTGGGCAGAGGTTGTCTAGCTGTATTTTTGGGGCTTTGGGGCCGCAAACGAGACCCAGAGCTCGGCGGAACGGCTTCGCTTACCATCACACGGCCTGGGTGAAGTGGCGGAGTGGTTATCGCGGCTGACTTCTAGTACCCACTGAATCAGTTTCCTTCGGGAGCACGTGTTCGAATCACGTCTTTACCGGCTTGTGAGCGCTGCTTTTGACTCAGTTACCTGTGGTGTGGGTGGTGGTGTGACGTTGGCGGATGGATGGCGAGGAGAAGCATGTTGGTGGCGAGGGTGGCGTTGACGCCGCCAGAGAAAGGTGGTCAACCTCCACCGGGCCACCAGTGGGTGCCCTGGGTTTTAAAGAGCTGCGGAATGTGGAGGGGATGGGGGGAGGGAGTTTGGGGGGGGGGGACATCGGGGGAGGGGGCTGGGGCCTCGATAAACTCACTCTTCTGTGCGCGGCCATCGGGATGGACCTGTTACGGGTTGTCGAGTTGTCTGGGTGCTCTGGGTGTCAGTATGTGGATCGGCGACGATTGCCGAATGTGAAGCTTGCGAGAGGTTGATATGCAGATACTATGCTCCCCTGCAGAGGATTTCCTTCTGCGCTACGGTGAGAATGCCTCTCCTCAATAATGTGCCGCAACCGCTCAGTTGCCTCAGAATCGAAGTCTCGTCTCTACTCCTCCTCTGCGGTTGCACTCCGTGGTTCCCCTCGCCCGACGCCTGATCCGTCTTGGGGCTACATACCGACAGATTCCATACAGCTTGCGGCACAAGCATGGCAGCCTCCTCCGTGCAGATTCGACTTCCTTTTCCGGCATACGAGCAGCTTTTAGTGACCGTGTGGAGCGGGGCGACGTGGGAGAGTAGCGACTGGCGGCGGGGCGAGGTGTGAGAGAGGAGTGTGAAGAACAATCAAAGAGGGCTGGGCGGGCCGTATTAATTCTCAGCCTGCAAGCATGAGCTGTAGTATGTCTGCTCCCGGTCATACTCGTGGTCCAAGCGGTGAGACGACGCCCACAACTGGGTGCGAGCCAATGACTGAGTCTGCTGATTGCTCACCTTCTGTCCTGAGAGCCACTGACGCAGGCACCCCCACCCGCAACGGCGCGAGGCTCCGATGTCATGTGAATGCGAACCTCACAGTCGGTAGCTCACTCCCCGGTCACGGTCCAAAACCCATACATCCGCACGCCATCGTCCGTCGAAGCGGCGAGTGGGCTAAGCTTGACTGGCAACTGCCTGGCATCTCGCCCAATGTCTCGAGCACTCAACACCCCCGTAAACTCGAAACCCCTGCAGAATCAAACTGTTACAACAAAGGATTATCTACCTGCCATCGGCATAAGGCCACCCTATAGCTCAAATACTCGGAAAGAGCCACCGCCCTGCGTCTCGTTTCCAGCTAGCCGGTCTTCAAGGATCTGTGCAGCTAGCCTACGCCAATCGTACGTGACCCAGTCGTGCATGCGTCGGTCGACGGTGCTCTGGCGCATGCGCTCAAAGCGGAGCGGCTCAATCGGCGTCCGCAGTGCCTTGCGGATCGTAGCGACAAACGAGGTGTAGTTGAACGCCTCGACTTGGTAAACGTACGGCTCGGGGACGTCCATCATGCTCTCATGCTGCTGGTAGGCCCACCCATCGCCGTTGTCGCGCATCGTGTGCGGGTTCGCGAACGGTACACCGCGTGAGAGGGCGCGGTACGGGCTTGGCGAGAGGGGCGGCGAGCCAATGCCCAGAAGGAGGCGCGCTTGACCGCACTCAGCGTCAAAACGGGACGCGTTCATGAGCCCAAAATTCTTGATGACGCTCGGAACAGGCCCCCACTTCTCCTTGTCCTCGTCTGAGCGGTTGTCCTCGAACCCGCCAACGAACTCGAAGCCAGGGAACTCGCGCCCGAGCTCCTCGGCTGCCTGTTCGAAGAAGCTGAAGTTGTAGACATGCTGGTGCCCGTTGTGAAAGTAGTGGGCCTGCTTAGCCAGGATGTAGACCCGGTTTGGCCGCTCGCTCCATGGTACGACGACCGCGTCTTCTGGCTTTGGCATGATGCCGTACCCAAGGAACGTAAAGTCGGCCTCACCCAGTGCAGACTTCACCTGCAGCTCCTCGTGTCCGGTCATGAACCACGAGGGACCGTACGTGTAGTCATCAGGGGTCGAAGCCGACTGTACAAGCTCCAAATCCTCGGTTCGTGGGAAGCGTGGCTCAGCCGTGATCATCCATGCCTTGCCAACAACGCCTGACTCGCCCGTCGGGTAGTAGGCCATCCGGAACCACTGGTGTCAGGGCGCTTCCACATCACTGGCTTACCTTCCAGGCAGGGATACCGTCTGGCCGTGAGACACTCTTCTGGTACTGCTCGAACGTGCCCTTGTGGGCCTCCTCCCCCGGATCCGCGACAACAACGCGCACCATATCGCCTAGCTGGCGATGTAGATGGTGTATATACCCTGGTGTCAGTCCTCTGCTCGGCGTGCTTTGGCGGTGCGTCTCACGCGGACTCACTCCAGTCGTTGTCACCGCCATGCAGCACCGTGAAGCCCTGCCTTTCGAGAGAGCGGATCATGCCCGAACACCAGACACCCTCACCCCCCCTGTAGTTATCGTACAGCGCCCACTGGCAGTGCCAGCTCGCAAAGATGGCGATCTCACATCAGCATCAACGCTTGCCGGGGACTGGTCCGCTTGGAAGCTCACCTTGTCCGCGTTGGGCGGGCAGTCCCTTCGCGTCATGCACGCCGTGAGCTGGCGCAGCTTGGCCTCCGTGTACCACCTGTAGTTGTCGGCCGAGGGGTCTGAGAAGGCGGTGGGGATGTCGGTGAGCTGCGCCTGTGCTAAAAGCTCTGGCATGGGCTGCTGTTCGCGCCCCGACTGCCAAATGACATTCAGCCGTACGGGCAGGCGTACATTGTAGTATTCGGCCAGGACGATGGCAAACTGGACAGATGCGAAGGCGAAGATGAGAGCCGGAGCGACCATTCGCCAGGTCACAGACCTCTTTCGTGGGGGCAGGCCGTGCATCGGTGCGATTGTGGAGAGGGCAGTCACTCGGAAAGAGAGAGGTTGGCCCGTCACAGTCGACTCGTGCGGTCTTCCGTGAGCGGAATTGTTGAGCTTGGTACGGGCAACAAGAATGAGATAAGATGAGTTAAGAGCGACGCAGACGACGCAGCCAATGTGGGATCCTCATAGCGACCGTCGCAGCAGTAGCTCCAGAGGAAAGCAAAGTGTCGCTGGCAGCTGTTCGAGCATATGTCAGGGCGTGACAAGTAGTGAATTGCAGCCTCCTGGGCCGAGGTTGACCCAGGACAGCACAGTCAGCTGGGACGGCCAGCCAGAGCGAGAAGGCTCGGTACATACAAGCATATGCACAGCTCAAGGGCCGGGGTCGATGAGATCTTGGCCATATGGCATGATGTGAGCGTATGCAGCGCGGTGGCGTGTGAGACGTGAGCAATTCAGTCTGCGCCACCATTCAATTGTTTGCGCTTATCGTGGTCTGGGCGACGGAGATGACAGGAGGCAGACATGGGAGAGTGAGGGAGGTCGAGTAAGGACAAACGGAAAACCAGCACCCCGGACCTGGAGTCGGAAAAACTGTGGTGAATAACGACCCTGACTTCAATTTATTCAATTGAGTCTGTTAAGGATACTGTGAGACTATGGAGACTTCTGGACTGGCCGCTGTGTCTTGATGGCATGACTGAGAGTTGTATGGGAGTTGTGAGACTGGCGAGCTGCAGCGCGTGTGAATCCAGAACCCACTGCACTTGTACGAACAAGGTTTGGGATGCAGATCTTGGTGCAATCAGCCATTGTTCCTGCCTGCTCAACGGAACAGGTGGTTTGTCGATGTCAACCTTTCGTTATGGGCACTTTTACCAGCCGCATTGATGTAGTCCACATCAATGTCTCGCACCAGCTGTCCGTAGGAACTTTGTGGGGCCTCACGTTTCATGATTTGAATGCGGAAGACGCCACCGCTGCCCACACTGCACGTCGAGGCTGCCATCACCGAGTGATGCAACAGGGACACGGTGTGGCCAAGACCACTTGCTCATCTGGGAAAGCTCGTTCAAGCCCCGTCCCACTCCCTCCTTTCCTCGTGCATCGGAGCACATCACATGGCACCGCCTGCCGCCAGTTGCTCTCAGCCTGGAGGAACCCTCGCGGTACAATCCAGCGGCCGCCGGCAATGAGACCTGCAGGCGCTGACATCCCCCTATGGTGGTAGCAGGGCTGGCTACGCTCGCCCAGTCCGCCAAACACGGACATGGTGGCGTCCGAGGGCCCCTCACACCCTGCCGCGACATCCACTCGCACCCAACGCGCATTGATCACTGCTCCTGCCGCTCACAGACCACTAGAACGACAGACCACACAAGGCTGGACGCCTCATTCCTCCCCCACGTCCTGCGTCTACCTTCTGACATGCTGACCGTAAACTCTAATGTTTGCACCTGAACGCATAAGCTGGAAACGAAATGCATGCAACAAATGTGAGAGCCCGCCCGCTGAATTCACTGGCCTCCCCATTAACGGCCTCGCCCCGGGCCTAGCGCCACCGGCCGTGCCCCTCGCACGCATACGCGCGCTCGTAAGCGTCTTGGTACTGATACCGCTGCCGGCGTCTGAAGTCGTTCTCGTTGCACTGGCCGCTGTAGGTCGGCGCGTCCCCTGACCCGAACGTTCCGCGGCGGGGACGCGCCTTGCTACTGTTCACGAAGGGGAGTTCGACGGGTAGCATGAGCGGTGACGAGTCCGGTGTGGGGTGTTGTTGGTCAACGTAGTTGGCGACTATTTCGTGCGGTTGCTCCTCCACGCCAAAGATGGCGCCAAAGTCGGCCTTGAAGGGGTCGCTGGTTGACTTGCTTCTGCGGCCGGAGGGACTAAACGCGAAGGCTGATGTTAGAGCGATTGAGCTGAATGGTCTTACGGTGATTACTCCATGCCTGCTGGACGTGCTCGTCGAGAAATTGTGTCGTGTGTCTGGTGTGGTTGCGCTCCAGTGGAAACTCGGTGTGTTTTGCGCTCTGAGGGGGAGTGGGTAGAGGGGTGGGGAATTTACGGGTTGGCGAGGTCGATCGTGGCGGGAAACTTGGTGCGTACTTGGTAGTAGGTGTGGGTGGGACCGACACGTAGGTGACGTCGCTTGCTGAGCTCTGCATACTCAGGCGACGGGATGATGAGCGCGGCGGGGGAAGGAGAGACTGGCGACGCGACTGCACTGGCGGAGGGGGCGACGATTCTTTAAGGAAAGGGTGGTCGTACGGGTGTACAAAAGGCTGCTTGCGAGGCTCCACTTTGACCTCCAGCTCCAACTCAACTGTCTGCAAGGGCACACGCCGGGGCAACATCGACTCCAATGTTGGCGTCTGCGCCCGGCACGGTTGTGGCTACGACTGGGCATGGGGCTGGGCTGATGCGAGCGAGTTGAGTCTCGCTGACACCTTTGCCGTAAGGCGAGCCCATGAGCTGCCTTCTGTTCGCTCTCCGCCTTCGGTCTGCGAACGCCGTTTCCGCCCAAACAGAGCGGACTGAGGAGACACTGATGTCAGAATACACAGGTAGTCACCTAACCTGGGATGCTGTCGTCGCCGCGTTTGAAGAGGCGCGTCGTTGAGCGGGTCACGGTGGTCATTGTTGCCGTGCGTATGTTGGTTGCGTAGGTGACAATCGAGGAATGAATGAGGGACGAGGGATGAGGGTTGAGAGTGAATTGGCGCACGCTCGGAGCTGTGGGTGCACTGGTGCGAGAGAGGGGAGCGGGGTTGGCGTTTGGGCAAGAGCAAGTTCCTTGACGCGTGAGTCCGCGTTATGAGGAGTCCGGCTAGTGGGCTGGGGCAAGGCTCATATGGCGTGAGCAATGGCTCGTGCTGCATGACTCAAAGGCAGCCAGCAGAGATGACAGTGGTTAAAGTAGAGGCAGGAAGTGCAATTGCAGAGAGGACGCGTCTGTGCGTCAGGACGACTCCGGCGCCCTGTTGACAGCGGCCGGTGTTTGTGTCGAGACTACTTCTGAGATGATAGAAACAATGTCTGGCCCGACCATGCCATGGCTCTTGTTATAGAGTGGGTTGGGTCGTAACATGTTTCTTGTGAGGGAGAGACCACTCAGGCGGTCCCTCACGAAAGGGTAATCCGAATCTGGCATTGCTGCTTTCAACCGAGAGTTCTGGACGCCGATGAAGAACAAGAGTTCCATGAGCCACAGTCTCCTGCTCGCACCGTTCATGACCCCAAACGTGCGGCAAACCCGGTGAGCGGCGCCGTGCGCTCTGCTTCTCGAGGGCCCCTGCAAAAGGCGGACCCTAGATTGGTGACCAATGCTTCAATAGGAAGTCGGCCAGCGCCGATGACTAGCCCAGTCGCCTCGTCCTCACAACTCATAACGATCAGAATTCATTTTCGGTGGTACTTCTGGGACGAGTCCCGGTAAAAGCGGCCCAGAAACGCTTTGGTACCCGTGCAGGTGCACGCAGGTGTAGGGTTGGTGTTACACACAGCGTGATTGAACATTAGATTTGCTCACGGGCGCGTGCACGAGACGCTGGGCTGTGTGACATGACGCTAGCGTAGGTGACACTGCGTTTTGTCCGACAATTGAGGCTGGGCGCTGGCTGATAAGGCTCGCTGGTATGGCACTGGAGCTGTACTAAAACTGTTATCGGGCCCGGGACTCCAGCCGGCATCAACAGTGAATATCGAAGTCCACGCCAGGGTGATGAATCACAACCATCCGTCCTGTTGAGGTGGTCGTGTGGGCATCAGGACTAGACAACTGCAGGGAAAACGAAACAGAACGCCTCGCCACCTCTACCGCCCTGGCGGGCATGCCCTTGGTCTGTGCAGGCAGGGAAACGTGAGCAGGAGCGCGGCATGGGCGGCAAGGCGTGGGCTGCGGACAGCGGCCGTTGGAGACCCAGAAGTCGAGGCCTAAGCCCAGACAGATCAGACAGACGTCACGGAAAGATCGGAGAAGGCGCCTCGTGCACACCGTATGTTCCTGGGGCCGCTGTGGAAAGTAGCGATTGTTTTAAGGGTGATCATTTTGAGGCAGAGTGCGGAGCAACGTCGATCCGCCCATAACGAGCACGCCTGACTTCCCATCTAGAGATAACACGCGTTAATCTCGCCCCGGCCAATTCCATTGTCTCATGCCTCCCATCACTGATTCCTGGAAACCTTATTCAACTGCAGGTAATTCGGCACCATCTCAACAGACCGCTTGCACTCCTCGCTCGCTCAGCGTGCATAATGGCTGACATGGGTGCGAGGCTTCTCCGTCATCCGCTCTCAGCATGCACTCACGCGGTGCCGCACACCGCAACTCACCGTAATGCAGCAGTATAAGATTCAGCGGCTCAGGCATTGATGAGGTCACTCCTCACCACCTTCACCCCCCACAGACGCAACTCAAGGACAAACTCGACTACGATCTTAGTTCACGGACATGTCGTCCCCTCCCCCCCGCAAAAGGGCGAGGCCCCTTTCTACCTCGGAGCCACCAAGCTCCTCCACTTTTCGTGCCACTACCGAAACCGTCGGACACGCTCTAGACAACATCTCTGAAGAAATTAACTCTTCTCATTCACCCCCAGGGCTTACCTCGAAAGACGCGATCGTCAAGTTCGATCTGAATCTATTCTTCCAGGAATATGGGCAGAAAGTGGTTCCCAGCCTCGACCTGTCTTACCCGCAGTCCTATCCGCCAGTTGTTTCTGATGCAACTTCACCACTGGTTAGCCAGCAGCAACACCTCCTTGCTACTTCGAGCCTCACCCAGACGGCGGCACAGGCATTTGTCGAGAGGCCCCACAGGCAGCTCCCCGTGCCTCTTGGCGGCCCCCAACCGCAGCCTCCGCTCACGGACTACAGCCGACTAGTTCTACAGAGCTCTGCGGAGCAGCCCTCCGGGAAGCTTATTCCTCAGCTCCCTCAATCACAGCAGCCACCTCCAGCCTCGAACTTACACCTGTTGGCTCAGCGGCCTAATTGGCAAGCAACTCACCTTGGGATCGGCCAACAGTACGGCCATTATGGCGAGCTCCAGCAGTCGCTTGGGCACCCGCCCTTTGACCACAACCCCTACTTCTCCCAAACTCGTGGGCAAATGCTCCTCAATACTCCCGTTGCACCCCCACAACTCGGCACTCCTTCCGTGGCGCTGCAACATCCGGAACTGCAAAGTTTTTACTCGCTCTCATCGAACCTACCTGGGCCTCGCCGAGAAGGCGGCTCACCCGCTCCAGCCTTGCGAGCTGAGCCTTCTGCTCAGAAGCGCAAAGCCAGAACTCTTCCCTCGGTGCCAGGCTATCCTTCTGGTCCAGTTTACGCAGGCGGGCCGTCGAGTAGCAGCCACTCCGGCTACCGTCCCAACTACTGCGACCTCGGCAGTGTCAACTTCAGCCAGCAAAGGAACCTTCTTGCCTCTCAGTATACAGGGCCCAGCATTGCGACTGGGGCTGGCCCATCTACGCACGCTGGCAGTCGGTATCCCTCACAGAATCATGTCCCTCCCAACCTCGCCTTTAACCAACAAGTTGCGGGGTCGTATGCTCTCCAGGCCTCCCATAACGCAGGCCAACCGGTGCCCGGTTGGGAGGGAAGCAACGGTGCCGGTCATCAAGCAACCTCTCTTGGGCAAGTTGCTCGTCCGCCTGCTCCCCCACTTGGCATCAGTCTAGCAGAGGTTCAACCGCCCACCCCTCAAATATTCCAGCACTTCTCCAACGAGGGCCACCCTGATTGGTATGGACGACCAGAGCCATCCCGCAAGCGCGGGTTCCAAGCAAGCTTTGGACCAGGGGGTGAGAACAGTGAGCAAATTGCCGGTCCATCTATCACCCAGAATCACGTCAGCCAGGCTGGACCGTCTAACCCCTTGACCCACTCTCTCCCGAGTCTAGCAGTCACGCAGAGCGCTACCATGTCCTCCCAGCCTCCACAGAGACCCCCTCGCCAACGACGGGACCGCAAAGACACGCGGTCAGCTGCGATGTCCCAAAGGGACCGTGACAGGATGAGAACCACCCCCAAGGAGATGAAGCCTACAATACGGAGGATGGTAAGGTGAAGCGGGTGCAGAGCTGACCTCAGTTGCGCTCGGTCATTCGCTCCCAACAGGACTACACATCAGTTCCCGAAGAGTTGGGCTGCGCAAACTGCCTCAGCGGGGGTGTGCCGTGCTATGTGTATGCGATTCACGCCGTGGCCGTCTTCAGCTCGAAACTTCACGGCAAAAGGACGCCGGTGTACGGCCTTTGCCAAACGTGCAAGTTCCGGGGCCTGAACTGCCCGTTTTCCAAGAACATTCCCCCACACCAACCGCGAGCCAGACAACCGCAGCCGCCAAGAACAGGCAAGACCCAGACAAAGGAGGAGAAGAAGCAGAGGCAGAAGGAATTGTTAGCGTCCCAGCACCCCTCCAAGCAAGCGTGGGAGAAGAAAACGGACAAGTGGCTCAGTAAATCCATGAGCCCGCAAGAGGGAGCGACCAGGCCAAATGTCTCCGAAAGTGCCGCGGTGGTGGAGGCTGGTCTTGTTAGGTCCGACGCTGACACTGGCAGTGCCTCGGAGAGGAACGCCGAGGCGGCCGTCCTTGAGTCCGTGGCGCGGGGGTCAGCTGACTTGGCGAGCCCGCCTGACGCGGTGAACAACAACCACTCGCCTCAAGAGGACGATGACGATGACCTTGAGGAGGTTGTTTGGTAGCGCACTTTGCTTAAGGACGATATTTGAGCACTTGGACAGGACGAAGGGTTGAACCCATGCATTGAGTATCCTTGTTCCTGCCAGTCAACCAACCCCACCACATCCGACTGGATATCTTGCCACGGCACCTGGTAGAATGCAAAGTGTGGGGGGTACCAAAACAAAACAGTTCAATCTCGGAATTGAACCAAGGACCTACAGATTTTTAATGGGATGGCCATTGCAATCTGCCGCGCTAACCGCTGCGCCAATTGAACTGCTGAGCAATCCAGCTCAGGGTCGCTCATTACGCGCGTCCCTCTCCGCATCCATCCCTTCTGCCCCTTTTCGAGTCAAGCTTACTACATCTAATACAACAATTACAATCCTCCCTCTGCTTACAATCCAAACGTCTCGCTGAAGAAGGCCACGGGGCCCTGTCCTTCCAGCGCCTCCCGCACCCCATTGACGCGCAGCACCGCGCGGCGCACATCTTTGTCGAGCGAGGGCGGGCCACACACTGCGACGGCCATCTGTCCGTCCGCGCCCGCAACGTCGGCGCGGAGGAGCGCCTCGGCATCGCACCGTCCGGGATGGAGGGTGGTGACGAGGGCCGCGGCCGGCGAGAGGCCGTACACGTCGAGGCCCGCGAGCGAGCCGAACAGCGTGTGCGAGGCAGCGCACTTCTCGCTGTCGCCCACGAGCGTCGAAGAGGCCGAGTTTTCGCCGACAGATCCCTTTTCGACGTCGATGTCGGCGCCGAGCGAGAGCGAGGTCGAGCACGGCTGCGAGTAGATCGACGCGGAGCCGAACGTGGACACGGAGACGCGGGAGGAGAGCAGCGCGCGCGGCGGGCGCGCGATGTCCGAGACGGGCGAGGACGCGCGGCTGCCCGGCGCGGAGACGCCGGGCGTCTCGGGCGGCGAGGCGCCGGCGCTGTCGGTGCCCGGGCCCGGCTCGTCGGAGAGATGCGAGCGCGTGACGTACACGTCGATGGCGACGCGGACGTACGCGCTTCCGCGGGCGAGGGCATCATTGAGCAGCGGCGCGATCCAGCGGATGTGGGATGCGTCGCGCACGTTCCAGACGAGACGGACCTGAGATGCGGCGGAGGTGTGCGTGCGCGCAGCGGAGATGATCGACGCCAGGTGTGCAAGGCCGTAGCTCACCCCCGTGCCGCCTGTAATGAGGAGCAAGTTCGCGAAGGCGTTCAGGTCGGGGGGCGTGCCGTAAGGCCCGTCGAGTGCGAACCGGGGAGAGGAGGTGAGGAGGCGGTGGGTGAAGCCTGCGTGGCCGCGGATGAGGAAGACCGCCTCGGTCGGCGACGCGAAGGTGAAGGGGTGTGACTGGGTGCCGGTGCGGAGGTAGCCGTGCTGCCCCGCCTTCCACTTGAGGCGAGAGGGCACGCGGACGCGGACGACCTCCGGCGAGAGGCGCTCGATTTCGGGCTTGCCTGCGCTGATGGAGTTGATGGCGAGGCGGGTGAGGGAGACCACGCGGTCGAGTACCCACAAGCCGAGGCCAGCGCTGATCCATGCCTTGTAGTACCAAGTGGGGGCGTGAAGCCAGCAGCCGACGAGCGTGGCCACGAGCATGAGGATGTGGATGGCGATAAACACCTCGTAAGCCGCGCGGCGGAGTGGCGCAACGGACGACACGGCCATGACGAGGAACGGGATCCATGCCACCAGGCCGGTGATGTACATCCAGCTGGGCTTGAAGCCCTTGAGGAGGAACGGGATTGAGTGGATGCTGGCCATGAGGATACACACGCGTCCGGCGGCGCGGTGAAGCCCCTTGAGTGCGTGCGGACTGACGCCGGTAATGGCGCTCAGGACGGAGTTGCGCGACGCAAGCCCGATCACGAGGGGCAGCTGAGCGAAGGCGGCGTGCCCTGTCGGCTTGAGGTAGCGGAGCTCGCCGTCCTTGTACCCGGACCAGAAGGTGATGCCGACGACGAGGCCGGTGTATACAAATGTTGTGAGAAGCTCGGCGCCAGTCGCGCGCCAGAGCAGGAGCGGGTAGCGGCGGACATGCATGACGTTCGCCCAGGTCGCGCCAGCGGCTGCGCGGACGATGCCGACGTATGTGAGGCGGCGCGGGGCCGACTCGCAGATCGAAACGCGCCAGCTTTCGCGCGCGCGCTGCGCGCCGATGCGCTTGCGGGCTAGGCGAGTGCGTACATGGTCGATGAGGTGTTGCGCCGCGAGCAGGACAACGACGCCGCCAATGATCCACCAGATCATGTGCTGGCCTTGGAACTGCTGGGCGGCGCGGGCGCGCCGCGCTGCCTGCGCCGCGGGCGAGGGCTTAGTCAAGCTGTGAGCGGACATCTGGAGTCAGTTGAGTCCGTGGGACTTGGTGGCTTTGCTCTACTCACTTCTGTGTTGATGCTGGACATGACCATCTGCTTGGCTCTTATACCTGTGCATCATGGGACTCTACGACTATAGCTATCAAACTTGCAGTGGTCACAAACGGTGCCATCGTTCTGGGGCCGCTGGCGGAGACGGGGCTAGGAGGGTCGTTCGACATGCCGCCGACGGAGCATTCGATCGTGAGCACGTGTGCGGCAAGCGAGTCACTCGCTAGCTTGCTAGTCCGGGGTCCCACCGATGTTCTGGCCCATCAGCCAGCGCCAGCGCCTTCTGAGAATTCTAGGAGACTTGTCGACGTACACAGGGTTAGATCTACGTCAACGGCCCTTCTGAACAAACTCAGCGTTACATGAAACTGAGCTTAGCCAGGCGTCGTCAGTGCCAAACTCTGTCTCAGCGCTGGATACTTTAAGCTGTGACCGCTCAAACTACCTGGGCAAGCAGGAGTCTTGGGCGCCAAGATTAAAGCTTGGTCAAGTTTGGAAGCGTGCGGAAGGAGTTTCTGGGATGAAGAGTTGTGCGACGCCCCCCGAAAAAAATAAACAGAGCAGGCGTGCCTGCCCAACAGTTCGTCGATCGTCGACGAGGACAGCCAGCTCTCCACCCTCACCTTGGCTCATAATCTGATCCCCCTTTATCTCCTCGGGGATACGAAGTGGCGCCGGCTGTCACCATGGAGTCCGGGTGTCGTCTCGGTATGCTCGATGTCGAGGGAAACCCGGGCATGTGATCGATTTAGGCAGAAGTGATCGCACGCCACGTCAGGTCCTATTGAATTCGTGACTCACCGTGGTGAATTGTTTCATTCTGATAGCCGGTCTAGATACCGCCTGCTCGCTTCATGTCTTGTTGCAACGGCTCTTGCAACTTTTCGTGCTTGCGCTTAGTTGGAAGCTCAGAAGCCCAATCGACCTACGGGGGCCCTCCGCCTGCTTTGCCATGCTTCAGGAGGGCCGGGCAGGCTAACCACAAAAGGAGAGCAAAAAGACGTGCTCGCACGCTGAGTCGAACAGCGGTTAGCTCGGGTTGAGACATTCAGCCACAACGAACTGTGATAACCACCTACACTATACGAGCTGGTCAGACGGTTGATGGAGGGGCTCAGCTCCGCAATATTATCGGCCTGCACACTGCAACGGCCCTCCACTTCATCTTGTTTTCTCGGCACAATTCACGACTCGCAAACACAACTACGCCGGGCGTTTATGTCGTTATCTCTGCCCAATGGCCGTGATCGTGCCACTTAGGATACATCTTCTACTGTCATTGTCCCACAGACCATCCCTTCCGCCTCCTCCTGGCCCATTGGTTGTGACACCGCACAGACCTTCTGACTCTCTAAATCTCCGTCTATGCTCTAGTCTGCGCGTGCGCAGCTTTTCCTGCCCTTGGCCACCGCGTCCCCTTGCCCCTGTTCTACGCTGGGCTGGCTCGTGCACATTGCTCTGCTCCGTCTGAGGCGGACACTCAGACGCCATTGCCGCGTCCCTTGCCCTCTTCGTTCGGCCAGACCCGAGTATCGTTGCGCAATGCCAGCATCTCCTCCCGCATGCGCCGCACCTCGTTTGTGCGATCGCGGATGTCAATCTTGAGTCGTTTCTGCTCCTCCTGAAGCTCGGCCTTGCGGCGATCCAGTTGATCCAGACCACCGCCCACGGCAGCGAGTGCAGCCTCATCGGCGCGGATTAGGGCGAGCGCTGTGTCCAGGTACCCCTGCAGCGTGTAGAAGTACTCCTTTGCGCGGCCGACCATCTCGTCGTCTTGAGGCTGGTGAGGCACTTTAGGTGTGGAGGGTTGACTGTAAGATGCGGATCGTGGCCCCGCACTCACTCGTTGAGAGGAATGTGGGTGGGCTAGGGGGAGGGCCGAGGGTTGATGTGAGTTTGCACGCAAACGCGAACTGGAGGCGGAGACTGTTCGTTGCTGACCCTGCTGGGAGTTTTGAGGCTGCTGGGAATGCTGGGAGTGCTGTGGGTGTGGTTGTGGATAGAAGTGAGGTTGGGCGTTGGGGTGCAGTTGTGAAGGGTAAGGCGGTCGCGAATGCGATGACGGCACTGAGTATGATGTCGACCGGGATCTTGGTCCTGGATGCATTGAAGGGTGGTGCAAGTGATGAGCGTCTGTGATACTGATGTGTGGGTTTCGATGCTCGGGATCGAGGGGAGAGTTGGCGGAACGGGATGTTGTTGCTGGACTCGGAAGGCTCTCGTGTTCTCGGCTGGTGGTTGAGACGGAGCGATGATGTGATGGCCCGCTGACGCTGCGGAAGGATGGCCCTTCATTGGATCGTCGCGGAGCTGGACGAATGTCGCGATGCTCCAGCCCATCCGGAGAGACATGTCGGCGTTTGCGCGGTGGTTCACTAGCATGTTAGCGCGCAGCGCTGACCGTCGGCACACCACCCACAAGGTCACTGGGACCCACACCCACCTGTCTTCTCCGTCCTGCTGGGGCGCCGTCGCATCGCTGCGTTCAGCCCCCGCCATCCAACCAAGGTGTACCCACTGCCTAAGGTCTGTTTCGCCGACAACTCCTGCCCGGACGAGCTGGTCAGCGTTTGTGTTTGCGGGCCAGCGCCGCTCCGTTTGTTGCCTATCCGTTTGTGAGGGTGCATTGATCCGCATGACAGTGATGACCTCGTCAAGATCGGCAAGCCACTCGGCCTCGCTTCCGCACGAGTCGTATGGTGCGCTCTCACGCCAGTGCGCAACCCACTGCAGCACTGTCTTGTCGTCTTGGAAGGCCTTCTTGGTGGCAGCACACACGTATCCCGCCCCCTCTCGTCTTGCAAAGCACTTGACACGTGCCTCCGTGCATGCGCAGCACGCGAGGCGCAAAGGTAGCAGAATGGCATTTTCATCGAAGAAGAGCTTTTCCTAGGTATTAGCGTGGCGATAATGAGGCCTAAGTTGGGTGGAGCTCACAAGCTCGCGGTTCTCAGTGTCGTTGACGGCACGCAAGGTTAGCGCATACGTGTTAATGACCGTGCCAATTCGCCGGCTGGGGCCACGGTTTGCAAAGAATGGAGTAGCCCGGACAACATTCGGATGCACGCGCCCCGGGGTACTGCCCACAGCCGCCTTAAAGGCCGTCATCCCGTCAATGTCGCCGAGAATGAATGAGAGGTGCTTTCGGCGAAAGCGCTCCCCGTCCAGACTAAGTGCTGCTGGTGTTGGGGGTGGCATGGTGGTGAGGAAAGGTGGGGCGAAAGATGCCTCGCTAGGTGGAACTGGAAGGGCCTCGAAGGTTGGGAATGGGTCTAGGTAGTGCAGTCGGGGGCGCGGACGTAGGCGTGTTGTCGTGAGGCTGTTTTGGTGTTGTTGATCTGATTCTTGCAGTTATGACTCGAACCAGCGAGAGGAGGGACGGAGAAAATGACGACGGGGCGAAAGAATAGAAGTTGAGAGGTGAGCGATGGGGGAGCTCGGCGGCGGAAGTTGTGGGCCGCGCAACTGGATACGATTGCTAGGCTGTGGCCTGCAGCAGAGAGTCAGCACAAGCCAATGGCGAGCACAGATGGTGGGGGAGGGAGTGCAGATCGAGAGGGTCTTGACGAGCGCGAGGAGACAAGGCGGGAGGGCACGTGCTGGTCAGAGCCGAGTGCACAGATCGCACAGCACAGAGCGAGCTGGAATCAAGAGGTTGAGGCTGATCTCGGAGGAGAAGAGCAGCAGAGAAAAGACGTTGGAAGTGAAAAGGAGGCAAAGGGCGCGGGAGAGAAAGAGAGATTGAAGAGTGAAGAGAGAAAAGTGAGGTGGATGAGAAAGAATTGAGAATTGTTAACAGACCATGTAACACGCGACAGCCGGTTGAGTGATGAGTGAGGGAGAGAAGGAAGGTCAGTGCAGTGGCGTTTGCTCACTCTCCGCTCAGACCTCGTCACTCGGCCGCCACGCTCCTCGCATTCCCCTGCACAGCACATCCCTCTCCCTCTTTCTCTTTCTCTTTCTCTTTCTCTTTCTCACTCATCTCTCTCTCGTTATCTCTTGTGCTGTGCTTTCTCTCTCTCTCCTTTCACACTCTCTCACTCTCTTGCTCTCTGTCTCCCTCTCTCTCGTGGTCTTTCTCCATCTCGCGTTCTCTCTTTCTCCTCATCTTTCGCACAGCCCTCACGCACTGTCCTCTCTTCCCCATCTCGTGTGCACCTCTTCTCCTCATCGAAACCACACTAATCTTCGTCCTCGTCCTCTCCTCCCCCTCCTCGTCCTCCTCCTCCTGCTTCTAATTATCAGCGCAAGTCACAGCTTCACCCACAGATCTCCTTGCCTCGTACTCAACACTGACCCCCTCTTGCACCTGGCACCTTGCGCTGTGACCTCCCCCTCATTCTTCTTCTCTGGCATCTCTCTTGCCCCCGCACATCGCCATGGAACTCCGACGATCAGTGGCTCGACCCACATCAGGCTCAAGTGTCCTGGCATCTGCCGCTACATTGTCGCATTCCGCCATCGCGCGCTCTGCTCCTGATCTCCTGGTAAAATGATCCATTCTTCCGAACCCCTGTCCCCTCAGCATGCCACAAGTCGCCGTGGCGTCGCGACGCGCGGCGCGCGGCCTACCAGGCCCTGTAAGTTTCTCATGCCGCTCATCCCCGCACTTGACGAGACCACCATGGTCGTTGTGGCGTTGTGGCGCTCCCCAACTTCACGATCCACGGGTGACAGTTCAGTGCGTCACCCCGAGCCGACGCGACGCAACGCGACGCAAGGGCGGCGGCGGACAGACCGGCGGGCCGGCGGACGCCATCCCACCCCGGAATGCGGGGGCCAAACCGCCCTCCACCGCCAGCCCTGTCCGAGTGTGTACTACTGTACATGTGCCGTGCTGGTTAACGCTCCTGAGATGAATGGGCAAGTGTGCCAGTTTGGTGTCACCTCTCGTCTTTTGTCGTGATGGACGACGAAATTGATCCGACGCAGGCAACGCTCCGGCGAAGTGGAGGTGAGGAATTTGAGAATATTCTCCGCTGCGAGCGCTCAAGCTGTTCGCGCCCGCATCTCCATCTCCGACGGCAACTCGAGACCTTGACACCCGTCGTCTCTAAATTCTACGTGTTGCGATTAATAACTGCGCCAACTGGAAACCATCACCTAAACCTGGCGTCCGAACCCGTAAACACAAGGCTCACCCTTATACACCTAGCATTCAACGAGCACAGGCCCCCCAAGCACAGACTGAATAGACAAGGCTCGGTCCCACAGCGGGGTCGCTTCTCGCGGGCCCCCTCACCCCCCTCCGTCCTCCGTTGTGCACATACTCATCCTCACTCCTCTCACATACTTACTCTTGTGCTCGCGAACGTATCCAGCGTTCTCCATGTCCACATCCACATCCACTACCACTACCACATCCGCTTCTATTTCGGGCTCGCCTCCGGCGTCAGACTCTGGTGATTCCACGCCCAGACTGAGCACTCGCAACGTCGTGAGCGCCATTGGCCAGCTTCGCAACACCCAGGCTGAGGCAGATGTGCGTCGCGTTGACATCTCCCTGGCTGAAAATACTGCTGATACCAGCTATTGCAATTCAAGGCTGCCCTCGAGACTGAGAAGCGAGAGAAACGGAGACACCGTCGTGGTGGGGAAAGCATAGCCAGCATTGCTAGCGTCGCCAGCGTGGCGAGCGTCACCAGCGTCGTGTCCGTCATCTCGGTGCGGTCAGGGTCACGGAACCGGCGCAAGGATGGAGAAGGCCGGGGGCGCGAGCGGGAGCGAGAGCGTGAGTGCGAGCCACGAGCGAGGCAAGACGAGGGCACTCAGCACCGTGGGGTGAGTCAAGGCACCAGAATGCTGGGATGACGGGTGCTGACGCCGCTTGTAGCGCCGTGGCAGTCTCAGCTCGCCCGAGCGCCCACGCACGCGGCGCATACTGGAAGATATGGCGCATCCGGTCACGGAGCTCGAGCGGTGTATCCACGAGCTGGCGGTCGAGGAGGAGCGGGGGCGGGGAAGGTAGTTGGCTTGGAACAGAACGAGCGGAGGCAGTGCCTTCTCGGAAAATGATGCGGTTGTGCTGCCACGACATGAAGCGAAGTGAGACTCGCCCATGCGCCCCAGAGCCCGTACCATGCTGACAGCACGCGTCACTGCATTCACCTCTAATCTCTACTCATCTGCGCGCATCCGCGCCTCCAGCTCACCCAACACAGCGTCAAGGGCGCGCACGAACACCTCGGCATGCTCGCGCGTCAGTGTCAGCGGCGGCTTGATCTTGAGCACGTTCTGGCGCTCGCTCGTAGGCTGAATGATGACGCCGTAGTCGAGCATGCGCTCGCACACCCACATGGCCTCAGCCGCCGCGGGTGCCTTGCTCGTGCGATCGCGCACAAGCTCGATCCCCTGGTATAGCCCCATGCCATGCACGCAGCCAACAACGTCGTGGCGGCGCATGAGCTCGCCGAACCGCGCGGCGAGCAGGTCGCCCACATCCGCCGCGTTGGCCTGCAGGCCCTCGTGGCGCATGATGTCGAGCACAGCGAGGCCGGCCACAGCGCTCGCCGTTGCACCGCCCGCTGACGAGAAGAACATGCCCTCGCGCGCTAGGCTCGCTGCAATCGCTGGCGTCGTGAACACCGCTCCGAGGGGATACGCGTTTCCCAGCGCCTTCGCGACCGCCACAATGTCAGGCACCACGCCTTGCTCGTGCACGCCCCATGCGTGGTGGCCTAGTCGGCCCAGGCCCACCTGTACCTCGTCGGCGATGCACAGCCCGCCGCGCGCACGCACCGCCTCATACACGCGTGCAAGGTAGCCGGCCGGATACAGGACGCCGCCGCCGTTCCCGAACACCGGCTCGGCGATGAAAGCGCCAGCGGGCGTGCCCGCCGCATCGAGAGTTTCGAGGAGGGCCTCGACGCCCGCCGCGTACGCCACCCCCGAACGCGCATCGCGGTACGGGTTGACGGCCTCAGCTATGTGTACGTGTGCGGGCCGGCTGCCCAGCGCGCTGGGATTGTCATAGGCGCTCGTGCTCACGGCGTCGGCCGCGGCCGTCCAGCCATGGTAGGCTTCGCGGAGGGCGACAACGTCGCGTCGCCCGGTATGCGCGTGTGCGAGCTTGAGCGCGAGCTCGACGGCCTCGCTTCCGCTATTGACGAGGAGGACGGCGCTGAGGCTCGTGTCTGGTGCGAGGGCGCGCAGGCGCTCGACGTACGCCGCAAGCGACGCGTACAGGAACCGGTTGTTCGTGTTCAATGTGAGCAGCTGTGCCGCAACCGCGTCGGCCAGCCGCGGGTGCCCGTGCCCCACACTCGCGACGTTGTTCACCATGTCGAGGTATCCGCGACCCGCCGTGTCGTAGAGTACCTCGCGCCACCCGCGCTCAATGCCCGGCGGCAGCTCGTAGTACCGCTCCGCCGCGCTGGCCGTCACACCCTCGCGCCGTGCGCGCTCCGAGACAACGTCAGGCAGCCAGTCGGCAGGAGGGAGGCCCAGCAGTGCAGCGGGGTCGAACGTCATCCGCTTCCAGGCAGGAAGGAATGCCGCGTCGACAAACTGCGGCGCAGAGGCCGTCCCGGGCCGCAGCCACTGTACCGTTACTTCGCCGTCTGGTGTCAGCTGCAGCTCGAGCGGAGCAGACTTACCCGCGGTGCTGAACACCTTGTCAGCGGCAATGGCGCCGCTCGTGCCCGAGACCCCGCGGAAGATGATCCTTCCAAATGCGCCGATGAGGCTTATTTCACCAGCACTGGCCTTCAACTGGCCTGAGAACGGCGCGCGTAGTTGTGTTCCCGACGGAACGTGCACGGAGAGGACTAGCGGCGTAGTTGCCGGCGCATTAGGCCCCGGTGTGGTGGTGCGCGTCAAGCGCGGCTCGCCATAGGCAAAGACCGGCGCCACGCCTGTGCGTGCGGCTTCAGCTGCGATCCGCTCCTCCGCGTCCCGGTCCAAGAAAACGCCGCGGTGCAAGAGCGGCGAGGTGCTGTCGAGAGGGACGTATTTGGCCTTCACGTCCGGACTCAGCACTCGCGCTCTGGGTGTGGGCACCGCGTCGTCCGGTCTCCCCGTCGCCGCGCGCACCGCAGCGGTCGCGAGGCCGAAGGGGAGCTGTGCCGCCGTGTCGAAGATGTGCCACTCGTGCTCCATTCTCTCCGCGACGTAGGCATTGTCCGGCTCGAGGGCGAGCTGGTGCGCGCCGCTCGCGACGACAACAGCGCCACGGAGCACGACGAGGGGCCAAAGCGCGGCGAGCTCGGCATCAGTGAGGCGCACTTGCGCATCAAACGCCGCGACGGCGGGCATGGCGTCGAGTGGCCGCGCACGGTTATGGTGCATGATGCAGGAGAGTGTGACGGCGAGCTCTGCGACGCGCCACCCGGCGCCGAGGTCGCCCCAGTCGATGACGGTGTCGGGGCGGACGCGGCCGAGCGCATCGCGTAGCCCCACGACGTTGTCGTCCGTGATGTCCCCGTGGATCATCTGCACGGGGAGGTCGTGGGCCGTGACGAGGGGCCACGCTTCGCGCGCCTTCGCGAGCACCGCGGCGCGGCGGGACTCGTCGCGTATGCTCGGCGCATACGCTTCGATCACGGCCATGGCGTTCCGCATATCCCATTGCAGGTCCCGCTCGAGGCGGGGCATCGGTGCCAGCGTGGCTGCGACGCGGCCGGCGAGCGTGCCGAGCCGCGAGATGATCGAGGGGAAGAGGTGCCCGTCAGAGACGAGGGATTCGCCCTCGACAAACGAAAGGAGGCGGGCACGCACTGTGCGCCCGTCGAGCGTGGTCGCGCGGCTGATCCATGCGCCGCTGCCGTCGCGGAGCGGCGTCGGCACGCTGATGCCCGCAGCGGAGAGGTGGAGGAGCGCGTCGTTCTGCGCCTCCAGCTCCGCGGTCGAGAACGCGTCGTTGTCGAACTTGAGCAGGTAGCGGGGTCCGCTGGTGGTCAGGAGAAAGTTCCGGTCTTGGTTGCTGCCTAGCTCCTTCACGCTGCCTTCGAGAGAGTAGGAGGCGCGTGCGATCACGAGCGCGTCGTCGGCCGTCACGAAGGGGCGGAGGAGCGGCTGCTCCGCGTGTGCGTCGAACATGGTGATGGGGAGTGGGCGTGAGAGCTTGTCGCCCTCGATGCCGAGGGTTATGGGCAGCGAAGAGTGAGAATGGGCATCTGTGAGGTGAGCGTTCACCCGTTATCTGCCGCATACCCCGGATAATCGGGTAGTTGGGTAATCGAGCCAGATCACCGAGCTACGCTAGGAGTGACTATGACGAAGAGGCGAGCGCTCAGCGAGGAGAGCGGTGTCACTCCACCCACGAGCGACTGCGTGGAGGGGAGGCCGCGCGACGAGGCGGGTAGTCATGGAGGAGATTGTACACGTCCGCGGTGATCTGCGCGGTTGATGGGGAAGGCTCCGCGATGTGAAGTGCGGAGCGAGCGGTGGGCATCAAGGAGTTGAAGAGTGTGTAGGATGCTCCAGTCATAGCCCCAGCTTCAGTGCTTGTTGTTGTGTAGCGCCAACATCATTTGGCAGGTCGTCACTCTCGCTCCCGGGGCCGACACGCACCCGACAGCGCGCCTGCCTCGATAAGGTCGGGTGCCTGAGTAACCGGCTGGTTTCTGCAGTCCATCGGCCACATCTCGGCACCGACAGACCTCTACCTGCAACCTGGCCGCTGGCCGTAAGCATCGTGAGGAATCCCGAACCGCCGCCTCCTGACTGCCGGCGGCAGTGGGTGTGTGAAGAGGCCGTGGTGATGGCCGAGGGTCGACCTGATCGTCGCCGGCGGGCAGGTTGTGGGTGACACCATGACATCGGACTGCGACGCCCACAGCGCAGGATGTGCTTCTTTTCTCTCACGATCTCACGCACAGCGTGCCCACTCACACCGTGCATCAAAAATGTCATTCAAGTTCTTGACAGAGCGTCGGCAGTCCCACAAGCTCTCTCCACCACTGACCACTACCCGCGGCCATGCCTCCCCTTGACTTCTTCATTTCGCAGTGGACGCCGCTGCCCGCCTCCCCTAAGGGCCATGTGCTGAGGGGCAAGACCGTGATTCTCACCGGTGCCAACTCTGGTGAGCTCCTCTTACACTCCGGCTGACCATAGGCATTGGTCTGGCGGCAGCGCACCAGCTCGCTGCCCTTGAGCCGGACCACCTTATCCTCGCATGTCGCAATATCAAGACTGGCGAAGCGGCGCTTGCTTCTGTCTGCAAGCAGTCGCCACACGTCAACGCGGCCGTGTGGGAGCTTGACCTGGCCTCGTTCGCCAGCGTCAAGGCATTCGCTGAGCGCGCCAACACGGAGCTCGACCGCGTCGACGTCGCAATTCTTAATGCTGGGTGCGTAGCCTCATCGTCCACATCTAACCGCAGGATAAGCCCCAACCGCGCGGCGCCCATGAAGACAACCGAGGACGGGCACGAGGCAACGTACGGCGTTCTGCCCCATCCACTGACACCAGACACCAAGTCAATGTGCTCGCGACGATCCTCCTCGCGCTCCTCCTCGCGCCGGCGCTGCACCGCTCTCCTGCACCACACCTCGTCATCACCTCGTCCGAGGTACATGGCTGGGCCGACCCCGCGCCGATTATCGCGCCGCTGCGCGCCAATCGTCCTATCTTGACCGACTTCGACGATCGCGCCCTCTACATCGGCCACGACCGCTACTTCGTCTCCAAGCTGCTCCTGCAGCTGATCGTGCGCCGCCTCATCCCCGCGCTTCCCCGCGTCGTAATCGCGTCCGTCAACCCCGGCATGTGCGCCACCAACCTCATGCGCGACGTCAGCTTTTCCTCCCTCGCGGACCTGCGTGAACTCCTCCCCTTCGCCCACATCATGCCGTTTATGCGCGGCGCCGGCCGCGGCGCCGCCATGGTCGTCCTCGCGGCTGTGGCCCCCGAGAGTGCCGAGTACTGGCACGTCGGGGTGGCGGCGAGCGCGCCGAGCGTGTTCATGGCCACTATGAGCGGCATGCGCGCGGGGGACCAGTACTTTGCCGAAGTGATGGCGCTGTGCGAGAGGGTCGCGCCGGGGAGCACGGCGGTGCTCCAGCGCTAGATCAATCAGCCCCTGCCACAAAAGGTGGAAGACTCGTGGGAGTCACAGACATGTGTGCCATAGATGACTAGACAGAGCGAGACAATGTTAGTGTAAACTGTTGTAAGTGGCGCTTGGGTTGAACCGCCCGTGGGTCGACTCCTCACCGCACTAGCCCAAACTTCCATGCAAGACTACAATCGGACGCGACAGAAACAACCTACAACCCGATCTTCAGCCCGACCCTTACGCTTTCGTGTACACCTTCTCGCCTTCAAACCATGTCTCCCTGACCACGGTCGATGCGAGCTTTTCGGGGGCGACGCCGTACGGGTCGCGATCGAGCACGACAAAGTCGGCGCTCTTCCCGACGGTGAGCGAGCCCGTAAACGCCTCGATGCCAAGCGCCCGCGCGGTGTTGATAGTGTACGCCGCGAGCGCCTGGTCAATGCTGATAGCTTGGTCCGGCGCCAGCTGGCCGGGGTGCTGGCCGGTGGGGTCGGCGCGGGTGATGAGGCCTGCGATGCCCGTCCACGGGTTCGGGTCAGGCATGACGGGCCAGTCCGAGCCGCCCGAGATGATGGCGCCCGACTCGGCCAGGCTGCGGTTGGGCGCGATGCGCGCGATATCCTCTGCGGGGCGCACAGCCTCCATAGCCTCCACGAGGATGCTGGGGAACCAGAGGGGCGGGGAGATGTCTGCGACGACGCCGAGCTCGCGGAAGCGCTTGATGTCGTCTGGGTTGACAAACTGGCCGTGGGCGACATGGAATAGCGTATCGGCATGTCCCGCCGCGCGCACCTTCGCAACGGCATCGAGCACGAAGCGCACACTCGCGTCCCCGCAGCAGTGCACCTTGACGTTGATACCCTTTGCGGCGCAGTGGAGCAGCCAGTGCTCGAGCTCGGCGTACGGCATCGTCGTGTGGCCCTTGTGCGCGCACCCATGACTCTCGGAGGGGAGGTACGGCTCGAGGAATGCGCCGGTGTAGCTCATCGGCACGCCGTCAAGGAAGATCTTGGCGAAGTCGGGGCGGTGGTGCGCCGAGCGCGTCACCTCACGGTGCGGGAAAAGCTCTTCGCCGAGCTGCTCGGCGCCGAAGACATGGTCGTTGATGAGCATACAGCTGCTCGCCCAGATCTTGAGCTCGCCGCGGTCGTCGAGCTCCTTCAGGCCGTTGAGGGTATGCAGCGTGGCGCCGGCGTCGAGGAACGCTGTGACGCCCACGGCGTGCATAGTCTTGATTGCGTCCGCTGAGCACGCGGCCGCCTTATCCGTCGTCATGGGGTCGGCCTTAGCCGCCGCCTTAGACACCATAACGCCGGCGCCCTCGAAGAGCAGGCCAGTCGGGCGCCCGTCCTCGTCGCGCACGATCACGCCGCCCGAGGGGGGATTCGGTGTGTCGTCCTCGATGCCCGCGGCGCGCATCGCCGCCGTATTGGCGAAGCGGTTGTGGTGGCTGTCGTCCGTGAGGATGACTTTCTTGTCCCCACTGATGGCGTCGAGCTGTTTGAGCGGCCCCGAGGTGCTCAGCTCTCCGAGAAGCTGTGAGCCCCAGATGCTGCCGTGCACCCACTCGGCATCGGGGTGCTCGGCGATGTAGCCCTGCACGGCGGTGCAGATGTCATCCACACTCGCCGTGTCGGGAAACTTGAGCTCGAAGACGTTGTGCAGACCCGCAATGCCGTGGTGGTTGTGCACGTCCATGAGGCCGGGCATGACCGCTTGTCCGTCGAGGTCGACGATGCGGGTCGTGGCGCCCTTGTACGCCTCGACGTCGGCGGCCGAGCCCACGGCCAGCAACTTGCCGCCCGCGACGGCGAACGCCTCAGCGGAAGGCTGCGCGGGGTCCATCGTCCGCACGACGGCGTTGGTGACAATCAGGTCGGCGATCTCAGTCTGTGTCATCGGTGGGGATGTGTGGGAATGAGGCGAGTACCGCTGCGCGCATCGACATTCTTATGCTGGAAACAAGCGACAAGCGAGAATCAAGCTGGGGAGCTGGCCATCGCCACTCAGAGTCCCCTACGCTGCCCACCTTGGTGCCTCGGGGTCTAGCTATCATCGCGAGGAGAATGAGGAGGACGAGCACAAGATGATGCCGCGTGACTGATATCAGGAGCGCGTTGGCGGTCGGCAATACCAAGTGATTGGCTCGGGCCGGAAGTGGCCGAGGTATCCAATCGCTATCTCCGGCTCTTCCGATTCTGTCAGAGTTCATCCTCTTCTACTTCTTCCACGCAATTGCTGCCTGCTCGGTCGGCGGGCTGTTTAACCCCCAGCGAAGACGAGACCCCACCAGACAGAGCAGTGTGCGCCCTCGCGAGCTCAACGAGGCGTCGTGGTGGGCAGCGCACCGCCGGGCGCCGTGGCGTCCGATGGCGCTTGTTGGTGGCGAACGCCTCGCTGAGATGGTAACTGACCGCCCATCAGAAGCGTGATGCCGGCGCGGGCGGAATGTACATTTGTGTGGGACGTGGGTGCTGCATGACTTATCCTAGGCTAGTGGGCTTCATCAAGGTATGCACAACTCGTGGCGAGATCGGCATCATCAAGCGTTCCAGACAGGCCGCCCACCGAGGACGGGCGAGTGAACACTGTGCGAGTTGCAGGCGCCCATAGCCCCGATACGGGGGAGACGTTTGGCGCTGGATCGCGTCACTGTTACGTTGCTCTACATAAGGAGAGAGCCTCCGCTGCGATCCATGGTGAGGAGGGCAGTCCACAGGAGTAAGACGTTTCTGGTGTGCCGAGCATTCATGTCTCCAGCCGGCCCAAGTCGGCCGATCTGAGCGAGTCCTGCCCCTCGTGAGCGAGCCTGCGCGCGAGCTCCTCGCCAGCATCGACGATGCGGACGGTCATGGAGGCATGTACATGCGCCCGCCTGTGCACGGCGGCGGGTACTGGCGTGTTCTGGCGCGTGGGGCGGAACACGACGTCGGCGAGCGGGTACGAGCTGGCAACGTGGTAGTGGCGCGTGTGGTTGATCCTGAGGTAGCGGAGCCGGCCTTTGCGGAGCTTGGCGTCGAGCCCCACCCAGCGGTCGCCGCACTCGCGCTCGGCGGCAGCGTTGAGGCCTGGGCGGCAGGCTTTGCGCTCGTTCAGGTTGATGAGGCGGGGAGAATGGACACGAGGGGCAGTAGAAGGGGTGGCAGTGGTGGGGGTGGCGGCGGGGGTCGCTGCGTGAACAGGGGATACGGCTACGGAACGCGGAGGGGCTAAGTGAACAATCTCAGACTCGGTGTCGCCTTCGGAGAGGACGAGGACGTACTCGCTATCGCTATCTGCGTCCGAGGCCACATCAGCGACAGTGATACGAGCATCGTCGTGTGTAATGGCGAACCAGTCGTCCAGGTCAGTGACGGAGGCCCCCCGGGGAGGCGAAGGCCAGTATAGGCCTGGCGAAGCCATTTCAGGGATTCTGATTGTGAGTGGGGACTCTTGCCACCTGGTAGAAGATCTTATCAGTAAACTGCAGCGACCATGACTGCTACGATAGGCATGAGGTGTGAGTAAGTGGGTGAGTCGGCACCCGGATCCGAGATCGAGAATGTTGACTCCGCCGCGAATCGCACACACCTGTTCTGAGAGGTAGTGACATCGTTAGGGCTGGACTGTCATGTAAGCCGACGCACTGAAAACAAGAAGCAGAGAATGATCTTAGCCTTGGTCGAGTCGGCATATTTCACGAGCAAAACGGTTCAAGGCACGGGGAACCAAACAATATGTACTTGGTCTGGCATTGAGAAACCCGATCCTTCGCCTCTAGCGAAATCGATCACATCCTTTCCATGAGGTGCATCCAATATGTCAGTAAGATGTAAAGAGGTACATAGGTGTCGAGTTTTGCTCCCTTGGCTATCTCAATTTCCCCGCGCTTCCACCCCTTGCTTCGGGGCTTGACAGTTCAAGACTGCTTACAACAGGGCGATCGCCGTGCCGGTGGTACGCTCATGGGCCCCGCGAACAGCTTCACGCACGAGACGGTAAGCGAGCTCCTCGGCGGCATCAACAATGCGGGCAATCATGAGCGGGGGCGGGAAGGCGGATGAGCGGCGCTGCCCGCGACCGACTGCCACTACGCGGCGCTGGAGGAATACGACGTCGGCAAGAGGGTACGAGTCTGGTCCGCGAGGGCGGCGCCTGCAGCAGCCACATGCCCACCAGTTTTTGGCGCTGCGCGTGACCTTGGCGTCGCGGCCGATCCAGCGGTCGTCAAAGGCCAGTGCCGCCAAGGTGTTGAAGCCGGGTGCGGGGGTTACGCGGTCGTTGATGAGGACCACGCGGGAGGCAGGGAGTATTGACGGGGCGTTCAACACGTCGGTTGTCGGCTCGAAAGCGACGGTGCTGATATCGGGTCGGGTTGGAGGGGTGTGTGCCCTCCCCTTCTCGGTCTCCTGGTCAGCGAGGATAGGGATTTCTTCACCGCGGGGCTGGTCGAAAACGAAAGCGTCTTCAGCGTCAGGCGGGAGGGCGACGAGCTGAAAGTCGCCGTCCCAATCCGAGCTGTTGTCGACAGCAGCGACCGCCAGATCCTCGCGAGTAATGGTAAACCACTCGTCCAGGCTGGCGGTGGATCTGGCGGGAGACGAGGCAAGATGCTCGCTGCGCGACAGCTGCATGCTGCCTCCCACCCCAGAGTATCGGGGCGGTGGTTGGAGGAAGTCAGACCTTTAATATTCCGTCAGCGAGATCGTGGGAAGGGAGCGATCAGTGCGCGCGGCGTGTGAGTCGAGTCCGTCGGATCCGAGGGAGCGTCCGCTTCGACTTCGCCAACTGTAAGTAGCGAGCGGAGCAATCTTCGACCCATGTCAGCGAGAGATCCGCTACCTCCAGTCTGGCGGAGCACAACAAGATGGCGTTGACTTAACCATTCTGGTCGACGAAGTGATGTAATCAGCGGTGTCGCAAGAGTGACAAGGATGACATATGGGCATGAGAAACCAGACATGTGCGCAGTGGTCACGCTCAGGGCGAGAGTCGACAACAACAACGTCGTCCAATCCAGTCCGCTGCGCAGTCGTCGCCGTCACCTTGCTCGCCCACAATCACCTGTTTGAGCGCGTCAGCGGCGTGTGTAGAGCCATGTAGAGTTACACGAGGCATGAAGTGTGACGTGACGAGAGCGAGGCCAGAGCTCAGTGCGAGAACGAGGTGAGGGTGCGAAGTGCCTGGCGCACAGAGACTGTGAACCATTCCCGTTCGGCACTCGAGCCCTGCATGCTCATCCGCCCGGAGATGCTCTCGACTCTTCCACATCAACGGTACACTCGACGCTATCGTCAGCATATGCTCACTCCGCCACAGTGCCTCATCTAGAAGCATACCTAGCGTAACGCGCCGCCACTGATTAACAGCCATAGACGACCGGCCATCTGGACATTGTGGACGGCCGGTCTGTACACAACATTATCGCAAGGTATGCGCGGATGAGTCGCCCGGATAGATTAGTGATCCAAGCTTCCGCTCAGACCACTTGAGCTTCGCGCGCCTCACAGTCATCGCCCGTTGGCAGCTCTGGCGCATGTCTGAGCGGGGTCCAGATGGCTAAGCACTGTCCTCCGATCATCTGTCCGGTGGCCTCTGACGCCGAGGCTTAGGAGCACGGCAAGCACGGGCAGTGCACGGCGTGACAGAAGAGTCATGTGCACGCCCCAGCAACATGTCACTCGCGTCAGATTCCTGCGCTGACGCCCCGCATCCTACCCCAATGTTTGTGCAGCCAGGCCAATCGAACTCCCTTCCGCCTCCTCGGACGTCTCTTGTGCTTCGGCAGTGCTGTTGAGCTGCAGTGTCACTCCCATTCCTCATGACTCACAGGACTGCAGGGCAGGCCCGTCTCGGCAGGCGCCTGGAAGTGCCATGTCGACCTGGCGCGTCCAGTGCCTCCGAGGCGCCGAGAAAAACATGTCTGGGGAGAGGATAAACAGACTGTCCACCGAAGCCAGAAGCATATAACCTGCCGACAAACCTACACACCCCCATCCCATCATGTATCACCGAACTCGCTCCAGCTGCGCCAGCTATGGTGAGGCTCCCACCCCGGCCCCGCAGACTGCTCACGGCAGACACCGCCTCCACTGCAGTCTACTCGCTGTCGCGGAGCACATCGTGGAGCGGCATGACTGCCGTCGAGAGCGTCGGCCGCTGCAAGTATCCCACTGCCCCTAAGCAGGCGTTTCCCGTCGTGGTCGAGGCCATAGAACTGGCCCACACTGCACTACCTCCGACGTATCCCATGTCCTCCGCCCCCTCAACTCTAAGACCCGCACGTCCTACACGCCCATTTCCCGGTGTCGACCCTAACCTCTGTGCCGACACTCGTTTTCCTCCCCCGCACCGATTCCGGTTCTCAACTTACGAGCCGGCGCGGCCACCCACTGCCCTGAGCTGTTTCTCGTCGTCAACTACTCATAAGGAGAAGAGCCTGCTCCGGCGCGCAATCACTCACAGCCTCGCCCATATTCGCAACCTTTCCTCCGGTAGTCTTCAACGTGTTCGCTCCCTCTCACGACGCGCCGGCTGTCGGCGCGCGAGTGTCTACGATCCCAAGTTTGTGGCTCTTGACAATCTCCCCGACAAGCTAGAGCCCGCTTCACCCCCCGACCATCGTAGCGCAAGCCGCGTCTCACGCGTCATCCTCCAGGTGCCGCGCGCTGAGCCTCTCCTCCCGGCAGTCCTTGCCGCAGCTGAGGATGTGAAGCTCGAAAACGTTAACCTCACCGCCGCCATTTCCGAGCTGGCTCAGATCGTCACACCTGGCGAGCGAGCCAGAGCAAGCTTGGCGTATCCATTGGCTGGTTCTCGCGAGGCTTCGCGGCCGGACTCGCAGCTCCTCCCACCCATCGACTTCTCTGCTCCGCCTTCCAAGTGCAGACCTCCACTTCCCGCTGACTTTGGCGGGCCGGTAGTCACGTGCTCTCGTCGCGCCAGCAGACCCCAGTTCACATACATTTAGTGTGCTCATGACCGACACGACTTGATCATGCGGATGTGTATATAGCCCACCGTATCGATGTTTGACATGTGTGTGTGTGTGTGTGTGTGTGTGTGTGTAGTTTAGTTGTCTCCATGCCATTTATGCTTGAGAGTGATTGAGTGGACAATCGAAAGAAACACCCATTACAGATCCGCAAAAACCAAAAGAGAGATCTGGACGAGTTAGGAATCGAACCAAAGACCTTGTCAAGAACAGATAAGGCTCCACAGGACAGTGGACATGCTAATGACACGCTCTACCAACTGAGCTACACGCCCGATGATCTCTACGGGAGCGAATGGCCAACCGTTGTGTATGTATGTACTTCCTATGGGGGCCTTACCCTTCCTTCCCCCCAAAGCTCGGGCCTACTGCATACCGTCAACTCCCAGAAGACAAAACGTGTCAACGTGGGCAACGTCTCTCTGTATCTTTTGCTCTTCTTGCTCGCTTTCACGTCTTGTCGCGATCATCTGGTATCCTCGGCACATCACTGCTCACCGCGCGCATCGTGCTCATCACTCGCATTGACTGACTCCCTCCTAATAACAGATTCCCGCCCATCCCCTGTTGCGGCCGCAGCCAGCCTCTGATGTGCAGCTTCCAACATGCACAACATGCGGTATCGATATCCTCTCTCTCCAATTTCATCTTCCTTCATTCACCATGCGTGTTCCAAGCTCTCCCAAGCCTCGCTCGCCGTCCCCGAGTCGCCCTCAACGACCGCACCTCCGCCCGCTGCTCCTCGCCAGTCGTGCCCGTACCTCGCTTGCTGGGCCGATGCTACCCTGGCCCGGTCTGAAGCGGGCTGCCATATCATCCCCACATAACTACAAGGTGCAGACTGTCGTCGCCCCAACTCACGCCAGATGACGAAGAGTGCAGCGCAACGCCTCAATCGCATCTCTCGTGGAATTGCTCGCGGGGCTAGTCATCAGGGCATCTCCTTTCTGAACCAGAGTATCGCCATCCCACACATTATGGTTACACCTCCGGCGCAGAGCCCCTCAACGCGGACGACACCCGGTCTCCAGCTCACTCTCACTGCCGTCGAGCTCCCGGAGCGGTCGTCGTCACTCCGAGCTACCGCCTCGCCTTTGGAGCCGGACTTACCTGCCTCTGTTGAGGTCGATCATCGCTTCCTCGGTCCCCATTACGCCCCCCCTCTTTCGTCATCTTCTTCTTTAGCCCCTCCTTCGTCATGTCCTACTCCAGTTCCTCCTCCGATTCCTCCGCGCAACTCGCCATGGCACAACCTGACTGCAACCAACCGCCAATCGGCCGCTCAAGCTCCGCCGAATGCGCGCCGCCGCGCGGCCCACACTTGGGACCGAAACTTCATGCCATCCATCGCTCAACCAGCTGCGCAACAGCCCATCACCAACCCCAGCCGCGAGCGCATTGTCCGCAAGTATGGTGACGACATTGGCCGTGCGCTCTAATCTGCCGCGGCTATGCTTTGGCTTAGAGACGCGTGTGCTTTTTAACCACTGCGCCATCGATTGATTCCGTTTTGGCAGCGGCGGTGCGGCGAATGATCTCCGGCATGCGAGCGAAGGTGAAAGGGCGGGCTGATTGAATTGCTCACGGAGGTGAGACATGAGTTGTAGACTCACAAACATGGTCAACAAACATTGAGTCAGCTCTCAGTCCTCGCAGCCCACTACTTAAGATCACTCACCCCCCAAACCTCTCATTTCATTCTCATCTCTTCATCTTCATTCTCATCTCTTTCCCATTATCCGTTGGGTCTTGCATCGTTCGCCCACTTCATAACTACATCGTACGTCGCAGAAGCCGCCATCTTCGACACGGCTGACCGCAGCCAACCCCCGCCCGGCTTTTCAAGTGCTCCCATTCACACTTAGCCACTGCGTACGTCCTTTCTCGGCTAGTTGCTCACCCCAGGCCTAGTTCAACATGCCCCCATCCATCACTCTAGGAGACCACGACCCGGTGAGGGCCTCTGGTCACTCTCCTGCCGAGTTTCTGCCTCCAGGACTCAACATCACCCCTCGTGGTTTGCCGCCCGGCTTCCCACCCCCCGGCCTCAGCATCACTCCTCGTTGTCCCGCGCCCGAGTTTCTGCCGCCCGGCCTCGACATCATCCCTCGCGGTAATCTTCCGCTTCTCTCTAAGCCCTATCCACACGTGACTGGACTGCAGGTCCAGAGCCTTGACAAGACCCTTAAGGAGGGCTGTGACCGACTCTATAACATCTTCATTCGCTTCGGTCACGTATCCCTCCACGTCGGGAAGAGGCATCGGGAGACACTTCCGACAGACCGCCCGCCTGCTGAGCAAATCGATACGATCCAGAAGAATGCGCAAGCTCTGAGCGACATGCTGCATGACCTCGCGCATGTCCTCGGCGCCATACCTGGGGCAGACGTCGCTCCGGCACACATCCGCCTCGGATTTCCTTACCTTGAACGCGACCGGGTTCCTGAGCCACCACTCATCCTTGAGAGGGCTGACTCTCCTGCGCCAGTTGACTTTTCAGCGCCACGCTACTCGCCAGTCGACTTTCCTGCGCGACGCGACTCGCCCATGCTAGTCGGCGAGAATGCCTTCGATGCGCCTGCACAGGAGGACGATGGCAATGTCCCGCACGAACCTTACGACATTGAGCTGTTCAATCCCTGCTCTTCTTCCGTGTCCTCTGAAGCATCGCTCGAGGAACTTGCCGTGCAGCAGGGTGACTTGGTCGACGCGCATACCTCTGACCTGGATTGTGCAACAATCAGCCTTGACGACCTCGAGTCCATTCACACGGTTTCGGACGTGGAAACTGTGTACGAGGACCACGACATCATCGACACATATACTCTCGATGGCGAAATCTATTGCTACCCTCCGCCTCCGCCTCCGAGGAGAAGTACTAGTCCTAAGGATACGGGACACTGTACTGAGGGCGCCCCGGATGCGTCCACCGACATCGTGATGTCTAGCGATGACGGCTCTAAGGTGGCTTCTGGTGGCGACATCACAGATGAGCGCATACTCTTCACCGACGACAAACACGTCTCTACTCTCAACAACATGTCCGACCACCACATCGCCGCCCCCCACGATACCCCGGACCTGGCTGTTCTTTACACCTCCGCTCTCAACGCACTCGCTCGCAGTGAGGCAGCCGCTGCGCCAACCACTGGCGGTAGCTGCTTTGCCAGCCCCGCCCCCTCCGTTGCGAACGAGTCCACCACACCCAACAGGCAGTCGGCTGCTCTCAAGGTCGTGTTGCAGCCCGACTCATCCTCGAAGAGCACAAGCCCGCTCCCAATCGAGAGTGAGCAAACTGACAATGGTTGCTCTGCCCTGGGACTCAGCTTTGTGGATGACATTCCAAGCCCTACAGAACTCACTGAACATGTGCCACACACCGCCAATTCCATGGACGCGCAGGATGCTGCGCCTAGCGGGCCGCCGCACAAGGATAAGCTCTTCCATGGCTTTGGCGCCATGACGGGACTCCGCAGGAAGAAGAGGGCGAGGCGCGAGATGAGCAAAACCAACATCAACCAGCTTCGGGGCCAGCGGCCAGTCGAGAAGAAACGCAAGGTCGACCAGGCTGAGAAAGCAAAGCGGACCTCCAGCACTCTGATCATCCGTCCGCTCCTGTCACGCTTTTCCAGTCTCACGGCCGAGGCTCGGACGTCAAGCGAGTCGGAACACCACGGGCGGTGCACGCAGTGCACTGAGTTTGCGGGTCAGTGCCCTCAATGCGCCGCTACCGCAGCGGCTGGGATGACCCGCATCATGTCGCGGTCGAGCGACATGAGCTCGCTAACTGTGGTGGACACGATCTCGGAGGCGGGACAGAGAATCAAGAAGGAGGGGTCTATGCGCCGCTTGGCACGCAAACTTCGCATCCCGTTTTAGGTGGCGAGTGAGGAGGAGTGGACGACACATGCAACTGGAAGTTTCGACCAAGATCGGGCTGCACCTGAGTATCCACTCTCACCATCGATAGAAGTATACCTCAGAGCGAACAGGCAGGAGCGCATGACTCACTCATGTTATGCATAGGATCACTTGCTACATTTCACCATGCATGTGCCATCTTCACATTTCACCATGCATGTGCCATCTTCACGATGCGGTTGTTAAGTAAGGTAGCAATTAGCGACGAGCTGTGTGAGGAGGGAGGACTCTATCTGTCCTTTGTGGCTTCATGAGTTCTGGTCCTCGCGTTGGCCCCGCCTGTGGGCTGTTACTTGCATTGCACGCGTGCGAGTCTTGTGTTTGAGTCGAACTACTTTGCACCTCAATCAATCGCCAGGCACCTTGACCTTAGGTCAGATCCAATGCACTACATTCTCTATGTCTCAGTCTCGTACAAACAGGGCCGCCGTCCAGCGGTCAGCCAAACAACTCCGGTCTGGAGAAACACTACTTGCCCTTGTCCTTCGCTCCCTTCTTTGTCCCCTTCTTGTCGGCCTTCTTATCATCTTTGTTGTCCTCCTTCTTGTCCTTCTTGGTGCCCTTCTTTCCTCCCAACATGGCTGGCAACTTGTCCAGAAAGCTGAGCCTCCGACGAGGACCACTCCGCCCAGCCGCAGTCTCAGGCACTGGCGCAAGTGCCAGCGTCGCAGTTCGCTGTCGCTTTGCCTCGCGCTCCAGAAGGCGCATGGATGCGCGGCGCTTTGGAGGACTGGCAGGACTGGCAGGAATGGGTGCTAGCTGAGCCGGTGGCTCGGGAGACTGGGCACGAGAGCGGGCCGACCTGTCGGACGGCCCCGCTGGTGCAGATGGTCGCCAAGAGACGGGCGGTCGCGTCTGTCGGTGCACATCGCGGATCGTGCCGGGCAGGACGACAGTGCTGGGTGAACGGCGCGCGGAAGGAATGCTGGCAATGGGGCGATCGCTGGACGGCGTTCCCATGGCGGGCGGGGTCGGCGCGCCGCTCACGCGCCAGAACCGGCGGGGTTGGACGGGCGCATCGGGCTCACTTAGCTCGCTCACGTCCGGTTTGATGTCCTCATCGCTAGAGGGGGCTTTGCGCTTCCCCCTGGCCGCTTTGCTGGGACTGGGCTCGGGGCTGGACTCGTCGCTTGCCTCGTGTTCGCTGGGAAGGGGGATGGGGCTGCGGCGGCGCAGCGGAGGAGGATGCTCCTCCACCGGCTCTAGCTTGATGCGCAGAGGCGGTTCCCAAGTTGCCGGGTTGCGGCTGCCGCTACGTCCATTGCGCCTACGTCCATTGGCCCTACGTCCATTGGCGCTTGGAGCGATGGAAGAGGCCCGTTCGCGAGGACCAGTCGCTCGCCACAGCGGCTCGGGACGGTTGGCCTGCGTAGATGGGCGCTTGGCGAGAGGCTCGTCCACCTCAGTAGAGGGTGAGCGCTTCCGCTTCGCCTCGCGCGCCTGTGCAGCTTCAGGCCCAATCTCGCTGACAGGGCGGATCGTGACAAGTCGTGGAGAGCCGTTCCGGCCGGTGGCAATCGCCCTCCTTGGAAGTGGAGGAGGCGTCCTGTTTGTGCGAATTGGCGAGCGTGCACTGGGTGTGCGGGGGTCCCACCACGTCCGTTTCGGTGAAGGCTGCTCTGAGTCCGCTGGTACTTCCTCATAAGTGCGGCCATTCTGGGGCGCGGGTGTGGTGTGACGTGTGGAAGCTGGCGGCATTTGCTGGACGGACGAGGTGCCGTAGGTGAAGGTGCCTCTTGCAGTACGCGGGCGGGCTTCGTGCTGCGACGGTGCCGTCTCAGGCTCGGCGTAGGGCTGCTGTGTGCTTCCCGAGAGCTCGGGGCGCCTGTTTTCGTCCGCATGAGTGTACTCGAAGTAGCGGGGAATCGGTGGGGATGCAGAGTCATTGCGCGATGCAGTCTCCTCGCTTGCGCCGTGGCTTGCTGGCTGCCAAGTAGGGCTATTAGGAGCGGTGGGAATGGTGCCAGTGGTTGTATGAAGTAGCGGAGGCTCCCCTTCGTCTGGCGGATCGTCGCGGATAGGCCGTGTCGCGGGCCTCGGCCTGTTTGGATAATACACCAGCTGCATTTCGGTGGACCTCCCCTCCGCACCTCCGGCAGACCCGTTCGCGTGCGCTCGAGGCTCAGACCAAGCCTCTCCTTCCCACTCATCTGATTCGGGCTCTTCCCGAAGCTCAGGAAGAGGGGTGCGCCGGTGCCGGTGGTGGTGGTGTTCGTTTGAAAAGTCGAGATCGTGCTGCGGGCTCGAGTTTCGAGGGTGGGTATCGGAACGGAAAGGGTTGGCGGTTCGAGGCGGACCATGTTCCACAGGCGGGAGTGGAAGGTTGTTCTCGGCGGAAGGACTGTTGTGCTTGACGAACTCCTCCCAGAGTCGCCGCAGACCGATGCCGTGAGGTCGAAGATTGTCGCCCAAACCAACCTCCAGTTGGTATAGCAGGCGTTCAAAGTGCACCTTTTGGCCTTGGAGAAACGCCCACTGAAGCTTTCGCGCCCACTCCTCAACCACAGGATCGTCTGGCCATTCAATGGAATCAAGCCAAGGAATCACACGTTGGATGACAAAACGCTCCCCATCAGGCATAGGATGAGCCGGGCGAAGTGGCTGCCCGCCGACACCATTGACGACGGTCTGCGAAGTGTCTTGGCTTGGGGAAAGCGAGCGCACTTCATGATCATCGGACGGCTCCTCCGGAGCGGCCCGAGGGTCTTGCAAGAGCGCCGTCGGAATATCCCCCCATGGGCGGCTCTGGGGGGCGTGGGTGTAAGGGTGACCGAACGGGTCTCCATCGTCTGGGTCGACACGAGTGCGAGTGGCGACCTTCTCGATGGTGTGGAGGAGGTCCATACCCATGTCCGCCACCCGGCTGATGATAGCGTCCATCAATGTTTCGCGTGCGGCCATGTTATAACACAGCCGGCCACCGGCACCGGGAACGGGGGTGGTTTGCATGAAGGTGGATGGCGGCGCAACGGGCTGCAAATGAGGCAAAATGTTGGGCAGTCGGGCGCGGAGGCGAAAGTACTGCTCGAAAAGTTCGAAGAGAGTGCTGTAGTACCAATCCTCTCGCCATGAGTTGGCGACGGTCGGTTGGTACCGTTGCTGGCTGGGTGCATCAAAGTGAGGGACACCGTTGATGGGTAGGCCGGTATGGGGTGGGCGATCATGGCACTCAGGTCTCTCATTGCCCGCATTGCCGTTGTTGTCGACAGACTCGTTGAAATTACCATCAGGATCGTCGGCGCCCCCGTTCTCCTCCGCGTTCTCTTCATGCGCATCGGACAGCGCTCCTGGCTCGTCGTCATTTTCGTCGTCGTTCTGGTTCTCATCGTGGTCCTCGCCGTCGTTCTCGTCCTCGTCCTCGTCGTCGTTGTTCTCGCCCTTGTTCTCCTCGTCGGTCTTCTCGGCGGTGACGCCAAGCGTCGCGTCTTTGGGACGCTCGTCATTCTCCGAGACGTACCCAAGGGGTACGACCGGCTGGAAGGGGAAAAGGCGGGACGGTCTGCGGCGAACACGCGGCGCCGGGGCGTCCTTGTCGTCATCCGACACGTATGCGTAGGGGTCCATGGGCAAAGAAGCGGAAGGGTGCGGGACTCTGGGGGGAGGAGTCGACGCGGGGGAGTCCTTATCATCGTCCGGCGCGTAAGCACGAGGGTCGAAGTCGTGCGGGGTCGGGGGCGAGTCGTTGCGACGGTCACCCGGTTCGGTCGGTTCGTCCATGGCCGGTGAGTTGTGTGTAGGAGGCTGTTGGGAAGGCTGGGTGTGCTGTCGCTGGAGATTGTTGCTGGGTGGAGTTGACGAGCGTTTCGCGCCGCTATTTATGCTTTGCGAGGTGCAATGGTCTCCCAATCGTGTTGCAACTCTTTCGGAGCGGAGCCAGCGGCGAGGCTACACCATCGCCGGTCAGTGATGGCCAGCGTGCATTGTGTCTGCACCGCAGGCGGGGAGCGACAATGGGCCGAGGCGAGGCGAGTGATGGCTGATGGCATCGGAGATACCAGCCCATTGTCTGTCACCAGTGGCCTCGGCGGGGAGAGGCTCATTCACAGTCATCAGCTGCATCCGGCACCGGTTGACCTGGAATCACGTCGGCGATGCAACTCACAAGATGATGGACTGGCTATCACTGTGGACGCGCCGGGTCCGTCGGCAACTGCCAGAGATTCGTTGTCATCACTAGTGATGGTGTTGTTAGCGGGCGTTTCAGGGAGGATACTTGTCGCTCTCATTGTCGTGCAGATAGGTCTGTATGGTCCACATTTGCATATTCATGAAGCGTAGGTAAGGAGTAGGGCGAGCCCATGGCCTGCTAGCCGATACAGACGGGGCTCTGCATTAGTTAGAGCCGCGGGGGCGTTTGGCAGGACGAGAGTGAGTTGGAGCGTAGAGCTGTCTGATGCGGGCCATGCCCTCGCGTGCTTCCTCAGCACTTCTGGGACGTGAGTCAGGCTGCAGCACGAGGAAGTTCCACGCGCGGGCCACGACGTCTGCCGCCGGCGCGTGGTTCACCATGCCGTCGACGTCAGCACGAGCCGGAGCCGCTGCCGAATTCAACGACGAAGTCGACCGCGGCGAGTACGTCGACCAGCCGGGCTCATTGATTCCGCCCACATCGTCTCCGGCTTCTGCGATGATTGATCTGACCCTACTGCAGCGCCGGCGCACGAGCCGCCCAAGTCCGCCCGCATCGTCTCCAGCCTCCGCGATAGTCGATCTAACCTCATGGACACGGGCACGCTCGGCCTCCAGCGCCAGTCCGACTCGAGTTAGCGCGATTTCAAAGTAGCGGGCGCGGGCCTCGGCCATTTCGGCGCGGGCCCGCAGTTCCACAAGCTGCTCGAGCACAGCGGATTCCGCCAGTGTGGGGGCGTGTGGCACGGCGAAATACCCAGGCGGCGCGGCTAGATCGTCCATTGAGGGTACGGGGGAGATGACGATGCCCGCGGAGCCGGCGGGAGAGGCCGCCTCGCCGTTAGGAGTGGAGCGGTGGCTTGGCGTGCCCGCGTGAGTCGAGGGAGGCTGGACCGGATTCTGGAGCGCGCGGTTGTCAATGCCTTCCAAAGCGTACAGCTCTTCCGGATCAAGCAATGATATCTCGCTGCTCGAGCGCCGGTAGACCACGTTCTCGTACCATCCGTCGATGGGCACGTTGTTGATAGACTGGCGCACGCGTTGGAAGACGGCGGCGTCGGCCGGGTCCCACGGACGTGGAGGGAGGGGGGCACCGGTATGCGCACTATGATTAGCGGGATCCACGCTGGGCTCACGCCAGGTTTGCCTCCGTCAGAGCAAAGTGGGGCTCGCGAAGGTCCGTCATGACACGCCTATCGTTAGCAGCTGCGAGAGTTTGACTCACTCAAGCGTCAGCTCTAGATACGGCGCGCCTCCGGGGTAAGGCTGGAGGAGGAGCACTTCCTGCAGGAGGTCCATCCTTGGCGTGAAGCGATGAATGAAAAAACTCAGCGATGATGAGAAATGGGTAAGTGAGGGAATATACCAGGCCATGCTGCTCTTCACAGTGCGAAACAGTGGGATCGCTGTGCAGCGGGATAGGCGCTATACCGTGCGAAGTGCTGCGGAGCAAGTGAGAACACTGTGTGATTACACAGTAGTGTGTGCGGACAAGAATTGTGAATGTGATGGCGTGAACAAAGGTGAAGCACCGGCTCGACGGGGCATGACGGCCACAGGACCAAGGCCCTCGTCCGCGGCGCGGACCGGCGTTGTCGGACCTGGCGAGGCCTGGTATTCCCAGAATGATGGACCTCCCCGCGACACAACCACTTGCGGTAAGTTATGCCTGATACTGAATCCGACCAGCATCGAGTGAACGTTCCCATCTCGCCCCGCGCGCCATGTCCACCTGCCATGTCCGCATGCTTTTCCAAGCATCGCTCTTCATCGCACTCTATCCCTCAAGGCACCTGGACCTTGACACCCAGGAGCTTGATGAACTCCTTCAGCCACACGCCAATCGCACTGGGTTCAGTGCCAGTCCCTAATGTCTTCATATACTCACGGGTAAGCAGGGGCGGACACCAGGTTGCTGTCGACATAGGCGTTCTTGGAGAAGGCCTCGTAGTCGACATACTTGCCGCCGCCAGCTTCGACGTCAAGCTGGCACATCGGGAACGCCGAGCACGAGCGACCCTTGAGCACGCCGGCGGCCGCAAGCAACTGCAGACCGTGGCAAAGGGCGGCAACGGGCTTGTTCTTCTCCATGAAGAAACGGATAACGTCAAGAACACGCTTGTTGTAACGCTGGTATTCGGGGAAGCGGCCGCCGGGAACCTACAATAAGCGGCGAGCATGTCAAGCGCTGAGACTCACAATCAGGCCGGCGTACTTGTCCAAGCTCTTCGTCTCCTCAGCGAAGTCGTGCGTGATGTCAAATGGGTGACCCGGCCTCTCGGAGTAGGTCTGGCGCCCAGGCTCAAGGATATGAAGGGCAGTCTGGATGTCCTCGCCGACCTTCTTGTCTGGGCAGACGATGTGGACATCGATGCCGAGCATCTCGAGCGCCTGGAGGGGAGCGTAAAGCTCGTAGTCCTGGGGTCAGAACTGGATACTGATGGATCGCGGTGTCTGCGTGCGGGCCACCCACCTCGATGAAGTCGCCAGCGAGTAGAAGGACCTTCATTGTGAGATGGAGAGGAGAGCAACAGTGGTACAGAATGCTGTGACGCAGGAGTTTCAGTGCTGATGAGAGAGATTGCACTTGTGGACACGGGTCATCGGAACGTCCGAACGTTGCAAGTGGAGGTCAAGCACCCACACGTGACTCAAATATAATGTCATGTGGGGCATGGGAAGGGCGGAATCAAACCGGCACGTTATCAGGCGTTGAGATAAAAGTCAAACGCATCTCATTTGCTTCCGCCGGACGAGTGGCACATGACATCTGCCAATCGCATAATCGAACAAACTACGGGAAATGAACTCAAGGCACCCAAATTATCCCTGGGCTGTGCTTAACTGCTTGCTGCCTCAAGGCGGCAAGTCCCCATGCGGTGCCATCATGCAGACCCTCAGCCCTCACGCCGCCACAGCACCTCAACTTCCTTGCACAGGCGCATCGCGTGAGCAAACGGCCGCCCATGACAGCCGCGGCAGGAGGTTTTTCGCATCAGACCCAAGGCCCCGGCCATTCCGTGCATTTAACGATGTCTCGTGCAGTCAGGGCCAGGGCGAAGACCAAGAAATTGGCTGATGCTGCATGCACGCACGAGACCACAAATTCTTGCGTCTCACAGATAACATCCATCGCTATCGCGCTATCGCTCTGCTCGGGCAGATAGTTGACCACTCGACACTTCACTCTCTTAAAAGTAGCGCTTCTGAGCCGTGCTCGCGCTCTCTATCCCTCCGTCCGCCGCCATCCTCCGCCCGCCATGAATAAGTTTTCCTGGGTCCTTCCAAAGGAGGACTCGTGCATCGCGCCCGACAATGTCTGGTCCAACAAGGGCACGTCGACATGCTCGCTGCCGCGCTAACAGGCAGACATGGACCCGTCGCCCGACGAGCACCGCACCTGGACCAGCGTCACCTTCTTCACCTGTGGGTATTGGGACCGGCGTGGCGCGATGGCATGCCCGGCATGGCGTCGAGCCACGCCGCACATGCCCCCGAGCCATCGGCTGACGTGAACCAGACTGGGCTTGTGATCTCATGTACCCGGCCTCGTGGGCCACCGTTGCCTCCTTTGTCACTCTCGGCCTCACTTGGTGGGAATCGTGTCTCGCCGTCTTCCTTGGTTCCGTCTTCGTTGCGGTCGTCATCACCGGTACGTCTTTGTCCAAATTTTAGCCCAGGGACGCCAACATTGCGCTGTGGCTGACTCCGCAGCCAACGGTATCATCGGTGCGACAGTGCACACGCCCTTTGCAGTCACTACGCGCGCGACCTTCGGCTACTGGGGCAGCAAGTTCGTCGTCTTTGTGAGTATATAGCGATAGCTTGAGCGGCCGCGGAAGGAACATGCCGCGCGGCAATATGGTCTGTGGACCATGCTGACAGCAGTCGCGCTGCGTTATCGCGTGCTTCTGGCTCTCGATCAACTCGTGGTCGGGCGGCCAGTTCGTGACTCTGATGATCGCCGCCATCTGGCCCCAGTACAAGCGCTTCCCCAACAGCGTGCCGACGAGCCAGGGTGCGACGTCGTCCGACTTCCTCTCCTTCTTCCTCTTCTGGCTTCTCCAGCTCCCCTTCATTTTCATCCACCCTAGCAAGCTGAAGTGGGTGTTCAACATCAAGGCCATGATTGTTCCTATCGTCGCGATCGGAACTCTCATCTGGGTAAGTCCCACGCGATCGCGCGGGTCGTGCGGCGGTAGCTAATTCTCAGGCTGTCAAGATCGCCGGCCCCGAGGCTGGCCCTCTCCTCCGCTCCGGCCGTAACCGCGTCCCCAGCGGCGCCGCCCGCTTCATTGCGTTCATGACCTCCGTCACCGCTGTACAGGGTACTTGGGCTACCCTCTCCGTCAACATTGGTGACTTTTCGCGTTACTGCAAGAGCCCGCGCTCCAACTGGATCCAGCTGTTCGCTTTCCCTCTTATCAACACTCTCGTGTCGATCTTCGCGGCGATTTCCGCCACCTGCGCGTACGCGGTGTACAACGAGGAGCTGTACCAGCCGTACGACATTCTCGCCAAGTGGGACACGTCTCCGGGCGGCCGCGCCGCCATGTTCCTCGGCGCGCTTACCTGGGCGCTGTCGAACGTGACGACGAACATCACAGCCAACTCGATCTCTGCTGCGAACGACATCTGCTCGCTTGCGCCCAAGTATGTGAACATTCGCCGCGGCCAGTTCATCGCCATTACCATTGGCGTCTGGGGCTTTGTTCCTTGGAAGGTGCTCGACTCGGCCGCCAACTTCCTGACGTTCATGGCCTCGTACTCGATCGTCCTGGCGCCCATCGCGTTCCTCATGGTCCTCGATTTCTACCTCGTCAAGGGCCAGAAGCTCGACATCTACGAGCTGTACCGCCCCCGCGGCATCTACCGGTACGCCAAGGGCTGGAACTGGCGCGCGTACGTCGCGCTCGCCGTCGCCGTCGCCCCCAACCTCCCCGGCATGGTGCACGCCATCAACCCGAAGATCTACATCGGCAACATCAAGTACCTGTACATGGTCTCGAACCTTGTCGCCTACTTCAGTGAGCTACAGCGCTAACACAACCTCAGGCAAAGCTAACGTGCAGTCGTGTTCCTGGTGTACATCCCAATCAACAAAATCTGGCCCGCGCACGAGGCGCTCATCGACGAGCCCGTGCACGACGTCATCCCCGGCGGCCGCGACAAGGACCGCGAGTCGGACAGCCTCGACGGCACGATGCGCGGGAGCAGCCGCGACGGCGTGCAGCGCTACGCGGCGGGGGGCGTGCCCGGCGAGAAGGCAGAGGATAAGGCCGCAGAGGAGGAAAGCCGCTTTCTCTAGAGCTCTAGCGATAGGTCGCTGGTAGAATCGTAGAAACAGATCATGAGGTCTGGGTTAGGTTGCGAAGGCACTATGTGTCAGAGCGGTGGTGTGTACTGTGTACGTTGTGTTAAGCCATGCATAGGCGTTTGCGTTATGTGTGTGTTGCGTGCGTTGCGTCTTTGTGTTCTTTGCTCAGGCCCGCGGTGTGGGGTGCAGGGTGGTGAGCGAGGCGCCACTGGGCCCCGCAGAGTTCTTATCGGCACGGCATTAGCGATGCGAGACCTCGCGCCTCGCGCTATCACTCCATTGCGCGCCCGTATGATTCTTGACAGCGAGCAATGATTCTTTCGGCGTTGCCCACCTCGGTGTCGTTGAGCGCTCGGTCGGTGGCACCGGCTCGCAAGCAATCCGGGTATCGGCTATGGCCGGCGGGAATGTCCACCACCACGGCCCTTCTCGTCCTACTTCTTGCACAGCAGCCGTTGCTCAACGACCTCTCCATCATACACTCCCCCTCAACAGATGAGCAACGAGCCCACAATGACAGACAAGGGCGTGACGGCATCGGAAGCGCGCAAAGCGCACTACATGGACCCTGCGCACGCGATGGACTTTGACAATCTGCACCTGGGGCACCCGCCGGCGTCGAAGCACACCGTGGGCATGCTGGATCTCTACGTGCACGTGTTCGGGCTGGACGAGATCGCGGGGAGCACGCTTCCGATTTCCATGGCGGTGGGTGTGGCTGCGATATGGCTGACGCAGATCGTCGGGCACGGGTGGGCGAACAAGGCGTCGCAGCTCGATCTTATGGCGAGCGGGATTATCGGCGAGGTCGCAAGGCTCGAGCGCGAAAGCGGGCGGCGCAAGACGCATGATCTGCTCGTTGTGACACTGGATCAGCGGAATCACGGACAGAGGCGGAATAATAAAGACGGGCTGAGGTTTGAGAACAACCCGAAGCGATTGTGAGTGGAGGTTTGTGGTGGTTTGTTTCGTGCTGGTGTGCGACGTTTGAGGTTGCTTGCTGTGAATCTGCTTTGTTCTTCTCGAGTGCAGATATACTATTGCTGGCCAGCTCAATGCTGTCCTGCGTAGTTCTGGATTGCTGCCGTTGACCATAACTCGAGCTGACTTCAGAATTCACATGGCGACCCAGATCAAGGGCGGCAAGCAAGACCAGCAACTTGTAATGGAGCTCTTGCCCTCGTTCCTGTTCCCTCATGCGGAACGCAACGTTACAGACTTCATGAGCGTAGGGATCAGCCTCGGCGGCCACATCACCTGGCGGCTAGTGCGCGAAGACCCGCGCATCAAAGTCGCCGTGCCGATCATCAGCACGCCGAGCGAGACGCTCGGCGACTTCCTGAACCGCACAGACCGGTATGGCGCGGCGGCGATCGTGCCCCCCGCTGTCGCGGAGTACTTCTTCACACCGAGCGAGCCGGGCGTGTATGCCGACGCCAAGATCCTGTGCCTGCACGGGGGCGTGGACCGCGTGATCAACTACTCGCTCGGCCACGAGTGGTTCCCCCGCATCCAGGCGCAGGCGCCGGCGGGGCACATCGTGCGCCACATCCAGCCGGACTATGGGCACGTCGTCACACCCGATATGGTTGGCCGGACGGCGGAGTGGTTGTGGCGCTGGGGGTTGAGCGAGTGATGTACGTCGAGATGGACTTTTTACGTGAGGACGAGTGACAACAACTTGACGGATGGTGCTACATGTGCTGTACAACGAGTGATCACGAGGGGGGCTGAATTGGCTCTGCAGCGGCGTTCTGTGCGGGTGACTGTCCTGCAGGCGCGCGTGCTGATGGGCGCGTGCGAGATCCTCACAACACTGGAGCGGAGGACAGTGCTAGCTCGGCAGGATCGGCTGCGCCGCCTCGCTCTCGGTGACAGAGCTATCACCGCCGAGCCACCGAGGTGCTGAAATTTGATGACTGTGTAGGTGCGCCCGCGGCATTGCCGTCGCACCCGCGAGGAGAGTGGGGGAGAACAGCGATGCGGTGTAAGGTGGTTGTGATTGATCATCAGGACATCGCGATGCGCATCGCTCGATGTTACCAGGCCATGTATGTATCATAGCAGTTGTTGTTGATTCTTGGCTTTTGGACGGTTTTTTCTTGGGAGGAGCTGAGGAGGGAGATATCTAATCGGCGGATCGGCAGGGGGTTGAACGCCGCAGCGTACGGCGGGAGAACCGAGATGCCGAGGCAGCCCCGGACGAAGAGGCCGCGGCCGAGAGAGATCGGTTTTGCCGCGGGTAGATCGAGGCACTACTCACCTCGAGTTGAGCGCGCGGAGATGTCTCCCAGTCAGCCAGTCAGTCAGTCACCTGCCACTCGTACTGCTTGGATTGCGACAGAGTTATTCAACATGCATTCATTGTAACTCTTCATCTCCCGCCTCTCCCCTTCCATCTTGTACGTCTTGCTCATTTTGCCCATCTTCAGCCCACCGACGCATCAATGTCTACACTTGCTTTCCCACCCCCATCATGAACATGGACGAAGAAAAACGATTTGGCGGCGCTACGACACCAACCAAGGCCGCCAGCGGTGCGAGCGATAAGCCAGGTATCATCGAGGTCGACTGGGAGGAAAACGACCCCGAGGTACGCATTGCTTCGCATGCAACGACGCAGTCCAGGCTTCTCATCAGTGCCCCCCGCGAGCCCCACCAGCCCCACGTAGCCCCGCAGCTCACTCCAGAACCCATACAACTGGAGCCCCTCGCGCAAGTGGCTTACAATCCTCGCCTGTAGCTTGATCACCGTCACGACGATCGCAAATGCTACGTCCCAGTCGATCATGGCCACCTGGGGGCCCGCATGGTTCAACACCTCCCGCCTCATGTTTATCCTCGGCCTGTGTCTGTTCAACGTGTCCGTTGCGATCGCACCGATGTTCCTCGCCCCCTTGAGCGAGCATCTCGGTCGCAATATCATCTACCAGGTCGCGGGGTGGATCGTTGCCCTCCTCTTCCTGCCGCAGACATTCTCGCATAACATCCACGGATATCTTGCCGCGCGGTGGTTTGTGAGTGACCTCAGCTCCGGCCTCCCCCTTCTGCGACCTTCGTCGCGCTAACGCGCAGCAAGGGATGGCGTCTTCGGTCGGTAACTCGATGGTCGGCGGAACGATCGCCGACATCTTCGGGTATAGGGAGCGAGGACAGTTGATGAACTTCTTCTCGCTCATGGTGTTCGTCGGCCAGGCGCTTGGCGGCCTCACAATGGGCTGGACCGGCGAGCTTGTCGGTATCCAGTGGTGCTTCGGCGCGCAGGGCATCGCGTCCGCCGTATCGGGGGTCGTCAGCCTGCTCTTCCTGCGTGAGACGCGCGGCAACATCATTCTCCGCCGCCGCGCCAAACGTCTCACCAAAGAGACGGGTGTGCTGCACATGAGCAAGTTGGACCTCACATCCACACACCAGTCGACTGCCGAACAGCTAACCAAGAGCGTCGGCCTCCCACTCAGTACGCGTTGGATGTGCCTCGCTGACACACAGAAATGCTGTGTACCGAGCCCATCGTCATTGCACTCACCTTGTGGATCGGATGTGCGTCGCCCACTCCAGTGCTTACACTGCTAATACCAGTTGCTTGGGCCATCATCTTCCTGGGTGGCACATCCACCATCCTCGTCTTTGAGCAGTATGGCTTCAGCCCCGGCGAAGCGGGCTCGATCCAGTCGTGCATCGCCATCGGCGGCATCCTAGGCTACATCTGCAGCTTCCATCAAGAGCATCTCTTCCGCAAAGCGGCGTCCAAGTCCGCGACCGGTCGCGCATCGCCCGAAGCGCGCCTCTACTGGGCCGCGGTCGGCGGCCTGATCTTCCCCACCGCGACGCTCATCTTCGGCTGGACCGGCCGGCCGTCGATCCACTGGGCGGTTCCCGCCTTCTTCCTCTGCCTCTCCTACTGGGGCATCTTCTCCATGTATCTCGGTACCTTGTGCGTGACGATGCGCCAGCGCTGACACCAGCAATTATGTCGCGGACGCGTACGAGCAGAACTCATCGTCGGCGCAGGCCGCACACAGCATGGTGCGGAATGGCTTCAGTGGAATATTCCCGCTGTTCGCTCGGCAGATGTATATCAAGATGGGATATCCGCAGGCTTCGACGCTCATTGCGGGCCTCGGGTTTGCGCTCGCTATTGCCCCATTCATGCTCATTAAATATGGCGCGCGGCTGCGCGCCAAGTCTCCCATCACAACGAAACTTGTAGGCAATATCTGAAATCCATGTATCGCATTGCGCTAGGGATTGGGCGCTTTGTACGGTCGCGGTCTGTAAAGTCAGTGAGAAGTTTTTGGTCGGCTAGCGCTACGCTGTGATTCAGCTGGACGTCCCCGTGAAGGAATATATCATCTGAGCGACTGGACTGCGAAGATTGCCGAGACCACCGCAGCGCCCACGTAACGCGACTAGTCGCCAGGTGTCAGCCTGCTCCTCGACATCTGCATGGCTTTGCGCTTGTCCCGCTGGCCGGACTCGTGCTCGGCTCGTAAACGCAGACTTGCTCCAACTCGAGGCGTGGTGGACAGGTTGGCTGACAACAACATCGACGTCATGCGCTTTCCCTGTATCGGTCCGAAGCGGATAGATAGGGAACCACAAGATTGCCCACCACAACTACAAAACAACCATCCTCCTGCACAAGACCTCCTGTCCTTCTGCAGGTGTCTCCTTGCTCTCGCTGCACTGCACACCACCATGGACGCCTCATTCTCCCTCCACAAGTCCGTCGCAGGGACAGACGCGCTCGACATCAGCAAGCTGTATGACGTCAGCGGGCGGGTCGCTGTCGGTAAGAACTGTTGCGCAACCATGCTGAAACTTAGTGACGGGCGGAGGAACAGGTCTCGGACTCGTCACCGCAACTGCATTGGCTGAGAACGGCGTGCGGGTGTACATCACCGGCCGGCGGTTGGAGCCTCTGGAGGCCGCGGCGGAGTTCAAGCCGCGCAAGGGCAACGGCTGCATCATTCCCATCCAGGCGGACCTCGGCACTAAGGACGGCATCAAGGGTGAGTAAAGGCCCCGCGACTTTTCTAACGCCAGCGCTCGTCGAGGCGGTCTCTCACTCCGAGAAGTTCGTCAACATCCTTATCAACAACCACGGCATCTTCAGGGGCCGCGCCAAAATCGGCAACCCAACGGCCCAGAGCGCGGAGGAGGTCGGGCGGGCGATGTTCGACGATGTATCTTGGGAGGACTGGTGAGTTCTGCACATGTGGCGCTGACGGCAGGACGGAGGTGTGCTCGACGCACTGCGCGTCGCCGTACTTCACCACCGCTGCGTTCCTCCCTCTCCTGGCGGCCGCCAAGGACCACGGCTTCGCCGAGCCGGGTAACGTCATCCAGATCGCGTCGCTGTCGGGCATCACGCGGACCAGCCAGCGCGGGCAGATGCCCTACAACGTCTCCAAGGCCGGCACGATCCATCTCGCGCTCATGCAGAGCACCGAGTTTGCGCGCCGCGGTCTTGGGATTCGCGTGGTGAGTGCTTGCGCTTCACCTACACAGCCAGCTGATGTAGAATGCCGTCAGCCCGGGATACTTCCCGTCGGGGATGAGCGTGTCCGACTTTGAGGATAAGCAGGGCGAGGCGCAGCACTGGCGCGACGAGTACGGCATCCCATTCCAGCGCGTCGGCAGCGCCGTTGACTACGCGCAGTGCATCATCGGCCTGGTGGTGGTGAGCTGGGCCAGTCGGGTTGAGTACTGAAAGCAGAACCAATACATTACGGGCACAAACGTTATTATCGACGGTGCATGGCTTGCAGCGCAAGGTGGGTTGACTATGCCGCTGAGCTCAATGTGCTGACAGGCAGAGTTCTAGTACAGTATGTCACTGGCAAAGCCAACCCGCAACCACCTCGAGTTAGTCGGTGGTTCGCAATGTAACAGGTAGACAGTCTACTATTTAGAATCCGTGCCGCTTTCACATCATAGACATAGACTGCCCAGCATCAAACGGTTTTGGCAGTGGCGCAGCTTTCCGCGTTCCCGTGTGAATTGTCCAATCGGGCTGAGCCTGTTGAGATGGAGCGGAATTGCGCTGAGCGTGCGGAAGCGGAAGAACCCCGTCGTTCCTTTCTCCACCAACACGCTGTCTTCCCAGTCGCGCAACGGGGACCAGTCCCCTGCGCCCCTCGGACGGTACCTCTAGCTCTCCGATGTGTTTGCCTTGCTGTTTAGAAATCTGTCTTGAACGTCAAATGGTCCGCGTTGCTGGAGTAAGCCATCGCGTCGCTTCGGCTTGACACCATCCATGGACATGGTGGTCATCCAGTCGCGTGGTCAACCGGGTTGCAATCGCTCGATGCGGGATAGTGTGTACGGCTTGCACCAGAGAGTGCGAGCAATGGACACCTGGCGAATCCGGGCACGAAAGGGGTACCTTTGTTGAATCATGTCTTGATCGGCTTGATCGCGTGTGATCTGCAATTATGCATGTCATCATGATCGCCACCTTGCTTGCTTAAAAGCCCATGCGGTGGCGCTGCATGGTTCCGAAGCGATCTTGCCAGCTCCCAACTCGAGTCAGGACTGACGGCTCGTGGCGAGTTCTCACATCCAATCAACAGGCAAGGGGCCCCTGTCAGAGGTGGTGTTGAAGCGACGACAAGCGGCCAGTGCACGAGTTTCCACCCTTTCCTCCAGCGCCATGACACAGATATCTCATCACTCCCGCTTCTGCTCCATCTCATCAACGGCGGCGGCGACGACAGCACCGACGAGAGGGACGCCGAGGCCATCAACATGATCAACAGCTACTACTGCGCGCAACAGCAGTACAGCCAGGCCCCACCCGCGTCTAACAACCCCTTCCAGCAGCAGTCGTCGACCAACCCGTTTCGCCAGAGCGTCTACCTGCCGCAGCAGGTCACGCCAGACATCTCCGCGTCTTACTCGAGCTCGCAGTTCCTCCCTCATGGACAGCAGCTCCTGCCTCAGCCACTCTATGGCCAGGCGCTGGTCCACAACTCGCGCTCTAGCTCTCCATCCCCATCACCATCGGGTTGGGGGTACACGCCGGCCACCTACGCTAGCCCTCTACAGCCTGCCCAACCGATGGCGGCAGCGCGAGGGCTACCCGGACCTTTCGCCGACCCCGTGGCCAGCCTGACGGGGCAGTTCGGGCACATGGACGTTGGTGTCGACGGGCATCCACTTGGGCGTCCACAGCATGTCGCCCCATCGACACTGAATCCCATGCTAACGCTGGGAATCTTCGAGCAGTCCATTTCCTTGCCAGCTGCAGCGAGCTACCAACCACTATCTCGGCGTACCTCATCCACGTATTCCCCATCGTCGCCATCGACGCCAACTCGGACACCATCCCCATGTACACCAGCGCCCATAGTTCAGCCGCTGAGCTCATCTGCTTCCGTTCACGGTCGTACCTCCTCGCCCAGACCACTGCCACTGCGGAGAGGCTCCCCCGCACGGCATGTGCGCAGTATACGCGAGGCCCCCGTCCGCTATCAGCCCGCTATGCGTGAGTCTGGCCGACCTGGCACGCTGTGGATGTGTCCCAAAACAACCGCCATCACCTACCGAACGACTTGGCATGTCCTGCGCGCATCAGGGCTGCTGCTCACTTGCTGTCCACCTTGCTATGTCGCCTTTGCCGCGGGTGGGTCTCTCGGCTTCGAGGCCGAGGAGCTAGAGTCCAAGAAGTGCATGTTCCACACCAAGCGCGCGCAGGCGCTCCTCCTCGCTGGAGACGCCGCGGGGATAGCAGCCTACTTTCGAACACGAGCCAGGGTTAAGGACTGCCCGGGAGTGTCTGCCTGCTCGGCAACGTCTGGCATCGCATGGTATCGGCCTATCAACGGACCACCAGGGACAGTTTGTTGCGAAGCATGTTTCGAAGACCACGCCAAAGCCAACACCTGGGCGAGCCGATTCGAGCGTGTTGCGCACCCGCCAGACGCGCAGTGGCGCTGTGACTTTGCCAAGGAAAGCGTACGCGACGGGTACATCAAGCTTGCTCCAGACCATTGGGACGAGTGGCGACGCCTGGTTGAGCGCCGCAACGCGGTGCGGCCATGTACCAGCTACGACGTCAAGGCTGGTTCGCGCAAGTGGTACACGGTCACCCCAGCGATTACGGGACTCGTCGTATGCGAGGCCTGCTACCTTGACAAGGCGACGACGAGCCGTTTCGCCGCACACTTCGTCCCATACGCGGTCAACAACCCAAACGACATGTACATGTGCGACTTCTCGAGCCTCTATTTCGTCTTCCCTTTGGTCGTGGCGGATGAGACGAACGCGTGGGGCAAATTCCAGACGGCGGCGAGCCGCGTTATGGACTGCGCGATGGCGCAGATGAACGGCGCACGACAGCAGTTCTGGGGGCTCGGTCCGGGACCGCGGGGACGTGATTCCGACTGGGACGTCTGCGAGAAATGCTATGCTAGCCTGTTCGAGCCGTATGGCTTCGACCGGTTCCTCCAGCCCCGTCCGCCGCCGCAGGCGTCGAGGAGTTTGGTATCCCGGGCAAGGCAGTGCGACATGTGCCCGGGTGCACCCCACAAGGCTGAGATGCTGGCTCGACTGCAAGAGGCTGCTTATGCTGGTGTATTCAGCTACTTCAGTGAGTGGGCGCGCAGTGCCGCCGGTTCCCGACAGTACAACCGCCCAGAGGGCTTGTGCTATGCGACGCGAGGGTGGGAGTAGACGGCGAGTGGGCGAGAAGTTGTATCAGCGGCGCATATAGACAGCGAATGTACCAAGTTGTGACTTCTGCTTCCCGCGTTTGATGAGGATATAGATTGGTATGTCGTGATCGTTTTGCACACATGACCGCTAAGGATCTTGACGCCAGTAGCCCGACGGTCTGGCATCGGGAATCTATGCCCGACGCGTTGTCGAAGGAATGTGCGGATAGGAGATGACTCCGAACTCCGGGACAATCGTCATCGATGTGTTCGATGTGTTCGATATGTTCCTGCGCAGTTGGTCCGCCATTCCGCCACGGGTGCTCATACGCGTCGCGTTGCGTCGCATCACGTCATCTGCTTGAACTTCAATGCATCTTCCCTGTGCCCAAAACATTACTACGAGAGGTTGTCGTAAAGCGTGCGCTCAAGGTCATTGAAGACCTTCTCAAAGTGGTCTGGAACGGCGAACCTGAACAGCTGCGTCGTGAAGACGCCCTGCTTGTCAGCGGTGCGCAAAACCAGCCGAAGATGGTGACTTACGCAGATACCAGTGGTGGGGTCCATCCAGTAGTAGGTCTTGTAGATTCCTGGGTATTAGTGAACGTTTCATGCCCAATTGTCATCACATACCTTCCCACCAGGTGGTACCAGCCTTGCGCCCGTGAGGAGAGTCAGCCTGGGCGTAGAAGCCACCCAAGGAGTGGCCGATCTTCTTGTTGTTGATGAGATCGGGATGGATGTGGGGGATGAGCGCGGCGAATCCGTACTGGCCAGCATAGGTGCCCTCGGGCGCATCCGGAAGCTGGTGGGAGAAAATGAGCTTGTACGACTCGGGCGAAATGATGCCTCCAGGCTCCTTGCTGCGCATAACAGCCTGCAGGAAGCGGAGGTAGTCTTTGGCTGTGCCGTAGAGGCCGGCGCCGCCTGACGCCTGACCCACAATCTTCTCGGGCGCCGTCTCGCGGGCACCTGGGAACGCGAAAACCTTCAAGTTCTCGTCACGCATGGTGGGCGTCTGGAGGTTCTCGTAGTGCTTGGCCTCCGGGGCGAAAGTGATGGTGTTGGCGCCGATCGGCTTGAAGATGTGTTCCTTAAAGTACGCGTCAAGCGATTGACCCGACACCCGCTCAATGAGGATACCAGCCCAGTCGAGACCCAGCGAGTAGTTCCAACCCTCTCCCGGCTCAAAGATGAGGGGCGATTCAAACGAGCCGATGGTCAGGTTGGAGGCGAAGACGCCCTTGTGGCCTGTTGCCTTGGCCCATTCGCCAAGGAGTGGGACCATGAGATCGTAGCCAGTACCATTGGTGTGCGTGAGCAGGTGACGAAGAGTGATTGGCTTGGTGCGCTTCCTGGTGACAGGCTTGCCATCCTTCATCTCAGTGAGAATCTCGAGTTTCCACAACTCTGGAAGGTTCTTCTCGATGACCGCGGGGTCGTCAAGCGAGAGCTTGCCCTTCTCGATGAGCTGGAGAGCCGCGACTGTGACGACGAGCTTGGTCATCGACATGAGCTGAAGAACTGCATGTTAGCGTTGGGGAACCTGGGCACGCACCAGTGTCTTCATTGATCTGGCCCTTGCTGGGGTCACCAAAGTGGCGATCGCCGGCCACGCCCCAGTAGATGGGCGGGGCGTTGGCATCGGCCGTCGCGACAGCGAAGGTTGAGGCGGGGATTTCGCCCGAAGCGACTTCGGACTCGAGGATCTGGTCCAGCTTGGCCTTGCCTTCGGCAGAGAGAGTGGGCGCCATGATGTGTGATGTAGAGGATGTTAGAAGGGAGGAATTGGGTGAGCGGGTGGTATAAGACTACTGAATGGAGAGACTCCCGGGTGTGGGGATGACCGCATCCCCGCCTGATCGGGGAACTCGGTTCGGACAGCGCCCGACCGGTAGAGTTGTTGAAGTGACCTATGGAAAGGCATGTGGCGGTCGTGGCGGCCGTGGCGGAGGCACGCCGCCATCTATACTTGGGACGGCGGGGGCCGGCGGAGCAGGAGCGCCGCGCTTGAAGGATGATGTGAGACAGATGAGAGGGTTGTCATCATGTGATCATGTGACCTGATGCTCCGGAAGACCGGCTATTGCTGATTGGCCGATCTGTATGTGCCGAGGCATGCCGATCCGCCACTGTTGACCCGGCAACTTGTTCTTTCTCCATATTCCAACACCCTGCTCCATCTCTCCGTCTCGCTTCATGCCCTCGGTTCGTATCCAGTTCATTCCCCCTATGCCATGAGAACTTTGACACCACCCCCCTTGAGCTAGCCCACCGATGCGCAGCACGAGTGATCAGGTGAGCCAGCCGGTTTTCCGGGACATGTGGTGTTAAGTGTTTAGCCCTGTACGTACACGCCGCCCTCGGGTGCGTGCCTCCATGTGCGTCCATTCCCCACCCCAAGGATCGTGAAGGTGGCATAAACGAGCCGGGCAAGCGGGCAGAGACGCAGACGAGCCAAGCTGCTGCCATCGGCAGCCTTTGCCGAGATAGTCGTCCCAGACACGAGACCACGTCAGCCGGAGACATGCTGTCCCGGGTGCTCGGAACTGGCGGACTGGTGCCGCCCACGCCTTTCTCGCGCATATAATATGATTAAGGGGCCGCTGCGCCACCTCTACCTTCAGTGGCACCAGTAGCTACTACAATGACAGCCGACACACCCACCGAGACAGTCGACGCCGTGGTGATGGGCGCTGGGGTTGCTGGTCTCTACCAGCTTCACCAGCTCCGCAAAGAGGGTTTCAAGACACGTCTCCTTGAGGCAGGTGAAGACGTTGGTGGTACATGGTATTGGAATCGTTACCCAGGTGCTGTGAGTGATGCTGTGCAGCGGGGACTGACGTTTGCAGAGGTTTGACAGCGAGGGTCACATCTACCAGCTGTGGGACGAGGAGCTGTACAAGGGATGGACCTGGAGTGAGCGTTTCCCCGGCCAGCCCGAGATAGAGCGCTGGCTCCACTATGTTACCGACAAGTTTGAGCTGCGCAAAGACATCAAGTTCAACGCACGCGTCACCAGTGCCCACTACGACGAGAAGCGCAACCGCTGGACTGTCAAAACGAGCGCCGGCGATGTCATCGACACGCAGTATTTCATTTCGTGCGGCGGCATGCTCTCGGCGCCCATCACAAACCAGTTCGTGGACCAGGACAAGTTTAAGGGCCAGATTGTCTACACGTCGCTGTACCCCGCGGAGGGCGTTGTAGTCAAGGGCCAGCGGGTGGGCGTCATCGGTGTTGGCGCCACGGGTATCCAAGTTATCCAGACCATTGCCCCCGACTGCGGCCATCTCACTGTATTCGCACGTACGCCCCAGTACACCGTCAAGATGAAGAACCCCAAGTGGGGGCCGGCCGAGCACAAGGAGTACCACGATGCGTACGAGAAGACCAAGACGACAGTTCCGGACACGTTCTCGGGTTTCGAATATGACTGGGACCCGACGAAGACATGGCACAACACCACCCCCGAGGAGCGTCAGAAGATTATGGAGGACTGCTACGAACATGGCTCTCTCAAGATGTGGCTCGCGTCGTTTCCCGAAATCTTCTTCGAAAAGGAGGCGAGCGACGCCGTGTCGCAGTATGTCGCCGATAGGATGCGCCAGCGTCTCAACAACAACGCCCACCTCATCGATGCGATTGTACCTACGCTGGACGACTATGGCTTCGGCACACACCGCGTTCCCCTCGAGAATGGCTACCTAGAGGCTCTCCAACTACCCAATGTCGAGGTCATCAGTGTCCGCAAGGACCGCAACCCAATCAAGCGTTTCGTCGAGAAGGGCATCGAGCTGCAGGACGGCCGTGTGGTTGAGCTTGACAAGATCATTCTTGCGACTGGCTTTGACGCCGGAAGCGGTGCTCTTTCCCGCATTGACGTCCGCGGCCGCGGCGGTCGGTCACTCGCCGAAGAGTGGAGCAAGGACATCCGCACGACCATGGGCCTGGGCAAGCACGGGTACCCGAACCTCCTCACGACCGCTGTGCCCCTTGCGCCGTCTGCCGCGCTCTGCAACATGACTACCTGTCTGTCTCAGCAGACCGAGTGGGTCACTCGTGCTTTGGTCGACCAGCGCAAGGATGGCAAGACCATCATCGAGCCGAGCGCCGAAGGCGAGGAGAAGTGGGTCAAGCATCATGACGACACGGCCAACGCCACCCTCGTGACCAAGACCGACTCGTGGTACATGGGGTCTAATGTGCCGGGCAAGCCTCGCCGTCTGCTTTCCTACGTCGGAGGCGTAGGCACGTATCGCAAGAAATGCGAGGAGGAGAGGGAGGCTGGCTATCCGTCCTTTGTACGCGCGTGAAATATCTCTCGAGAATGGGTTGTAGCAAATTCGACAGTATGATACAAATGCCTTCCGCGTGTTGCTCGTCAAGTAGGACTCGGCCGATACACTGACGGAGCAATGTGGCTCCGCACTTGAGCCCACCCCACGTCATCAATGTCGCATTGCTTGCATCCTAGACCTCTCATCATTCATCATGTCCAGCGACGTTGCGGCATTTCACAAAGTGCTCGGTCGGGCGAAGCGCATCCTTGCGATCTGCGGAGCAGGTCTGTCCGCGTCGTCCGGACTGCCCACCTTTCGGGGCGCGGGCGGGCTCTGGCGCAACTACGAGTCGACGTCGCTCGCAACTCCCCAAGCTTTCGCGCGTGATCCTGGCCTCGTATGGCTCTTCTACGGCTACCGTCGTCACGTGGCATTGGGAGTCAGCCCAAACGACGGACACCGGGCACTTGCCAAGCTGGCTGAGCGACAACCTGGTTTCCTGTGTCTTACACAGAACGTAGATAGTACGATTCTCGCCTACCTTGGCTAATACAGATCTTCACGAACGCGCTGGGCACTCCGTCGGCCAGTTGCGCCACCTCCATGGCTCGCTGTTCGACCTCAAGTGTTCGAACCGCCGATGCGATTGGGTCGAGCAGAACAACCAGGATGATCCCCTGTGCCCCGCCCTGGCGCCTTCTTCGATCGACGCCGCTCCCGGGGAGAGATTGACCTTGCTCGATCCGGCTCAGGAACTGGAGCCCATCCCCGAGTCGGAGCTGCCGCACTGCCCGCGGTGCAAGAAGGGACTGCAGCGACCGGGTGTGGTGTGGTTCGGCGAGCAGTTGGACCACGCGATGCTGGCGGAAGTCGACGCGTGGATCGACGCCGGATCGGTCGACATCGTACTCGTTGTCGGAACAAGTTCCGTGGTGTACCCAGCGGCTGGGTATGCCGAGCGGGCCCGGAGCGCGGGAACTAGCGTCGTGACTGTCAACCTGGACGCGGACATTGACGAGTGCAGACCAGGAGACTTTGCGTTCGCTGGGGATGCTGCCAAGCTTCTACCGGAGTTGCTTGAGCCAGTTATCGGCAAGTTGTAGGACTGCATTATATGACATATCGAAGAAACGGAGACAAAAACTGCATACTAAACATTATTGTCACTGGTAGAGTTGCTGCGACCATCAGGCAGAGCGACGTACGGGTGAAATTCATCCCTTTTCACGCAGCCACAGAGCTTCTCGGGATGGAACAGGTGGCCGCGACGCCTGCGGACATAAATGCTGTAGCAGAAGTTGGACCCGAATACCATCATGAGCGAGATCATAGTCGGGTATTTGAATTGCTCGGGCCGGAAGAAGACAATGGTGGACGCGTAGGACAGGAGCTCGAATGCGTTTTGAAACGCCGACTCCATGGACGAGAATACGCCGCGGGACTCAGCTTCGACATCCTATGATCAGCAATGACATAGCGATGCCTCACGTCCTGCACAATGACTTGAATGCAGAGATCCAACGACCACAGGCCCATGCGGCTGAGAATTGTTCCGCAAACCAGTGCGCTCGCGGACACAAGAGGTCTGTCGGCGAAGGCGGTAAACACTGCCACGCCGGTGGTCAGCATGGATAGCTGCCACCAGCTGGACCAGATGCCTGCTCGCGTAACTCCGATGGCCGTCATAAGCCGAGGGGCAACCCATGTTGAGGCCACCTCGAGAACCACGCTGACAGTGCGTGCGATGCCGACATTTGTGGATGTGTAAGAGTTGGCCAGAAGGTACGTGACCATCTGTCCGCCAAAGGTAAGGACGTTGAGGTAGAGCAGAGCGCATGCGAAGGAGGGCAAAAACGCCTGGTGAGTGCAGTACAGCCGGGCGTCGGACGCGAAGGCAGCGACGGCGTCGTGGACGTGGCCCAACAGGCCTTGCGGCGTTGGCGTAGATGTGGTTGAACGCGCTGTTGACACGTTCTTCGGCTGCTGGAGGCGCGGATCTTCATGGTAGACTCGAGCAATCGCAAAGTACTCGAGTGCGACCGACAGAAGGTTCATGGTCAAGTTGACCAGAATGGCAAGCTCAGTTGAGACGCCGTCGAGGATGGCAATCACCATGGGTCCGATCAGCTTGCACAGCAGGTCTATCCGACGCATCTGAGAGTTGATGGCCTTGAGTCCCTCCGGGTCCGATTGGCCAACGACAACAACCTGGGCGCCTCAGCATGGGCCCTCAGTCCAATCACCCACCCAATCCTTCTCCACAGCGACGGTATTTATAATGGCGCACACCTTCTCAACGCATGCCAGGGCTCCGACGAGGACGAGAAGCACGACCGAAAGAAGCTTGCTCTCCTTCATATCCCCGTGGATGAGGATGTAGAAGGCCACGCAGGAGACCGCGACAGATACTCGCTGACCGACTGTCCGTCAGCCATGCCCTGCGAGGACTCACCTATGGCTGTCCGAACTACGTGCAATCGATCGTTGCGGTCAATGTATGTCCCGATCGCCGAGGCCGAAACGATGGCCGACAGACCGCGCACAAACGCATAAATCGACATGGTGAGTAGCGTACCCGGGAATGCCTTGGCCAGGTAGAGAACTGCGCCAAACTCGAACACGCGCATGTTCCATGTTGACAGCAGGTGGGAAAGATACAAGCGGTAGCGTGTTGTGTTGGTGACTGCAGCTGAAGTTCGGTCGGCATCCCCGCTGTCTGGCGGAGCGTCCGTGGAGGCGCGACGCGCGTCCATGAGGGGCAGCTCGACATCCTGGCTGTGATGGAGGAGAGAGGCGGACATGACAGGCTGTCGTGCTCTTCGCGTTGCGGAGCGAGCGTGTGCTTAAAACGAGCGGAATTGAGGAGCGACGACGCCTGATGGAACGGAGCTGTCGTCACGTGACTTTGCATCGGCGAGTCAAGTTGCCCGCAGCGCCATTCTCATCCCCCAACAGTTGGTGAAGACGACACGGTGCAATTCGTTTTCAATACCGCTGTAACGATGTCACTGATATAGCTGATCCCTTATTATAGAAGCTGCCGAGCACAGTGAAGAGGTGATACAGGTGACGAGGGAACTCGATCGGGATGATTGCAGGTCGGTCTTTGGAGATTGGGGGACCGGCTACTTGACAGCCTATCGAAATCGTAGTTCATTGTTCCATCTCGTCACGTTGCCCACATCAGCTTGTCAGCTTGTTTCGCTCGCTGCCCGATCATCAACGTGTACGGTTAACCGACCCAGCAATTCATGGACGACGGCCATCCGACGTCATGTGACATGCATCCACATTCCCTTCGGCGCGGGCAACACCGAAGCACACGCGGTTGCGGTGTCTTCGTCACCGTGCAAGCGAGGTGGGCAACCGGCCCGGTCTCGCAGCGGTTCAAGGAGCAGTATAAGCTGGGAGTGTTGCCATGGGTAGCTCCTCACCTCACCCCTGGTCCCAGAATCACCCCGCACCCCAGCCCGTATTCACAATGAGCCCGCCCGCCGACCTCGCCAACATCCCCAAGAAGCACAAGGCTGCTGTCTACGACAAGCCGGGAACGCTCAGCATCAAGGTCACGGAGATTGACACGCCGGAGCCCGCGCAGGGTGAGGTGCTTGTGCGCCTGACCCACTCGGGTGTCTGTCACTCGGACTATGGAGTCATGATGAACGCTTGGAAGGCGCTCCCCGCCCCTACCCCAGAGGGTCAAGTTGGCGGCCACGAAGGTGAGTCAGCAAGTGGAGCGATGGCACGATGGCCTAGGGCATAAAATATAATTAGATCATGCTGCTTGCAGCCCCGTCCACCCATCTCACTCCGTACCGTTCAGGTTAACATTTCCAGGTGTAGGCTATGTCGCCAAGCTCGGCCCAGGCCTTGAGAACTCCCCCGTCAAGGTCGGCGACCGCGTCGGCATCAAGTGGATGTCGGCTGTGTGCAATACGTGCACGGCATGCCTGAGCGGCCGTGACGCATCGTGCTCATCAGGCAAGATCAGTGGCTACTTCACTCCGGGTACTTTCCAGCAGTACGCGACCGCTCCTGCCTCATACGTCACTCCGATTCCCGAGGGGCTCGACTCGGCGGCCGCCGCGCCCCAGCTCTGTGCCGGCGTGACGGTATACGCGGCTCTGCAGAAGGCCGACGTCAAGGCCGGCCAGTTCGTCGTCATCATGGGTGCTGGCGGTGGCTTGGGGCACCTTGCGTGTGCCCTCGCATCTAAGGGTCTCGGGGCGCGCGTGATCGGCATCGACCACGGTAGCAAGAAGGCCGTGGCGGAGGAGAATGGTGTCGAGTTCTTCATCGACTTTACGCAGACTAAGGATGTGACGGCCGAGGTCATGAAGATCACCGGCATTGGCGCGCACGCCGTCCTCGTCCTTACCGCATCCAATGCGGCTTACGCCCAGTCTCTCACATTCCTCCGCTTCGCCGGCACCGCCGTCTGTGTCGGCGTCCCAGAGGGTGAAATGGTACCTGTGGGCTCGGCTGCACCTGCGCTCTTCATCTTCAAGGAGCTCCGGTTGGTCGGCTCGGCTGTGGGCGGTCGTCTGCAAGCCATCGAGACACTTGACTTTGCCGCGCGCGGCGTCATCAAGACGCACTACAAGACGGCAAAGCTTGAAGACCTGGCACAGGTCTTCCGAGACATGGAGGAGGGCAAGATCCAGGGACGCGTTGTCCTTGAGATTGACTAGCGAGTGGGCGAGTTAGATAGGCATCGAGTTCAGAAGTACGATAACATGTTTGGCATGGACAGAGTGAACAATCAGCGCCGCGTCTGATTTTCGTTTGAGATTAGTCGCCGGTGTCTAACGGCACATAGTGGGCTGAGGAAGACTGTCGCGGCGTTGTGTAGCAGCGATGGTCCACTTGGATGGCTCGGACTCCGAAGGCAGAGTTACTGCAGAAAGTATGCATCGAGTGCCGTTGGTGGCGCCACCAGCCGCAGCCGTCTTCCCTACACTCTCGCGCCTCCCCTATTTTTCACCTACGTCTGTTCTGCAAAATGCAGCACAGTCCGAGCAACTCTGTTTATGGATGCATACAATTCAGCAAGGGAGTCCTACGGGGTCAACAAAATCGACCGCACAGGAAGCCGATTCGCCCTGCGACATGCAATGCCTCGGAAAAAAAAAGAAATGAAGTGTCGGAGGAACAGCTACATCATCCACTCTCTCCGTTGAGCGTCCCAGTACACCTGGTTGACCTACACACCTGTGTGAGTAGTCCCTCGCCCCGCTTTGGCGTGGCTGGCTTTCAGTATTGTGGTCGAGTCGGCCATCAAGTCATTACCGCCATCCCAACATGGCCAAATTCATTTACTGCATCACCAATTACCTGAACCGCACCATTTGCGCTTCGCTGTACCGCTGGCACTCATGTAGGACCACCTCGGTGTCCCTCGCATCGAGACACAGCGACGAGTCTTTAGCCCTAATAGTGTGCGCGTAATAGGGGTTGGGCGCGACCCCGCCGCCGCCAAAGCCGTCGTAGCGCTCAAAGGGCTCGGCTTCGAGGAGGGAGAGCGTGACGGGAATCCCTACGCCGACGATCCTGACTGTGGCGCGCAGATCACCGAACTTCAGCTCGCCGCTGTCGTCGTTGAACGTCGCCTTCGGCGCCGTCTTGCATGGCTGCCGAACTAGTGTGCCGTTTGCGGGTGCAAGGCAGCCACCGAGCATCGAGCGCAGCTTGCCAGACACCTGTGGCGAGGTGGGCGCAGGTATGTCTTGCCGCCTACTGAGGCCGTGTGCCTGCGGTCAGTGCTAGTCGGCGGGGTATGTACCGCCGAGACTGTGGCGAGAATGGCAAGAAGAGCAGTGACGGCGACCATGCTGAAGGGAAGCACGAAACTCTTGATTGTTCGATGTCGTAGGCCTTTATAACCTGTGCCGTGGCGAGGTCTCCTTACCACCTCTCCTCGCTTGCCAGTGAGAACGACGAGCTGAGCTGCACATCATGGAGGTGGAAAGCCCACCTATATTGCAAGTACGCCGCCCGTTACCAAGACGATACCCACACGCCGCGTGAGCGCTTATGATTGCTATGATATAGCGGCTGCGCCGTTCTCCTCGGAATGCAGGACGCTCACACTGCACCACCTATAATGTAATGTGCGGAGCACCACCTATAATGTAATGTGCGGAGGCACGGATGCTGTGTTCCGCGCCATGTCTCATCGTTTTCGTGAGTTTACATTGGTTGTCAAGGACTACTATGGCGGTGTCCCTAGGCGCGGCAGTCGCGCTTCGAGCAGATCGGGCCCGCCACAATGACCGACCACCTAGTGAGTTCCGGGAGTTGTCTGCATCGCTGGCCCGGAGATTATTTCAGCTGATATCCCTGCCGGCAGCCTCGGAGCTGTCTTAGTCGGATTCGGCATGCCCAGCGCCCCAGTTGAGGCTGAGGTCGCGCACACTCGTGAATCGCCAGTACTGTGTACCACGGCTCTTGAGTCTGCTCCTGAAGCCAGAATCGCCACCACCACCGTCGAGGATGTGGAGCGTTCGAGTACTGACAAGGTTACACTTTAACCTTGACTTGCCGGTTCCCGGGCTGACATCATTCCGCTTTGTTTGGCTCCCACTCGGTCTCCATGGCCCCTCAACTCAACGTCCTTACCTCATATCCCTCAGCGTTCCATCAATGTCATGGCATGGGTATACAACATAGTCCATATCTATCTCTAAGCCAAGCGGAAGTCCTGGTTGACGTCGCGCTCCTCGCAGCGCGAGACACGCACGCGCGCGGGCCCCGGTAGCACAGGCTCGCCAACAGTAAGGCAGTGTCCATCGGCGGTCTTGAAGCGAATGTAGTTTCCGTTCTCGACCGAGATGCTTGTAAACGTCTGGTGCATGCTGTCGCTTGCCGGCCGCACCTTGACCCACGGGACGGTGTGCGAGCCCTGCGCAACCTCGGCGACGCCGCTGCTGAACACAAGCTTGTTGTCCTTGTGTGTCACCGCCGCTGACTGGTCTGAGCAGCTCTTCAGGATCACAGTCGCGTCCGTGCCCGGACCCGGGGCAATGCAGAGGTTGCCGACTCGTGTGTTGGACACGCGGGCTTGGATGCGGGTAGGCGCATTGCGGCGCGGCTCGAGGGGCGCCTAGGGTTAGGTGAGTTCGTGGGGGCGGGGCGGGGTGGGGATCTTACAGCATAGGCCGCGGTCGAGGCGAGAACGGCGATGAGGGTGGTGAAGGCGACCATGCTGGTTTGAGGACCGTGTAAAAAGCGTGTGGAGAAGCAAAGTGTAGCTGAGTTGGAGGGTTTGCTGTCACCATCAAACATGGCCTCTTTAAATAGCGATCTCTGGCATTGTCATCGATGTCGCTGTTCCCACGTTCAGCCCGACGCGTCTCTACAGCCACGGGCGCTCAACTCTGCTGATGCCAGCAACGCGAGCCGAGAGTATGCACTGCAGCGGCGTTCATGGAAATGGTATTCGCCTCCCGCACCAGCGCAAGATAGGCCGTTGCCAGGACGACGCGTCCAGCACAGATATGACATGAGGTGCCTTGCCCGCCTGCTATGCATCCCGCCTCAGTGCCTGATCATGTCATGTGTAATGCATGTAATGTTGCGGGCGCGCTGCGCCACGATTCGCCGTTCTTGTCAGCCTGTGGGATGGGACTCGGGCGCTCGGCTGCACAGTGGATGATTCTCAGCCACTGCCCTTGACGTGAACGCATCATCGAGATATCTGCGCAACGCAACGCCAGTCAGCCAAAACGCCCACGCCGGCCGCAGGAACGCTGCTTGCCTCTCGATACCGCAGTCAGCTGACCAGCGGGATCTGCGGAGCGTTGCTCGACGATATGCGCCTTGATTTCGGGGTGGTTGTCGGTGCGCAAGGCCACACCGCCCCCGATCCTGGAATTGATCGACGCATAATGTCGGGCCGTATCTGCAGCAGTTTTGGGCCGGATCGCACGCGCCATGACGGCAGCGCAGGTACACATGTGGCAAGCGGGAGTATCGCGTCACCTTGGCAGCGCCATGCGATGCCAGCCTCCATAATTTTCTGGATAGTCAGTCACTCGCAGAGACAGTGCCTCCAGTTAGCGGTCTGAAGTGTGGCGAGGGTGGCAGACGCAGGAATGTCGCACACCTCGGATTCTTGACTTCCGCCTATCTCCCATCTTGGTTGAAGCGGGGTCCCCGATGCGAGCGGTGCTGCTGCGGCTTAGTAGTAACCATCGTATTTAGGATCGAGCCTACCAGCGAGTTACCAATCCGTGCAGCGACAGGATCAGAGCAGCTAGACGTGAGAGGCGACTCCTGTGTCAGAGACCCCGGTATCCTGACCCGAGACTGCGCGTGTTCGAGGCACTTCCGAGCACATTCCCATGTCGGAGAGTGAGGTGGTGCAGGATGTCTGGATGCCCACTCTCACTCGGGACCGGCACGCCTAGAATTAAATCATTCCCAGTCAAGTTGCACAACATCGCAAGAGAATACACGGCTAAGACCTCATTGTCCCACACCTTGGTCCGTCACCACCCCGCCCCTCTCCAACGCTACGAGATCCACTTGAAGGACTGGTTGTCGTTCCACGGCGCACACTCCCGCAGCTGGACTTCTGCGCCCACCACCGCCCTCCCCTCCCTTACGTCGAGGCAGTATCGGTGGTTTCCCGTGCGGATCTGCTGCCACACGCCGCGCGGCACGCCTCCGCCGCTGCGACCGTGGAAGTCGGCACGCACCCAGCGCTGGAAGCCGCTGCCGCCGTGTGTCGCGATATCACGGATCTGCACAGCTTCGCCGTTGCCATACCGCCCTAGCGTCAGTGATTAGCGGGGCAAATGCGTACGGGCTGGCACCTCGGCGACGCGTTGCGCCTGCAGGAAGATGAGGAGGTCGCGGTCGTCGTCAAACTCGACTTCGGTGGAGGCGTGCGTGCATGATTTTAGGAGGAGGCGGGCGCCGTCACGCGTCCCGCTCACGCCGAGGCAGAGGTTGGTGCCGATGCGCGCCTTGAGGCGGCCGCGGTGGGATGTGGAGGGCGCGTCAAAAATCGGCGCCTGGGTTAGCGAAGACGCAGGGAGACGTACGGCCATGACGACCGAGAGCAAGACGAGGCCGAGGGCGACCATGGATGAGAGTGCAAGGGCGGTGAAGGCAACCATGGTGGGGTGCTGCATCTTCAGAGCCTGCTCATATAGCGATAGCGGCCGCGCTTGCGGGGACGCATACGCAGCAGCTGATGCCAACGCTTGTTCATGAGCCTTGAGGCCTAGAGGGGCATGTGAGACCGCATTCCGGCATCTCGGGAGGATTTAGCAGCGGAAACATGGCCGCGCTTGGGGCCCAGCGGGCCGCGGCCCGTTTGGAGGCGCGGGATGGCTTGTTTTGGGTCGGGTTGCTAATGTGAGACAAACGTTGGGTGCGGAGCCCTTATCTCCTGGTGTTACGGGAGGTCATTGAGCCAATGGCGCGATTCTTATCCGGCCAGCGGTGTGCTTGCCGTGCGTCGCACTTCAAGCGCCCGAGTTAATGTCGACGCGCGCACGTTTTCCCGTTTGTCATGTGGCATTATTGTATGTCATTCGCTTGTTCATATCATTCTCTTGTATAAATAACGTGTCTCTAATATTCGCGCACACATCAGCAAGAGCTCGAGCCTGAGGGACTTGACGGCGCGGTTGCTGAAAGATCGCGATCCAGAAGAGAAAATCTTTTAGTTTACCTTTTGTACCCGGTGACCCGAATTTCTCTCAGCGGAGAGCTCCCGCACTCCGTGATCGACACCGAACAAGCACACCCCCAGATGAGGCATGAAAGACGACGTTTCCTCCTCCTCCCGTGCTCCTCTCCACAATCAGAATGCTCTAGCAATGGGCGACACCACGTCCCTCATCGGCGTCGCCATCGCCTGTGCGGGCAACATACTCATCTCTCTGGCCCTCACTATCCAAAAGCTCGCACACAGCCGCCAGGAGCGCGATGCCATCTCCTCCTTCGTCACCTCAACCCACCCCGTAGGCGTCGGGCGCGAGCGGCGGTCGAGCGGCACGCCCGCGCGCTCTCTTTCCCCGACCGGCGAGGCGGATTGGGCGACACGCGCCGCGCTCCGCGATAGCCCGGTCGCGGTGCAGGTCGAGCTCTCTGACAATGTCCAAGATGGCACCCGCAGTCCCACCGTGATTGAGGGCGCATACCTCCGCTCTAAGCTGTGGTGGCTCGGCCTCGCGCTCATGTCCGTGGGCGAGGGTGGCAACTTTGTTTCGTATGGCTTTGCGCCTGCCTCCGTCGTCGCGCCGCTTGGCACGGTTGCACTGATCGCCAACTGTGTGTTTGCACCACTCGTCCTCGGCGAGCGCTTTACGAAGCGCAATGTCCTCGGCGTCGCACTCGCTATCCTGGGCGCCGTCACAATAGTATGGTCTGGCCGCGGCTCCAACCCACGTGTGAGTTAGGGGTGGGCACGCGCGATCTCCTCGCGACGGAGTGACATTCCGCGCGCATGCGCCCGGGCGGGTCCGCGGTTCACGGGTGACGCGAGGAGGTATGCTGATTCTAGCTCTCGCCGCGGGAGCTCATCGCTGCGATTATTGCCCCGCCTATGATCGCACTTATGGCCATCACCGCTGTGCTTATCGGCGTCGGGGTATGGCTCTCGAGTCAGCCATGTGGCGCAAACCACGTCGTCGTGGACGTCGGGACTTGTGCCCTCTTTGGCGGATACACGGTTATGGCAACCAAGGCGCTTTCGTCGCTTATCTCAACATCTCCGATCAAGGCGCTCAGAGAGCCTGTGGCGTGGGGCGCTATCCTCATCCTCCTCGTCACGAGCGTACTGCAAATCAAATTCCTCAACCGCGCGCTCATGCGCTTCGAGTCGAAAGTACGAGACAGCACCGAGTGACTCAAGCTGACACACAGGAAGTAATCCCCACGCAATTCGTCTTCTTCTCCATGTCTGCGATCATCATGAGTGCCGTGCTCTACCAGGAGTTCCGGGACATGACGCTGTCCACGGTCGTCAACTTCGCCTTCGGGGTGAGTTTTGAGCTTCCACACCCAGCCATCTAACAACAGATAGCCACGACATTCTTGGGCGTCTACTTCCTCACCACCCCCGCCGATGCCTTGCCCGAAGAGCTTCTGCCTGGGCCCCGCGCGCCCCTCTCCCCCGTGGCCGAAGAGACGCCGCTACTGCGCCGCACCGTGTCGCCGCGCCGCGCATCCCTTCCCCTCACCGGCACCGGGCGGCTGATCAAGCGCGGCTCGCAGAGCAATATCGCGCTTGGCGTGACGCAGGCCGGGCTGCTTCTGCTCGCGAGCACGCCTCCGGTATCCCCCGCCACGCCGGTGGGGCGGCACCGCGCGTCCTCCCGGTCGTCAGTCACGAGCGATGGCGCGAACGGGCATGGCAATTGGCAGGCGTTTGAGAACGTCCTGCCGAGTGTGTCAGGTGGTAGGAGGTAGTGTTTGGGCGTTTGTATGACGACTTGAATGGTTCATATGATATATGATAGAAGGATCTGTGTGATATTAACCAGACGAGGTGCACGGACAGCAGTGGGGCCCATCGGCGGTGACACGTGCAGGTCTCCGGTCCGGCGTGCCGAGGACGAGGTTGACCGAGTGAACACGGGCGGCTGAAGTCAAGTAGCTGTGAGCTGGCAATTGGCAGCCTGTTGAATGTAGAATCTAGATGGCGCTCCCACCGCGGAGGCCAACTGGGCATCACATGGCTGGTAGGGCATCGGCGGCCTCCGAGCCTCCGAGGTGACCGACCCCACCCCCAGTTCACCCCACATGCCTCTTGTCATACATGCACATGTTGCCCTCGTGCTTTCTCCACTTCCCGGACCATGTCATGCCTGCGAGCTGCGAGGCTGCAGTCAGGTGAGTCGCGTTCAATTGGAGCTCCAGATGAGCGCAACAACCTTACCGGCCCAGCTGCCACTCACCTGAGTGACGCACCTCGGAGCCGCTCCGAGGGCCCGATATCGGCCCGGGCGCCGACCACTCCCGCCTCGCCCAGCACCACTGCCAAGTATAAAGCGCTCCATCGCACCATGTCTCTCCAGCATACGCCCAGCATGACCGTCAGCAACTCGACGTACCGAAGTGAGTGAACCGAGTGGGAGGAGAGGACGGGTGGACGTTGGGCGGGAGCTGGCTGTCCGCTGTGCCGAGGAGGACCAAAGTCGGGAGCCGTGTGTGGCGCCGCGCGGCCCACTACAGCGCGCCGAGCTCGAGTTAGCGCTACGCTGGGGGTTGTGCAGCTCGCTTTACTCCTCCTTCACCTCCCTCTCCTGCCACCCCCACTCCCTCTCCCCTACCTGCCCCGCTCACACCAGCTTCCTCCGCCGACTGGTGGCGCCAGGCGCTCGTCTACCAGATCTACCCCCGCTCGTTCATGGATGCGAATGGCGACGGAATCGGCGACCTCGTGGGCATCACCTCCAAGATCCCCTATCTGAAAGATTTGGGCGTGGACGCCATCTGGCTCTCGCCCTTCTACCCCTCAGCGCTCAAGGACGGTGGCTATGACGTAGCCGACTACCGCAATGTCGACCCAAAGATCGGGACGCTCGCCGACTTCGACGCGATGACGGCAGCCTGCAAGGCCGCGGACATCAAGGTCATCGTGGACATTGTGCCCAACCACTCGTCGGACGACCACGAGTGGTTCCAGGCAGCTCTCAAAGCCGCGCCCGGCTCGCCCGAGCGCAACCGCTACATCTTCCGCGATGGGCTCGGGCCGAACAAGGACCAGCCGCCCGCCGACTGGGAGTGCATGTTCGGGGGGCCGGCGTGGGAGCCCGTCGGCGACGGCCAGTACTACCTGCACCTTTTTGATGCGTCTCAGCCAGACCTGAACTGGGAGAATCCCGAGGTGCGCGCCGACTTCATCAAGACGCTGCGGTTCTGGGCGGACCGCGGGGTGAGCGGGTTCCGCATCGACGTCGCGCACGGGTGCGCCAAGAAGGTTGACGAGATCCTCACCTCCAACTCACTGCACTCGCAGGAGGAGGTGCACAAGCTCTCGCTCCAGATGCTCGAGGGCACGCTCGACGACGACGCCCACCCCTACCTGGACCGGAACGAGGTGTTTGACATCTACCGTGAATGGCGCAAAGTGTTCAACGAGTACGACCCGCCTCTGACGGCGGTGGCCGAGGCGTGGGTCTCGAGCAAGCGCAAGCCGCTGTACGCAGCGGCCGATGGGCTGGGTCAGGCGTTCTCCTTTGACATGCTCATGGCGCCATTCGAGCCGGCGGCTTTCAAGAAGATCATCGTCGACTCGCTCGACGACGCGGCGAAGAGCGGCTCGTCTACGACATGGGTGTTCTCGAACCACGACGTGATCCGGCACGCGACACGCCACGCCCTCCCCGACGATGGGGGCTACCACGAAACGGCGCGCAAGTACCTCCTGAACCGGGGGCGTGCGCCCGTCGCCGACCTCGAGCTCGGATTGCGCCGCGCGCGCGCAGCCACCATGATGATCCTCGCCCTCCCCGGATCAGCGTACATCTACCAGGGCGAGGAGCTGGGTCTCTTTGAAGTCGCGGACTTGCCCGACGAGGAGCGGCAGGACCCCACGTTCTTCCGCAAGCCGGGCGTCGACGTCGGCCGCGACGGCTGCCGCGTCGCCATGCCGTGGAGCGCCGAGGGGGAGAACATGGGCTTTGGGCCCGGTAAGCGCCCCCACCTCCCCCAGCCGGAGGGGTATCGCGCCCTCGCAGTCGACGTGGAAGATAAAGACCCACACTCCACCCTCAACCTCTACCGCCGCGCACTGGGGCTGCGGCACCAGCTCCAGTGCGCTGAGGAACTCGAGTGGCTCAGCGACGACCGCGACACCGTTCACTTCAAGCGTCCGAACGGGTGGGAGGTCCTCGTTAACTTTGGCAAGGAGGCGCGCGCCATCCCGTCCGACCGCAAGGTCGCGCTCGCATCCGGCGACCTTGTCGACGGATGTGTGCCTACCGACACCGCCGTGTGGCTCCTCCCTGCTTCCGCGTAGGGATAAGAGAATAGAGGGCCCTAGCTTGTGTAATGTATCCTGCCGAGAGGCAATCCGCAACAGTCAGTATCTCATCATGCATGTGTACGAGAGGTGCGAAGGCGAGGGTGTGGCATTATGATGGCTGTAGTAGGGCGAGAGATACAGACAACTACGACACGGCCTTTTTCTTAGATTGCCGTTTACGCGCCTTCTTCGGGGTGTCCTCGCCGACGGCGGGCGTCGTATGAGTTGCGGGGGTATTGGAGCGCGAGGATCGAGTAGATCTGCGAGGCATCTCGGGCTCGGGCGTGTGAGCCTTGGGCGTCTGCGCCTTAACCGCGGGAATCTCAGGCTTAGGCTTCTCCGAGAGCGTCGCAGTCGTGACGGCAGGAACGCTGGCCTGCGCCTTCTCCGACGGCATTGCGGCCTGAATCACAGGCACCTCGGCCTTGGTCTTCTCCGACAGCGCAGCGGCCTTGGAGGGCAAGCTGGCAGCCTTGGCCTGGATGCGGTGCTCGGTGGCCTTAACCGCGGGGCGGAAGTAGACAGCGAGGGTGCGCAAGGCGAAGAGGCCAGTGAAGATGAGAACGGCGACAGCGCGCGCGACGCTGCCGTTGATCTCAAGATCGTCTGGGAGGGCATCCGCGATCAGAGGGCGGACCTTCTGCAGCGCAGGGTAGCGCCCGTCGAGGGCAGAGTAGGCCACGCCCGCAATCATGGCGGCCCACACGTCGAGGGTGTCCCACACCCCGCCGCCAAGGACGGAGGGTCTTCCGATCGCCCACGACTCTCTAGCGAGGCCGAGCATCTGCGCAATCCAACCGCCGCCACACGTCGCGATAGCACCGAGCACGGCGGGTGCAAGCCATGATCCCGCCGTCTGGGGCGAGGCCTCGGTCAGCGCGGGCATAGAGGCGACCGAGACGCCGCGCGTCAGCCCATCGACTAGGGAAAGGGCGAGACCAAGGGGCAACGCGGGCGCCGAGCCGAGCAGGCTCGCGACCTTGGTCGGGATGGTGCAGAGATACACGGCGGTGTAGACAACCCAGGGGACGGGCGAAACGAGCCACGCCGGCGGGGTGCCGAGGAGCAATGAGACGAGCGTGCCGCCGCCCCCTGGAGTTAGTGACTAGACTCAACGCATCCATCCATCACGGGCAGTGGTGGTCAGATCAAGCGCTACATTTGAAAGCAGGCATCTGCTGAGCATCCACCACTCCACAGCCACTCACACGCAATGACGAGAAACCCAAACAGGTCGGCAGACACGCTCACGGGCTTTCGCCCCCGCGTCATAGCCGCCCACGCGATACCGACGCGTACAGCGTGCAAGACGCTGAAGCGCACGAAAGGGAAGTACACGTCGTGCACGGTCTGGCTCGTGAGGTTTTGAAGAAGGCCAGCGACAGCGAGGCTCGCGCTCGCAAACGGCAGGGCGGTCCACGGGACGAGGAAACGTGTCTGTTCAGCGACGCGGAGGATGGCACGCGACACGAGGTCGTCTTTGCCGTCAATGTCGGGCATGGTGGGCGCGCGGGGATGGGTAGGTGCGAATGCGAAGCCCGAAAGAAAGAACAGAGGGCGCGCAAAGATGGATGGGCAGTATGAGGATGTGGATGGTTGAGAAAGTGAGACTGATAGTTGAAGAGGATGTTGATGGATCTCAACACATCGTGGTGACACCCGTGACGTCGTTGAGCCCGAAATCTCAATCTCGCCGATTTCTGATTCACCGTCTCCATTTCGCGATCTCTGCATCGCCCATTCTCCACCATGGTCGGCACACCCCTCCGCACCTCATTGCGACTAGCACCCCGCGCGGTCCGCCCCGCGCTGTCCTCGCGCGCGCTGCACGCCACCACCCCCACCCGCTCCGGCCTCACGAACATCTTCGAGGCAGGCGACAACCCGCCCCTAAGTGTGTCCAAGCTCGACGCGCGCGGCTTCCACCTCTCGGACGGCCTCCTCGTTCCCGGCGGCCTGGTGTTCGCCGATGGCCGCGCCTTTCTCTGGGATGTCGACCCGCCAGGGGACAGCAAGGGCGGCGTGGCCGCGGCTTGGGCCGGGTGGAGCAAGGAGCGGTTCGAGGTGTTCGAGCGCGTCGTCCCGCGGCCCGGTACGTTTTCCGTGGGGCAAAGATGAGCTGGGGACTGACGGCAGAAATACTCATCTTTGGCACTGGCGCACGCGTCCTTCCCCCGCCGCGCGAGGTGCGCGACTATATCTCCAGCCTTGGCATTCAGCTGGACGTCATGGACTCGGTGGGTATAGCCGCGGCGACGCTGACGCCAGCGCAATGCGGCGAGCACGTACAACCTTTTGTTCGAGGAGGGACGGACGATCAGCGCAGCGCTGTGTCCCCTTCAGCCTGTGAACTCGCGTACGGGCGAGCACAAGTAGGCGGCGGACGGAGATGCAGCATTACTCATGGTTGACCGTGGTGCAACTGTGCGACTGACGGTGTGACTGACAGTCCTTTCCATGAAGATGCAAGAAATGATAATACAGAGTCTAATCGATGCAGTATCGCTTCACCAACCTCGCCCCCCACTCGCCCTACGCATGCCATCCCTTACGCTCGCGCGGGACAAAGCCCCAAATCACCAGCGACGCGCCCATGAACGCAATCATGAGCGGCTGAAGAATCCACACGCCGCGCGCATTCGCAATACTCCCCGTGATGAACGGCATGATCGCGCTCCCGACCTGGCCCATGCTCGCGACCATGCCGATTGCGCCCTGGTGCAGGTCGCCGGGCAAGATCCCCACAGTCACCATCATGACTATGGGATACATGGGCCCGAGGAAGATGCCGACGAAGGCGTACGCGACGGCGTTGCCGACGAGCGACGTCGTCGTCCACACGACCACTTCGAGCGCAATCGCCCCGGCCGTGTACACCCACACCGAGTTGGAGCGGCCCATCCACCCCGTAACGGGGATGAGGATTACGCGGCCGAGCGTCAAGCCGGCGAAGAAGCCCGACGAGACGTACCCGCTCGAGTCGTTGCCGTTGCGCTCGGCAATCAGGAAGGAGGTCGCCCATCCGCCGATTGTTACTTCGACGCCGACGTACAGGAGGATGTAGAAGCACAGGCCCCACACACTGGGTTTGCGCAGGATGCGTTTGAGCTTGGCGCTGCTGTCTTCGTATCGCAGTTCGGGGGACTCGGATGAGTGGGCGGTGTTGGCGTCGGCGGCGGCATCGGCAGCGGTAGCGGCATCGGACTCGGGGTTAGGTCGGGCGGAGTGAGTCCGCTGGAGCTCGAGCTGGAGCCCTCCGTCGACGGGCTCGGTCTCGTGCGCCGATGGCACAGGCACCTCGGCACGCTTGCCTACCACCTGGTCCTCGGTGCGGAGGCGGAAGACGAGGAGGAGCGCAGCGGTCGTGGCGAGCGCGAGACCCAGCGAGACGGCGTAATAGAGATACACGCGGTCCTGTACGCGTTTGACGAACTGTGTGCTGACGAGCGGCGACGCCGTCGCCCCCACGCCATACATGGCGTGCATGAGGAACATGAGGGTGTTGGCGTTCCGCATGCGCGACACAATACTGTTAACTTGTGCGTCCTGCAATCCGAGCCCCCAGCCAATGAAGACGAAGCCGGCGACGAAGAGGGGGTACGGCGCGCCCCAACAAATCAGCGCATACCCGAGCGCTTGGAGGGCGGCGCCGAAGGGCGCGACGATGCCGAAGCCGAAGCGGTCCGAGAGCCAGACGTTGCTGAGCCCCGCGGCCATGAAGCCCGCGCTGTTGAACAGCCAGATGATGGAGATGACGAGGTAGTCGACGTTGTAGTGCCGTTGGAGGGAGGGCAGGAGGGGGCCTTGCGAGCCGTCGTTCCACCCCGCGAGGAACATGACGAGGAAGAGCGTCGCGACCATCGCGCGCTCGAGCGCGCGGCTGGGGAGCGGGAGCGGGCGCGCCAGCCGCGCGAAGTAGTAGTGGTCGTGTACGCCGCGCTTGCGCAGCCGCGCGGTGCCGGGACCGGCGGCGAGCGGGTCGGTGCCTTCCAGAGGGACGGCGGCGCACAAGCTGTTCAGGCGCTCGAGGGCGGGGGATTTGAGGCTGCGCCGGGAGATGGTGGGCTCGAGCGAGAGGCTGTCGCGCTTCTCGCTGAGCGAGGGCGGTCGCGCGGACGCGCTTGATGCTGGTCGGACGGGCATGTCGGAGCGTGGTCGGTCTGGCATGTTGTAGGCGTAGGAGGGGGAGGGCGCCGCTCTTAGATATTTCCAAAGCGGCCGTCGCAAGCCCGAGTCACTGCGTAGATTCAGTCAGCAAGTCAAGACCCCTTTCAACAGTGGAGTTGGCGTTGTTCATGTTGCGAGAGGGGAGATGTCCGATGTCACGGCGTCTCGGTGACCTCGGCGTCGGTCCGATGAAGATTAGCAGGTTTTAGCAGGTTTACGCGGCTCATGCGCCTGCTAATCTTCGCTGGTTGCCTCAATCACCATCTCCACAGAACATGGCGATATTGGCAGAGCGAAGAACGTTGACAACGTGTACACCGTCACTCTGCCCGGATCAGGTTGAGACGCTTAACGGCTATGGACTGACCCGCAAGATTTCGAGGTGGTCGCTGTGACCGAAGCCATCAAGACTTGGCTGCAAGCGTGATTCCTACGGTTGAACCACTGCATGGAGTGGTTTCGGGTCGCTTGTAGCGCTGCAGCTACAAAGGCGGGTGGTCGCCGCAGATTGTGCCGTCCACCGCCCTCCGTCCCCTCCCCTCCCCCACCACTCCCCCTCCACTGCTGCGGCAAATGTGCATTCTCTATGCTTTTCTCTATGCGCCTTCGGACCCTCTGCAAAGCTCGCCTCGCTAAAGCAGCCCGAAAGGATACCCGCCGTTCTTGAGCTTGAACAGCCGGATAAGGAGGGAGAAGAGGACGATGAGCAGCGCGAGCCAGAGATACGTCCCGACGCGCTGCTTGGCGGGCGAGCTCTGCGCGGGGATGAACACGGAAAGCACGACGACGGTGAGAGCGAGTACGCCGTCTGGGGTTAGCACTTCCTCCCAATTCCTGGACTCGGACTGTCTCGATCTCTCTCGAAATACTCCCAGAAACGGAGACTCACACAGTGCACCAACGACCTGCGACTCGAGGCCGAGCTGGTTCTGGTATCCGCCCGCGACCCAGGACACGCGCCCGCCGGGACCGGCCTGGACGTAGGGCGCGTTCTTGATCTTGTTCCACATGTATCCGCTCGTGAAGAGGATGCAGAGTAGGGTGGTAGCGACGCCCCAAACGATGCGGCTGGTGAGGACGGGGAGGAGGACTGCGCGTGCCGTGTAGCCCGCATACAGCGCCATGGCGAGGAGAAGGGGCGCGAGAATGAAGGGGACGGGGGACTTGGGCATGTACATGTCGAACGGCTCGGGGGTCGTGGACTTGACCCAGGCGTGGAGGGGGGGAACTCCGAGGCCACTGCTGTCAGAGGGCGTAGAGTACAGCAAAGACTGAGGAGGGGACACTCACGCGCGGTTCAGGTCAAAGTTGACAGCACCCGTCTTGGCCGCCTTCCGCTCGCCCGCCGCGGGAGGGTAGTAGAACACGGTCGGCGCACTAGTCAGCCCGAGGCGCTGGAACACCTCCTGGCCATTCGCGAAGTCGAGCTCAGCGAATACGTGCTGGTCGCGCACGCTGGCAGGCTTGCGGCGCCAGCTGCGCGCGACGGCCCGGTAGACAGGATCAAAGTCGTGGCATGGCGCACACTTGTATCCTGCGGGCAGGGCAGTGAGGACGATGGTTGCGCCCCATTCGCGATCGGGGGATGTGAGCTCGTCAAATGTCTCGGCGGTGAGAGAGACGACACCGTCGCGCGCGGAGGCGGAGGCAGCGGCCCAGTCTGTCGCGAGAGACAGGGGGAGAAGGAGGAGAGAAAGGAGTGTGCGGCGCATGGTTGCGCTTGGGACAGATGGTGATGAAAGCGGAGATGGCGGAGGAGAGACAGCGGAGATGGCGGACGAGTGGTGACGCACCCGGATTACACGTTAACGCGACGCGGAAGCAAATCGGCCACCCCTCCAGCGACGTCAACGATGTCTCAACCACCCCTCACATGCAAAAGCAATCGATACATGAGACACGCATGAATACAAGGGATCGTGTCCCCGCCTGCTCTGCTCTTTTCTTTCAGATCTACGGCTAGTCTGTACTTCTGCACTACTTTGCCACCTACGCCCTCGCCGCCAGCGCGCCGCTCCTCGCGACCTTCTTGACGCCGCCCTTGTCGTGTATCTTCATGTGGCGCTGCAGCTGGTCCGTGCGCGCGAACCGCTTCCCGCACCCGGCGTAAACACACGCAAACGGCTTCTCGCCCGTATGCGTGCGCCGATGTTTGCTGAGATTGCTGGCCTCCTTAAATCCCCGGCCGCACAGATCGCACCGGAACGGCTCGACGCCCGTGTGCGTCCGCTCGTGCACGTTGAGCCCGGATTTCTGAGTGAACGCCTGCCCGCACCCGGGGTACGGGCACTTGTAGGGCTTTTCGTCGCGGTGCCGCCGCATGTGCGTTTCGAGGGGCGCCTTCTCGGCGAAGCCTTGGCCACACACGTCGCACACGAAGGGCCGGTCTTGCGTGTGCATCCGCAGGTGCCGGATGAGCTTTTGGCGGGTCGCGAAGACGCGGCCGGCGCCGTCGCCGCACCCGGCCCAGCGGCAACGGTATTCGCGCGCGCCGCGCCCTACGTGCGCCGCTTCGAGATGCGACATGAGGTCGGCGGAGGTGGCGAAGGGTTCGTGCAGCGCACACTCGTGCCACAGGCACGAGTGTGTCGTGTTCGTCGGCGAAAGCGACGGAGACGGCGTCGGCAACGTCCGCTGCAGCGGCAAAGAATGGTGGTGGTGCGGGCCCAGTACGTTATGGCTGTGCGCGAGCACGTGCGCGTGCGCATCGTGCGGTACGCCGGGCGCACACTCGTGGTGAGGGTGCGGGTGGGCGTGAGGGTGCGCTGCGTTGTGCAGATGCGTGAGTACGAGGTGGGTGTGGCCCTTGTCAACAGAGCGCGGGTCAGGCAAGCCTAGGTGGTCCTTCATAAGGTGCTTGAACAGTGTCTGCGGCGACATCTCGCCGTGCATTTGCGTTGTCATCCCGGATGCCGCGGAGTGGGTCGCGAGTGACTGCGCCGGGGTCTGGATGTTACTCTGCGGTGTAGTCCCAGCGGTACCAGTATTAGAGGCGGCCGCATCGCCGGCCGCAAAGTCGAAGCAGTCAGCCCACATGCACGCAACGTTGAAGTTGTCAGACCCTTGTGTCGAGACAGTGGTCGTGGGAACCGGTGCGGGCGATGCCGACTGAGACAAGGAACCTGGTAAGGCGCTCATCATCTCCATGAAGGCATTAGTGCCGAGCGACAACTCGCGCGCCGGGGTTGGAGCAGCACTTGACGCTGAAGCTTCGCTAACCAGATGGTCGGCAGCGATGTGGGCTGCTAGTTTCGCAAAGTCGGCAAAGGAGGCGTTACAGTTTTGCCAGCGGCACACATGTTGCAACTGTGGTTGAGGCACATGCGTTTGCGCCTGCGCGAACACCTGTGCAATATAGTCCATATAATTCGGATCTTGCGGCTGGCGAAGCAAGAGTGCGAGCGGATCGACATCGACCTGTGGGAGAGTGCACGCGGCGTCGTTGCAGCGTTGTATCTGGAATTAGCTTGTCTGTTCCGTTGGACAGCTCACCATCTCCTCGACGGTGCAGTCTGGCGGACACCATTCCTGCCCGCAATCTTGCGTGCAGGGCGCACACTCCTCGGTGCACTCCTGCTCGCAGTCCTCGTCGCACGGCTTTTCACAGTCCGAGTTACACGAGTCGCGGCGCTGCATGTCGGCGCACCCATCATTGCAGGGGGCGATTCTGTCGCGCGCCGTCGCCGAGTCGGGCGTGGGCAGGAAGCCGGAGCAAAAGTCCTCAAAGGACAGCGGCTGGGTCGAAGACGAGCCGTGATCCAAGTCACAGCAGTAAAGAGAGTGCGCGTGGTGCATTTTGCGGCGGAGGTGAAAGGGATGAGGCTGATGTTGAGCGGAGACAAGAAGAACTGAGAGTGTCGGGATATTGTCGGACGGAGATGGGCGATGAGAAGAGAAGCAGAGTCGGCGATAGGACGAGAGGGGAGCGGACGATGCGGCGATGCAAGCGATGCGTATGAGAGAGCTCGGTGCAGAGCTTCTAGCGCCGAAAAGCGAGCATGAGGGAGGTGAGACAAGGACCAACGTTTGAATAGCACTAGGACGGGGGGGTGGGGGCAATGGGTGGACGCCGTGAGTGGAGGTGAGGAGAGGTTTACGGCGTGAACCATAAAGGTACAAGGCAGAAACGAGGTTGCTGCACGTGGTCGTTGGGAACTAATGACGTGCGTTGGCAATCACAGAGGGGTCTCCCCCAAAAACAAAGAGTACCCGCACAGTCATCGCGGTCACAGCAAAGAACTCACCGAGTTCGGGAGCTTTTGCCCTCTGGTGGCCCGGTCGGGAGCAGTTGCCTCTGAGTACACAATACTTTGGTTCCGGGGTGTCAAGTCCAGGCTGGGTAACAATTAACATTACCATGGCAAAATTAAGCGTGAGCGTTCGAACCTCAGCAAAGCACACATGCTTTTGACTCTCGGCCAACCGGACGGAACACTTAACCTTGGCTGATCGCTGATCTGCAGATCGACCATCGTGGCGCTTGATCGCGCTCAGAGAATAACAGAAGGTTTCTTATCTCATGATCTCATCATCAACCCACTCCCGGGCTCCCAGTCCGCGCTGCATCCGTCACGAACGCGCGCAGAGTGCTTCTCGGCGACTTTTACCGCCCACCAGAACCGTGCACTACTCTCGGCTATCCCCGCCAGTCAACGTCACGCTCTTTTGCCCCACAGCGGATGATGCCGTCAGCTGATCAGCGGGTGGCGACTGCCGTGATATGATATGGAGGAGACGTAGGTAGCTTTGCTCGGTCGATGTCGCCTATCTATAGGGAGAGCACGAGCGTGAATGCGAGCTCGCCGTTGCAGTGCAAGTTGTCCCCAGAAACCCGCCTGCATGCACACCTGCTCACCCCCTCTCCAAGGGCGCGTTCGGAGTTCTGCGCCCGGCGAGGCGTCCAACTGCAAGCTGGGCTTGACTTGGTGGCAAGGGAGGAATGCCAAGGCCGCCTCAGCGCTGGTGGCAAAAGCGCTCCTGGCTTCGTCGGCCGAAAGATTACCTGGACGACGCGTGGGGGCGTAGGAACGGAGCGGATTCCTCTGCTATCCTTCGGTGGCGGCAGCGCTCAGGCCTGAGGTGCATGCATCACGGGGTGGCGGCTGGCGGGCAGCGGCCATGCATTGCTTGGCTCATGGCCCATGGCCTATGGCCCTGGAGATGGCGATATCGCAGCCCAAGACTCAGGCTCGGCTGCCTCCGCCATTTTGGGCACCATTGTCTGTCGTGCTCAATTGACAGACGACTACACAATTTCTCATCCCCCATTCTCCCATCTCCCACTTCACCATGTCCACAGCCACGGCGCCGCACGCCTCCGCGAACGGGCTCAAGAGCCGCGCCAACGGCGCTAGCAACGGCGCTGCCTCGCCCGCCGAGGGCGTCGAGACCCCGGGCTTTGCGCCCAACGCGCCCCCCTCCGTCCTCCCCTCGTCCCGCGTCACCCTCCAGTCGCTGCTGTACGAAAGCGGGGCGGGCGACGGCGTCTCGGGCTCGGTCGACGACTGGCCTCTGCCCGACGACCTGGACTTTGAGCGCCCCGTCTCCGAGCTCCTGCGGAAGGGCACGCAGCGCGCACACACAAATGCCGAGAACTCGGACGGCGCAACTGCCCTCACGGCCGGCAAGCTGGAGATGCGCGAATACGTCCGCTGGCTCGGCCTCCTGTGGCGCGTGTACGAGTGAGTCGCCCCCCTATACGGTATCTGACCCCAGCGCGCTCGAGAGCGGCCTCGACGCACACGCGACGAATCCCGTCCTCGCGCCAACATACAACCCCAAGCTGCTCGCGCGCGCGCCCACGCTCGCGGCGGACATCCGCTTCCTGCTCCAGCGCATGGGGCACGACGATGCGCCCCCGCGCCCCGACATCGTGCCCACGCCGCCCTTCCCGCTGCCCGCGTTCCTCGCCGAGGTCTTCACTACCACCGCCGCCCCGCTCAAAGTCTACCTCGACCGCCTCCGCGAGATCTCCGCAACGCCCGCCCAGGCGCCCCGCCTCCTGGCCCACGCGTACGTCCGTTACCTTGGCGACTTGAGCGGCGGGCAGATCATCGGCGCGCGCCTCCGCAAGGCGTATAACCTCGACACGCTCGATGGCCGCCGCTTCTACTTCTTCGACTTGGATGGGGACGCGTCTGCTGCCGAGACGGGCGACGAGACCGTTGGCGACCGCAAGAAGAAGCTTTTCGCAGTCAAGGGGTGGTACCGCGATGGCATGGACGGAGGCGTTGGGGACGCCAAGGCGCTGAAGGGTGAGTGCCGCCGAGCGAAGCGGTGGGGCGGTTGACGAGTGGTGTGGCCAGGCGGTGGGCGGTGGAGCGGGAGTCGAGGCGGCACTTTGTCTCGCATCCTCATCGTGTGATGGCTGAGTGTGCACTCGCGAATGCAGATTCCTGAGTGTACACTCGACACGCGATCCGTGACTCTGCGCACCGCACCAACCCAGGCAGTCCCCCGGGCACCGCTAACCCCAGCCTCGCTGGTCAAGGAAGCGAACCTGGCCTTCATCCTGAACACGCACCTCTTCTCGCTCATCACGCCGCCCCCGAAGCCCGAGCCGCGGTACTACGACAAGCTGGCCGCGCGCGCGGCCGCGGAGGCGCCCAAGCCCAAATCCCTCGCCGAGCACCTCATCACGCTCGCGTACGTCATCGCGTCCGTGCTGCTGGGCATGGCGCTCTTCCACGTCGCGTGGCCCACCGCGCGCCCGCACGTCCTCCGCGTCTCCGCGCCCCTGTGGGAGCAGTACGGCGCGCCGTGGTTCCACGGCACATTCGCGCCGTGGTGGAACGACAGCGTCGTCCCGTGGTGGGACCACCACGCCGCGCCGCTCTTCGCGCGCCAGCTCGCCAACTCGCGCCGCGCGCTTCTCTAACGTCCGGGCTATAGACATGAGGGATAGATGCACAGCTACATATACAACTAGAGGGTGTTCTCGATCCTCGCGCGCGACACCTTGCCCCCGCCTCCGTCGGGCCGCCGCCGCTTCGTCAGATGCCCGAGATCGCGCGTGCGCGAACATGATTCCCCGCGCAAGAGCTCGTCAATGAACCCCTGTAGACGGCGGATCTCGTCCTCGAGCGCGGCCAGCGCCCGCCGATCCCACGCGAGGTCGTCCTCTGTCCACGCTTTTAGCCGCTCCTCGTCCCGCACCTCCATCTCCGCAATAGCCGCGCGCAGCTCGGCGCGCCGCGCTTCCAATCGCCGTAGACGCGCTGACAGGTGCTGGTGCTGTGCGCGTGCTGCATTCGTCGTTGAACTCGCTGCGGAGCCATGTGGTGATGGTGCATGTCTGGGTGATGTGGGGGATCTGGGCGGGGGCGCCGGTAGCGCCGGTACGGGCTGCGGGCGCGTGGCCTTCTCCGGCCGATACGGCGTGTAAGTGAACACCTGGGGTTGCGGCGGGGCTCTGTGCGATGCGTCCGGCGAAGGGGCGTGCTGGTCGGAGCGCGGGGAGGAGGGCGGGGAGGGTGTGGGCGTGGACGTGGACGTGGACTTGGAGGGGGAGGCATTGGGTTGCGGACTGGGCGGAGGGAGCGGAGGAAGGGAAGGGAGAGGAGGGACCTTGAACTTGAGAGTGATGCGGACCTCTTCCGGGACGAGGTCGTCGGCGTCGAAGCTTTCGCGGAGAGGGGAGGGGCGGCCGGGTGCGTGCGTGTGTCGCCGCCGGATGTCGGGGCGCAGGAGGGTCATGGCATTGGTGGTGATGACGGTGGGTGGCGGGGCAAGTTCGAGAGGGATGGGGAGTGGTGGCGAGGCCGAGGAAAGGATGAGGAGAAAAGGAGTAGGAATGAGGCACGAGTGAGAAGGCAGAGGAGAGGAAGAGAAGTGGTCAGTTGATTAGTGGATCGTTAGAGCCAGCGGGGCGGCGCGGCGACGGACGTCAACCGGGCGTGGGGCTGAGGAGAGGGGACGCGAGCATGGCCCGAGTGCAATCGGCAGGGAGCGGCGCACCGTGCGCGAGGGTCAGTCGAGTGGGCAGGGGACGGTGATGCGGGGGCGGGCAGACGGGCAGACGGCGGCCGGCGCGGTGCGCGGTGCATTGCGCGGTGCGTAGCGGTGCGATGCATTGTGCTGCGTTGGAACGAGAACTCGTGAGGGCGTCGACGCCACGGGGCGCGAGCGGCGGAGCGGCGCGTGCGAGTGACGCGTGCGGGCCGGCGGTGCGTTTCACGGAGGTGCGAAGATACGTGATGACCATGATAAGTCCTCTTCGTTATTGAGCATGTTGGCGGAGCATGCGGAGATGTCTCGGCGTCGATGCTCGGCGGCGCGGCGCGGCGGTCATAGTTGGGTTGGCGTAATGTAGGCCTGCGGGACGTGCATCGCCTAGTTTCCATTTTGCGGGCCTATCCCCCGGGCACTGCACTGTGTCAATATCGACTTCTTGTCCTTGGCCGCGCTCGCGCGCTCGCCTCTTCTCCAATTCACTCCTCTCGCCATCTCCGCTCTCTCGTCCTCGATCCGTTCGATCCCGTCTCTTTTGGGAACGAGCAATACCACTATTCGTAGCGACGTACTGCGGGCAACAAAACCACGCTCCGCAAGCCCAAAATCAACCTCCACCACCATCTTATCCCCTCCACTTCTCACCTTTCATCCCGCCCCGCCCCCACCCACACGACCTCAACATGAGCATGGACGCAGCGGCGCTCAGCGCTGCAATCAAAGAGATGCAGGAAGCAAATACCGCCGGCAAGAGCGACGACGTGGTGCGCCTCCTCAAGAAGTTCAAGACGGACGTTGTGGCTACTGAGGATCTTTTGCGCGTAAGTGAATGCGCCCCCCGGCGTCATGGCCTTCTGCGGGCCAAGTCTCTGTGGATTCCCATCCCCCGCTTCCGGCGGCCGCTCACACCAGCAATCACGCGCCGGAATCGCGATCGGCAAGCTGAGATCGCACAGCACACCAGCGATCTCTGCGCTGGCCAAGGACGTCGTCAAGTTGTGGAAGGAGCAGGTGGATGAGAACAAGCGGAAGCGGAAGCGTGACGACGAGGGCGCGCCGGAGGCGAAGAAGGCCAAGGCTAGCTCGGGCGAGCCATCAAAGTCTCCTGCCGTGAAGAGCCCGTCGTCAAAGCCCGCCAGCAAGGGCAAGGAGGAGAAGAAGGAGGAGAAGAAGGAGGAGAGCGCGGACTCGGGCGAGCGGGAAAAGAGCAAAACGCCTGAGACGCTCGTCACGATCGAACATGGCCGCACGACGCCACGTACGGCCAAGTCGGACGGTGTGGACAAGACTCTCAAGAGCGACAACACCGAGGCCGCGAGCGAGGACGTGCGCGACCGCTGCGTTGTCATGATCTACGATGCGCTCGCGAGCGACTCGAATGCGTCCACAAAGACGCTGTCGCAGTGCGCCGTCGCCATCGAGCGCGAGTGCTGCAAGCTCATGAACTTTGACACGGGCAAGGCGTACCGCGCAAGTGGGTTGGCGCCGCGATGAGAGCTGATACAGAAATCCGCACGCTGTTCCTTAACCTTAAGGATAAGGGGAATCCGGCGCTGCGTAACGAGATCGTGCTGGGTGTCATGACGCCGGATCGCGTCGTGCGGTTGACGAAGGAGGAGATGGCGAGCGAGTCGATGAAGGCCATGAATGAGCGCATCCAGGAGCAGAACCTCTTCAACTCGAAGGGTGTTGGCGAGGTTCAGGTGCGTGGGGAGATTGAGGGAGTCGGAGTGAAGCTGATTTCAGGCCGAAACAGACTCGTTCAAGTGCGGCCGCTGTGGACAGCGCAAGTGTGTCTACTTCCAGATGCAGACACGCTCGGCCGACGAACCGATGACTGTGAGTTGAGCAAGAAGAAATGTGCTGACAACAGACCTTTGTTACGTACGTTTCCTACTCTGCCTCGTTCGTTATACTAACGCGCCTCCTCCTCGACACGGACAATTCGGCATTACAGTTGCACAGTGAGTCTGCTACCTCCTACACTCGAGGGGCGCTAATCCCAGGTCTGCGGCCTTCGCTGGAAATTCAGCTAGATGCAATCCCAGGCATGTATACTATCCCCACCACGTCCCCACCACTAGTGTACAACTACGTCTTAAAGATGATGATGAGCATGAGCAGCACCAAGATGAGCAGCACGATCGTGATGGTGCTCCCTGCGGTCAGTTGGGTGTTGAGCCCTGCCTGCACTCACCGTGCTGCCGTGCTCCGTCGGCGACCGTGTCTAGCCGTCTGCGTGCGCGCTGCAACCTTGCTGCTGTACGGTCCATGGCGGCGTCTGTATCCTCGAGCAGCTCGTGGTGTCGGTCGAGCTCGTCGCCGATCTGAATAGAGAGGTCGTTTTGCCGGTTGATGCTGTGCGAGAGGAGCGTGAGGCGCTCGTCCTGGTCTGGATGTGAGCGAGGGTATGCACAGAGATCGGGCGCAGACGAGAAACAGGAATCGGACAGGTGTGAAGGCAACTCGCTGCTGTCGCTCGCTCATGCTTGCGCAACATCGCCACCTGTACAGTGCAGCGTTCCATCCTGTCCACCTACCCACTTCTCCTTCCCGCCCCTGCCCAACCACTCACCGTTCATCATCACTTGCTGCTGGTCCATGATCGCACGCTCCCCGCCTTCCTCTTCATCATCATAGTCGCGGAACGGGCGCACAGGCTGCTGCGTCGGCGGCGGCGGCGAATGACGCGGCGATCCCGCAAAGTCCTCCATCTCCTCCTCCTCGCCTTCCTCGCCCTCCTCCTCAACCATCGGTGCTTCTCTACCATCAGCGCGGACCGGGCCACAACCCACCGCTTCTCCCTTACGAGCGCCTTGGCGCGTTCCCGCCCGTCCTCGTCCTTGCCGAGCATCTCCACGAGGCGATCGTACCGCTCGCCGAGGGCGTCGAGCGCGCGCTCGTCCTCGTCGAGCTGCGAGCTGCGCCCCCGGTTCCCGCCGCCGACGACGAGGCCGGCGCGCTCGAGCTCGGCTTCGTCCGCGACGCGCGAGAGCTCGCGCTTGACGCCTGCCAGCGCGCGCACGATCTGCGTCGTCGCGGCCGCGGAGGGGTGCATCCCCAACGAGATGATGCGGGTGCGCTCGAGGAGCTGCGACTGCGCCGTGGTCAGGCGGTTCGAGATGGAGGCTATGGCGGCCATTGTGAGAGAGTGGTAGGCCCAAGAGGTGAGAGGGAGGAGGGAGATGAGATGAGGGGGCGGTGGAGGTGACGTAGCGGGGGGCCGTATAAGTGTGGGTGGGTGGAGCCACTCTCCTCCGCGATCCGTCCAAGTCCACGCTGCAAGCAACTTGCCACAGCAGCCTTCTTGCCCGTCGTCGTATTTGGGTTCGGGGGACAAGGACAACCGTGACGCTGTGACACGCTCATTAGAGTCTGCCATTGTTAGGCGGGAACCGCGGGAACCCAGTGAAGGAACTGGGCCGACACGCACATGGTGAAGTTCAAACAAGGGCAGTACTTAAATCAATGATCGTTTCTCCTACACTGCGACACACCATCCATGCAGGCCACGCGCTTTTCACTGCAATCTGTTTTTTCTAAATTTTCAAGGGCAACTTCAAGTGACTCGCATGCCCGGATGACCCATTCATGATCCGCCGATCATCCAGTCGTCGCGTAGGAGGGTGAAGATAGATTGCTTGGTGGATTGAGGGGTTGGGATTGTGCCATACCTGGAGCTCGAGAGCTGGAGTCACTTTCGCCATCCAAGACCACATGTGGTTGCACACCTGGCTAAACCGGCGCTCTGAAGATGCACGCCTACACCCTTCACCATCACCGTGCTCCAGCGCATGGATGGGGTAGTACAACCCCAGAACACTACCGGCTCCCGAGCCCGACTCATGGCACACCGACCACGCCGCGCTGGACTTGGCAAGATTCACGTTCAGTCCCCTCCCAACCCCGGTCCTGCCAAAGCAAGATATCCCCGCACGCCTCTTTAGCTGGATGCCGTCGATCAGTCACTCGCTCGCGGACGTGTGGTTTACGCGCCGCCCTCACTACCTTATGACCAATGACGAGTCTCACACGTGCTCAGACACGTGCCGACGTCGCTGGATCACAGGTAAACTACACAATCATTCATCGGATGTACGGAACCACGACTCGTCGCGCCTGCGCCCCTCGCCAAGGGTGCGGCTGCAGCAGGGGCAAGCGCCACTCGGACGGGCACTGACCTCTTGCTCTTCTTCCTGCCTTGTGTGCTTGGGCGCAACTGGGATGAGCGCCGCTAGCGCCGGCACTGACCATTTTACGTTCTTGCTGTTTTTGTGCTTTTGGTGTTTTGCGTTCGGTCGATCTATAGAAGGCTCATTTGCGGCTGCAACTGGGGTGAGCGGCGCTGACACTGGCACTGACCTTTTCACGGCTCTTTCTGTTTTTGTGATTTTGATCTTTTCTGCTCGGTCGATCTGCTGGAGGCTCTGGGGTAAGCGCTGCGCGTACCAGCCCTCACCTTTTACGGTTCTGCTGTTTTTGTGCTTTTGATGTTTTCGGTCGATCTTCTGGAGGCTCATTGGTGCTACACATGTGATTCCTTGATGTTTACTCCTCAACGGGGGGGATGCGAGGGTGTATGACCCGGTCGAAGACATAATCGTTGACAGGAATCTCCTTGCGGAACTCGTCGCCCGTGATGAAGCGGACGTTACGGTCGAGGCCGCGGCCGAAGGGCCGGTTCCATAGCCTGATGTGCTCGTGATCCACAAACAGGAAGAGCCAGTGCCTCATTCGCTCTTCGATCGTAGCGGTGTCGGGGTTCAGCATGCCAAGCTCGTTCGCGCCGAAGCCGTCCGCGCGGGAGAAATACTTGGGGGCGAGCCAACGGTGGAGGAAGCGGTCAGCGTCGACGAAGGCGACGCGCGTGCGGCCTGCGTTGCGCACGATGGGGCGCGCGAGAGAAAGGAGGAGGCGGTTTAGGATCCGGCCCTCGAACTGTGGCGTGCCGGGGGGAAGGCCGTGGTGCAGCTGAAGATGGATGCGGGGATCGTGGGTGAGGATGACGTAGATCTCGAAACGGTCGTCGCGGGGGACAAAGGTGAAGTCAAATTCCCACTGTCCGAACATGGCGTGGTCCTTGTGGTAGTGCAGGTTGAAGATGATGCGCTCAACGGCCGACCGATCAATCTCGGGAATTGTCACGATCGAAGGGGGGACAAGGTCGGCACGCACGAAGTGGTAGTCCCACAAGTGCGAGCGAGGGAACGTGGGATAGTCGGATACACGAAGGAGGCCGGTGGAAGACGGCACACGTGACGAGAGCGTCTGAGGCGCGATAAAGACGACGATGGTCGGCACCTTGAGGGAGACCGCGTGGCGGCCAAGCACCGCGGTCAGCGTGTACCGCAGCAGCTGGGGCTTGAGATACGTGCGTCCAAGATCGGCGTTGGCGCACATGACGGAGCGGGTTCCGTCCAGCACCATGACGTGCTTCCCGCGCTTGTCGCACCAGTCGAGAGGGAAGCGGTGCTCCACGCTCTCCATGCGCCGGTTTCTCGCCGAATGGTGCGAGCGGATGCTCTGCGTCGCCATGTGGCGAGCCAGCGTGGTATCGACTTCGGTCTGCCATTTCTTGTTGATCTGGCGAAGAAGCGTGTACCATGACTGGAGGGGCAGGTTGCGCATGATGTGGTCAACGATGTGCGGGTAGAAGTTAATGTCGAGGGTCACGAAAGGCGTGGCCGGGCGCGAGGCATCATCGTCAAGGATGTAGGACTCCGAGGTGGCACTGCCCGGGATGGTATCGTCCGCGTCGGTGATCGTCATGCCGGTAGTGGCGGTGACAATGCTGAGGTCGTTGGAGGTTTGGGCACTGCTAAACGAGGAGACCATAGAGCGAGGGGTGGTGGGGGACACATTGCTGGCATTGGCGGGGGTGATACGGGCGGGAACTCCGCCAAAGGTCGCAGGGGTGATGAGGCGGTGGGTGGCGGAGCCGCGGACGTTCGAGATCGTTGTGTAGGTGTTGACAGTTGGAGTGTCTCGACCACGGAGATGGAGGCAAAAGATAGCCGGGGCGACAGCCAAGGACAAACGGGTAGAGGACGAGGGAGCCGAGTTGGGGGCAGCGGGGGCAGCGGGGGCAGCGGGGGCAGCGGGGACAGCGGGGGCAGCGGGGACAGCGGGCGGGGCCATGCCTCTGCTTAGAATGTTGGGATAGCGGCGGGAGCCATGGGGGAGCTGTTCCGACATTGGCGCTTTGCTTTCGTTTTCGGGTGTTGTGGTGGAGTGAGGTTTCGAGCGTCGAGGTTGTCCCGAGGAGCACAGGGCTGCAAGGTTACTCTTATATATCTTTGGACTGCTGTGCAACGCTCCCCAAAGCATGTCATGGGAGCCAGAAGCTTGCTGGAGCACACGGCTCCGTCATGGGTAACGAGCGGGATGGAAGCGGTGGTGTGCAACATGCTGCGTGTGAGTGAGGACGCTTTCGCCTCTCACCCGCTCACTTGGCACCACAAGAGGAGTGAGAACCCCAACAATACAGTCCCCGCCGTGTGTTTATCGGTCAGATCCAGTCGCTCCGCTCCGAACTGTGCACGTACTGTGTTTGGTGATTTTTGGGCTCCCAGCTTCCCATGAGGTTCAGAACAGACAGTAATGACGCGGAGCGCACCCTTCAATTTTGTGTGCGAGAAGCTAACCATCTCTTTACAGACAGCCATGACGATGCAGACTCTCGCTCCCTGTCTATTCGCCTCACGTCGAGTGTGCACAGCTCAGTGGGCCCCTAGGAATACCCTACCTAGTCGAGTTCGTGCTGTATAGAGCCTAGGGACCGCATGAAGGGCACAAGATTTGTGATTCCATCGTAGAATCACAGCTTGCTTCATTATAAATCATTGTGATCAGCTGCTTTAGAGCGACTTAAATTTCAGTGATTTGCTAGACGAAAGTCAATCACGTCAATGTTCCCACAGATCTGCAAACCCCCACAACTTCATCTCCATGCACCTGCACACGTATCTGATTCACACAGTTTCGCTCGCTCCACACCGCATTTCTCAAGACGCTATGCCAAATTGTGTAGCGCTCGTCGGCACCCGTTCACCCGTGGCGTCCATTGACCGAACTTCCACGTGCACCCCACATCTTGAATTCCGCACCAGTGTTCGAGGGAACGCCACATCTGATATCGTGTCAAAGATAACGGACTCCCCGCATTGGCGAAGTTTGTTTCCTGCGTCCCACGGCCTGCGCTTGGAGCCGCGCACACTCGCGATTTTTGTGCAGCCTTTCTCATGATGTGATGCCGGCCCATGGTAGCGACATCACCGGAGATAATTCGTACACAGCGTCATCGCGAGCGGTGGCCCAAACGCTCGGTTCTCATCACCACTGCGCTCTTCCGAGGTTGTCGGATACTTGGCACAGATCAGCAAGTGAGCAGAGACACCTGCGTTCCGCTCGCAACGTTTCCACTCTCCGAACACCCATCAGCCCGTGAGTCCGATACACTGCATCCGTACACGAGATCCTGTGAACTAATTTCCATTATCCAGTCAGTCGTACCACACTTCACACCTTGCGGCCCAGCACCTTCGAGAGCGCAGCGACGAGCTCGGCCTCGGGGTCGGCGGGCATGTTCTTGCTGCGCCAGGCGATGTGCTTGTCGGGGCGGACCAGCACCACACCGTCCTCGTCAACCTCGCGCAGCTTAGCCCAGTCGTAATACAGGTCCTCGGCATCCTGAGCGGGCCCGATCACGACGCTCTTGACCTTGACGCCGAGCTTGCTGCTGGCCGCCGCCGCCGCCTCAGCCCACTTAGCGCCCGTCGTGCCCGTAATCACCGTCCACGCGGTGTAGGGCGCCTTGTCCAGCGTGCTTGCCTTCTTGAGGTGAGTGCCAACCCATGCGTGTGGCAGGCGCGCGCCCGGACTCGTCGAGGGCTTGTAGTACAGCTCGGGGTCGCGGTCATTGACGGGCTTGGTGCCGTCCGAGATGATGGCGTCTGACGTGTAGAACTGGCCCATCTCGACGCCGTGGGCGTTGAACTCGTAGTTCTTCTGGTCCATTGCGGTGACGAGGTCGGCACGCTTCTTAGCGCCCGCCGCCGTCGGCGCCTTGCGCTCCTCGATCTCCTTCGCCATGTCTTCCGACGACATGCCCGGCTTGATGCCCAGCGCTTGGAAAAGGTGGATGAACTCGCGTGCGCTCTTGTTAGCGCGCGTGACGATTTGGCGGGCGACGGGCGCCCGCTCCTGCGAGTACGTCTCCAGGAGGCTCGGGTCGGCTTCGCCGCGCAGCACCGACGCAATCTTCCAGCATAGGTTGTAGCTGTCCTGGATGGAGGTGTTGCTGCCCAGACCGTTGGACGGGGGGTGGCGGTGAATTGCGTCTCCGAGTGCGAACACGCGCCCCTTCTGCAGGTGCGTGGCAAAACACTCGTTGTTGCCCCACAGGCTCTTGCCGGTGATCTCGACCTCGAGGTCGGGGATGCCGACGAGGTTGCGGACGATTTGAACGGCGGCCGCGTCATCGAGCACAGGGGGTGGCTGGGAGATGTCGAAGCCCCAGACGACAAGCCACTCGTTCCACGGACGAACCATGCGGACGAGGCCTGCGCCGATGCCGCCAATGTTGGCGCCGGGCTGGATGACCCAATACAGTACGCTGGGGCGGTGCCCGACGTGGGCAGCCAGGTCCGCCTTGAAAGTGATGTTCATCGAGCCCGCAATGTCCATCTTGCCCTCCATGGGCAGCTGGAGCTCCTGCTGGATAATCGAGCGCGCACCATCCGCGCCGAGCATATACTTGGCGCGGATCTGATACGATGCGCCGGTGAGGCGGTCGCGCACGGTCGCTGTGACGCCATCGGCGTCCTGCACGTGCGACACGTACTCGGTGCTGAAGCGGGCGTGCGTGCCGCGCTTAGTGGCGGCCGTGACGAGAATCGGCTCGAGGTACGTCTGGGGGATGTCGCACATGCTGCTGGGAGAGGCGAGGAGGTGGTCTGCGGCGCGCGCGGGGTGAGTACCCCACGTGAGGATACGGCCGATCTCGTCGCCTGCAATCGAGGTGCAGAACACCGTGTCGCCGCAGAGCATGTGTTCCGTCGCCTCCGCCTGAACAATATCCTCAATGCCCATGTCGCGCATGATCTCCATGGTGCGCTGGTTCGTGATGTGAGCGCGAGGGGTGTTCGCCGTCCAGCGCTGATGTCAGTCGCGACCAGAGCGGAGACGCACGTATTTCGAGATGAGGATCGTCGGGATGCCGAGCTCCGCGAGGAAGAGGGCGGCCGAGCCTCCTGCGGGGCCGGAGCCCACGACAAGCACATCGGTTTGAAGCACCTCGCCGAGCGGGATTTCGGTCTCCTTCTGGCCGTCCTGGAATGCTGGCATGTTGTTCGCTGAGGGCTGAGGGGTGTTGGAGAGTAGAGAGTCTGGGGATGCGGTGAGACGCTGCCACCCTCGCCTTCTTGTACTCGCGAGCTCACGGTGGAGTGGTCGGCTCCCGTCGTTGCCCAGACTTCCCAGGCTGCCCAGATCGTCGCGACGTCTCACTCAATGGCCAGCCCTCATTACTTCAGGCCCGTTGCCATCATGTGCCAGCCCCGATACATTGGAACGGGTGCACGGATGCCCCGCACTGTCTGAGGTAAGCGTTCCCGCCCAAGTGCGGGGTCTTGTCTGTTACGCCACTGATCGCCGCGAGCCCGCGAGCCCGTGGTGATGAATGGGCCCCACTCGCACTCGCACTTCTACTCCCCCACCCTGCTTCATGCCTACACTCCGCGGCTCGCGGCCGATCATCCGAGAATGTAAATGGGAATCGGACGCCGAAAGCGGTAAGTGGTGCATCACGGTCGTCTCGAATAGCCGCGCTCTAGTATGTAAGCTGGGGTGAGAGCGTGCAGCAGCTGATGTGAGCAGTCGCGGGCTTGATTGTTCATGGGAGTTCGATGCCAGAAGCGGCAATTTTTGATAAGATGACCCTGCCCCACATTCCATCCGTCGGCGGGCCCGACGTGCCTCATGCGAGATATTGCCACTGTGATGTAAGTTGGGCGAGTGACTTGTCTCAAAGACACCTGGAATGCATTGCGCAGACGTCGCTCGATCGCTCGGAGCATGCGACAGCGCCTCGGGGGCGGCGACACCCGAGGGATTAGATAAATCGTGGCACGCAAAATGTTGACAAACGGCACTCATGAGCTTGGAGTTGCGTTTTGATGCTGCACAAAAGTGCTCCACGAAGCAAATTGGCCGCCAGGGATTGGTTTGTGATGTACCCCGCTCACAGAAAATGCTGAGGAACAGGGGCCTTCCTATTGCGTGAAGGGCTTTCGATGGGGCGTGGACTACTTTCTCTCCTGGTTTGAAGCTCGGCAGCGCCGATGATGACCAAGCGGAGTAGGCCAGTGGAGAGGAGCCTTGCTAGTCTGGGGGTGGGGGTGTCGAGTGAGAGTATCGTGGGGCGCGTGATATTTTGATGCAGTGCTGGATGCGCCCAGGCAGGTTGAGTCGGCGATGGTGAGTTAGCTCATGGGAGTCACGCAGAAACATACTCATTATCCCTAAGGTAGTGACGGCACACTCACCCGCCAGTTCTTCAACCTAAGGGAAAGGCTCACCGTAAGTGATGGATTCATCGTGGAGCATTGTAGTGTCCAGTCGTTGAGCTGCAGCAAGTGATGGCAGCAAGTGGCGGTTGCTGGAGATTGAGGCACGGTAGGAGAGATCAAAGCGATCATGCTCGACACCAAGTGCCAGCGAGACCAACAAATTATGTTGTCCGACTTGTTCTCTGAGGATGGTAACCGTTTACCTTTTGAGGCGCATCGAAGAGAGGGCTGCGATTTGTGTGGTGAGCGATAAGGCAACGATGGGCGACCTGTTGCTGTTTTCGTGCCTCGTCGCTCAAGGGATACAAGTTATGAGCGAGTTGGGGGCCCTGGAGGTCTGTGGCGATGGCAGCATGGGTCTAATCTATGACCATGGGGTGCCATGACGTCCGCATACAGGCGATGGCTGGCTTGCCGGTGGCAGCCCGATGCAAAAGTTGTGGACCCCTCTAGGAAGGATGATGAGGATGTGGTGCTTTGCCGAGCACCAGGGTGATGAAAGAAAAGCTCGTCCGGTGTGTTGTGAAATGAGCTCATAGCAGCGGTGAGACGAGGCGACAGCGACAAAGAGATGGCGGTGAGGTGGTGACATTAGTGGCGAGGCTGCCCAACATGCCTCTGGTTATAGCATAAGTCACACTGGCAGTGGCAGTGCCCCGACTCCCAAGCCACCTCTTACATGCCACGATCGCGTCTATCACCTGAGGCGGATGATCTGATCAATGTGTGTTCGTCCCACATCGCGCCGATTCCGACTCCATACCTTCCGGCGCCTCAGACCAGTGGCGCCTGGGACAAAGAGGGCAGGCGTGATTCAGCTTCAAGGGAGAGTTCAGCCAATCTCAGATATCGTGGAGTTGGCGTACTAGTCCGTCTCAATATATCTCTGGTGGCACAGCCGACGAGGAGGCACTTCAACGACCTCGAGCGCGAATAGAGCCACGCGATTCAGACCTCCCGGGCTCTTCAATAGACCTGTTAACAAGAACGCAGTCAGAATCGAACCGCAGACCCGATGGCTAGATGACCCAGTCATCATCAATCCGCAGGCCCGCCAAGTCTACAATGAAGTCATGATGGTCGCTCGGCATACCAAGGCTAACAGGCCCCGCCCACAGAGTACACCCAGATTGGGAAGGCGACGTCGATGGTAGTCGGCAAGGAGTTCAGCCGGGAGACACATACGTGCGACAAAAGGTAAGCGCGAGCTCACACCCAGGTCATGACGGGGATCGAACCCGCAGTCTTTTGATCACCCAACAAGTCTTCGTAAGCGAAGGAGTCGTAGTCAAACGCGATGCCATTTCGCCACACGACCGACGGGTTTGTCCCGCGCCGGAATGGTCGAAAGCGGCACGCGAAGATGTAGGTCGTGGGTACGCGTAAGACCTCCCCTGATGGCACCTAATTCTTCGACCGTTGATTGAAATCAGTAGCCACGCAGACCTTGAGCTCACATCGCGGTGTGCATCGCGTGTAGCCTGGCGTACTCGGACAGTTTGCTGTGGAAGAGATCTGAACCTCGCGCCAAGCGAGAGCAGATCGGGATCTGGATGGCATCACGTGACCGCTCCCGTGATATCTGCGAGTATACATTACTGAGGCTGCTCGCTACGCCGCGGCTAGTGGACATGATCAATCGGTGCAAGCTGAGTCTAATCCTAGGAGAGCACATAGCTGGCGCAGCAACACTTGCCAGGCTCGTTGAGGTGGTCATCGCACTCGGAGGAGCTGCTCTCGGCCTCAGCCGCGTTCATTTGGTTCCGGGTTGATCGACGTCATTCGCCACCAGAATTCAGTCAACTCACCTTCTCCTCGATCTTCACCATCGCCATGTCTGCGTCCCGCCCCGCCGAGCTCCTCGCCTCCGACCGGGCCCGCCTATTTCCGCGCTTCGAGACCTACCGCCTCCGCCCCCTGGACCCAGACACAGATGTGCGCGCGTACACCCTCCCGCGCCCCGCGACGGCGAGCCGGGTGTCATACAACTCGCAGCAGCTGGGATTCCGGGAGGTACGCGCGCGTATCGCGTGGGATCATCTCGATGCTTTGGGGAGTACCGGCGTGTACGTCGATACCGAGTGGAACGTTGTCGGGTTTGAGCTGAATGTACGCTACGCTGGGCGTGGAAGGACTGACGCCAGAACGAGCTTGAGCCGACTTTCACGACCCTCGCGAGCCTACCGGCGCCGGTCGCGAGCGACGCGCATGTCGCTGAGTATCCCCGCGTCCTGCCTCTTGCAGAAGGCACGTGGGCTGTGAGCTCCGGTACGGGGTCACTGTACGTACTCAAGGATGGCGGGTTCACTGCGCGATATGATCTGCACGTGGATGGTGCGCTTTCTCCGTTCCTTCTTTACGCTGCCCACGGTGAGGGAGGGTCGGTGTATCGCCTCCTCCTTGCACGCGCAGTAGTACACAACGCCACAGATGCGGGCCGCTTCAAGCCGCGTCAAACGACATTCGAGCTCCTTGAAATCGCGCTCGACACAGGCGCGACGAACGAGACGGATGACGCGCCTGGCATACTTGAGCCGGTTTGGCGTCTTCCTGGACTCGATTTGCCGTACTACGTCGTCTGGTCTGAGGGTGGGTGGCTCGTTCTCGCAGAGGAGTCGTTTGGGGAGGAGAAACCGAGCTCTAGCATCAGAGAGACGGCCGCACAGCGCGCAGCAAGACTCAAGGCTGAGGTGGATGCTAAACGTGGGCTGGGGGCACGGGTGGAGGAGAACACCGGTGAGATTCCCGGTGAGATTCCAGAAGGGGAGGAGGAGGAGCAGGAGGAGGTGGAGATGGTGGATGCCGGGGAGGAGAAAGACTCGCCATTCCGCTGGACACAAGAGCAAGGAGGCGTTACCATCACTATCGCTTTGCCTTCGGGATCACCCAAGCCTTCGGTCAATCTCAAAGCTGGCTCGCTGACCGTCACGGCTACCGGGGAGACATCAACACATCTCGAAGGCTGGCTCGGACACGAACACTCCTTCTGGTCCGACATCAAGCTCGACGACTCAACGTGGACGTACGACGCAACGTCGGGGGAACTAGAAATCATCCTCGCTAAGAAGGAGGGAGACATGCGCTGGCCCTCGGTCTTTGTGCCGGGGGATGACAGCGACGACGATGTGCCCGAATCGTTCGGTCAGGCGCAGATGGATGCGATCCGCGAATCCTTCTCCCGGGCCCAACCCGTGCAGCGGGAGGAGCCAGTGGGGCACGCGCCCACGATCCCCGCGTTGCTGAGGGAGGAGATGGACATCGACTCTGACGACGACGACGATGATGACCAGCCGAAGGGCGTGGGCCGGCGATGTGTCGTCGGGCAAATCTGCAATGGCACACCGGTATGGAGCCGGCAGCCCGCGACGGTGCTCTCCCTTCCGCTTGTGTCCGCCGGCGACTTGCCTTCTGGGGCGGGCATCGTCGTCAAGCAGGCGGTCGACGGCCTGCTCTTCGCGCCCGCGGGCGATCCGGCTCGGACACCATGGCAGCATATTGCGACCAATCCGGCGCTCGCATTCGTCATGAGCTCGAAGCGGGACCTGCGCCTGGTGCGCCATCTCGCGGACGGGAATGACAGTACAGTGCTCGGCTTTGACTCGGGCAGCGGTACGGGCACAGGCAATGCGTACGTCTACTATCCGCCCGAGGACGCCGAGTCAGCGCGCCAGGGCGTTGTCGGCGTCAGTGGCGGCGCGCGCGGCGCGCTGCTGGGCGTGAGTGTTGTGATGGCGGGACCGGGACGTCGTGTAGTGGTTGCGCTGTGTGAGCGCGCATTAGTTGTGCTTGGGGGCGTCGCGTGACGTGTTGCGCGCGTCGCGTAGCAAGCGCTCTGCGCCTAATCGCGCATTCCGTCGATCCTGTGATCTACAGAATGCCGATCGGAAATCTCAGCGCGCGATGAGCATGCAACGACGCCGATGACAAGATGTATGTGCATCACGGCGTCCGGTGGCACGGCCCGAGAGCGGAGCGGAAGTGGCGACTAACCTGTCACCAGGTGTCGACAGAAGCAGGGCGGGGATGAATGGCCGCGGTGAGTTCTTGCCAAGGGCCAACGAGTAATGTTGGCGCATTACAATCTGTTGGGGCGAAGTGCTGCCTGCAATTGGGGATCCGTGCCTGGAATGCTGAATGCTCTCTCAATCAGCACCGTGCGTGCGTAGGTGGCACCTGCGCCTGCGCTGCAATGCAATACAATGCATTCATGCGCCGCCGGCGCCCAGACACCTGCTCAACTGCCATTCATACCAGTAGTGTATCAGCAGGAGGTCCGGCAGGTGTCGGTATTCTCCGTGCGGTGCGGGAGCCGGCACGCGGCAAGCATCTCGTCAGCTGGCACCCGTCGATCGCCATGGCAGAGATACCGGTGTCAAGGAGATTCAGGCTCATGCTTGAGAAAGAGAGCATGGGAGGAGCGGAACAGGCGTACGCTGCGGAGCTTTGCCGGGCGACGGACAGTCATGCAGCAAGAGTTAATGGCGCCCCGCACGGCGAGGATTCAGCGCGCGTCAGAGTTTTCGGAAGACGAGATCCGCCGGGTGCCCCATATTTCTACTCCACCGCTGCGATCACTACACCTCGTCACCAACGCCATCACCGATCTCGTCCCATCTCATCCTCTCTTCTTATCTCATCCCATCTCCCATCTCTCCTCGCTTCTCTCTTTCCTTCGTGTGCCTTGTTCTCTTGCCCTGCCCCTGCGTCACTGCTGCGCCCAACCTCGCGGTACTTATACCGCTCCCCCACCATTCCCCTCCTCCAGTTCATGTCTCGTGCCCGCGCCGTGCCGCGCCTCGCCTCTCTCTCGCGCCACATTATGACTACTCGCGACAAGGTCTGCATTATCGGCTCCGGCAACTGGTGAGTGGGACTCTCGTGCATCACTCACCCTAGGGGCTCGACCATAGCCCTCCTGGCCGGCCAGAACGTGCGCAAGCACTCTGATGCGTTCGAGGAGCGCGTTCCCGTTTGGGTCTTTGAGGAGATGGTGAGGCGGACTACGGGCCCGCTTGCCCGCTCGCGCAGCACTCACACCAGGTCAACGGCAAGAAGCTCACCGAGATCATCAACACCACCCACCAGAACGTCAAGTACCTCCCGGACTATGATTTGGGGGACAACGTCGTCGCCATCCCGGACCTCGCGAAGGCTGTCGAGGGCGCAACGGCGCTCGTCTTCGTCATGCCTCACCAGTTCCTCGACAAGTGCCTCGACACGATCGAGGGGCACATCGCCCCTGGTGCCAAGGCGATCTCGCTGATTAAGGTGAGTGCGAGCGAGCGGGAGCGAGCGGTTGCGATACCGAGCAGCGATGCGGCGGTTCGGATGCTGGCATGAGGATGCGGACGCGCCGCCGTGGCCAAGCTAACTCCAGGGCGTAGACGTTGACGGCGCCGACATCCACATATTCGCGGACGTGATCCAGGACCGCCTGGGTATCCGGTGCTCGGCGCTCTCTGGCGCCAACATTGCCTCCGAGGTCGCGGCCGGCCGCTTCTCCGAGACCACGATCGGGTATCGCAAGGGGTTCCAGGAGGACGGAGTGCTGTGGAAGAAGCTGTTTGGTGAGTCGCTCCCCGAAGCGCGCTGATGCCCAGAGACGCCCAAGTTCAAGGTCCAGCTGATCGAGGACGTGAGCGGCGTGTCGCTGTGCGGCGCGCTCAAGAACGTCGTGGCCGTCGCGGCGGGGCTGAGTGATGGTCTCGGCTACGGGAACAACACCAAGTGTGAGTGTGCTCTGATCGGGGCGGGCTCCGCCCGTTGCGCCCGCTCCGCCCCGCTCTCTCCGCTCTCTCCGACGTCCGCTATCCCCACTCCCTCACCCGCCCTAGCGCTGTCCCGCTCACACGCTAATTCCAGCCGCAATCATGCGCATCGGCCTGATCGAGACCAAGAACTTCTGCCAGGAGTTCTTCGACGACGTGCTTCCCGAAACGTTCCTCGAGGAGTCGGCGGGCGTCGCCGACCTCATCACGTCGTGCCTCGGCGGGCGCAATAGAAAGACGGCCGAGGCCTTCGTGCGCACCGGCAAGAGCTTTGACGAGCTCGAGCGCGACATGCTCGGCGGGCAGAGTGAGTGCAAGCGGCCAGATGGCGCGAGCGAGTGGCGGCGGCTAACCCCTAGAGCTGCAGGGCATCCACACGGCCAAGGACGTGCACATCTTCCTGCAGGCGCGCAACCGCATCGGCGCGTATCCGCTGTTTGACAAGGTTTTCCATATCTGCTGGGAGGGCATGGACGTCAACACGCTCACTGACGGCCTGTAGGAGCGCCCAGCCTGTCTATAGAGGGCCGGGGCGGGTGTAGGTGTACATGCAATGTTATGAATAGCAGTCTACAGAATAGCAGTCTACAGGAGGCAGTCGGCGATGGCGGCGCGCATCTCGTCTCGCGATACCGGCCGCTGCGCCGCCGCCTCGGCCAGGACATACGGCGGCAGCTCGGCCGCCTTGCGGCCCTTGAGCGTCGTCGCGCAAGCGTAGCAGAGCAGCGGCTCGAGTTGTTCGGCCTGCGCCTTCTCGCCGCCTTGGCGACCGGGCAGCGCGGTTAGCGACGCGCGCGCCTTCCACTCCGCAATCCCTGGATCCGCAGGCCTGGCATCAGCCCGCACGTTGAGCCACTCACCTCAAACACAGCGGACAGCGCGGCTCGTTGCCCGCACCCGTGAACTGGAGCTTGCTTGCCGTCCTCGTGATCGCCCCAACTGTGGCGGGGTGGCGCGCGCTGAGCGTCGCCACAAAGCGCTCCGTCAGCGCCTCGATGCCGCCTCCGCGCCGCGCGCGCCAGCTGAAGCTCTCGAGCCCGCGCGCGTGGCAGTACAGTGCGGCCTCTTTGGCGCTGAGCTCACGCGCGCCCCGCAGGCGTGCGACGCTCTGCGACGATAGCGTGACCAGATCGAGCGGCAGGCTCCACCCCCGCCCCTGCGCGGTGCCGGCAATCACGCGCTGTGCCTCCCGCGTAGCTGTTTCACCGAGGAGAAGGTGGGAGACGGGAAGCGCGGCGGCAACGGAGCCAAGCAGCGCATCGAGGATGTGAGCGAGGAGCGTGGGTCGCGAGGCCGCGGCCACGGACGCCAAAAGCGCGTCGAGGCGGGACGCGTTATCGCTGGCGTTGGCGTTGGCGCTGTCCACCACCCCGCCGTCGAGCTGCGCGCGCACACGCTCCTCCAGCGCGGTGTCGTAAACATCTGCGGCGCGCACTTCGATGTACGTCAGCCCCCTGCTTTCCGCCGCTTCCCTCAACTTCGCCCCGAGCCCGTCCGTCGCCCACGTATCGGGAAAAGCCACATGCACCGCATACGCGCGCGCCCAGACGGGAGGCACGCGCCCGCGCGTAATGTCATACTCGGCGCCGGCGACGCCGAAGTAGTTCCGCTCCGCGAGAAAGTCGAGGAGCGCCATACTCCCCGCACCACCGCTCAGCGCGATCAGCGCCGCGCCGGGCTGCGCAGGCGGGCGCATCGTCACGTTAGGCCGTGACGAGCCCGACAAAGGGCCGTTCATCGTCCGTCCCAGCCGGTGGTGGATGTGTTTGAGGAAGCACGGGCTGGGTGAGCGATGCAAACGGGCGAAAGGAAGGTCGGAAGAGGACAGTGGAAGACGCACCGACACATGACGAGGTCGCGCACGACGTATAGGGCCCGGCCGCCGCAGCGGCTGCAGGCGCCTTTTGGGCGGCAGGGACGCGGCATCGTCTCCTGCGCTTCGCACATGGTGAGGAAGAGAATTGAGAGGATGAGGTAGGAGGTGGATGGAGCAGTGTAGAAAGTTGCCACCCAGCGGAAATTCGGTTCAAAACATCCCGCTCGGGCCGCTGGACAGTAGCTCGGGCAAGTCGGGTCGACACTGCCTCCCTCATCCTCCTCCTCGCGCTCCGATTGCTGCAACTGACCAACTGATCATGAGCTTGGCCCAGTGTACGTCTCCCATGCTAGGCCGCCGCCCCCTCTTACGCCAGATCTTCCGCAGCCTCCCCCCGGCGGTGGCATCCTCCCGTACTGGCTTTTGATCACGTCTGCCGCAAGCATATACAATGTCGCGCAGAACTACGTGACGCTCAAGCAGAGTAAGGAGGTTTACGCAGGCAAGCCGGAGCAGAGTGAGTGACTCGGTGCAGCCGAGGATCTGCGGGTGTAGTAGTCCAGAAACGGAAGACGCAGTGTGTTGTGCTGCCGCGCGAAGCTGGGTTCTGGCGCTCATCCCAGTGACGCCGCTTGCGGGGCGACTGTTCGGCGCGTGGACCGCCATGGCGGCCGTTGTGCGTCTTCTCGCGGCGTACGACATTTCCAACCAGGGGTGAGTAGTGTAGGAGGGATGGGCTTGCGGCGCGCTTTGTGATCCGTGGCTCACATGTCCTCTGCACGAGGGCAGAGGCTGGAATCCGCCTTCCTCCCGCGCCCCGCGCGCCGACGCGCCACACCGCTAACCCCAGTCTGTATGACCTCGCCATTTGCGCATTCGGCGTTGCCACGCTCCACTTCACCACTGAGTGGCTCGTCTTTGGCACCGTCAAGCTCAACCGCGGCAGCATCGGCCCCCTTCTCGTCGGCTCCAGCGGCATGGCATGGGCCCTCACCCAGCGTGACTACTACCTTGGCCGTCTCTAGTCTCTCTCAGGTCGTCTTCAGGTTGTGTTCGGGTCTATCTAGGCCATCTCCGGCCACCTCTAGGCTTATCATGTCACTTCATACTGCTGGTCCTGTCCCTCACCTATGGTCTCTCGCCCTCGTCCTCCTCTGCCCCACTACAGCATACCGCCTAGAGCTTCGCCGCCTGGCGCTTCATGCGCGCGAGGAAGCGCGCCTCGTCCTGCTGCGGCATAGTAACCGCGCGGCCGGAGCGCGAAGCATCAATCACGTCGTGGTACAGCGCATCCTTGATGGCGCCCCACGAGCCGAGGCCGACCTTGGTGCCCTCCTGCGTCGCGATCTCGATGGCGCGCGGCACGACCTGGGCCTCGGGCACGATCTCGTCGATCAGGCCGTGGGCGAGCAGTTCGGTCTGCTTCCACCGCTTAGCGAGCATCGTGTCGCGCAGCACCGTCGGCGACAGGCGCATCTGCAGGAACTTTCCGAACGAGTTGGGGAGGGGAAGACCGATGAGAAGCTGAAGTTAGAATGGGGTGATACGCAAGCAGGCAAGCGGGTCAAGTCCGCGAATGGTGTCCCGGCCGCGCCCCGCTAATCACTCACCTCGTTCATCGACATCATGCCCTTGTCGCCGTTCATGACGCGGAAGTCGCATGCGAGCGCGAGGAGCATGCCGCCCGCAAATGCGTGGCCGTTGACCGCGGCGACAGTGACGAGAGGGAAAGTCATGAGGCGGTACACGATGGGGTCAAAGACGTCTGGGGTGAGCGGAACTCAAGTGTTTGGCGCGAGAGCTTGCCTCGCCCGCTGTAGGTGGCTCGCTCTCCCCGCACACTCACCCTCGAAGAAGTTGGGCGTCGACATGAGCACGACAGGGTCAAGGCCATTGCTGAAGAACTTGGGGAACGCCGACGTGATGACAACGGCGCCGGCGCCCTTGTGCTCGCCGCGCTTCGCTTCATCGCGCTGCCCGCCGCCGGCCTTGCGCCACTCGGCCTCGATCACGTCGAGCTGGGCCGACAGCTCCCCCAGCAGGTCGGGGCGCAGACGGTTGTCGGGGCCCGAGTTGAGCGTGAGCTGCCACACGGTGGGGCTTGGGCGGGAGAGGATGACGTTGGGCATTGTGTCTTGGGTATGGGTGATGAGAGAAGGACGGGCGAGCGGAGGTGATTTATGAGCGCGCGCGAGATCGAGGCATGTAGGCGAGACATGGTCAGCGGCGCCGTGCGGGAATCAAGTTGAGACCGCCTCGGACAGCTCATTGCCGGTGGAGGCGGTAATCGGATTTCCACGTGGACTCGGTTATCCCGCCTCACATCCGGCGTGGTGGGAACAGCCGGAGACGGAGACGGACGGCTCTCCATCATCATCTTACTTGCTGTTCTTCTGCTAGTCTTCTGGCTCTTGACATCTCTCTACTCTCGACTATACTCAGCACGGCAGACGATCTCTCCACGGTCTATCCCGTCCCACGTCACTATGCGCCGCTTCGCCCGCGTCCCCAAGCTCCTCCCTCGCCCAATGCCGCGCAGCCAGGCGCGCCCTGCCATTGCGGGGTGTCCGCCGCCGCGCGCGAGCCCGCACGCGCTGCGTATGCTGAGCACGACGGTGAGTCGACTGCAGGAGGGAGGGAAGTGGGTCGAGGGAGAACAGTAGATTGGCGGTCGTGCTTCGGAGGAGTGCCCGGCGATGATCCGCGGATGGCGAGAACCGCTGTAGCAGCCGACCCCTCCGAGAAGGGCCGTCCCACCGTTCCAGTGGCAATCTCTCCGCTGCAGCTGGCGCGCTGGCGTCCTGTACCAAGTAGTCCCTCATTCTCACACCCGCGAGCATTGTCCGCCGTGCCTCCGCGAATAGTCGAGCAGAGGTTTGGCGAGGGCATTCAGTGCGGGCCCACCAGTCTCCGACTGCGCCGATCAGGCCCCGCCAATCTCGGCTACTGAAACAAGAAACACCAGCTGACATCAGACTCGATCTTTGGCCCAGAAACGCGATGCGCACCACGCCGCCGCCCTGGCCGAGGCCGAGCCAGCGGGCACGAACGAGCGCGTGCTTCTTCAGACAGCTGACGAGGTCCTCTCCCTCGGCGATGGGTATCTGTACTACTCTGGCCCGGCGCCGGCGACCGACGCCGGCGTCATGGACCGCGTCGAGGGCGCACTCACCCTGGCGCGCTTGCGCGACGCCTGCCCATGCCCGCGCTGCATCCACCCCTCTACGCGCCAAAAGACGCACACATCGGGCGAGGCCGCGCGCGAGGTCGCTTCCCTAACAGACGTCGCCGCCCGCGTGGGCCAGCAGGAGGGCGTTGCAGGCCTCTTCATGCAGTGGGGCGAGCACGAGGGATTCTACCCCATCGGCTTGATTCGTCGCCTCCTCTCCGGCCGCGTCCGCGGCACATCTTACATCGAGAACACGCTGCAGCGGAAGCTGTGGGACCGGGACACGCTTGTGCGTGACGCCAAGAGCTTCTACACCGAATATAATGACTTGCATGCCGGCAAGCCCGGGGAGAAGCTTGAGGCGCGCCCCGAGGCACTCCTCCGCCTTCTCGAGCAACTGCAGGTGTATGGTCTCGCTGTTGTGCGCGGCCTGCCCACCAACAAGACGGGTAACAAGGACTGTGCCCTTCGCGAGCTGGCAGAGAGCGTGGGGCTACTCCGCAACACTTTCTACGGCGAGACGTGGGACGTGCGTAACGTGCCAAACTCGAAGAACGTTGCGTACACCAACCTCAACCTCGGCCTGCACGTGGACCTCCTGTAAGCTCTGCACGTCGCTGATTGCTTACCACCTTAGCTACTTTGCGCTCCCGCCTCGCTTCCAGCTCTTGCATGCGCTCCGCAACCGGGTTGTCGGGGGCGAGTCGTACTTTGTCGACTCGTTCGCGGCCGCTCAGCAGCTCAAAGCCGAGCGCCCCGACCTCTACGCGTCCCTCCAGCGCAACATCATCGAGTACGAGTACGACAACGACGGCCACTACCTCTCGTATCAGCACGCCGTACTGCCGCCGCGCGACCTGACTGCGCCGGGCCTGCACTCTGCCATTAACTGGAGCCCCCCGTTCCAGGCGCCGGCGGTGCAGCGGCCCGTGGACGCGTCTGGCGCTGTCACAATGCAGGCCGAGGCCGAGTTCTACGAGGCGTGCGACGCGTTCCAAGCGGCGCTGGACGACCCGAAGTTCCGGCACGAGTTCCTTCTGCGCGAGGGCGAGTGTGTGCTCTTCGACAACCAGCGTGTGCTGCATGCGCGCACGGCGTTCCGCGACAAGACGGAGGAGGAGATTATGCGCGACGGCACCATCCTTGTGCCGGGGGAGAGCACGCGCTGGCTTAAGGGGTGTTACCTTGATGGGTCGACGGTGTGGGACAAGCTTGCGGTGCTGAATGAGCAGGTGCGCGGGAAGCAGAGCATCTAATGTTTGTATGCATGGTTGTGAATCGCATTGTATGTGGGGAGGGAGGGATGGAGGACCAGGGTGAAGATGGACACGGCCGGTGGAGGTGATTTGGTTCCATCAACAGTCATTCCGACGTCAGTGCAATCTCGTTTGTAGCTTGTCCCGTCTTGTCTTCTTCTCCACCATCACAGCCGCCGCCATGCACGGCGTCACGGACGAGTAAGACTCAGCTTGCGACGGCGCTGATAGCAGAACGTTCCTTCCGCAGATTATCGGCGTGAGCATCCCCCCTCCCTTTCTTTCGTCCCAGTCCTCAGAGTACTAACTCTAGGTCTTCTACGCAACGTTCGACCCCGTGGCCGGCCCCACTGTGCTGCACCAGGTCCCCGAGCACCTCATCTCAAGTAGCACAAGTGACGATGGCGCGCGCTCTCCCTCTGGGTCCCGCTCGCGCTCCGTGCCGCGCGACTCGCGCTCGACGGATCGAGGCCGCGATCGCTCGCGCCCACGCATGGCACGCAACGCGTCACCTTCCCCGATGCGCATTTCTCACCCGCAGCCCCGCTCTCCGCGGGACAGTGTCACTTCCTCCCTCTCCCTCTCCGGCAGCCCGCACGCGAACGGCACGCACTCGTCCCCGCTCGCGCAGCCTAGCTCGACCCCCCACGCGAGAGCCGGCACACCCGCGCCGCGCCAGCCCGCCCTCCTCGACTTTGGGAGCATGAGCGAGTACGTGATCCCGAAGAAGAGCTTGCACGGCAAGCTCGTGTCGTTTCGCACGAGCGGCGCGTGGGATGCGACTGGCGATGAGCCCGACGACGCCAGCGACGACGGTGAGCACAGGTACGAGTACCGCGTCATCGGCCTGCCCATGGTGCTCGAAGGCGAGGCTGGTAGGTATCAGCGCAACCAGTACATTTGGAATTTGTGTTTTGTGTTCCGAGCGTCCGCGAGCCTCGCGGCGTTCGAGCCCGTCGTGCGCAAGACCGCGCGGATACTTCGCTCGGCGGAGCTGGATACCGGATACCTCAGCGCGCCGCAGGCGCACCACACCCCTATTCCCGCCGTCTTGGAGCAGATCTTTGAGGACCTCAACTCGTACTCGGAGACGAGCATCCCGCTGGACGGTTACAATTCGCTCGAGCTCAAGTTGTTCCCGTATTATCGTGAGTGACATGCCGGGAGGGAGTTCGGCAGCATCAATCCACGCTAACCCCAGCCAATCCCCCTGAATGCAACGACTGGGACGTCCCCATCGCCCTCGTCGACCTCAAGTCTCTCCGCGATCCAAATTGGGACATTACCGCCTCCCGCGTCGTCGATCATGTCGATGGTATCAACCATTGTGCGCGGATCGCGCAGCTCGCTGACGCCGACCTGGCTCTTGTCCGCGAAACCCTCCGTCACATGCTTTTCTACCAAGTCGTCATGATCGTGCGTCTTGGATCTCGACGACGGCTGATCACAGATCGACATTTTCCAGTACTCCAATCTCTATACAGTCAACTCTTCCTTCCCCCGCCTCGTCGCCGACGAGAGTGTCATCGCAGAATGCGGGACATACGTCACCCGCCCAAACTTTCCCGTCCTTGACTGGCCCGCCCTTGCTACGCTGTACGCTAAGCTCACTCCGGGCATCACCGTACACAAGTGGTGCGAAGATAATGGCGTGCTAGCCAAGGGCATCGACCCCCGCCGGTTCGTGTCCTTTGGCATCATCAAGGGCTTCCTCGTCCGCGCCCACCGCTGGCCAGTAATGGTAGATAGAACCGCACCTCTCCTCCTCGGCCCCGGTCTTGGCCTGACCGGCGCCGGCTCGTCCTTACTCGCCCCAGACCCCGCTCGCCGCCGCGTCGGCTTCCATAGCAACTCGCGCGAAAGCCGTGACTTCCGTAATGACTCAGGCATCACCCGCGCTTTGCTGGGTGGCGACAGCCGGGGCGAGTCCCAGTTCACCCTCCGCTCCGGCGGAAGTGCAGCGAGCATCACAGGTGTATCGCCAGGCTCGGCGGCACCGAACTCGCCCCCGCGCAAGTTGAACCAGAACCAGGGCCGCTCGCTTGGCAGCATGCCTGACACGCACCCGTCAGTGTCGTCGCGGCGGACGAACACGCTGCGCTCGGGTGGCGGTCTTAGCCAGTTCACTACGAGCGCCGGCGCCGGCGTGTCGCAGATCTCGCGGCAGGCGCAGGGGCGGCTGTACGAGCTAGAAGACGAGCTCCTGGGATACCTGGACGGACATCACCACACGGACGAGATCCAGGTGCGCATGGGTATGAGCTGGACGCAGCTGGAGAAAGTGCTGGGCCTGGACGAGATGCGGGACGGAGTGGGGCGGAAGGGCATTGCGATGGTGGTCAAGTAGAGAGGGATGAGATCATGAGAGAGTAGTGATGGCTGGCCTGAATGGGTGGCTGAAGATATGACGGGAGATCGTCATTCTCATTTCATTTCATTGCAGCGGTGACACGGGCATTGATCGGCGCGTACCTTTTGTCATCTCCCCGTCCATCTCTTTCCTCAATCTCGTCTTTCTCTCGACTCTCGCTGCTCCGCATCCCCTCACAGCCTACGCTCACCATGAGCGACGACCCAGGCCCTACCCCGCCCCTCCTCGCCGCCGCCGTTCGCTGTCTCAAGGCCCGCCGCGACCAGTTGGCCCTATACACCGCCGCCGTCGAGGGCCTGCTCACTGAACTCGCGGACGATGTTGGCACCCTCGGCGCGCAGGAGGCGTGGGAGCCTGCTGTTGTCGCCGGTATGAGCGACTGGGCGTGCGATCGCGGCAACGTCTTTCGAGCGCTGAGGGTGAGTGCTTCCCACGGGTCAATGTTATGCTCCCCCCGACGTCCATGACCGCTGCATCCCTACCACTCCTTGCTCTACTCTCCCACCCCTACCCCCCGCCCGCTCCCCTCTCCCTTTGGCCTGGACTCGCGCTGACCACATTGCAGAGGGCGCACTTCGACGACGCCAAGGCCCACGCCGCCCTCCTTGCCTGCTGTGCAGCGCGCATCGAGCGTGGCCTCTCGGGCGCAATCCCACCGCCGCCCGCACCAGGCCTGTTCGCCATGCTACCCCTCTCCCAAACCGACAGACTAGGCCATCCCGTTGCGGTCCTCACGATCCGCGATGTGGTCCGCGACGAAGCCGGCTCCCTCGCCGAGCTCAAGGACTGGGTGTGGTTCGGACTCGAGATGGTCCGCCGCGTTTTGGCAGACTACTGGGTCGCACATCGGCACGGGACGGGCGCCGAGGGCGCGGTGCTCCTCATTGATGCCAAGGACGCGGGGTATCGCAATCTTGTGAGTGCGGGTGGCGGGGCACAGCATGCCTAGGGTGGAAAGCGCGGAGCGCACGGCCGCCGCTCGGGCCTGGTGCGGGTCCGCTCGAGTCCGAGCGTGGAGCGCGGGTCCAGGCCGCTCCGCGGGCTTGTTTCGCCGCTTGTCGGCTTTCGTGCAGCGTTCTAATAAGCAGGAAGTCGAGGTCCTCCCGACGTTATTTTCCGTCGGCCACAACTCGTTCCCCGGGCTATTCGAGAGTGTATACATCGTCAACGCTGGCTGGAGTCACCGCACCATGTGGAACTCGATCGTCAAACGTCTGCTTCCCAAGTCTGCGCTCGACAAGGTCGTGTTCCTCGAAAGCAAGGATCAGACGGCCCAGGTCTTCAACCTCGACCAATTGCCGACAGGTGAGGGAGCATGCGGACGAGCTAACAGCAGCGTATGGTGGCAACGGACACGAACCTGACCCGGAAATCATGTTGCGCCGCTACTCCATCGCTCGGCCACACCCGTATTCGCGTCCTGGATCGCGAGCTGCGTCACGCGCGCCATCACGCGGTCCGTCTCGGGCTGTATCGCGCGCCGCGTCGCGAGCAGGCAGCAGAGCGCCCAGCCGCGATCCACCACGCCGCGCGGTGCCCAGCAGAACTGCCTCCACATCCAGCATCGCCGACGTGTACTACACAGCTCCACCATCACCGGCCCGGTCACGCCCGCCATCGCGCCGGAACTCCAGCCACACACTCTCAGGCCTGAGCAACAAGCTTGCTATGACGAAACAGGGCGGGGATGTCGACTTTCTCTCTGAGCAGCAGATGCTCGTGGTGGACACAAACATCTCCACCACCCAGCGCATCAAATCCCTCTCTGACTTCCACCTGTACCTCTCCCCATCACGGCTCGCGCATCGCGATCTCCTCTCTGATTCTGAGGACGACGAGCCGCCACCTCAGCCAATAGTGCAGCGCCGACGCACCCTGCGCCCAGCAATGCTCGAGCTCGGGGCAGGCTCAATCGCCGCACGTCGAGCCGCGCGTGTAGGCGTTCCTACCCCGGCCCGCGCCTCCACTCCCGCCGAGTACGCGACTATGCTGCAGGCGCACCATGCGCGAGGTTTGGAACAGTACTACAGCCCGGAGCAGCATGAGGTGATCGAGGCCATGTCCTCGCCTGAGCACAGCGACGGCCCCGAGTCCCCGCAGTCGCCGCTGGCTATTGAAGCTGCCCCCGAAGACGATGGGGAACAAGCGGTGAACAATTCCTCACCCTCACCTGAACCCGAACCTGAACACGAACCCGAGTGTAAACCCCAACAAATACTGGCGCCTACCCCGGTGCGCCCAGCGGAAGCTGAGGCGCCCGATGTGCAGTTCTCCTCTTCGAATCCATGGTTCGGATACCCGGTTGTGCGCGTCCCACACGCCACAGGTGACGGGTACGCGATCCGGCCGCGCTACGGACGCAACCGAAAGCGCGACCTCGCAAAGACGCTGCTCTGGCTCTTCGTGCTGCGCCTCCAAGCCTGGCGCAGCGCGGTCGAGCGGGCGCTCGGCTTGCCGCGCCTCGCGGCCCTCCTCTTCCCGCGCAAGCACGAGGAACACGCGACGCCCGACCAGGGCTTGCGTGCAGTCGCACGCACGCGCGCGTACGCGCCCAAAACCGCCGTCGTCAAGCGCGACCGCGACTGGATATGGATGGTGATCGGCTTCTTGCTGCTGCGCGGGACGTGGGCGCGCCTCCTGGGTCCGTTGGAGAACATGGGTCTCGGCGTGCTCCGCGACCTGCTGGGCCTCGTATAGTTGTATTTTGTTGTTGTAATGTACTGCTTGAAAGATGGAGTGCTGGCCCGACTCCGACGCCGAGACTTCCGGAAGGGGCGGAGATGAGTGAAATAGGGCGTGCCTGAGTCCACGTCGAAATGTCGATCAGTCGCGTCCACTCCACGATTTGTTCTCCGCCATCTCCTCCTCATCTCACGGCTTCTTATCCCCAGCTTCGTTGTCATCTCTGTTCATCTTTGTCCATCCCAGCAACATCTTCACGCTCATTGAATCGGACTCTGCTACCGCCTTGGTCCTGCACCGCCTCTTCCTCCACCGCTCTTCCCAACTCCGCTCCATTACAATGGGGCTACTCCGGTGAGTCCTTCCGCACTCCCAACTCTCCTCCCAGCTCCTCTCGCCGCCCGCCCGCGACTAACTAAAGCCTCTGCGTTTGCGTCTCCGGGGTGTACGCGGCCTTCCTCCTCTGGGCGATAGCGCAAGAACGCCTCTCCCAGCCCTTCCCCGCATCGCCGGCACATCCCCACTCCCCGCCGGGATCCCGCAAAGGCGACAAGTTCCCTTCGCCCCTCTTTTTCAACTTCGCCCAGGCACTCGCGAGCGCGTCGGCGAGTGCCGTGTATTTGCTTGTTGCAGCGGGCGCAAAGCGACGGGAGGGCATAGGACGTGTCTTGGGCCTGAAGAGGTTGTTGGGGGCGGAGGGGGAGGATGCCAACGGACATGGCAAAGGCGTGAATGGAGACGCTGCGAGGGCCAACGGCAAGAATCACACAAATGGGAAAGTCAATGGCACAACCAACGCCCCGCGCCCGTGGTACCAGACCCTCCCCGGCCTCCTCCTCCAGGTCTCGCTGTTCCAGACCACCGCCGGGCCCATCGGCTTCCATGCTCTCAGGCATATCTCATACCCGACTATGGTGTTGGCCAAGGTGGGTTGTGGAGATTCGCAGCTGACTCCAGTCGTGCAAACTCATCCCCGTGCTCCTTCTCAATGTGCTGCTGTATCGTCGTCGCTTTGGAGCGCACAAGTATGCCGTCGTCGCCCTCGTCTCGGCCGGCATTTCACTGTTTATGCTTTTCGGCAGCAAGAGTAAGGCTGGCGGCGGCGACAGTGTGTTCGGCCTCCTCCTTCTCCTTGTCAAGTATGTCTACATCCACGCGCCTTACTCACTCCAGCCTCCTCATCGACGGCCTGACCAACTCGACGCAGGACCAGATCTTCGCCCTCTACCCCTCCTACTCCGGCCAGCAGATGATGTTCATCATGGCTGCTCTGCAATTAACCTTGCTCACGCCGGCCATGCTGTTGCCGTTGCCCTCGCGCCCAGCGCTCCTCCTCTCACACCTCCCCGTTCTCTCCTCCCTCCTCCCACGCGAGCGCGGTGCCATGCTCTCCTTCTCCCCGCCCATCCTTCTGCAATCCATCCGCTTCCTTGCAACCCATCCCTCCTCACTCGCCCCACTCGCGGCATACGCCGCTCTCGGGGGGCTCGGCCAGCTCTTCATCTTCGAGACCATCGCCCACTTCGGCTCCCTCACCCTCGTCATGGTGACTGTCACACGCAAGCTCTTCACCATGCTCCTCTCGGTGTTTGTTTTCGGCCACACGCTCACACCGGGACAGTGGGCGGGCGTAGCCGTCGTGTTTGCAGGCATCGGCGTCGAGGCGGGCTTTAAGCGCCGCGAAGCAAGTAAGCGGGTCCGAAGGGACAAGGGGAAGACGGAGTAGTGTAGCTGCTTGTACGACATGCATAGATCTAGAGCACCACCCACCCCACGCTTGTAAACAGCGCTGTGGTGGGCATTGCAGTATTGGACCGCACGGCGTGGTTCACGCCACGTGCTTCCTCCACCATTGCTTTTTCCGCTCTGACGCCATCCACTCCATCTTTCGCAACTTCGCATCTCCTCATCTCCATCTCATTTCATCTCATGTTCCGCCCTTCACTTGCCCGCGCTCTCCGCGCGACGCCGCGCTCCACTCCTTGCGCTGCGCGTCCCCTCTCGCGCACGCTCATCTCCCTCCCCCGCCTCACCTCCCCTAAACTCTCCTCCGCCCGCCCCCTCCCCCGCCCCTCCCGCACGCCCACCTCCTTCTCTCGCGCGGCAAGCAGCACACCGCACGGCGACCCCTCCGTCGCGCCGGATATTGAGGTCCGGTGAGTTTCTCTGGTTTTCCACCCATCTCTGAGCCCCTCCGTCCTCGCTCGAACCTCCTTCCGCCCCGCCTTGCATCCGTCTCCGGCGCGCTCCCTCCTTCCTTTTCCTTCTCCCTCTTCCTCCCTCCCGACATATTATATCCAGTTTTCTTTTACCTTCGTTTTCCGGATCCCCCTCTCCCCACCCCCCCCCCCCCCCCCCCCCCCCCCCCCCCCCCCCCCCCCCCCCCCCCCCCCCCCCCCCCCCCCCCCCCCCCTCGGGCCGCACTAACCGCAGCGACCTCACTGATGAAGAGTACCACGCCCTCGCGGACGAGAGCATGGACGTGCTGCATGAACACCTCGAGATGCTCTGCGAGGATTTTGGACCGCCCGAATGGGAGGTGGAGTACAGTGTGAGTGGCAAGCGCGCGAGCAGGCGGGCAGGCGTGCAGGGGAGTAGGAGGAGGCGAGTTGCGGAGACCAGCAAGTGGAGGTTGGATGTGCAAAGTGGACGGGGCGGAGGACGGCCCAGAAATGCCGGCAGGACACCCTGCTAATCCCAGTCCGGCGTCATGACCCTCACACTGCCGCCGCATGGGACATATGTGATCAACAAGCAGCCGCCGAACCACCAGATTTGGGTGTCGTCGCCATTCTCGGGCCCCGCGCGCTTCAGTATGGCGCCTGATGGTGTGTGGGTTCATCACCGCCGGAAGGGTGTACAGCTTGGCTCGCTGCTCGACGGCGAGCTGAAGAAGCTTGTGGATGGCGAGTGGGAGGGCGTGGGATTGAAATAGCTGATGAAGTGCATCTGCATAGGCGATCAGTGTCTCAAGGCCACACGAAGGTGTAACCGTTAGATGCCATGCCATGCAATGAGTGGTGTAATGTACAACAACCTGCGCCTCCAATCTATACACGTCCCTCCTCTTCGTCCGCCGTGCAAGTCCCGCTAATCACCCCCGAGCCAAGACACATATCTCCGTCCCACAATCCCACAACCTGGCCTTCCGGCACGGCAGCCACCGGCTCGGGAAATTCCACAACGACACTTGATCAGCTCTGCCTTCGGTGAACTCACCGCTCGCCCTCTCGGCGCACACGCGCGCGCACCGGCGCCATGCGGTGGCGCACCTGCGCAAGCACCTCGCCCTCGCGCCCCTCAGCAATCCAATGGAACGTATCACTCCACACCCGCACGCACTGCAAAGCGGGGTGGTCGGCGCGGGGCACGATAAGGATGTCGCTCCCGATCTTGCGCGCCACGAACCACTTGCCCCCCATGCCGGGCTTCATAGTGGCCAGCCGCGCGCGCTGGCCCACAGTGTATGCCGCGAGGCCGCGGTGTGGGGCCACGCGTTCCCCTGCCTCCGTCACGAACCATCCGTGCGATGGGGGCACGTATTGGGCTGCGGTTAGCGGAGCTCTAGAGGGGGAGGCGTACAGACGAAATCGCCAAAATTGCCGCGCTCGCCGATGAAGCAGACGCCCATGCTCTCGCGGCGCTCGGCCGTCGGGAGGCGCCATGCACGCGCAAGCTCGCGCACCGCTGGTTTAGGAAGGTTGGCGAGCGGAAAGACTGCCTGCTGTCAGCGCGAAGCGGGAGAAGCACGGCTCACTCGTTGAAGCGCTGCTTCCGTCACTTGCGAGAGGTAGTACGTCTGGTCTTTATTCGCGTCCCGCGCGCGATGTAGCGTCGCGCGCCCATTCTCCCGCTTCACACGCGCATAGTGGCCTGACGTCAGCCTGTCCGCGGCCACCGCAACGCTCACCTGTAGCGAGAAAGTGCCCGTCGGGAATATGCTGAAGCAGCGCGCCGAACTTGATCTCGCGATTACACCACACGTCGGGGTTGGGCGTGCGCCCGGCGTCCCATTCCGCGACGGCGGGCTCGAATACGCGCGTCCAGTATTCCGAGCTCAGATCGACGAGGCGGACTTTGTCCGAGGGCACGCCGACGGCGCGCGATACCGCGCGCACATCCGCCCAGTCCCGCTCCCATGTACATTGCGAATGCGTGGCGGGGGTGTTGTAGGCAAGCGAGAGGGGGGAGGGCGGGGCGTTCTCGGAGAGTACGGGGTCCCAGTTGCGCATGAAGAGAACGGAGAGGGAGAGGGGGAGGGCGGCGAGGAGGCGCAGCGTGACGCTCGAGTCGACGCCGCCCGACACCGCGACGGTGACGTTGGCGCCTTCGGTGAGGCCGAGATCTGCGAGGGTTGGGAGGGTGTAGGGCGTGTCGGTGGGGGTGGGGGACGGGACGGAGGGCAGAGTGGAGGCGGTGGCAGAGGCGGAGACCGCGGGCGCCGGGTGAGCTGCTGTGGAGAGGCGGCGCGAGAAGAGCAAGAGCGGGAGCGAGAGGGCATGAGATGCACATCGAGGCGGCGTGTACATGCGTCGAGCACCGAGTGCCGCCCGCATGACTTTGATGAAAAGCTATACAGGTGATGAGGCAGAAATGGCAAGAATTCTTGTTGACACCTCGAAGTCGGAAGAAGTGAACTAGATGGGGGATTAGATAAAGATGCACGACAGTACTCCTCTTGCCTTTAGTCCTAATTTAAGCCTAAACGCATGGGCCTTGACCCACAGTACACATCCGACAAGCTTATTTGAGTGTTTAGCCTGGGTGGCGTCGTGATCATTCCTTGCTTCCCCCCTCAACCGCGACTTAACGAGGCTCATTCCTTTCGTCCATGAATGAACGAGACTGGCGGCACTTTGACAACTGAGCGTTCTTCCCCTTGGCTCGCAAGCGCGAGCGGGGGGAGTACACCCTTCGACGACAGTCCACGCACACCGTCCCACCCCCGCAATTTGACGAGGACCACCACACAGACATATTACCGGACGGTCAACGAGCGCTTGCCCTCAGCCACATGTGCATTCAGGTATAGCGTTGGCCATGTATAGCTTCGGATTTGAATGTGCATGCAGTGTATCTATATGTGTCAGGAGACTTCATTCGTCCTCGATACATAAAAACCATTGACCGAGCTGGTCGCCTGTGAACCCAGCCCCGTCGCTTGCGTTCCCGGAGTCCACCCCTTCCCCGGAGCCACGGCGGTCCCTGGAACCGTCTGCCTCGCCGGATGCGCTCGCTGCGCTCGCTGTGAGGTCCTTACCACTGCCCCGTCCAGCGTTACCCGCGGCGCCTTCACGATGAGCCTGAAGACACCGCAGGGTGAACCAGTCAAGCTGGGCCCGCAAAAAGATAAAGGATGTGGGATGTGCTAGCGCGATACTTGACTGCTCCACGGAGGCGGTGGCCACGCGAAGGACCGTACCAGACCTTCTTCTCAACTGGGTCGATGAGGATGGGTACGTGGCGAAGTCCAGAAAAAACATCCCGACATCTAAGTCAAGCAGGACCATATACGCCACCACGTCGGCGAGGTGGGAGGCTGGGTGGCGCCCAGCGAGACGAGCGAGCATGACGGCCTGATGGGGGAACCCGGACGCGGAGCATGTCGCCTACTCCTTCTTCAAACCGGATGGCGTCCTGCATGGCGTCCATGGTGTCAAACAGCGCGTCGTTCCCAACAGCGAGGGACTTCAGCTCGACGACGCTTACTGGGGAAGCGCCGTTGCCGTTGCCCTCGCGCAACAGAGTCACGAAATCCGGCCGCGCTGCCAAGACGTCGCCCACCACGTGACCGACAAGTCCCTCAGCTTGCAGTCGAAGTGAGTTTCGACTGTGTTGCTTGGGACGGCCGCAACCACCGCAAGTGACCGAACGAGAGCACGATCCGCGGCGCCGTTTTCCGCGATAAGGGCCGCCGCGTCGTTCTCGCCGAAGCACCCCCGGCGCGGCTCGTGAAGGAGGAACGACGGGGGATCGGCAGTGCGCGTGGAAGACACCAGCCGTACAGGACACGGCGGCGCACGGTCGAGTGCTTCAGTGAAGTCGTCCAGGTAAGACAATGTCGTGGCGCCACCTTCGGCGCCAGCAATATCGACTAGTGACCCACACGTGGTCTACACCCAGCGTCACGTGCATGCGGAACCAGACCATCACGTGACTCAGCGTCGGTACTTCCGCACGATACGATACATCAGTACGGCTCATAGTATATATAGCGCCGTCGTTACTCCGTAACGACCAACGTATGTATCTTCCAGTCTCTTAGACTCACCCTCGTAGACGGCATCGTCGACGGTTGCCGGACTCGAGTACCTCACCCCACTGGGTGAGTCTCTCGCCACGACAGACAACATCACCTCCTCCGGCATCTTATCCATGACGTATTCTGCCACGACAGGCGACACCCAGGATTTGGCGCTGTAATGTTTGGCCTTGCGCGTCCTCTTGCACATTTTAGGCATCTTCAATGCCTTCGGCGTGTTACGCGCCTGGAACTTGGACGTCGTCGGCCCTTTGGTCTTCGCGGGCTGCTCTGGTGGGGTTTCAGGCTCATCAGCGCCACAGTAAATTTCCGGGTCGCGATGATGCTCGCGGACGAGGGCCCAAGAGACGGGGTCGTCGATAGTGGCGGCACAGGCCTGGCGAGGTCACTCACGTCTTCAAAAGTTGTTGCAAGTATAATGGTATGTATGTTTGTTGTTGTCAAAGTGAAGACCTTCCTCTCAACGTGTCCACCATCCTGGACATCGATTGCATGTAATGAACGTCAAAGATTGTCGAGAGTTGTTGCTTCTCAGATCATTGTTCCCCTGCGATCGCCGTGACCGCCATGTCCATCGCTGTGGCACCGCTGTTGTTGTTAGTTGCGCCGCCGAGTGCACCGTCCCGTTCCTCTTCACCGTTCGCGATGGAGCGAATGCATACGCAGGTCAATGTGCAATCTGTCCCCTCTACCCCTCCCGCGCTCTAGCCCTGCGTACGGGCTTGCAGCAAGCTCCCGTCCGTCTCCCCCACCTCCCCCATGGCGGGCAAGCCCCATCGGAGGAACATGATGCGCGTGCGCGCCTCAAGCCCCTCCTTTTCCTCTCCCTCCTCACCGTCGGGTCGCAGCCCCATCTGATCCGCCTTACGCGCAAGCATAAGCACACGCACAACTACGGCATGCGGCCCGCTGCGCATGGCCGAGAGGTGTCCCACGCGCACGTCTGCACGCAGCCGCCACCCGGCCGTGTCGACGGCCTGCGCGAGTGCCGCGTCCCCCGCAACGTCCACCTTCTCGAGGAGGGGAAGCAGGGCAGGCACGTCTTCGGGCGCGCTTGCCGCGCCGGCGAGGTAGATGGCCAGCCGGAGGGGGATGGGGGGTGGGCCGGCACCATGCCCCGGCCGGCTAAGGGCGCGGTCCGTGTCACCGGTAAGGAGGCGGACGAGGGCGAGAACGGGCGCAAGGAGAGAGCGCTGCGCCGCGGCGCGCGCCCAGCGTATTGCGGTGGCCACGATTCGCTCGTCCACGTCCCGCGAGCGTACGGAGTGCAGCGCCCCGCTTTGGCGCGGAAAGAAGCGCGCGCCCTCCGTGCCCAGCAGTAGGCGCAGGCAGTACATTGGGTCGGCAAGCGTGCCCTCCGCGCCGGGCGGGAGGCGCATGCCGCTGCGCGGCAGGCGCGCGATCGCATACCGCGCCAGCAGGTGCAGCGCATGCGCCTCCTTGATCGTCGGGGCGCGAAGCGGCTGTCCGTCAGCCGCGGCGCGGTACAGCCCCTCGTAGCGCGCGACCATGAAGTGCCAGTGTGGAAGCATGTCCTCAGCTGCCTCAAGCCAGCGGCGGTAGGTCAGAGGCTCGGCGCCGCCCTCGATGCGCGTCATGATCATGTCTCCGACTGTGAGGAGGAGTTGCTTGCGCTGTGTGTACATCCGCCGCCCCTCCCCGCGGGCCGGCAGGTGATTGTCGGAGTCCCACCGCGTGACGGTGGAGCGCACAGGTGGTCCTCCCTCAACCAGTGGAGCACCCGTGACCCAAGGTTGCAGGAGGTTCTGCAGTCGCGCCGCGACGTCGTGCATCGGGCCAGCCTCCTCCTCCAAAAGGTGCTTTGTAATCTCCTTGAACGGAATGTATTCCGTAAGATGCGTGAAGATGAGCTGCAGCTGGAACTCGGTTGGGCGGGCCTCCACCGTGCTCATAAACGCGATGGCGACGCTCACAGCCCTGAGCGCCTCACGCGCGCGTTTCTGGCGCATCGCAGCCAGAGCAGCACCACGCATCTTCATCGCACGCGTGTACGCAGCATCGTACTCGACGTGCTTTTCCACCGGCGAGTCGGCGTACAGCGTCGGAGGAGTGTAGTGCGTCACGGTGCCCTTCTGCTTTGTGTCGTCGCACTCAGGCTCGCGAGTCTTGAGGCCGAATGTGTGCCGGACAGGCGGACTCGATGAGTCTGGCGGCTCCTCGGCGGGCGAAGGCTGTCTGAATTCCTCATCGACGAGCTCTGGTGGTGTCATCTCGCCGACCTTGAAGCGCGCCCTCCACTTGTCCCACCCCTCCCCCTTGCCTGGCCGCACACGGCCGCCGACGATGGCGAGAAAGAGCGCGTCAAAGCGCTCTGCCGCAAACTCACGCCCCTCCCAGCCGCGCATGCGTGGGAGTCCGCCAAGGTCGTGGATCCGCGCAGCGAGTTGCAACCAATGAGACCACAGCGTGAGCAACGCCCGCTGTCGGTATGCCGACAGAGTGCCCCAGTTGGGCGGGACGATAGCGTCAATGAGCTGGCGCAGGCGGTCGAGGTGCGCATGCATGGGCCCGACGCGGACCGGCAGGCGCGTGGTCTTGAGATATGCCAGAATGCGGTTCGGCGCCCAGCGAGGGGGGCAGGCGAGAATGTCTTTGACTGTGATTTCGGGATTAGGCTGGCGTTAGCTTGCTCGGTTGAGGACTCACTCTCAGCTCACGTCGCGACCACGGAGGCACTTCTGCACCGGTGCTTGTGACGAGCTTGGCCTTTGGGACGCGAAACAGTCCTGTCTTGTCGTCTCGTCTCCCAGAGTTGCTCGAGTCACCCAAGAGTGTTGGCGCGACGTCCTCGAGGGTGGGACCGGTGTCATCCGGTGTATGTGATGGACCATCCTCGCTCCGAGGGCGATCTTCGTGCGATCGGATCGACGCGCCGGATTCTGGTCCAACATTCGTTGTTGTCGAGCCCTCGAGCTTTTGGCTTGCGTTGCCTAACCTCGCGAGCAGCTCCTCAGTCGAGACCAGGGCGACTGTTGATGCTCCAGGCCTCCGGTGGCTCACTCGACCTGCTTGCTCTTCTGACTGTGACGCCTCGCGTGTCGATGCCCGCTGATGCCGCGTGGGCCCTGTGTCCAACTGATCTCGTGGTTGGTCTCGTGGTGCTATGCGTGCCGGCCCCCACCCTCTCCGTGACCGTGGTGGAGGCCTGTTCGCAACGGCGCGCGATACCTCGCCAGCCCACCCATCTCGCTCGGGCACCTGCCTGGCCGGTGCAGGTCGCCCCCGCGGCTTCGGGCGAGAGGCAGAGAAGGAGGGTGAGGTTGAAGGAGAAGGAGGGGGAGAGGGCACGACTGTCCCGCCCCAGTCGTTGCGTGGGAGACTGAGGACCTGCGTGGCCCAGTCGAGGGCGCTGCCTGGCTTGTGGTCGCGGGCGAGGCGGGGTGTGGAGGCGGAGGCGAACTCGCGTCGGAGGGTGAGCTGTAGAACATGCCGGGCGACGGCAGCTCTGATAGCCATGAGCGAGGGCGCGGGGGTAAGAGAAAAGGAGATGAAGAGATGTAAAGATGGAGATTGATTGACGTTGCCGACTGATCCACTGAGATTGCGGGAAATTCACAGATGTGGTTACTCACATTTTGATCCCGTCAATCCGTGTCAATGGCCCTCTATTGACTTTTGACGCGCGACGTTGCGGAAGACGATACATGCATGCATGAGGAATTAAACCTGATGCCCTCCCGGACTCGACATCAGTGATGGTCTCAGGCCTGGCGGTGGTTGCGTACCCCACGAATGAGTGACTGTCTCGGACTCAGCGGTAGACGGTCCACTGGTCTCCGGATTGGAGATGGTCCGAGAACGGTCCTTGGTCAAGATGAGTGACGATGGATTGAATGATGGATATGAGATAAGGTAGTCTCTACTCTGTGGCAACACAATCTGCACCCGGTTCTCATTAGATTGCACGCTGCATGCATAGGCGTTGGGGTACAGGGTTACCTGGGCATGTATGCTGGGCTACGATCAAAACATTCTCCGTCATCATGGTAATGAGGTGCGGAATCATCGGGTTTGGCACTAGTAATCCCACGCCTCAACCTGCTCCGCTCCCCGATTTGAGCCTGTTAGAGGCCATCCGTCCGTCCGTTTCCTTTCCAGATCCGCAAACTTGAACTTGAGGTCACCCCTCACGTGCAGGAACGACAAGGTAGTCCTCGCATCTTTATCGGGACGGGTCCAGCGTCCGGATCTCATGTGGGCTTGCATGACGATGGCAGGCTTGAGGATAAGGGGGTGAGCATGTGGTTACCTCAGTAGAGCCCATGTGCTCTTGTCGGTCGACCATGTCCTCACTGTGACGACAGTCCTGGCAATCTGGCGACGGACTGTGCGGCACAATGGATGTGGGAGGAGAAGGGTCAGACGGCTTCCAGCTTCAATCCACGGTCGGGCATGGTTGGTGATGGAGCGTCTCGATGCGATATCGCTTCTACATACTTCCGACAGAGCACCTCTACAACCTATTTATAAGGCTCTAACCTAATGTCGACCTCATTCCGTAACGATGTCTTGCTTTGCACACAAAGGCCCTCGCCCCGTCGTTACGGATTTTACAGTGAGCACGACGTCGAAGAAATGACACACGATGACTCCAAGATGTTATACTCGCGCCACTGCTTCAAGATGGACACAAGGATCGGCACATATGCCTACGGTGCAATGATATGGGTATACTCTTCTTCGTCTCCGATGTACGCCTTCAGCTCCTCGTAAGACGCGTACGCTATTCCAGACTCGACGCGTTGTGCATCGTCATCTGCCAGAGCGCGGACCCACCATCGGAAACGCTCCTCGACACTCACACCCACAGGTGTATACTCAACGACGCGTCCCCAAGCCTTCGCGAGCCATGCCGGGTTCCAGTCGCCCGAGCCAACGAGAACAACCCGGTCCTCCCGTCCCAGAGTGCTTGGAGCCCGAAGACACCTCACGACGTAATACGCGAGTGTGTTGAGTACACGGGGTTGCCCTTGCCTGCGCGAGGGAAAGGGATCGCTCCACTGTCCCTCCGTGCGAGTGAAAAGGATGATAATCGTGCGCCCGCTCGGGACCTTTGATGTGCAGAATGCGGCATATGGGAAACCCTCGTCTTGGAGAGAGTACTGGAAGTTGAGCACGATCTCTGTTCCCGAGATTTCGCCGGTATGATACACGAGCAGCCGGGATGGGCTGGCATCCGAGCTGAGGGAGACGCAGTGGAGAACCCGCACTGGCATGGCCGCGAGGAACGAGGGCGGAGCATGGAAGAGGGAGTGCGAATTGCCAAACAGACGCACTAGGGGCAGGTTGGGGAGGGGCGGGGAGTCCATCGTGAGGGCTAAGAGTGCATTGTTTCGCGCCTCGAGGAGCGTTTGACTCCAATGCATGCCGAGACAGCGATCGCACTCGCAGTCCTTCGGGGGGTGCACGTCCAGGATGCGGACGTGGGCTAGGCGTTTGTCCGGCGGAATAAGCACGAAGCCAGTGGTCGTAGCGGGGGTGATAATGGTGAGGACCTCGGAAGTAGAATCTGTCGACTGGGCCCAAGAGCGGGGAGCGTTAAGCAGCATGAGTGAGTCGAGGGGACATGACGCTTGATCTTTTAACACCAGGTGGGTGCAGAGACGCGCGTCCGCCTTGGCGCAGATGGAGCGAGTTGTTGAGCGCAGACGGCGGAGAGCTGCTTGGTCGGCGTGGGAGATGACCGCGTCGAGGATGTGGGGGTAAGCATCTCTATCGAGCATACTGCTGTGAAAGCATGAGAGAGTAAAGGCAGAGAGAGTTAGTCGCGAGTACACCGCCTCTTCGTGAGAGCCCCATGCGTGGTGCAGGTAGCAAGTGGAGGTGGCGCACTTGAGCGCGGTGTTTCTCGGGCCGCTCGCTCTGCACCTGAGCCACGCCCACACCCATGCTTTGTGGCCTAGTCTGCAGAATGATAGAGTCCATAGAGTCCATCGTTCAAGCCACAGAAGCACTTTGTGGCACCTCAAACTACCTCAGCCACTACAGCAGGGCTGCGAGCACTCCAGCGAGCGCCGCAGTCGTGCCAAGAGTGAACGATTGGCGGGCGTCTAAAGCCAGTGCCGCAGCCAGAGGAACCACGGGCGGGAAAGCACCAACCACGCTGTCACCTCCTTCGAATCGACCTCCAGGGCTAGCAGGAGAGCCCACGCCCTGTGGGATAAGGCCATCTATCTTGGTTAGCGCCAGATCACCCCGCTTCCCAACGTACCGCATTCCCGACTAGTCCGGCAGTCTGTGCACTTTCGGCCTATGGGGCAGCATCCCTTGTCTTCCACTCAGGAGGTCGAGGTGTAGCACGTCCCGGAGACGCCTGACGTCAGTGGGCCTGGGCTTGCGCCGCATGATTGACTCACCACAGCAGACTTGATATTGCTTCGACGCACAGAAATTCGTACCAGGGCATAATAACATTGTATCACTGGGGCAACACTTGCCTTCGCCAGCGCACACCCCTTGAGCACAGTAAGTGCCATCTGACGTCAACGGAAGCCGATTTGCAGGACGCACCGTCGCAGCAAGAAGCTTCCCGATACATATAGTTTGGGATGCAACTCTCGCCGCACCGTCTCTCTCTGGATTTGCAGTCACCGTTCTCGTCCACTTGGCGCCCAACAAGACTGTGAGTGGCGATCGCGTCGGTCGCATTAACCTGTTCGAAGGGGAGAAAGGGAACAAAGTCGAGCTGGGGCCGCGCAACGGCTACGGTCGCAACAAGGAGTGCGAAAGTGAGGAGCCTCATAGCGATTACGACGGAGGTGAATGAAATGGAGGGTTTCAGTTCTGGAGCGAAGTGCAGTCAGTTTATAAGAGCGGCTGCAGAGTGTGAACCTCCCCACATGTAGCGGCGGATGACCACCCAGACAACAGCGCCAAGACAACTGTCGTGAAGGGCGGTGAGCGCAATGCGTGCATGAAGAGAGCAATCAGAGTCACGGGAGGCAGAGTCCTGTCGGGATGCACTCTCCGCAGTGCCTGAAGCTCGCCCTTCATCAAGTCTGTCGGCCTCATGCTTACGCTTCCGGCGGAAGTGTACAGTAAATGGTTCCGAGCACCGCTTGGGGCTTCAAACTCAGGTGCCACAAGCTTCGATGTTCAATGCATGTCGATGTTTCCCATCTCTGTTTGGGGCCGAGATGTGGCTTGTGTTGAAGCACAGTGATGAGTTAATGGCCTACTGGGGCTGTCAACCTCTGCATGCTTCAACGGCCGACCCTTAGGCTTTCAGGGTCGTGGCCGACTGTGAGCGAGCTTGAACAGCCGACTGTTGATATTTGACGACAACATGTGCCTCAAATCAACCTTGCTCACGCCCTGACAAGGGGCAGCTCCATAAACCTGCTGGAGTACTGCTGTGAATAACTGGCGCCCTGCGTAGCAGGCGAGGCGGGAAGTGCGGTGCATGATTTAGTTCGTTAGAACCAGGTAATTATCATCCCATGACGTCCAGAAATGTTGCGCCCGGGGGCTGTTGATCAGCTTAGCATTCCACATCTTACTCCGTTGAACCACAGCAAAATCCTGATCCACAACCGATGCCGTACATTGCGACTAGAATGACGCTGCCAAGCGAGAGTGCTAGGTGAGGCTCTCGTTGCTGTTCAAGCCTGCAATGGCGCTGCCGTTCTACGCATGGAGGTTTGCCCGCTGTTGGGCTAATTGAGTTGTCCGCGTTCCCGCCCTCCAGCGTTGCACCATCAGCTCCGTCGCCAGTGGAGCCGGTCGAGGCTTCCCGGTGAGGCGCCATCGGCCTGGGTCCACCATCCTGTCTCTCCACGGTTGCCACGCGAGCATGCAAAGCACGTCCGGTCGGCCGGGCGGCAGCCGCCGTTCGGACGAAACAAACTCTTGGCTTCCAAATCCATTGTGATCTGCGTTCAGCTTCCCCGCACCCTCGCGAACCATGGCAACAAATAGCGGCCTCGGCAGCGCAGAAGGTGGTGTCGGAACACGCCGGCCAACCGGCAACAGGTGCTGCCGCCCCCCCACACGCAGTTGTGCCTACAGCACAAGCCGTCCGCTGTCAGCTCAATCTCTAGACTACAGTACTGCACATAGTTGCAGCACACCGAGCCAGGAGCGATGCAGCCGACGTCGTCACACTGCTACCAGCCGCTGGAGCACTCATGGGGCTTGTACCGGGAGACTGTCAGCTCTACAGTCTAGTTAGCCATCATGACCGGGCCAGGTCGAGAATCCCGAGTCGGGGGCGCGTGAGTGCGAGTGTGGCCGCTGAGACAACGGCGAAAATGAATGTGAGTGTGATAAATGCTGAGAGTGAAGTGGGGAGCCACGCCGCAACTACGCAGTACGAGTCACCCTTTTCGAAACACATCCCCCACTGCGTCCCACTGAAGTCCCCCCGGACCCGGTTGGTGTTGGTGTACTCCCGAATGAGCGGAGTACTCATCTTTGCTATATTGGCCCTCATCGCCGCCTCGAATGAACATTGCGTGGCAGCGCTTTAGCACGGGCCGTACGTGCGATCGCCTGGTCTGCTAGAAACTTTCTCCTTGCAGAGTTAGCAGCAGCCGCTGACCGGCGCTGAAGTATAACGCAGCCATGTAGCGGGATGTGCTTATCAGAACGGATGAGCAGTACCCTCTGCGTACAGAACGCCGATAAGCCTTGATGCCAGAATGCAAACTGGTGTTTGAATGCGGGCATCACATGGCCATCGAGTTTCGTGAGTCGAATGAGCCGACAATTCAGTTGATCTTGTGTGGTTTCGGCATCAATAATCTCACACGAAGCACGTTGGCAACGTGGTGTCTAGATAAACACGCGTCGAAAGCCGCAGGCTTGCCTCCGACATTATCATACTATGTTTACTTCGTTTGTTCAATTTCGCTACAAAGCAGAAGTTCTTGTTTAGGCGGAAGCGAAGCGCCCGTCTGAGCGGAGACGTCGGTGCTCCTCGATCTACACCACATCTCAAAGAAGGAGAGGTAGGATCACGCCGGCGGCAGCCATGAGTCCCGGGACAGCTCGCGTCGCGTCACCGCTCGAGCCGTTGCCGCCGTTGCCGCCGTTGGAGCTTCCCGACCCTCCCGAGTTGCCTGAGCCAGAGTTGCCATTACCCGAGTTTCCAGAGTTTGGGTTGCCGCCAGTGTTCGAGTTACCACCGGTGTTTGAGTTTCCACCTGTATTCGAGTTGCCTGTGTCGGAGTCGCCGGTACCCGAGTTGCCAGTGCCCGAGCTGCCAGTGCCCGAGCTGCCAGTGCCACTGTTGCCAGAGCCGCCCTGGCCACCAGCGTCATCAGGAGCTCACGTCAGCTGGGCCGCTCCAGAACTCACTGCAAACGTTCTTCGAGGACGCAGGGCAGTCGGAGCACGTCCTACCCAACGGGCAGCATCCGCCCCCGGGAACGCAAAATGTGTTGGCTGGACACGTTCCGTCACGATCTGTTATTAGCTAAAGGTCATCTTGCCGAGGAAGAGCCACATGCTGATGTGAAACTTACCTTTGCAACAAGTGCCCCCCTGTTCAACGCAGTACCGCTTACTGGCATTAGCGCGCTGTGTAGTCTGCACACACCCAGGGCATGGCGTTGGGAAGCCTTGCGGACAGCAGCCCTGGCCAATGATACAAGTCGCCCCCGCGGGACAGTTGTTGCCGTCTACCATCAGTCAGGCCAAAGAAGGACTTACCGGGGCAGCACACCGTCTGAGGTGGGTTGCACATGGACGGTCCGCAGTTGGACCAGCCCTGGGGACAGCCACCCTGGCGCTTAACAAGGCTAGGAAGCAGGCTTGTAGTCATGTTGCGGAATCCGAACGGGTTGCCAAGGAACAAGTCATAGTCAAGCTGTCGGGGGACCGCGCCGGCAGCGGCCGCAGCTATCAGAGTGAGGCTTGAGGCAATGGTGGACAGCTTCATTGTCAGCTGAAAAGGTGCATGTTGGAGACCAGCAACGATTGAAGCACCTCTATATATCTGTTGGGGCAGTGGTGTGCCACAAGCACGTCGTACGCCGCGTGACCGCGGGAGGAAACCTAAGTGAGCACTTCCCTGCGAAGTGGGGCGAGCGCAACGTAGTGTGCGCTCTTGACAAGTGAACACAACTCCAGATTCCTACGGAAAGGTAGCAAGTCGTACTGCTGCTACCTCGCTTACTGCCACAGTGCCTGTGGCAGATGAAACGATGCGGGATATTCTCTGTGGGCACAGCGCCATAAGCTTACTCGGTTCCGCGCCCGTTAAATCTCTAATTTTGGACATTGCCCACGATCCGCAGCGCGTCTGTGCTTCTCTTTCGAAAGGGCCATTCGTGTCATCAAGCTTAAGAGCGCGGTCATGTTGAGTGCCCGTGGGATACGCGCGCGGCTTTTCGTGCCTGGCGTCGTATCTGTTCAGTCAGTGTCCAGCGCAGCATCATCCACTCAGTGATTCAGTACAGTGAGCGGCAGGGCGCAAAGAGTGGCAGTGTGCTGGGACTAGGTTGCTCCCGGCCATCCGCGTGCATCCCCCAGGCAGGGACAATCATTGCACTCACCAGAACTTACACTGCATTCCAACAGATATATCACAGGTATATCTTCATCGGCAGTGCACGCTCTGCCTGGCTTCTGACTGTTTGGACGAGTCCTGACCTCGGTCAGTCACCGAGGCGCAGTGACACATGATAAGCATTCATTCGTAATCACCCATGCCCTGTGCTAGCACTACAACTCCCGGACGTCTTTCGACAACGATTTAAACAACCCTGCTAGCTTACTCTCCAATAACCTACTGTCTGAACAGACGTGCGCACCTAGGACGTCGCGACCGACCCCGAGTTGTCGGCGCACGACCAGAGCTGGCCAGCAGAGCCCGCATTGATCATGGCCACAACGGAGCCGTACGTTCCGCCGATAGTCATAAAGATGCCCGCAAGGAAGACAAAGCCCGCCCAGGCTGCACCGAGGTGGGACTTCATGGTCTTGTTGGGGTTGCCCCAGTAGTTGTCCTTGAGCCACATGAGGCCCATGGGACACACGGACACGAAGCAGCCGAAAAGGGCGCCCACCAGCGAGCAGAGGGTGCTGAAGATGGGGATGGCGGAGGCAATGATGTACGCAATGATGGTCACGCCGCCAGTGCAGCTGAACCACGTAATCCAGTGACGCTTCGTGTTCGTGGCCAGGTGCTTGGTACCGCGCAGCGTGCGGACGAAGATGTACTTAGCTGCCACGTGGGCGTAAATGCACAACGACATGGCGAGGCCCGGAATGGCGATGCCGTAGCTACTGTCAGCTGCTGCTCTCACACTTTTGAAACCGGAATCAGCTCTCGCCAGCCTCTTCGTGTGTAGATCTTTCCGCTCCCTGCCGTGCCACCGCCGCACTCACCAAATGCGCTTGAAAAGAACACCGGCAGAGCCAGGCGCGGGCACAGCCACGTACTGACCGCAGTAGTAGTAGATGACGGTGCCGACGAGGACGAGGAACGCAGTAGCGAGACCCTCAGAGATGAGCATGCAGCGGGTGTACGCGTGGGGGTTCTTCATCTCGGCAGCGATGGAGAAGAACGCGGGGATGGCTGCTGTCGAGAAGACAACGGTCGAGACGCCACTCAGAGCGTCGGCCACGGAGGGATTGTTGAAGATCTTCAGGTCCTTGTCCCACGGTCCGGTCTGGGGAGCGGCGGCGGGGCGGTCCTGAAGCGGAACCACAACAACCATCATGAGGAGCGCGGCCAGGATGGAGATCGCGCCCACCCACGACAGCCACGAAACTTCCTGCAGAGTTTTGATCGAAGTGAGCGCGAAACCGAGGACGGCCGCCACAGCGACGAACACGGCCGTGCACGTCGCGTGCAATGAGATAGCGTTCAGTGCTGTGGAGACGGCAAGAATGGCGGAGCCAGCGATGAAGATCATGTCTGCGAAGCGTCAGCATGCTGCACGACGGGTTTGCTTGTAGGGGAGGTTGGGGCGCGTAAAGAGTGAACTTGGCATGCCACGCGCCTAGCCGATCAGGAACAGGATGGAGTGGAACCAAATGGAGTAATCCCACGATATCCTCCGTACCCCCGGTAATCTCTTGGCACAACTCACAGAGGAGGAACGCGATGCTGAGGAACTCCTCGCCAACACGGCCGTAGAGCTTGCGCCCGACATCAGTTACACCCCAGACGTCGGGGTGGCGGAGTTTTGTCTGTCCAACCTGCCAGTTCGCCCAGGTCATCATGATCTGTCGTCAGACCGCGGCACGATCGCGGTAAGACTCACCTGGATCATGATGATCACCATGATGCCGGGCACCAGGCCGACAGCCATGAAAACGAATGGGATGGACAGAATACCCAACCCGATCATGGCTTTTGTCATGATCACGATGGCGCCGAGGTCGCTGAGCTGCCATTAGCGCTGAAGACGAACAAATCCTGAGGCGTGCGCGAGGGCCGGTTGTGGAGCCTACAGCTACTGCTCGCCTCCCAGAGAGGGGGGTCCTACTCACACCGCGGTAGTTGGGCCCGTCCTCATTGATGTCGCCGAACACCTCGTCGTGCAGCTTCACGTTGCCGGTGAAGCCCTTCTCGCGGTCGTCAGAGGAGGCCGAGCGGACCTCCACATTATGGTACTTCTCGTGGGCTTTGTCGTGATCGTATGCGGACATGATGATGGAAGTGGTCGCCGTGGAATTGGTAGATAGCGAAGGATGAGAGGACAAGTTGTGTCATCGCGAGCGCCTTTTGACCAGGTGGGCCACTGGCCAGAGATTGCCCGCATCAGTGGAGTACCCCAGACCCCAGATGTGATTGCTCCTGCGGCCCTACCCCGCCCCGGGAACCCTGTGACGATACCGGCGGGGTGGGCTGGCTCTGATACGGATGCAATCGCCTGATTACCCATTCTCCGTGCTCGGGAGACCGCGTCGCAGCGAAATGCGCGTTGCAGGGGCAAAATCGCCGAGGGTAGGGCGCTCGGAATACTCGGCATTGCGTACGGCATTGTCCGGGGATGGTGACGGGCGTTTGGTTGGCGCGGCGTCGGCCCTGTCGTGGTGGGCTAATGGACCGACGTCTGGGAGGTGACGCTGTTTGAGGGTGTTTGGCGCCAGCCCAGCGGACCAACCAGACAGTCCGCGGACCATTTTTAACAGTGCCTCTACCATCATCCGTGACGAGCGAGGTACACCGCCTCAGGGCCCAAGTTGTCGGAGACCAAGCCAAGGCAGCGGAGCAACCCATTGTCTCCAACCCAAAGCGACGATCAGGCTAGGTCTTAACCCCGCACACGCCGTAGAGTGTCCCCTCGGCTTATGCGGTAGTGAGCTAACGCCCTCGTCTCCCGTTGCATTGCTCCGTCGCTTGCGGGTCCAAGAGCGGATATCTCGCGTGGCGGCAATCGATAGCGGTTGATCCGCGTTCAAGTTGATCCGCCGCACTGCGGGCCTGCCACTTAGGGTCAGATAAGTGAGCATGCCGTCAGCCACTCGGACGTCGGACACAACCGAAAGCATTCCCACCGCTACGGGTCAAGTGATCATGAGCTGAGCCCACCACGTCCACCTCCTCCAGCTGTCAGATCGAGACCAGGCAAGCGCCCACTATCGTCGACAACGCCACTGCTGTGAGAAGATGCCGGTTTACCGCAAGCGAACATGGGCGCGATAAGTATGAGCGGCTGTGACAATCACGAGGCTCTCTCCCGACCCCGAGCCGACAGATCTCCGACTCACCATGTCCAAGACACATGTGACTGTGTTGGGGGCCGGCGTCGTCGGCCTCGCGTGCGCCCTCGAGCTCTCCGCGTGCGTCCCTCGCTAATCGCGCTGACACGCAGCTTGTATGATGTGACGATCGTTGCGCGCAACATGCCCGGCGACCCGCTCGCCCCCGGATGGGCGTCGCCGTTCGCGGGCGCCAACCTAGCGCCCGTGCATCAGTTCGAGGAGGGCGTGACGGAGCAGCATGTGCGCATGCAGAAGCAGTGCTTCGACGAATTTTTCAAGCTCGCCGACGCGTTTCCCGAGTCAAGTGCGCGGCGCACACCCGCCTACGAGTATCAGGAGAAGTTGAAGAGCTGCAAGGATGTATGGTTCAACGTTCTTCCAAACGTGAGTAATGGGCACTTCAGAGCGTGGGGAGAGTCTGTTGCGACGTGGCCCCGGTGGCGATCTCGGAGAACGGCGGAATAGGGCGGTGCTCTGACACCAGTTTCGCGAGCTGACGGCAACCGAGCTCTCCGACGCCAACTGCACCGGCTCGGGCTGCTTCTACACGACGGTGATGCTCACACCGGACGTCTTCTTGTCCTGGCTAAGGCGACGATGCGAGGACGCGGGGGTGCATTTTATGCGAGCCGAAGTCGCCAGTCTGCGAGACGCGGCGGCGCTTGCCCCCTGCGATGTCATTGTGAACGCAAGCGCTCACGGATCCCGCACCCTTGCAGATGTGCAAGATGCGGCGTGTGTTCCCGTCCGCGGACAGCTCATGCTTTTCCGCACGCCGTGCGAGGACATCCACATCCGCTACGGCGCAGATTGGACTGACTACACATATGTCCTGCCCCGGGGTGATGGCACTGCGATTATGGGTGGGACGAAGGGGTTTTACGATATTGACCCGAATGTACGTCCTGAGGAGGCAGCGGATATTCACCGACGCAACCGCCTCATGCTGCCCAAATATGTTCCGCCGACGCTCGGGGAGATCGACCTCGTTAAGCACCAAGTAGGCATCCGACCTGAGCGCGAGGGCGGGCCACGCGTGGAAGGAGAGATCCTCCCGTCTGGTCTGCGGGTCGTGCACACCTATGGGCTCACAGGCGGCGGCTATCTCTACTCTTTTGGAATGGCGAAGGAGGTCAAGAAACTGGCGGAAGGGTTCGTTAACTCGGCCGCTGCTAGACTTTAGCTGGATGATTATATACGAATAGGATGGCCAGCAGGAAGCACCATCCCGGGTATGCAAGGCTCACCTTGGTCCAAGTGCTGGGGAGACCGTCACACGTTTGATTGCATGAGGACCTCCGTTCAGCTTCTCGACTTGTCTCGGCAAATTTAGACACCCCTGCCTAATGTGTCACCCTGTCATGTCCTCATATGCAAAATATCGAGAGCATTCCACACCGAGGGAGTGAACGTAGATGCATGCAGTGCAGAAAGTACAGTCGAATTCTAGGCCTCCTTCAGCGGCGCTAATCCGATACTGGCAATAACTGCTGTCAGCCTGGTTCAACTGACTTGACTTACAAGCCTCAAGCTCGTCATCAACACATCGCCCAAAGTCGTCCTGCACAACATGAAAAATCAAGGGGTCGAGCTCGAGCGCAAGCTCGGGACCAGGGAGGGTCTCTGCAACTTCGCGGGCTTCATCGAGCGTTGCGGGGAGGCGGCGCTCGTCCTCGCCTAGTCCGATGTTGGCGTGCGGCGAGAAAGACTGCAGTAGCTTTGGCGACACGTTCGCCCCGCTCTGCCGGACAACCTGGTGGCCGGTTCGTAGGAGCGCGGAGCTTTCATCGTCACTTCCCCCGTCCGCGCCCTGTACCATTGCCTGTTGCGCCCGCGCGAGCACCCGACGAAGCATGGGAAGATCCTCACGCCCCCGAATTCCATCAGGGAGCCGTGTGGCCAGCGCCACCCCGCGCTCTGCCTGGCTCAAGGCCGCCGGCGCCAACGATGAGCGCGGCGCGCGCATCGCCACCCCGGCAAAGTTGATCGTGCTTGTGAATGCGTCAAAGAAGAAGATCCAGAAGCGCGAGGCGACGGGTGTGCTGAGCTCCAACGCGTCCTCGAAAATGTTGAGGATCGCGCGGCTCGCATCCAGTTCTGCAACATAGCTGAACTGGAAGGGCGAGGCGAGCGGCTCTGTGGGGTAGTCACGTAAGGCGCGCGCAAAGTGTGCGTGGTGCAAGAAGTTGTAAGACACATGTACTAGCAAGCGGATGTAGAGCTGCTGCCATGCCGCGAAGGATGCGCCCCCACCCACAGGTCCGGCGTATCCCGCTTTAAGCTCCGGTGCGAGGTCACACTCGAACTCGCGGATGGCGTGATGTAGGCGCATGGTGTCAGCATAGGGCACCGGCCGTGTCGTGGTCTGCTGGTCGTTGATCTGTCCCATGATTCGGATGAGACGGTATTTAGCGTCGTTGAAGAGAGTCTGCACTCGATCACCGTCGTGCGATGCAGTTGGAAAGCGCGCATCAATCGTTGCGTCGGTGATACATCGAGGCCTTCCCTGCGTCAAACTCTGAAGCACGTCCTCGGTTTGAATCTGCGTCAGATTCTCGAAGCGGTCGTGGCCTCACCTCCCAGAAGACGCGGCGGCGTAGATCGGACACTTCGGGGTCGAATCCCCACTTTGACCCATCGCGGTGCAGCCCAAGCTGTTATCAGCTTCAGCGGTCTTGTGTTTGCTCACAGACTGTGCGCATCGCGCGGCAGTGCCTAGCGTCGTCCAAAATGTCCCGAAAGTGTACGGGTGGGTGCAGTTGGCGAGATAACGGCTCATGAGCGTGATGCACTGCACGAACGCCATCGACCCGCTGGGGTCGATGTTGAGGGCCGCCCGAGCAGCCATGAAAAGCTTCTCAGCCTCGGCGTTATACGGAGGCAAGTCGAGGTCGGTGGATGCGCCGATCGACAAGATTGTGAGCACAATGGCGGCCTGCTGGTTGTCGGTCGGAGTCAGGGTATAGCACGCGTCCATCTCGGCGGCCACTCGTCCGCGCTCAACAATGTCGTTCATGAATGACGCACACTGAATCAGCAACCCACGAGTTGTCCTCACCTCAAAGTAGATTTGAAGCCAGCGCTCGCCCAGAGCGCGTGCAGGAAGCTTGCCCAACAGGATGTCCGTTAGACCCCCGCCTCCGCCAACGAAAGGCGCAACAAGGCGCATGTCTGCCTCTTCTCGCCCCTGCTGTCAGTACGGCGATGTAAGCACTCACGATAAGATAATGGGTGGCAGCACTTCCATAGAATGTGGAGCGGCCCCCGTCGTCCACGGACAGCAGCGCATCGTCACCAGGCTTGCCACCCGCCTCCTCCTCCACAACTTCAGAGTCGCGAGTGACGGCGGGGCTGGCAGTAGATGGGCGCGGTGCGCTGATCGCAGCTCGCACGGCTTCTATTTGAGCCTCGAGCTCGGCGATCCGCGCCGTCAAGATTTCAGTAACTGCCGAAGGTGGGGTCGGTGCGAGCCGACGGTCGGATGTAGATGGGATGCCGGCACGCGTTGCGCCGATGGCCGCGCTGGGCACCTTGCCCGGGCACAAGCTGGGGTCAGCTGCATAGAGGTCCGGTCCACCTCACTGAGATAGGCCACGGCGGCGGCAATGTGCGCAGGGGAACTGCCGGTCACATCTAATGTAAGCGGGATACGGGTGCGGCCCACCTCCACTTCATGCGGCGACATTCGAGGCAGCTGACGATGGGCTGGTTGCGGTTACCCCCGCGGTTGCGCTTGGGCGTGTCGCTGTCCTCCTTGGGCATTGCTGAGCGGTGTACGCCATGAGTGGAGAGTGTTCAAGGAGTGGGATGTGGAGTGCGGAAATGGAAGGAGAGTGTGGTTTCCCGATATCGGCAACTCGGGTCGTGAATCTCCGCCCACGAGTTCCTTTCCGGCATCTTGCAATCGTCCAGCTCCCGGCCCACCTCTTCAGGCTCCACGCGCTCCATCACACATCCGCTCACACCCTCACGCAAATGTAGTAAAAAAACCAAGTGAGCCGCTGAGGTCCTGGAATAGCGAGCAATGCATCTCCGACTCCGACTGCAGCCTGATTACAACACGCCTTGGGGGACGACCATCGAACCTCCGTCGACAGGAATGACCGCACTAGTGTCAGCTTTATCACCATACTCGGGCCCCATCTCTCTCAACCTTTCGCGCGGCTCCGCTCTCAGAGCGGAGCAACGGAGCAACTCTCCGCTGTCATAAGACCACCGCGTTTTACCGACGGTTACCGGTATTCGCCGAGGTTTCTCCAACTCTGACACTCACCCAGTCGTCCACGCGCCAGCCCGGCTGGCAAGGTAGATGCAGGTCCCTGCGATATCCGCGGCGCTTCCCAGCCGGCGGAGGGGCACGCCTGCGGCGATCTCCTCGATGCTGTTGTCGAGGCTCTCTGCCAACATGTCGGTTGGGAACGCGCCGAGCGCGAGCGTGTTTACGGTGATTCCCCGCGGGCCGAGGTTCAGCGCGAGGTGCCGCCCAAGGTGGTGCAGCGCCGCCTTGCTCGCGCAGTACGCGTAGCTCTCATTGCCCGTCACGCTGATAGCGTACATGCTTCCAATGTTTACGATGCGACCAGTGCCGGCAGCCGCACCGGCCTCGAGCAGTGGCGAGAGGGCCTGTACCAGAGTGAAGACCCGGCGGACGTTGAGCGTCATCAAGTCGTCCCATGCCTGGTCGGAGTGTTCAGTTAACGGGGCCTCGTATGTCCGTCCCGAGTTGTTCACCAAAACATGCAGGGAGCCCTCCTTTTCTAGCTCGCCCCTGACCCGCTGGCACTCGTCGTAGCTGCTCAAGTCGGCGGGTAGGGATACGCACTGGCCCGGCCCGAGCGCATTGAGCTCCGCTGCAGTCTCATCGCATGCCTTGGTGGTGCGCGACGAGATGTAGACCTTCGCGCCGTTTTGGACGAACCCGGTCGCGATCTGGCATCAGGTCATGGAGATAAGCCTCCTCACCATCTTGCCCAACCCGCGCGCTCCGCCCGTCACCAGAACCACCTGAGGTCAGCATGAGCTCAGCTAGCAGGGGGATCGTTGAGAGTGACTTACGGTGCCTCGAGGTAGACCGAAGAGGCTCTGGACGTCCAACGTGGGCGTCAATTCGGTCGCGGTCATGTTGCGATAGATGCAAATGTCAGTACAGTGGTCAAGGGTGACGCCCCGGAGGAGGCAGATAGCGTGCGGGGATGCGGGGTACGGTCAAATCGAGAACTCTCTGAGGAAAGAGCTCGTATCAGTCCGTATCGGGGAAGCGAGACACTGGGATTCTAGGGCTCCGCCGACACGACAGCCGGCGCGGCTCCCGCCGGAATTGTAACGCGGCTTCGGCATTGCTGAACACAGTTGCATCGCCGACACTTCCGCGACCCTTGTGCCCACTCTGCGATTACATTCCTCCAGCATGTCACCTGACAGCTGATAGCACTCCGATGTCGGATGACCTGAATGGCACAGAACGCTGCTAATCTTGCAGCAGAACACAACCACGACAGATCTCCTTTACAGACACAGGCCTCTGTCCATCTCTTCTCTGACGCTGAGTGTCCGTGGCGCCACCAGTGACATCGACCACGTGAGCTACACATGGTTGGCGGCCAGCACGTGGTATCCTTTCACGTGACTTTTCGTCTCTTTCATTCCGACTGTGACGTCAGGAGCGACCAACATGTATATCTTCAAGTCTTTTAAACTCTGCCAGCCGTCGGCAACGACGCCACTCCCCGCCAAGCTGTGGCCAAAGAGTCGGTGCGATTTCAGGCCGATGACTGCCGGGGCAACAGTGATGGGGGAGCGACGACTTTTGCGGTGCATAGGGCAGATTCGGTTGCAGCTATATTGCTCATCTTACTGCTGATTCTTTGCATGCATCCCCTAACGGAGTAAAGTTCTGCCATTCTTACAATAACGCTCACCTCCCCCAGCTCCGATCCCTCTCTCTCTCCCCACTCTGCACCTCTCCTCCGATCACCACTTCAGACCACACCCATCATTCTCTAGACGCGCTCGACATGGTTGACCACGTCCTTCTCGCCGCTCCCGCGGCTGTTGACGGCCTGAAGCTTGTGCGTCCCGCGGGTGCGCTCCTCCTCCGCAGCCACCCGCTTTTCCATCTCTTCGCGTGCCATGCGGCGCGCGTCCTTGCGCGGGTAGTCGAACAGCATCGTGACCTCCTCAAGTGGCAGGCCGCGCGTGTCAATGAGGTAGAAGTAGAAGTAGATGACGTAGGCAATGTTGATGAAGACTGCTGTCAGCACATTCTGGAGCTCTCGTAGGCAGGGTGACGTACTGTAAACAAGATAGTAGCGCCACTTGATGCGACCCAGAGCGATGGGGTTGACGAACTGGTTGAAGCTGTTAGCGCCGACTTGGCAGGCCGTGAAGAGCGCGAGACCCTTTGTGCGCAAGCGGAAGGGAAGGATTTCGGTGGGGTAGTGGAACTGAAGGATTTGCCAGGCAATGTCGTAGAAGCCTGGGCGTCAGCTAAGAACTGCAGAACCACGAACCGTAGAAGATGAAGAGGAAGGGGACGGTAGCCAGTCCAATGTTTGCGTTCTTGACCGTGTCCTTCTGGAAGGTGGCGGACAAGGACGTGATGAGAACCAAACATACGATCATCCCGCCGTGCGACGTGAAGAAGCTCACACGACGGCTGATCTTGGGCACAAAGAAGGCAGCGGTCTGGCAGATCACGACGTTCCACATGGCCAAGCCGGCGTTGAGCGAGCATGTCTGCACCGCCGAAGTGACGCCGACGGACCGAAGGACTGGGGTGAGGTAGCTGATATCAGCGAGGTCTAGCGCTGTAGCGTACTAGGCAATAAGGGCATTACCCAGCCAGTTGGTACCGAAGGCGATGAGGACGACCATGCACGTGCGACGGCGGTTTCCGGGAGTCTTGATGAGGTCGCGCCAGTGCGTGTCCTTCTCCTCGCCTTCCGACTCGAGCGCGACAATGATCTCGTTGAACTCGAGCTGGACCATCGGGTCATCCTCTTTGCCGTTGGCGTGATACTTGGCCAGAACGCGGAGCGCTTCTTCTGGACGACCTTTGCCGACAAGGAAACGCGGCGACTCGGGCGCAAGGAACGTGATCAGGATCACCAGGAACGGGACAAATGCCTGAAAAATGCAGGGAAGGCGCCACCCCCAGTCGCCCTTGATATAGATCCCGCCGAGACACAACCAGGCGCTGATCGTTGAGCCCACAAAGTACCACCCATAATACGATGCAGCCATCCGCTCACGGATGCGTGGATGAGCTAATTCGTTCAGAAGGGGGGCCGCGCAAACTTTGGTCATGGCGCCGCCAGCGCCGAGGAGAGCACGTCCGCCGATGAACTGGCCGGTGTTCTGGGCCAGGCCGTTCAACAAGCCGCCCGCAACGATGAGCGACGCTCCAACCCAAATAGCCGGACGGCGGCCAAAGCGCTGCGAGATCCAGCTCGATATGAAGACGGTAATGAGTGCTGGGAAGAAGAGGGACGCCGCGATGAGGCCCAGCCACATGTCCTTGGGGTTGTCGAAGAACTCGTTCCATTGGGGGATACTCTGCAGGGCGCTGAGCAGGCTTTGGTCATAGCCAATGTAAAACACGCAAAGGCAGCATCCAATGCAGTGCAGCACGTTCTGGCGCATGCCCTTGTCGCGCCACCATTGCGGATGGGTGTTATCTGGGGTTAGGAAGAGTCGGAAGGCATGGGTGGGCATAGCGGCTCGCGGAGCAAAGCGCCACCTTTCCTTCACTCACTGGGCACCATCAACAGATGGTTCGTGGCGATAGCCATGGCGAGAGGCGTGTGGGGGAGGGACGTGTAGGGGAGAGGAGGGAGGGGGAGGGGGGGGGCGGGGGGGGAGCAACGGTCGGGAGAAGTGCCGTGAAGACGAGGAGACGGTCTTTTAAGAGGCGCAATAGGCGCCTCGGCCAGAATCAGTCTGCGAGCGTGTCAGACCATAGTTCCCCACAGCCCATCGCGGCATTGCACGGGTAGTCGCGCTTGTCGCAGGAGCTCGGCAGGACCTCGCATGAGTAAATGGACGCGAGCTGAAGCGTGAGTGCAGCAGAAGACGGAGTCGGCTCGTGCCTGATATTGAGAGGCTGTATCATTAACGCCACCTCCACCTGCTCGGCATCTTCGTGCCGAACGCCTCACCTCAGCTGCCCATCTGCTACAGCTGCTCAACATCCCCTATCACATGCCTGGTGCACCTGCGCTTCCCCACTTCCCACTCCGCGGCCCCGCGTCCGTCTAGCCTGTCCATGCGTCATGCACAAATCAAGGGTCGCGGCCGGTCTTGTCACGACACCGGCTGGACCACCTAGGACGAGTTTAACGGCCGACTGACTCCTCGGTGTTGGACACAAGCGACCGTTTAATTTCGAGAGCGCCCTGCGCGGCCAGACCTTTGGTGGGCACGAAGCTGATGTGCAGCGGTCAAGTGGGCTTCCTCCCACTGATCACCAGTCGTCGTGACGTGGGTTGGCCGTGCCAAGAACGCATCGGCCCGGCGCGGTTGGCGGCGGATATCAGCGGTTGCGCATCTCCCAGTTTAACAGTGAGCCCCTCGCGGTCGCAGCGTGGGAAAGGTCTCATGAGCGCAGCGTTTGGTCGACAGACGCCTTGCGAGCAGCACAGGGGTGTGAACAGAAAGACGATGCAACAGAGGAATACAAACACGAGAGAGAAGCATATGAGGCCTGGGCGCTGGGCGACTTCATGACGAAAAACACCGATGGAAGGCAGAGGTGACCACGTGCGGCTGCCACGTGCCAAGAGGGGGATGCAATGCCGGTACACCTGTGACGCCGATGTGCTCGACGCCGCAGGGCACCGTCGCCGCAACCTCGACGCGGCCGCACTGGACTCGTCCACCGTCATCACTCCCTCGAACCAGACTCCTGGTGCCAGAGACCGAAGTGGCAGCCCGGGCCCTGCGGGCCGGCCCTACACCCTCCCTGCATCTCCGACCAGCTTGACACGGCCAGGAGTTGATTCTTGGTTTTCAGCTCAAGGTCTGCTACCGGGTAGACGGGGCATTGCACTAACAGAACCCGAACGGGAAGCAGGGATGGCGGGGACAAAGTCTACATAGGCAACCCCATACAATGGGCAGAGACCTAAGCAGATGACTGAATGTGAGGCGAACAAAGGACAGTACATGAGGTTGAACGCCTCGGGCGAGCACAAACAAGTCTTGACAAGCCATTTGTGAGAGTGTGGTGATGATCTGTAAAAAGATGACAGAGGATATGTACAGAGATGTACAATGAAGATGTATGAGCAGTACAATGCAGATAAAGACATCGCTACCGAGTATGAGAGGGCAATCGTCATGGCCCGGTCTACCGACCCATGACCTTTCGCGGAGATCCCCTTATGTCCGTTACCACACACACGGAGATCACCCACACCTCTGCTACCTCCACTCTCTCGCTCGACCGATACTCATCTGACCACTCCGATCGTGGGTCGGGCTGACCTATGTCGCCCCTTGCCGGACCTATGGTTCACCTCGCTCAGTTGACCAACCAAGCCACTGCCCCGGTCGAACCCTCAACCTGGTGACAGCTGTCAGTCGACCTACTCGCCTGACACTCGGCCGCCCGATCGGGCCCCCGTCTATAGTTGCCTATTGTAAGGGCCCGTCGTACGGGGTGACGGGACCGGCGAAGTACGAAGTCCGAACGGGAAGCGGAGGCGGAGTTAGGGGGAGAACGCACGGGGGTTGACCGATGCTGCTATTCGGACAACCCTCGGAAGAACAGTGGAATCACAAGGATAACAGAATCGACACGGGCGACCGGTCGGGCTACAAGTCTTATATAGGCAACTATAGGAGGGGGCCCGATTGGTCGGCCGAGTGTCGGGTGAATAGGTCGACCGGCAGTGGTCGCAAGGTCGAGGAGTCGACTGAGGCGGTCAGCCGGTTGGTCGACAGACGAGGGGGACCGTATGTCCGACGAGGGTCGACGTAGGTCGACCCGCTTCCGAGCGGGGTGGTCGGACGAGTATCGGTCGAGCGGGGGAGTGGAGGTAGAGGAGATACGGGTGATCTCCATGTGTACGGTGGCGGACATACGGGGATCTCCGCTGAAGGTCATGGGTCGGTAGACCGGGCCATGACACCTATTTAAGACTTGTAGCTTAAACAGTCACCCACGTTGATTCTGTTATCCTCATGATTCCACTGCTCTTCCAAGGGTTTACCCGAACACCAGTATCCGTCAACCCCCGTGCGTTCTCCCCCTAACTCCGCCTCCGCTTCCCATTTTGACTTCGTACCTCGCCAGTCCCGTCAACCCGTACGACAGGCCCTTACACTTCCCCCGCACACAAATGTGAACACTCTGCTGAGACCTCTTGAGCTTTGCTGACAGTGAATAGATGCCTCCCAAGCATACAGTGAGGGATGGTATGACACTTGCTGAAAGGATGGCCACGCGTGGCGTTTCGCAAGCGCAAATCACAAAGAGGGCGCGCCTCGAACGTCCACCCGTCAACCCCCTCAGCCCCGTACAGGCCATCTACCTGCAGCTCATCAAGCAGTGGTATGGCCAGTTCATCCAACAACTCCCCCCGGGCACCGGGCACAAGGTCCAGGGGGCACATTTCTACTCATGGGATGAGGCAACTGGTCCAATGGCGCCGACATGGCAACCGAAGCATTTCAAGCCGCTTCTTGCCATCGCCGCTAACCGCCAAGGAGAGTCGGGGCAGGCGATTGCCGAGCGCACGTTCTACATCAGTGTGTTCTATGTCCTGCAGCTGTACGACCGCGCCCGTCTCGTTGCCGGATGTCCACCCCTGACATCCGACGCGAAGGTTTCCGTCTGGGACATCGCTCGCGCAAGTCTCGGCGCTGCACAAGCACCGAAAGGACGTTAAGCCGCGCGCCCACCTCCGTCGGGAGGGCATCGTGGCGACGATGATCTCGAACGTGCCGAGCGCATGCACTGGCATGCGGTGCATCCTTGCATGGGTAACCTACATCTCCGTCGCGGCAGGTACTGGCTTCCGTGCAAGCTCGATGATCGCCCTGCCTGCCGCATGTGGTTCGTTGCCAGAGACCTGCAAGGGCCCTCGGTGGCGCGACGTTGTGATCTGGATCATGGAGGGACAGGAGGGATCCGGGACTATGATGGAGTGAGAATACAACAAGTATCAAGAGTGAAGGGGAAGGGATCTGTCACAAGAGGCCATCTGTGACGATCCGAACGACAACGACTACCGAGCACCGACTACATGTGCCAACCACGTGGCAGCCACCACACGATAACCACGCATCCCAATTGCAAGGCGCTCCACAACTCATAATGACGTCGGTACTGATCGGTACTCATATCGGCACCGCTCACCTCGTATCGTCACATATCCGGCGACGTCTAGGATCTCTTCCCCCCAACTCTTGATACTCGTCGTATTCTCATCCCATCATAGTATCATAGTCTTATTGCACGCTTATCACAGTTGTCGACTTTGAGTCATTGGGGTGGTGGAGCGGCATCCGGTGTATGGTGTGACGATCCGAACGACAACGACTATTGACCAACCGACTACACGTGTCGGCCACGTGGCAACCACCACGCGGCAACCACGCATCCCGATCGCAAGGCGCTCCACATCTCATAACGGCGTCGGTACCGATCGGTACCCATGTCGGCACCGCTCACAACGTATCGTCACATATACGGCGACGTCTCAGGATCTTTTCCCCCAACTCTTGATACTCGTCGTATTCTCACCCCATCATAGTATCATAGTCTTATTGCACGCCTATCACAGTTGTCGACTTCGAGTCATCGGGGTGGTGGAGCGGCATCCGGTGTACGAACACCTTTGTGCTCAACCACTCCCCAGCCTCCACCTTTCCATACGGTGCAGGGCCTGACAGATACGTCGACCCTAGCCAAACACGAGGGCGAGAGGCGATTGGACGTAGATTATGAATGTGCTGATCTGTGAGCAAGTGTGGAGGTGATGGACATGAGGGTGATCTCAATGTGGTCGGTTGGCGGACATATAGGGGATCTCGGTGTGAGGTCATGGGTTGGGCAGACTGGGCCATGACAAGCAGTTCGACCTCGGGTACCGTATTTTGTCGGTACGCTCGCTCATAACTGATCAGTACCGATGGCAAGTTGACTGTGGAGCGTACACGTGGTAATCACATGTTGCAATCATGGTGGTGATGTGTGGCTGTATGCCACATGTTGCCAGTAGCTTGGTCGTAGTCTGTGTTCGGATCGCAAAAGCAGCGCAGAGATAAATACACACACACAGTAGGGAAACGATACGCAGTACCTAGTTATTGTCATTGACCTTGTGTGGGTGATGCCACAATCTCCTCCACCTCCCTCCCCGACACCAGCCCAGTCCCTGCACCCTCCCTCGGCTTGGATCTGGTCTCTCGCCCTCGGCGTTGGGGCTCTGCACCACCCTCTACGCTCCCTCGTGGATCCTCTCCCTGCGCAACCGTCTTTGTCCTCGACTTGAGAAACCCTTCTGGGAGCCCCTCTCCGCCGATGACGCCGACGTACCCGCCAAGCTTCTTCTGTTCCGCCGGTCCCAGCCTCCGCACAATCCCCTGCATGTCAACAATGTGCAGGGATCGCGTATTGTGGAGGTGGGCCCATTGCGGCACTGACTCGAGCACATGACAGTGTATGCGCTCAAAGTTTTTCCAGAACGACACGGCGCCCTTGACGCGCGTGAGCTGTCGCGTCAGTGTATGCCGAGGAGGGGGATTCACCATGGGGCCCGGCGGGAGGGATTGAGTAAATTCCAGGCGGAGGATGGCGCGGGACACCGGGCGGCGCCAGTCAAAGGCGCGCAGGAAAGCTAGGTAAGCTTTGAGAATGTCCCTGTCGACTTGAAGCTGTGGGTGGGCGACATTCTTGCGTTTCGGCTGCTGGCGAGTGACGGGAGTCCTGCGCATGTTCCAGAAGTCTGGACAGCGTACCGAGAGCTCGTCGGCGTACAGATAGAAGAGGTCCGAGGGGGCGCGGACGTACACGCCAAGCTTTTGCTGCGGTTAGATCTCGGCATAATCGTGTGATCTGCGGGGAGTAGAAGAGAAGCAGCAACATACGATTTCGGGTGATGCTTGCTGCATAAAGTCCATAAACACGGCCGAGCGATGCGAGAAGCCGCTCAGATCTCGTCCTTCAAGGTACTTGCAGAACGCTTCCAGCACCGGCCGCTGTCGGGGAGCAAGTCCCCTCCCGACAACAAGAGTGGTGGTGAAAGGACGGATGTGAGGGGCGGAGCTTGTCGACGTCCGAGGCGCTCGCAGCGCGCCCAGCAGCGAATTCAATCTACTGTCAGTCCATTGTAAAGCGCGGTCTACATTAACTGTCTTGCTTCGGCCCCAACCGTTGCTAGGGGGACGCACCTCATATCGCGCAAATGTTGACATGACGGTGCCCAGCGATCAGCCGTAGTGACGAAAGATGGCTGGTCACGTGCGGTTGTATATCCGCCTTTATTTCCGGCATGCAGCCACCACGTGGGATATACACTTCACCCTATGACGATCACCCGTGTTTCAAGACAGACGACGCCGCCGACACACCCTGAGCGTCGACGTCCGTGACAGGCCTGATCAACAGCCCTAGTGCGGCGGAAATCCGTCACGGGAAGCGCAGCGCTGAACGGACGAGATGTTTCTTCGGAATCGGAGATGCACTGATAACGCGTATACGGGGTATGTGGCGCGCGCTTGCCATGTAGATCGTGTTGGCGCAAACCCAATGTCACGGCGAAGAGGACTGGAAGCAATGGGACGGAAACGTGCGCTGAACCTCTGCTCGCAAACCCTCATGCATGTCGTAATACAATCAAACCAAAACGAGTACTATAACAGTCCTAGATAGTGGAGCTTTTCGCTAGAACGCGACCCCGACCTCTGCGGCGGTGTCGTTGTGACGCGGCAACTGAGGCGGCATGCTCCAGCGATTGTTCGTGGCTGCCGCAATCCGCTCCTGTCCGCGGGCAGCGGCCATGGCGGCGGCGAAGCGCCGCTCCATCTCAGCCGGATCGACCGCATCTGGCTCCACCGGCGAGCCCGCGATGCCCCCAAATGTCGCACTGACTTCGGGATCGAGCGAGCACGCTTGCGAGCAGACGCTGTCCTGCCCCGTGCTCGCCGACTGGCTGTCCACAAGGTCAGGTACGCCGCCCGACGACCGCAGACTCTGGTGAGCCCCCTCCAACGCTGCGCCCTCCACGACGTAGTCAGACTCAGGCCCGATGTGGACCACCTCGGGGTCGATCACGACCGTCGCGCCGTCCCTGTCCTTGCGGTGCGCGGCAGGGATCTCGGGCATCTGTGACAGCTCGGCTGCAGCCTCGTCGCGCAGAACCGTGCGCACGTACCCCGACCATGTCGAGGTGGCCGAGATGCGGCGGAACGCCTTGTCGTCGCCTGCCGGCGCGAGGAGACCGCCCCGCCGAGCCGAGCGCTTGTTCCGCATCCGCTGCAGCTCCGCATCCCGGTCCTCCTGCCACTGGCGCAGTTCACGCGTCAACCGATCAATCTCCTCCCGCGCCTCCTCCTGCGCTAGCGTCGGTGCAGCGGGAATGGGCTTGCTTTTCGATGGCGCTGGGTGGTCGACATGGATGTGCTGCAACACCTCGTAACCCTCCATGTGATCTGCTGTCAGCGACCGATCCCTCTGTCCACTCACTGGCCATGGTGGTCATGCGGTGCGCAAAGTCGCACTTGTAACCTGGGCTAAGGATAAACTCGCCACCAAGTTGTGTCCAATGCCCCGGGTTTGCGATGGGCATGTGGAGGAACGCGTTCTTAAACCCAGCCACGGCCTGCTTCAACAGCGGCCTGTGGTTATAACCACCGCGTTCCGCATCCCTCCAAGGATACTTGAAGGGCAACACGCTAGCCTTTTTAATCATGCCCAGCAGGTTGTACAGACGTCGCGGGCCATCCGTGAAGAACGGGAACGGGCACTGGAATAAAGTTCGGTACGGCTTGAGGAGCTTCCAGTGCCCGGAGCCGATGACATACACCTTGATGTTGTGAGCGGCCAGGAGCTTGGTGTCGAGGGTGCTGATGCTTTCAAGTGTGTAATCTTGGCACGGCCCGCACCAGAAATGGCGGAGGAACACCAACATGACGCGCGGCGGGGGGCCGTTGCTCGGAGTGTCGTCCCATTTCGGGAACAGGTCCGAGAACGGGATGAGCTCGCCGTCCTCGTTACGCACCGAACACGTCCCCGCCTCCCAGAGGCGGCGCTGTGATGGCGGGCGCCAGACATCGAACACCTCGTCGATTTCGGGCTCGGGGGGGCTCAAGAGCGACTTGCGGAGATACGCTGCGTTGCAGACGTTGTACACCGACTGCGGGTCTGGGTCAACGTAGTACTCCTCTGCCTCAACGGCAGGAGGCAATGGGGGGAGCTTTTTGCCATCGCCCTTGCGCTCCTGCTCCTCGCGCTTGCGCAGAAGGTTGGTGAGCGACTTCTTGCGCAGCGGCACCTCGCGCCTAGGCTGAGACGTGCTGGTGGCCGCCGCCTCGTTCAGCGAGTCGACCGAGAAACGTGCCATCGGCTGCGTGAGGACCGCAGAGCGTAGCCCAGCAACTGCGTTACGATTTGCGTCGTCGGATCCGCCGCGGACGTGTGTTGACGTTTTGGCGTGGTCCTCGCTGCTTGCAGTGAGTGAGGAATGTGATCGCCCTGCGGCCGCGTTCGAGAAGAAACCCTCGCGGAGCTTGCGCGCGCGGTCCTCGGTCGTGTCGTCGTCGCGCGCATCGCATCCAAACGAAGTGCGCCCGAAGGGCGACGCGTCCCCGCGCATGCCGTCGTCAGAGTCGGAGCCGTCAGAGTCGTAGTCCGCCATGGCCGACGCCGTGGACGCGAGAGAGAACTGAGAGTCAACCATCGCATCGTTGCCGCGTGGTGACTCCTTGGGCGTGTGGTGGAATGATGGGGCGTGGCGGAGAGTGCTAGAGCCTGGAGAGTAGGGTGTGGACGGCTCAATGCGCTCTGTAGAGCTGCTGAAGCGTCCTCCGTTCGCGAGTGGTGGGGTTGGAAGGGGCATGTCCTCGTCCCACGCCGCAAGCGATTCTCGTGTGTGCACAGAGATGGCTTCCACACGCGGGACCAGCCTCGTGCTGTCAACACTGCTATTGGGAGTGTGCGAGGCGATTGAGTCGCCAGTAGGGGGCATCGCTGATTCCGTAGATGGAAAGGCCGGCTGCTCCAGCGTCGCAGTACTTGCCAAATAGCTATATCTTTCGGAGGGCTGGGCAGAGCCCCACACTGGGGCCAAAACCGGAAACCACTGCTTTGCGTGGCGCTTGACTAGTGTGTGGTCGGAGAACGATGTTGGCGTCGTGCCCGGTGGTGATACGGGTGTGACTGTGGAGGCTGGAAGGAAACCAACACTCTCGCCGGTCTCAGTTGACACAAGTGACATTCTGCTGCCTGCACCGTCCTCGCGAACTTGCCGCACCTCCATCCCACGAGCAGTGGGCGCGCGAGTTGCCACGAGCACCTCAGCATGTGGAGGCTGCGGAGACGGTGCGTCGGAGGCGTTTGTCGCGACCGAGGCCTGGGACGCAGACGCAAGCATTGTCGAGTTGAGCGAGGTCATCGACCCTGTACGCTCGTCGATCTCCTTGGGCGGCGGGAGCGGAAACTTGACGCACACGTCGGGCAGCTCACGGAGGTTGATGGAGCGTGAGCTCGTGACAGTCACAGTGCTGTCGCGGACATTGGAGACGTGAGACATTGTTGAGTCGCGCCACGCCGATGCCGGCGCGCCAGACAGTCTTGACATTGTGCGAGGGGAGAATCCTTTCAAGCTCGAATTCTGGAGAAGGTCGAACGTTGGAGTGGTAGGTGTGGGAGTGTGTTGCGATTGTGAGTAAGAGTACGAGTGCGACGAAGACGAGGGTGCCGCGTGGTGCGTGACAACCTTGTCGGACATGGCGGCGTCGACGCCTGGGAGGAGCGGAGGAGCGAACGAGGCCGAGTGACGGGGGGAGGATGTGCTGTATTCTGGCGCGAGTCTTGTAATGTGTATTGGGAGGAGTCTCGCTGGCTCTGACAGAGGCGCTGCCTCGGCCTCAACCTCTGGCTTTGGCGTGTTGGCCATGATGCCCGCCGTGCCGTTCTCGAACGACGAGGTCATGGTGTGGTGGAACGACAAACAGCTTAGTTTGCGTTCGGAATCGCACTACACCATCTGTCTCTGGATGGTGCGGTAGCAGAGGGTGAAGACTAGCGAGAGGGGGAGGGAGGCAGCAGGAGTGACCTGGGTGGAGGTTGTGCCAGTGGAGTAAGAGGGTAGGCAAGGCACAGTGCCGGAGGCGGAAGCGCTCACGGGACGAGCTTGCGATGAATCAAGCTCAGGTTGACGTCCCGGGCGGCGTTACCGTCCGTGTCGTACGGCCGGCGCTGCAAAGCCCGAAGCGTGCGGACAGAGGAGGAGGGCCGGCACACACGGCTGAACGTGCCTCGGTGTGGCTGATGGGATGGACGAGGATATGGAATCGCGGAAACGCAAGATGGCGAGGTGGAGATGATATCAGCGGATTGCATTGTCAAGTGGTCGGAGTGCGCTGCTGCGCGGATCTGGAGGCCAGGTCTCCGTCTCCCGCTGGCGTTGTTGGACTGGGACAAGAACTGGAGCTGAAGGCGTGCGGGGGCTCCCGCAGAGGGTTGATAGTGATTTTTCATCAGCCGGATTAAACGGTGGAAACGAGGGTACCCTGAGAATTCGAGGATGAGGTTGGTCTAGAATGTGGATAAGCGCAAGATTCTGGCTGGTGAGTCTCGGGTTAGCGGCACATGAGCAGAAGTGAGTAGCGAGCGCCAGGGTTGAGCCCCCGACGCGCACGGCAGAGTGAGCAATGTGTGACGGCTGTCGACGGTGGATGTGAAGTGTCAGAAAAGTGAAACCCTGCACGATGCCGGCCTTGCCACCGTGCCTCATGTTTCCGCTGTCCGAAATCCCTGCAAGTTGCCGTGGTGCGGCCCTCCCTCTCGTCATCGTCACTGCAACTACTCATCGCTGTGCACATAATCCTCCAACACCCAGTCCGCACGCAAGAACATGCACTGGAGGCTGGTACAGACCTTACCAGGGCAGCGGAGAATAAGTTCGCTGGAACCCGCAACCCCCAGGATGACATGCCCCTGTAGACCAGCGCCCCTAAATATGCCGGCACGAACAGGCCTGGGTCGCAGACGTGCCGTCGCGACCTGGCGACGGGCTGCGTGACGCTCACCTGCTTTACGTGGGAGCTGGTTCCTCCAGCCTGGCGGCCAGACCTTTGTTGACGGCTCTGTGCAGTCGAGTCACAAGTGTGTAGCATTCCAGCTCAGTGCCGGACGCAAGGCCACCAGGCCCGGCGGTGCGAGTGTTGATTCCAGCAGTCGCCGGCGGTGCGATGCGCAATATGGCGTACCATTTCGAATTCATGGCCGGCATGAGGTCATGGAGGGGCATGGCGAGTCGTGGATATGTTCACGATCCGCAGCGTATGCGAACCTGGCCTTTCGCATGCCGCGTTTTGGAAGAGCTAAAGTTCATTTCCCAGCGCAGATCTCGCGGCTAGGCGGCTAGGCGGGAGGCTTCCAGTTTCGGGGCGGACCTCAAGCCGCGCATGCTGTCATCTACCTGGATGTTTAATATGTTGGACGGCCTGCGGGGCAGCGCGCAGAAGCTATGCTGTGATCATGGACATAACCTGCCATCGTGGCAAGCATAACCCTGTCGCGGTGGTGAAAAGCGGCAGCGTTGGTCTGAGATGGTGGCGGAATCTGGCTCACCATCAGAGCTCTTTCGCTGGCGGCTTATTAGGTTGATTTCACGCCGTGACGAGGGGGTGTTGGCGGACAATTGATACCAGACTGGTGCAATTGTGCAACGCGAGATAGGAACAGACGTGAGGGGTGTGGACCAAGTCTGAGCAGTGGGATGGGAGTCGCATCGCCAAGCCATCGTGCGGAAGCGATTACGAGCCTGGTCCGTGTCAAGCGGAGGCGCACAGACACAAGACACGGAGCGTATTTCTCAGCAAACAATGCCAGCGGAGGAGCAAGTTAGGATGTCCGCAGATGAGCACAGATGAGCACAGATGAGGAAGCAGGCGTCATGTTACCGCTACTGCAGAAGTTAGCTCGTCGACAAGAAGTGAGACGATACCGAAGTGCTTAGATCCTTGAGCCAGGCAGACGGCGGCGCGTGAGCTGTCTAGCGCTACAGATCAGCCAGTGCTGATGTCAATGCATGGATGTACAATGCTACAGGCCTCAGGCAATGTATCGAAGATATACAAAGGCCATGACTTGTGCAATACCTGTAAGTGATGGGCGGCGATCACTTGGACGACTGCGTGGTGGGAGGTGCAGGCGCGGGTGAAGCAGATGCAGAAGCAACGGCGGAGGGTGCGGCCGAGGATGCCATCGAGTGAGTGGTAGGCGCGGATGTACCCGCGGACTGTGCCGCAGTGGATGAAGAGGTGCGCGCTGGCGATGCTGGCGCTGAAGTTCCATTGGGGGTGCTCGAGCCTGAAGCATTCGCCCCGGGTAGCTTCGCCTGGACATTAAGGAGTCGTGCAAGCGTCTGCAGTTGCGGCTGCGTGCAGGTGCCAAGGTCGCTGGTGTCAGCCCTTTCGTGGTGTTCGACTTACATCGACAGAGTGACATTCTTCTTGTCGTCCGACGTGCGGATGATGGTCGCTGGCGCCTTGAGATTCTGCGGGTTTGGAAGGATGAGAAGCGCTGCAGACACAAAGGCCGGGATAAGACTCATTGCGACCGTGATCTGCACAGGAGACGTCGTCTTCTTCGCCGCTGGGGCCTTAATGTGGGTGGTCGTGGGTGGACGCGTACCGCCACGACCAGAGCCGCGGGGTCGGCCACGGGGGCGACCACGGACGGCGGCAGCGATACCGGAGCCTGAGTCCGCGGCTGGCGTTCCTGGCGCGTCGAAGACCGCGGGCGTGCTGGAACTGGCGATGGGGAAGGCAGGAGTGAACGACGCACTGCCAGTTACTGGGACCGGAGGGCGCGGTAAGGCAGCGGGTGACACGGAGTTGGGCGCTGCGGCCGGTGACGCCAAAGTTGGAGCCAAAGGAAGCGCCTGGCCCTGCGCCACATGATGCGCCGCCTGCTGTCTCGCCAGCGCCTGCGCCTGCGCCAGAAATTGCGCCCGGCGCTGTCGCTCGATATCGTCCAGCCGCATGCGCTCCTTGTGGGCGGCTGCCTCGCGCACACGGCGCTCCTCGGCGAGCTGCACTTCGTGTTTGCCCTTCGCAACCCTCAGAGAGGCCTGCACGGCGGCAAGCTCATCGCGCACATCGGCCGTGCTCTCTCGCAGCATATAGATCAGTGAGGGAAGGTCTGAGGGATGCTGCGGTCAGCCGTTGGCCTGGTATATGATCTCACAGTGCCCTCTCGTCGACGGACTTTAGCGAAGCGTCGGCGCAGGTCGATGAGATTGGCTACTTGTCCGCTGGCCGACGTCAATTCTGGAATGAGTACAGGTTCAATAGAGGAAGTTGATGATCTCACGTTCCTTCGCCCGCTCTTCGGAGGGGAGGACGAGCTCCTCTTCGGGTACCTGCCAAACGTGCCACGGCAGAAGGCGGTCGACGACGTCTTCAAAGCCTGCGAAGCGCGTCTGGTCGGCGTAAAGTGTGTCATGCTGGTCGAGCGCAACGGCATAATCGATTCTGATGTCAGCTTGCCCGAGTATGGTCAAAGGACACTCACGCAGCGGCGCGCGCCTCTATCTCGGCGGCCTCGGCAGGCGTGTACCGGGTAGCCTCAATCTTGCGCTTGCGGCGCAAGCTCGGCCCAGCTTCTACTGACACATGGCACCCCGCGCCGTGAGAGGGTTCGGGCTGGCGGTCCAACTCCGGCTTGACGTCCTTCACCGGTGAAGGGGGCCCATGGGGCGTGTGCGGCGCAGATGGGCCTGGTGTTGACGCGGCGAAGTGAGGGAGCGGGGTGGATTGGGATGGAGAGGGAGAGACAGCAGTCGAGGCATCGCCGTCCATGCTGTTGCTGCTGGGTCGTGGTGACTCGTGGCTGGCGTGGCTGGGAAAGGAATCAACCCACAGCGATAAACGTCGACCTGCTCGCCACTCGGATTAATTCTCGGAAATAAACAGCGGATAATTCCCGGGGCGCATTGCTGCTCTCAACAGCATGCGCGCATGGATCAGTAGCGAGCAAGGGCATGGAGATGGCTTAGAGAGACGAGATGACATCGAGCAGCGCGCTGTCCAAGTGGTTCTACAGACAGCGAGGGGCAAACGACCAAACAGTGGAAAGGCAGTTTGACTTGCTGCCATTACAGTTTTGGTCCCGTTAATTGATGTCCGGGATTAGAGTGATTGGGCAATTGGGCGAAGAGTGCCGGTGGAGGTTTCAGACAGCGAACGCAAAAGTCTCGAGCGATCAATCGACGACACCACTCTGACTACCATGTTCGCCGCCCTCCGCGCCTCGTCCTCAAGCCACGTCCGCGCTTTTTCGAGCACGGCTCGGGCGGCCCTCAAGATGCCGCTCCGCCCTCACGGTGGGTCTCGGGGTGCGGGTGCGCGCGCGCGCTCTCCCAATTGCCTTCCTCCTTCCTCCGCATACAGACTGTGTTGCCACATGACCGACTGGCATTTATCCGCTTCGCTCATTACTCTCTAGTGGCACCGCGGACTCAGCTGACAGCAGCCGAGACGCCTGCGCCCGTCGATCTGCTTTCCAAGATCGGGCGGAATGCCGACAAAAAGCTCGCGGAGAAGGTGCCGGACTGGAAGGCGCTCACCGAGCTCTACTTCAAGGGGACGAAGCCAATGAGCGACGCCGGCATGACGCCGCGCGAGAGGAGGTGCGCTTCTGTGTGAGTGTTGTTGACGCCAGGTATGTGATGTGGGCGCTGGAGCGGTACTCGCACGGCGACGCACCATCGACCTTCATCCGTCCGCCAAAGCCCCCCAAGAAGATCCGCGGGTGAGTGACAATGCGGGCCTTCATTGTACGGCGGCATGCACTCCGAGCGTGTGTGATTGAACGCGGGGTGTGAACGCAAAGCCGCACGTCATATCACATGCTTGAAGGGAGGATTGAGCTGACGCCGTCTTCCTCAACCGGATCGATGCGCACCTCCTCGCTTTATGTCGCCTCATGCTGTCGATTACGTCTCCCCTCAAATCAACTCGAACTCACAGATGGGGCCCCCGCGTTCAGCACGGCAAGCGCGTCAAGTAGATAGATGTCATGGCATATTCATATCCTCTCGTCAATCGCTCCGGTCGCTCCGGTCACGTGAAACGTTCAGCGCACCGAGACGTTCGCGGCGTGTCAAGCGATCGCTCTCTGCACCAACCATCGAGCCCACTGACAGCCCACGCCAGGGCGGAACGCTGGCACAGGCGACTGGCGCCGCACCATGGAAGACTTGCTCGAGCCAGCTGATTGTTCGGTAGGGGAACGGCGGCCTGTGCGGTGGCGCAAGCCACTACCAGATCACGTTGTTCTGCTACCTCCCGTCCAACGCATCCATCATTTGCAGCGCGCGACGCGATCACTCCCCCGCCATACCCGAAGAGGCGCGTTGGCTGCGTGCGTCGGTGCGAGCGAACATCGGACAATGGAGTGTACGCTTCGCGCCACCGCCACGAGTGGGGGCATGCAGTGGATCTCTTGACTGTCGACTGTGATGCGCTGCTTGTCTTGTGGCCTTGGCCTTGTGGTCTTATGGAGGTTTGGTTGTGGTCGTGCGCTTGTTCAGCGATCCAGCGACGGCATGTACCGGGGTCTGCGCAATCTGCCGCGCCAGCGCTTGTTTATCAAGGTAGAACCCGGCCTTGATGTTCCTCACGCCATCAGAACAGCATCACAGAATCACAGAATCACGATCATGACCGCCCCGATGAGGATAGGCCGCGAGGTGTCGCGAGTTGACGCCAACGAGAAGCACAACTCGGACGTGTACCCGGAGCTGGTGCGTGCGTCTGCAGCGGTGCTGACGGCAGAAAGAGTTGATGATGCGCAACCAGCGCTGGGCAAAGCACATGAACGCGACGGACCCCTCGTTCTTTCCGCGACACTACCCGGGGCAGCGCCCCGAGGTATTGTGGATCGGATGTGAGTGCCGGCGCGTCCGCATCGCACCGCACCCGTCGTCTGACTCCAGGCTCGGACGCACGCGTCCCCGAAACCATGATTATGGGATCGCAGGCAGGTGACATTTTCGTGCACCGTGGCATCGCAAACCTCTACACGCCGAATGATGACAGCCTCAACGCCGTCCTCATGATCGCCCTCATCAACTTCAAAGTCAAGCACATCATCGTGGCGGTGAGTCCCGCGGGCAGCGGCCAGAGCGCGGGGCTGAAACCTGGCCGGGGGGGATGCATCGCCGATGGAATGTGGCCATTGCCGATCGCTGACACCAGGGCCACTCGAACTGCGTCGGCTGCCAGACCGCGCTTCGCGCCTCTGTTCTCCCACCCGTGCCCGAAACACAGGCGATCCAGCGATACCTCAAGCCGCTGACGGCGCTCGCGCGCCTGATGGCGACCGAGGAGGGCCCGCCCTCGCTCGACCTGCTGGTGGAAGAGAATGTCGCGCAGCAGGTCAAGAACCTGCTGGCGTCGCAGATTGTACAGGACGACTGGAAGCGACGCGGCCAATTTGGCGTCACTGTCCACGGGTGGGTGTACCAGCTTGAGAACGGGATCGTCCGTGATCTCGGCATCAGCCAGGGCCCGCCGACAGCCAAGCCGGGGGGCCGGCGGATGGGGGTGCGGTTCTTCTAACGGCGGCGACAGGTTGTGTTAGCATATATACCATGTACTAGTGTCAGAGGTCGAGAGGAGCGCGAGCATGATACATGAGTTGTTAAATGCTACAATGAACACGAGCCCTCAGAGTCATGTGTCGCTCTTGGCGGCGCGGCGATAAACAGCAAGGTGTCACCCCCGCCTGGTACCACGGGCTAGCGCTGAAGAAATTCAAGCATCACTGGGCGTGTTCGTTTTTCTCCTCTCCTCCTCCTCCTCCTCTCGCGACCATCCCTCCAATACCTTCCGGCGGCTTGCGCCGCGGGGAGGAAAAGAAGCGGGCGCGCCGCGCACCAAGCCGCACATAAGCCCCATCCCGTGTCCCGCCGCCCTTTAGAAGGGGGTCGGGCAACCGCATTCCTGTGACAATGAGCGCTCCCCACCTCGCCAGCGCGGATCCGCCGGCTCGTGTCTTCGCCAGTGCGGACGCTGGGTCTGGTGTGCCGCGCCCTCCGCCCGGCCTCCGTGCTCAGAGCAACGGTGACTACGGCTGGAGGGGAAGCCGCCTCACGCCCCTTGGGGGCGCGTGCTTTCCTGCGGCGGCGCGCGACGGGGTGCTCCGGGGACTTTACCCACAGCGGAGAGAGGCAGAGCCGTTCGTTTGCTGCGATGGCGGTTTGTGCGTGCTTGGTGAGGAAGAGAAGTTTGGCTGCAACCAGAATTGCGTCCAGATGCGCCGAAGCGGAAGCAATTTCTTGCTAGGTCACGTGCTCGGTTCAGAGGCGGCGATCTGCACGATCTCAACAGCAGCGCGCCACCGCGTAACCGCAATGGCATCGATAAACAATGTTGCATGGCACATTTGTGAGTATAAATACACTGGAATCGACTCAACAAGTCTGATTAACTGCGGGCCAGACAAGCACAACGACGCCTCAGTTCCGCTCGCCCGCAGGCTGCGGTCGCTTAGACATCCTTGCTGCCCCTGGATCCGCAAGTGATGAGTGTGCCCTTACTTGCGCTTGCAGAGACATAGAGGGTGTTTGGGATTGGCCCTCACATGCTCCAGGGCGGCAGTAAAGGCAATGCGCTCCGCCACAGGCCGACTCGGGCCCTCTGCCACGGCCAGGACCACATCATGGAGCTTCACTGCGCGTCAGCCTGTCGCAGCCGCCACTCACCTGTAACAATGAACTTGCGGCGGTTGTCGGTCTCGCTCTTGACGATTTCGTTCTCCTTCTTCAAGGCCCAGCAGTTACGCTTGCCGAGGATCATCTGCAGCTGTGCGTGCGGGTGGTTTCCTCCTTCGCTTGGAGTCCTAGCGTATCGTCGCATGAATGGCGCCATGTGAGTGGTGTAAAGCCGCATGGCTGGCGCCGGGTCAAAGTCGGAGTCGTCGAGGATCGCACCAAAAAGCGCCTCGACATGGTCGGCCAGGAACTGAATCAGCCGAGTAAAGAGGGCGCACCCACCTTGCTAGTAGGCACGTCATCCCAGTATGCGCAGCTCTGCTGGTCGGCGGGGAGCAGGTCGGTTCGGGTCTGCGCTTGAAACAAGCCGGCCGCCACAGTGTCAACGTCTCCTGCCGCAGAAGTGTGACCAGTCAGGATCTTCATGAGGCCAGATGAGACCAGGAACGCTGTGAGCGCCGCCTGCCATCAGTTTCGCAGGCCGATAGTGAACGCACATTCGACACACGCGACTGCTTAGCGTTCGTCAAGGCAGCGTTTGATGCCTGCGGATAGTCGTTCCAAAGATGGAGCATCGCCACTAAGGTCAGGAGAGCGGGATGGACACACTCACTGAAGCCGATGAGAGCGTCGCCAACGTGCTCGTACCTGTCGAAGATGACACCCCGGCTGGCTGCGCTCTTGCTGTCAGCGACTTCGTTTTTGGAACTTACGAGAGCAAGGTGACCTTTAGCAGGGTCCTTGAACGTGTAGCCCAGTACACTAAGAGGCTGCGAGGACAACTGTTGGCGAACTGTGACAGGGAGCGACAAGCCGCGGAGTTCACCCCAAGTAGCATTGGGCGCAGGGATCTGAAGATCACGCATTGTGGCGAGGACGAGCTCCAGCCCTTGCTTGTTCGATAGAAACTCCAGGACATGTTCCTGAGCTGACAGTAGCGTGGCTCCAATGAGAGCCTCAGTAGTGTCCGCCAAGATCTGAATCAGCAATGCACCTGTCTATACCCACCTTGTTACCAAGCTCTTGCACCTTCGGCGGGGTCGGCGATGGAGCCCAGCCAAGCGGTACCCAATCCGTTGGCGCTGTGTACACACCACGAATGTACGGAGTAATACCAGCCTTCTCGGCGCTCGACATGAGAGTGCTGTTTTTCTGAATCTCGTTTCCGGCTTTTACCAGGGCACCTTCGTTGGGGGGAACTCCGCTCTCGTCTGGATCCGACAGGTCACAGTACACCAAGCAGACCACGGCCAGCCTCAGAGCACTGTCGCCCAGCATCTCTACTCGCTGATAGTCCTGCTGGCACGGGACAGGACGCGCCTGTGAAGTGGTAAGAGCCTCTCGAGCGAGATGAGGCTTGATGCGGCCACCGAAAAGGGCTTTGGACATCTCCATGCCCAGCAGCTGCGCGTTGAGCATGGCAAAGAAGGTGTGGAGAATAGATGCGGTTCGGAATGTGCCTGCGCTAATGGAGTGGACTCGAAGCAGCTCTGGCAACACAAGCTCTCGACGAATCGATTCGCCTTCGAGGTTGGAGATGACGCCGGTCACATTGCTGCGGATTGCGGCCTCGACGTCGAGAAGCGGTTGTTCGCTGTCTGTCACCACTGCGCCCGAATCGTAGCCACGTGACTTGCGCACACCCTTGCTCAGATCTCCATACTTGCACTTGTTGTTGTCGGAGGAGCTAGGGCGCAGATCATCTCGTACGCCTCGCACCTCCCAACGTATGCTCGTAGGAGTGCCGCAGATGACGCGACCCTCACACTGCGCCTTCAACTCGTCGTAATTGCGGTAATGTAGCGGCTGCAGCGGATTGTTACAGGCATCAACGACTTCGCCCCATGTGATGTGGTCGCGGGTGAGGGGCGCATCGGTGGTAACGCTCGCTTCCCACTTGAGCGGAAGGATCAGGTAACGTGCCATGTGGTGTTTGAAGGTGATGTGGCGATGACAGACACCGGAGAACAGAGCTGTTGAGAACGCCACGGCGCGGTCGAGATCCTTAGGACGGATCTTGAGGGGGAAAGATGCTGAAAGCCGGGCAAACGCCACCACCTTGGAGCCTGAAACGTCAAAGCGACTGCCGTCGAACGGGAGCGGGCGTGAGGTGACTAGGAGTAGCGGCCGACACTTGGCAGTCATTGCTGGAAACTCTTCTATCTCGAGCTTGATGACGCTCCCATAAAGCTCGGCAGCGTCGAGGCGCGGCGTGTCGGCCCACCACTGGGGTCCAGGCGTATATGGGCGGATTTTGTTGACTGGATCGCTGGCTGGTTTGGGGTCTTTGCGACCATCATGACCTGGGTGCAGAGGGGTCAGCGTGAAGTCGAGGCCGATCTCGCCGTAACGCATGAGTTCTTTGACCGCAACCATAGCGGCAGACGCCCTGGCCAGCTTTTTGGAGATTTGGCGATCTCCCTTTGCGGTACGGGCGGGCGAGTTGAAGGGAAGTTCGACAGTCGCGGTGAAGCCTCTCTCGTGGAAAGTCCCAGAATGCTCCCTGTACGACCACTCCAGGCCATGAATGGCAAGGTTGTTGCGCAGAGAGCCAACGTACTCTGAAAGCACACTTGTGGCAAGGTCCAGTGTGAGAGACCGTGGCGGGGTGATGTCCAACGGCTCACGGAAGACGAGCGTTCCGGACTTTGCAGCATCCGCCTTCTTCGCTTCAGCCTTCTCTGCGGCAGCTTTCTCAGCTTCTTCAGCAGCCTTCCGGGCCTTTTCAGCTACCTCCTTCTTAGAAGGTTTCTGTTTGGCCTTCTGTTTGGTCTTCTTAGCGGTCTTCTTGGGTTTAGGGGTCTTGCCCGGCTTCTTGGACTTCTTAGGCTTCTTGACGTCCTTCTGAGGTGGAATCGGGTGGGCGTCACTGGGAGAACGCTTACGCTTGCCTTTTGAGGTGACGTCGGGCTTGGTGTCGGGAGGGATATGGGGCTTGACGTCGCGTGGCGGATTGCGTGGAGGGGGTGGGAGGCCTGGTTCTGTCTTGACCCCGGAAGGGCCCGCGTGACCGGGCGCCATTGCAGCGGAGAACGGACAGCAGAGAAACAAAGATCGAGTCGAGCGGATACAGGCAGGACCAGAAAGGAAACGATAGGAGTGGAGTGGGCAAAAGGTGAAAGAGAGGATGAGGCGAGGCGAGATAAATGCGAGGATGCGAGTTGCCTCTACTCATCCAAGATTATTTGTCCGAGGTTGATCCGGATACATGGATGAAATCTGCCCTCTGCACGAGGGTTACAAACACAAAAGAAGATCGACAACTGCATGATTCGAACATGCGCTCCCGAAGGAAATTGATCGCACCTAGAGAAGCCTAGGACATTCGAGTCAATCGCGTTAACCACTCCGCCAAGTTGCCATTGAAACATGACAGCCCTTACCTCGCATATATAGCCCAAGACGAAGATGAGGCCTGGTGTTCACTTTTCCAGTTGCTACAATCGCATCACAGCCGAGAGATTCCGTCTCGCAATGAAAATAAAGGGCATCTGGCTTGGGCCATCACATTGAAGCGAGATATTAAAAGGTGTATAAAACGGCTAGAGCGAAAGAGAGTGGAAGGACCGCCTCAGTGTGGCGAGATCAGTCTTGGAGCGTTTAGAACGCAAGCAGAGCACCGGCGAGGGCGAAACCCACCGCGCCCGTGGCGTAGCCGTCAACGTAAGCGGCGGCGTTCGAGGGGGTGGCGCTGGCAGAAGCCGAGGCAGAGGCGGGCTTGGACACGGAGGCGGCGCTTGACGAAAGCGTGGACGCCGACGCCGTGCCACTGACGCCGAGCGAGGGGACGGCGGGGACGCTCACGCTGCTGCTGCCGGCGGTCGGGGTGCTGGGGGCCGCGACGCTGCTGCTGGGGGCGGAAGTGGCGGAGACGCTGGGGACGGCAGGGGTAGAAAGGTCGTCCGTGACCGTGGGAGAGCCAGAGACGGCGCTGGGGTTGGAGGAGCACAATACAGCGACTTACCTCTCGCCAGAGCTCAAAGCGCCGTCGCCCGAGGGGGTGGCGGCCGGAGTGTCCCCGGCACCTGGAGCACCGGTGGGCGAAACTTCGGGAGTGAGGGCGTCCTCGCCGTCGCCAGTAGGAGCGCCTGCGGCAGGAGAATCCTGTCCGTGGGCGAAAGTGAGGGTGACTGAGTGAGTTTCACAAGGAGACTTGAAAGTGGCGGAGTTTTGTACTCACACAGGGTGGCAGCGAGGAGGACGGCGCGCATTTTGATGATGGCTGCTTAGAGAATAATGGAAGCTAGCGAATAAGATGAGACGTAGATAGAACCAGAGTTGAAGAGCAAGGACGCCGGAGAGGAGGAGATGGGAGGGAATGAAGATTATGAAGAAACTGAGGACCGTGGGCTCATATACCTCTTTCCAAAACAGCGACTTCTTGGGGTGTCCGGATGTTGCTGTGAGACGAGGGGCGCACGATGCTGTCCTAGGGCGTATGTGCAGTCCACGGTGGGCAGGACAATCCGTCAAACGGAGTGAGTGTCGTTGACAGCTAAGGGGAATGATAAGCAGTATCGAACAGCGGGATCGATGGGCGTTGCTGCGCGCTGTGCATGATCATCGCGGGAGGGCCATCATGAGACAGCTGAGCCGGTGGATTGATACTGTACACAGGTTCTCTACCTGCTGCGCACAATACTATACATCTGCGACTCCGGAACGCCCGGTAACCGGAACTACATTCGTGGCAGGAGGTGTAACGATGCCTGTAGAGTCCCGCCTAGACGGTCGAGGCTCAGCCGGCTAGGGCGCTGACGCCCGCTGAGATTCCAAAGCCACGAACAGCTACAGGGGTACAGGCAGGTGTTGGATACTAGTTGGCGATCGCGCAACTCATAGACACCAAGGCTGTGCTGTGCTCGCGGAGATCAACACAAGGAGGGGGGGGGCGTGGGGGGACGCGCTGAATGAGGTCGCTTTCGATTTAGGCGGATGGTACGAGCATGCGCTTGTGGAACCCCAAAGATCATTCATTCGTATATTATCAAGTCGTCTGGTTGAAGTACTGCTGTGTCTTGAATCGTTCAAGACTCCACACACCCCACCCATCAGCAGTTGTTCGGCACTTGGTTGACCGGGGACAAGGATGTGGAGCTGTCGCCCTTCTCTCTCTTCGCAACGGCGACATTCCCTCTTGGTCTGGGCGCAACGCGCAAATGTGCGTGGGAACAACATGCTCACTGCGATCATGTGAATCGGCGACTGGCACTCCCAAGCGTGAATCTGCACGTCCCATCCTCCCTACGTACCTGTGTTGCCGTTCTTCTTTCACACTCATCCTTTGGCTGAGCGTGACGGAGAGCATGCCAAGCTGTGCATCCCCAATAGTTCTCTCCGTACGGATCCGTAGCTCTCGTCTGCTCTTGCTCGTGTCTCCCGAAGCTCAAGGACCGGCGGTGTCCTGGTAAGCTTCCCGATATCAAACTGCCGAGCCCTATGCTGGGATTCCAGCAAACCCAGCACGCCAGCACTGGCGTACCATCCGACTCTCGTGGCTTCTCGTACAGTGGTGTGGTTGGACCTAATGTATGCTGATGATCATGCCTCCCTCCGAGCCATCTCGTGCGAGGTCTGTTACCTCTGGCCTGCTACTGGTTGCACTACGGCCCAACATGGACACAACTGCTAGCCCCACGGCCGTAGCCATCAATTTTGGGGCTCTGCTGTCGACAAGCTGAGAGGGCTCCTCTAATGGAGCCGACCTGAGCTTGCTCGCGATCCTCGCCCTACTTACTCGGGGGACCTGAGACGGGTGGGCGCAGACTCCCGCCATTATCTCGCAGTGATACGAGTGGCATGACCGTCTGGCCACGGCGTTCGGCCTCATTCCGCACCGCGCGACGCGAGATTTGGTCGCCGCGTCTGACGCGTCCTTGAACCCGGTGCCTGCAAACAAGGCACCAGTGGCTGACTGCCCTCAGCTTATCGTCTCCAGATAAACACGGCACTCCCGCAATGTAATGTTCACAGCAACGCTCTGGCTTGGGCCGCTGCCAGAGCCAGTTAAGATGCTCATAAAAACCTGCTGTCGGTTGTCGAACGAGCCCCATCCTCAGCATACGAACGCAGTGCGCCCCTGTTTCTCTCACCACGTCGGCTAACATCAGGCCACAACATGAAGCTCGCACTCCTCTCTCTCGCATCCCTCGCCTCGGCCGTCGTCATCCCAGAGTACACTCGCCAGTGGTGTGAAGGCGAGGGCACCAGCGACTACAGCCCCGTGATACTTGAGCGCGAGATCAACGAGTTTTGTACCATTGCCGTGCGGGATTTCAAGCAGGACATGGATCTGGGTAACGGATATTATTTGCGCATTCAAGACAGCCAGGGTGGCAGCTACGAGCCCTGCTTCGACGCATTGACTTGGGTTCTCGAGGAGTGCGCACAGCACGGCAAGCTCGGCGAGTGGCGCCAGAATGCCAACTACTACCGCTTCGGGAGGTACAATGTAGCTGAATGAACACTCTCTGTGCATTGTACGCGCAGGGAGGCTTACCAGGCATTGATTTCCATCTCACTTCCGCCAAATACTGTACTAATACGTTGGGATCAGATCGCCAGCACCTTCTAATCCGTCTGCTCTTGTCTGTCCTTTTGTCTACCCCAGTCCTCCGCCCTCTAGTCTTATGATCCCTCTCATTCCTCGAAGCTCTCCCGCCGTTCTGATCCCTTAAGTCCCTCTAGCCTCTTGTTCCTCAGTCCTCTTCTCTCTTCTCTAACCTCTCACACTCTATCCCTTCCAGTCCCGCCTCCTCGCTCAGATCTTCTCGCCAGCTCGCTGTCTGCGTCTTGTGGTGTCTAACGTCCTCGACTTCGTGGACCACCCCCCCCCCCCCCCCCCCCCCCCCCCCTATTTGTCGCCCTGTTCGGAGGACATGGCCGTTGTCATGTCTGCAGGTCAGTGCCGCTGCATTAGACACTCACAGACCGAGTTTTACTCTGCATTTGCTGTTGTTGTCGACCCACTCGCCACCGCGCCACGGCACGTTGCTCTCGAATCGTCGCGCCTGAATTCCTTCGTGGTCTGCATAATCGTAGCCTTGCTAATCTGCAAAGTCAGTACGGCCACATGAAGCACTCACATGTTCGTCTTCACCCGCGCAAAGTGGTTTCATCGCCCCGTTGTCGTCTTGCAGTACTCTTTCCGGCCCGCGTCGTGCTTGATGGCCTCGCGGTGGGCGGACAGGCCGCCCCCCCGGACTCTGGCGGTTAGTGTGTCCGCCCTAGACGTACACCGGCTAGGCATGTGGTGCTTGTAGGGACTCAGCTGGGCCTGTGGTGAGCGGTGATCTGTTGGGTCAGTAGCTCGCTGTTGAGGGGGAGCAGGACGAGTTAGGGGTTTATATCCCTTATGGGGGCAACGCCCGGGCTGCCTCCGTAGCTGAGCGTGAGAACGCACATACTGCGCTGTGCTGAGATCTGGCTGCTTTACAAACCCTTCATCCCGCACTGCTGTGCTCTGTGTCCACACAACTTCCGCATTCACACGCACATTGGGACTCATCGACGCCGCTGATGCGGATAATGACGACACAGTAGCCGCGAGCGGGCTTCGGACATACACATGACTGTCGCGGACCTCGGCCGTGAAATCTGCCTCTGTGTGGCACCTTCCCACGCGCACTATTCGTAGTGACTAGTGAGACCCACGTCCCACAAGTCTAGGAGTTTCAAGGTCCAACCCGCTTCACAATTTGTACCCGGTAGTCCAGTAGACAGTGTCTTCCCTGTCTTCTCTCTTCTCGTTTCCACATGGCGTTCAGGTAGCCTCGCGTTACCAAAAATACGCCGTAAGGGAGTCGAACCCCTGCCGCGTCGACGCATTTGGAGAAGCTTCATAGACTTCAGAGCAATGGCAACGACGCATGATACCGTTTCACCAACGGCGTAGATGTTCACGCTTGTGAATCTATTCCGCAGCGTTAGACAATCGGGATCCAGAGATGGTTCTTGGTGGAAGCCCGACGTTTGAAAAGGAAGGGGGGGGGGGCATTCTAAGGGTGGCACTTGGTGTGGCCACACCGCCGAGGAGCTTCTCAGCAGTTCGGTGTCACCTTCCGTAACTATGTCCGCTGATTGAGCATTTCGAAGGATCGACCGCAGCGCCACGATGTGGACTCGAAATTCCGCCTGAGATGGATGCACCACTTGATTCATTATAGGGAAACGGTTGAGGCGTAGGGCGCTGCGATACGTTTGGTGCAACCAGAAGTTAAAGGATGAACCAAGTGGCGTAGGGTTATCCGATGATGCACAATCGAGGACCCAAACTGCGTCAACCCCAGCCTTCGGTGACACTTCGTGACTGTCAAGGATCACGAGTTCGACTCCCGCTGAACGTCCGACTACGCACTACGCATGCGACTTTTGTACCAGCTTGATCGCAATGATGGAGTGCGTGTCCCCAGGCACGTCTCCACATGTCCACAACGCGCGCTTCGTTGCTAGCCATTACTCGCATCTCACAACATCTCTTGGATCCAGACAATATACTGCAATCCACCAAGCGCCATGAGCGAGGAGGATACACCCTGCTCGCCGGCATCAAGTTTCTCGAGGAGGCCCGAATCTGTTGTAATCGCACAAGGAGATCTGGGCGCGGCCTCCACCCTGGATGAGCACGATGCGTCGCGTCAATCTCCCGCTCCTCCACCACTCGAGATTCCTCACTTTGCTTCATCTCCTGGTCATTCTCCATCTCCTGCAGCACAATTCAACAAGGCGCACTACTCCTCCTCTGACCCGGAGGCCGAGACAGAAGCAAACGGGTCCAGCGCCCTCCAAGACATTTCCCTCGACTCACCAACTGTTGAGCGTACCGACGCCCTCGCCGGCGGCACCGCAACCCTCCCCTCCGACCCCGTTCCGACATCACCCCGCGCCTCATCGTCCTCGACCCAGCCCCCAACGCCTCCTCCGCACTCCCCATCCGACCCCTCACCTGTCCCTCTTTCCGACGAGTCGCCTCCTACACCACCTCCGCACTCCCCCTCAGATCCATCGCCCATCCCCGTATCCCCTTCCACCGACGTTGCCGAGCAGGCGCCGCCAACCCCGCCCAAAGACCGCCCGGTTAGAATCAGTCTCCTCGCTCCCCATATGTCGTCGTCACCAGGAAGGACGCCGTCGCCCATAGAATCACTCTCCTCGAGGCGACAGCAGACGATCTCCCCGATCAAGATAACGGAGCCGTCGCCCGAGGCATCGCCCGCGCGCTCACCCGTGCTCTCTCCTACATTGTCGCAGCGTGCGCTTTCTCCAAAGCCAGTACACGCCGCACCACGGACGCCGGACTTCATCGCGTCCCCGCGATTCCGCTCCATGGACTTGCACGCTGAAGATGCTGGAGATGACAGCGATGACGAGGATGGCGATCCGAGCGGGCAGTTTGAGAATGTGTCCCTCGACGCGCCGACCCCCACCTCGCCTCCAGTGCAGACCGCGACGCTCAAAGACGTTGTGGATGGCAAGCCCAGCCTTCCCTCCGCCGTCTCGATCGCAACAAACGGAGGCCACGCCGGGTCTCAACGTGGCTCCATAGCTGGCTCGCACCGCGGCTCGATCAGCGGCTCTCATCGCGGCTCAGCTGATGTTTCCTCAGCAGCGAGCGGCTCATCCACACCGCGGCGACACGCGCCACCGGCGCACCCACATCCCTTCCCCATCCCGACGTCGCCGCGCTCCGGCCCCGTCCCGCAGGTTACTGACTTGCCGGGAAAGAAGGGTAACACACCCCCAGCGGCGCTTGGTGTCAAGGGTGTGAGCACGATGGATAAAGTGCTCTCGCGCACACGTATGCAGCACCTCCCGCCCAAACCCAAGGCCGAGGATGAGACTCATCTGCACGAGTGGGAGCAGATGATGACCAAAGCGCGCGAGCACGAGGCCGAGCGCCGCAAACTGCAGGAGGCGCGACGGGCCGAACGGGAGCGCCATCTCCTGGCCGTAACCCCGCGATGGGAAGCGCTGCTCGCTCGTGATTTCTCTGTGCAGAAGGTTCGCGAGAACGAGTCACTGCGCCAGCTTTGGTTCCAAGGCGTACCAACACATCTGCGCGGCAAAGCATGGAGCCTCGCGATTGGTAACCCGCTCGCAATGCACAAAGGTGAGCACTAGGATCCTCATGTACCTAACAGCAGACGCGTACCACGGGTATCTGCGGCGGGCGGAAAGAGCTCTCGCAAACGGACGGTTTCCCCCCGACATCCTGGAGCAGATTGAGGCAGACTTGGACGACACCCTACCCATACTGCACGTCTTTCAGCGCGGCTCGCCAGTGCGTGACGAGCTCAAGGACCTTGTATGTGCGTGGGTAGTGTACCGCTCCGACTCGGGCCGGGGCTACGCACCATACATTACTCTCCTGGCGGCAATGTTCGCACTCGTCTCTCCGCCCGCACAGGCGTTCCTTTCGTTGTGCAACTTCCTCTCCCGACCGTGCCTGCACGCGTTCTACACCGACACAGCCGACGAGATCGACGCTTTCTACCGTGTCTTCGAGAACCTTCAAGCCGACAAGTTTCCCCGCATCTACGCCAACTGCAAGAACCTCGGCCTCCGGCTGCCGGAGAGCTACTTCCGCTCCGTCCTTGTGGAGCAGGTGCCCTTCGAGGCTGCGTGCCGCCTTTGGGATCAGATCGTGCTCGAGGGCGACGGGTACATCTTCCGCGCGGCGCTCGCCATCTTCGGCTTCCTCGAGCCACGGCTGTACTATCCCGACAAGGACGAGATTGCGTCTGTGCTCGAGGGACGAAACGCCGCGACGGCGGCTATTGCCGAGCGTGAGCGCGAGCGAGCACGCCTCCGTGGTGAGCGCTATGAGGAATCACTGGACGGCAAGCTTAGCGTGTTTGGGCTGCACGAGCACGAGTTGTTTGACTGGCTGGCGCAGGACGGGTGGAAGGACAGCCGGTTCGAGCGGCTGGTCGTGCGTGAGCTGCCGGACTAGGCCGGAGGGAGTGAGCTTGGCCGAAGGGAGGGAGATTAGCTGGAGCGGGCTGCCCAGCTGCCGTGTTATGCGGAACACGCCACGAGCTGGTAGTAGATTTGCAGGGAGCACATCCCGATCGCAGCGACGCACTCGCCCACACACGCGCTAGATTGATACAATGCATAATAGTCACACAGCCCTCTACTCCTGCACGATCAGCTCCTCGACCTTCCAGTCCTCGAACGAGTTGTCAGGGAGGAAGCGGCGGATGACGAGTGGGATTTTCTTAGCGGCGAGCTCCTTGAGCGCGATCTCCAGTGGGTCCGTCTCGCCCTCGACGGGAACAAGGACTGGCGCATTCATACTGTGGTCAGCGGCGATTCGATGGTTCCTCCTCGTCCACTCTCCTCGACAGCATCCCGCCTCACTCACGAGATCTGCAACGCCCGCGTCCCGAGCACACGCGCGCGTTCGTACTTTGTCATGTACGGCGTGGTGATGCGCACCTCGTTTGCTTTGGCCGCCTTGCCGGTGCGCTGCTTGACGTCGTCTGGCACATCGCCCGACTGGTGTGAGCAATTCCCGGCACCATTTCGCGTAGCGACTCACAACAATGATGTTGTCCTCATCTTCGTGCTCGATCTCGGCCTCATATCTGCTGTTAGAGGCGATCACGACGGGGCCTTGACGGCCTGGGGAAGATGGAGACTTGCCACCCGACTCCCCCCGCACGCCTCTCCACCCCACCGACAGACTCACTCAATGTGGTCGGCTTCCTCGTAGTCGTAGTTGTCGCCACCAAAGTCGCCCATGCGCTCGTCGTCGGACATGATGGATGTGTTGTTGACAGCGACGGCGAGCGGGCGATCGAGCGTATTCCGGATTCGAAGTTCTTGTGCGCATCGTTATTCGACACCCCACTTTACCTCCACCTCTGCTGACCACTTGAGGGAGCGGACAGTTGCGTCAGCGTTCACAACAATCATGCAGGTCAAGAGCTTGAGTTACATCGACATACAGGTATGTACAAGGAAGAGAATGGATAGGCGAGAGAGATGAAGGGGGCGCAGGCGATGAGCAGAGCTGACGGCAGCACGACGCGCTGGGCGTCTTCGAGGATGTCGAGCAGGGCACTGTTCCGCAGGAGGATGTGTGGGTCTCTGCTGTGAGTGTGGATAGAGGCGAGCAGCTGACACCAGTATCAGGCCGGCGAGTCGAGCGTGCATGGCAAGATGCGGGTGTCGCTCGACGGCGGAGTGGAAATCACGTGCCGTGACGGCGTCAAGGTCGAGCGCGAATCGAAGGTGCGTCGTCTGCTGAGGAAGGTGTGAGCGGCATGGACGGGGTGGGGGACGTAAAGGAAGCGATTTCGTTTGCACATCCAGCCGCGCGCCATGAACGAGCTCAATCTCCTCGCTCTGACGCTGATTGCAGGCCAACTTCCTCGTAACAGTCCCCGCGCTCAAGATGACCTCCCGCCCCGTCCACTTCCCCCGCCAAACCGTCGTGCCGCCATACACCAAGGCGTCCGCCGTCTCCCCCGAACTCAACATCAACGCTCTCGACTATTCCGCTAAGGCCGGCAAACTTGTCGCTGGCGGGCCAGACGGCTACGCGATTGTATTGGACCCCGCGCGGCCCTCTGAGGCGCTTCAGCTCGCAGGTCACGTCGGCGACGTGTTGGACGTCAAGTGGTTCCCGTCCGGCGAGGTGAGTCAGAGACCGCGCGGACTGACTCCAGGTCGTGCTCACCGCCTCGAGCGACATGTCGCTCCGCATCTACTCCGCTGTGACAGGGGTTAATCCGCGCGTGCTCCGCGGCCACTCGCGCGCAATCACCGCGACACACATACTTGGCGTGGGGAAGCAGGTGTTGAGTGCCGCAAAGGACGGGAGCGTGCGGCTGTGGAATGTGGGTGCAGGGAAGGAGGAAAGGGCGTGGCGCCTCAAGCAAGCTGTGGAGGCGCTCATCGTCATTCACGGAGAGCAGGCAGCGCTGGGGGCGGAGACAGTCATCGTTGCGGCTACCACGGACGGGTCTCTGACAGGGTACGCACTCGAAGCCGAGTCACACGAGCCGCTCTTCGTTTCTCCCCCGACGGACACGAAGCTCGTCAGCGCCGCGTATTCGTCGACGCTCGGCCTCATCGCGACAGGCCACGCGGACGGGACCATCGTCTTCCGCCGCACCACCAACCTCTCTAAAGTAGTTGCGGCCGTGCGCCGAAACGAGGCGAGCGTGTACTCGCTTGCATTTGACGGCCCCTCTCTCCTTGTCGGCACGGCCAGCGGCCTCCCCGCGCGCCTCTCCATTGCGTCCACCCCAGAAACACTCGATGTGGAAGTGGCTGAGGAGTTTGCGGGATGGGAGGCCGTCGGGGTCGAAACATGGGCCGTCGGCGACGGAGCGTGGTGCGCAGGGGCGGATGGGGTGCTCCGCCGTTATTAGCACGCTAGATGATACATGATACACGGAAACTAGGTACGAACGGCCTCGCGGTCCAAGGCTGTGGTCAGCGAGGCGTGATTCACTATTGCTCACGGTTGTAGAGAAGCAGCTTCTCGATCAGATCCACGTGTGTGAGGACCATGCGGCGGCAGCAGTAGCGCTTAAGCTGCAGCTTATCGAGCGCGTCACTGGTGTCAGCGACCATGCACCCTGAGTTGGCGGCACGTCCAGCCTCTCAGCCGTGCTCCACAGCACTCACCCCTCGTCGACACCGGCAGCAAGAAGCTCGAGATACGCCTCCCAAAGGTTTCCAACAACCTTGCCGCACGAGAAGCAGCGGACGGGGATAATCTAGAGTCAGTCGAATCATCATTACGAGGGGGAGGGGGAGGGAAGGCTGAAGAACGCTGACGCGCGCGGCCGGAGTGACACCCCGGAGCGCTACAAAAAGCACCACACCGGCGATCACACATGCGCGTTCGATGTTCACATCCGCCGTCGATCATTGACCCAATCCCGAGGACGGAAGACTGGGAAAGAAGCAGAATGCGTCGGATGTCCTGTCCTAAGGCGCAGCGATGGCAGCGTACATCGTAGGCCAGCTGAGCGCACTTCAGGCATCGCGCATCGCAGTGGGTAGCCTCCCCGTCTTGGATGATGTGACTTACCATTGTCGATTAGTTGTCGACGAGTGGTATGTTGAAGCGGAGTGGATGGAGAATGGAGAGTTGAGCGCGTCGAGATGACAACATTTGGAGGTGCCACTCAGTCGGCAAAATTTAATCCCGTCGCCACCCAACATGTCGAATTGCCACCCAGCCATCCTGTTCCTCATTCATGTTCTCTTCAAGCAATTAGCGAGCGGCGAGCACAGCGCACATGCTGTTGCCGATGTGCGAAGGCGGGGAAGTTCCAGGCCATCTTTGATGCTGAAACTGGGCGGCTCAGAATCTGTGTCATGGAGCGAGGGCAATAATATCCTCCACCCCGCAAATCTGCTCGTTATGCACACGTTATGCAGGATAAAGGGATGCTCGAGACAATTTGAACTACCTCTGAGTTGCCCATCCTTCGGTCCCTAAACCGTCTGCTGCATGGCAGAATCATCTGGGCCTGCGGAGTACCTTCGGTGTCGGAGTCAGCGGACCAGCAGGAAGGTGGAGGTCAGCGTGAAGTCCGAAATCTCGTTCCGAGGAGGATCCAAGAAGTTCACCTCTCTCCGGTGGGCTGACTTTCCGCTCTCTCATCATCTTTCCGCGCTCTCGTCGCTTTTCTCTTTTACAAAATCGTGCGGGCCATGGCATCAAGGGCCCTATCTGCGACTCGCGCGGCCCTCCGGCCGCACAAGAGCGGTACACGCTTTCTCCCTCCCACCATCGCCCGCTCCCTCTCTTCCACCCCCAAGACACTCACCCCCTCCGGCCCTCTGTCTGCCCGCAGCTCTCTCGTTGCTGCCTCCCGCCCGTCCGGCGCAAAACGAAATGCCGCCGCTGCCGCGTTTGTGCCCCACCCCGTGGTCACCCCAGCCAAAGATGGTGACGAGTTGAAAGAGCTCTTTGACGGGCCTTACTTAGCTCCATCAGCCGGCCTATTCGCCGGGCAAGAGGGACTCTTCACCTACGGACCACTCACGCACGCGAAGGCTCTGCGCCCGCTCACCGAGCGGACGCTGCTGCATGTCCGCGCCATCGTCGAACGGATAGGGCGCGCGCCCACCGCCGGTCCGACAGAGCTGCGGTTGGTGGTCAAGAATCTTGATCGGCTCAGCGACCTCCTTTGCGGCGTCATCGACATGTGCGAGCTCGTGCGAAACGCGCATCCCGAGCGCGCGTGGGTTGCCGAGGCAGATCGCGCGTACGACCGGCTGTGCAGCTACATGAACGAGCTCAATACACATCGGGGACTATTCGAGGCGCTCGTCGCCACTCTTGAGGTGGAGCACTCGCCCCCTCTCTCCCACGCCGAGCGGCAAGTCGCGCTCACATTTCTCCGTGACTTTGAGAAGAGTGGGATCGATCTCCCGCCCGAGCGGCGTGCGCGCTTCGTCGAGCTCTCTGACTCACTGCTGGGCTTGGGGCGGAGCTTCCTCTCGAATGCTAGTGCGCCACCGGTTCCAACCCCGCCTGTCGAGATACCCGAGGCTGCGTTGAAGGGGCTTCCGCCTCACTTTGTTGATGCTGTCCCTCGTGTGAAGGGCGTTGCCCTCGTCGCCCCTGGAAGCTGGGAGTCGCAGGTGATCGCGCGATACGCGCCCCAGGGTGAAGCGCGGCGGTTGGCGTACGTCGGCAACGCGCGGGCGGATCCCGACCGTGTCGGGGTGCTGGAGAAGATGCTCGCACAGCGAGCCGAACTCGCCGGTGTACTTGGTAAAGGGTCATGGGCCGAGGTCGCGCTCGTCGACAAGATGGCTAAGACCCCATCCAACGTCTGGGGCTTCCTCACCTCGCTCGCCGACCACCACCGCACCCAAGCAGCGGATGATGTTGCCGTCCTTGCACGGTTGAAAGCCCAGGCATTGTCTGGCATGGACAAGCCAGGCGATCTGCCACCCCTGTACGCGTGGGACAGAGATTATTTCTCCGAGCGGCATGTGCAGAACCTGGCGCCCGCCAGTCTCGCTCCACTCGCCCCGTACTTCTCCGTTGGTACGGTGATGCGCGGTCTTTCCCGTCTCTTCTCCCGCCTATACGGCATCTCGTTCCGGCCAGCGACTCCAGCCCCTGGCGAGGTATGGCACTCCTCCGTGCGCCGCCTCGACGTGGTCGACGAGGAGCAGGGTACCATTGGTGTCATCTACTGCGACCTGTTTGCGCGCGACGGCAAGCCGCCTAGTGCGGCACACTACACTGTGCGCTGCTCGCGTCGCGTGGACGACGACGATGTGCGCGGCGACGGATTGCCGGAAGGCTGGGATGCGCGGTGGGGACCAGGCCTCGAAACCGAGGGCGACGCCGTGCGCGGCATGACAGGGAGATACCAGCTACCAATCGTCGTGCTGTGCACTGACTTTGGGAACGACGCAAACCGGCCAGCGCTGTTGGGATGGCACGAGGTCGAGACGCTCTTCCATGAGATGGGGCACGCGATGCACTGTGAGTTGGATGCGGTCACCTGCGATCTCTGAGCGTGCTCACACCAGCCATGATCGGGCGGACGGAGTATCACAACGTCAGCGGGACGCGCTGCGCGACGGACTTTGTTGAGTTCCCTTCCATTCTTATGGAGCACTTCGTCAAGTCGCCCAGTGTTCTCGCCTTGTTCGCGGAGCACTACGAAACGGGAAGACCACTCCCGCCTTCGCTCTTTGAGAACCACATGGCGCTCCAGAGCTCTCTCGCGGCCCTTGAAACACACGGACAGATTGTCATGGCTATGTTGGACCACCAGTACCACGCGCTCGTGCCCGGCGAGGCTGTCGACAGCACGTCTGTGTACACGGCGCTGCAGGAGCGCGTGGGCGTGATCCCGCCGGTCGAGGGGACGGCGTGGCAGACTCAGTTCGGCCACTTGTACGGGTACGGCGCGACATACTACTCGTACCTGTTCGACCGGGCAATTGCCGGCAAGGTGTTCAGTACGCTGTTTGCCGCGGACCCGTTGAGCCGCGAGGCGGGGGAGGCACTCAAGAAGCGCCTGCTGTGCTGGGGAGGCGGGCGGGATCCGTGGGAGATGGTCGGTGACGTTGTGGGTGGCGCCGAGGGCGAGGCAGTCGCGCGCGGAGACAAGCGCGCGATGGAGCTTGTCGGTGGATGGTATGTGAAGTAGGTGTTGTATGCATACACTGATCTGGGATGCTGCACTGATCTATGAAGCTGTCATTGCGCGACAGCTTCTACAGATCACCTTCTACTGAACTACATCCTACGTCGAATCCTCGACACTGCTCCCGATGAGACGGACCAAGGTGTCTGTCTCTTCGGGTTCTGCAAGCCGAGGGACACATTCTTTGCCGGCGACTGCCAAGAAAGGTTTGTGGTTCGTCCACGTGCGGGTGTAGAAAAGCTGGACCCGCTTGGAGAGCACGTCCTCCGCGATAAGACTACGGGGGCAATAACACACATACGCGGCTAGACGGATCCGCTCTCCGATGGGGTCCTCGTTCCAGTGCACGACACGGCTATCCCAAAGGATGAGATCGCCGGCCTTAGCCTCGACTTTCCGTTTGGTCACGCCGCGGGCGGCATACCACGCCATCCCCCGCGCAGGAATGCGGAAAATCCGGTTAGGCTTCCACGGCGGGGGCGGGAACGCCTTGAAGTACTCGCTATGCAGCCGATGAGAACCGGGGAGCACGCACAGACCGCCGTCGTTCGGGCCCGAGTCCGAAAGCACGGCGATGCCCTGGTAGAGCTCAAGGCCCGCCCGCCCCGGGTCCTGATCGAGGTGAGGCCACGGCTTGGTCGCCTTGGAATTGCGCCCGAACTTGCCCAGCGGCCGGGTAATGTTGATGCTGTCGAAACTCGCTACCAGGGTCTCGGGGGATGTGTCCCAGGCTGAGGCGAAGGCCGCGAGGATGCCGGGAACACAGCGGAGGCGCCAGACAAAGGCCTCATGCGCCGCAGAGCTGTACATACCCGTACGCCAAGCCGGGGGGAGGCGTGCCCGCTTCCAGGTTGTACGGTCGAGAGGGTCGTAGCCGAAGGTGCCGAGCCAGGCGTAAGCGTCGGCCTCAAAAGCCGCCACCTCTGCGGGCGGGATGGCGGCTGGGACGACTGCGACGCCGTCATGCTCAAGGGCCTCGAGCCAAGCGGGCCTATTGGAGGTGATTGTCATGATGGTTGCTGTGCTGTAGAAGGAGGAGGTTGGTGAAGAGGGGGTGTGATGGCACCACTGAATTTATTTGCATTCATTGCGATACTGGGACGAGTGTTGACTGATGTTGAGTAGACGTTTCTGCATGTCGGAGCCGCAACGACTCGAGAGGTACACGGGCCCTGGCCGCGAAAACGTCCCCTTCTGGATCTTCTTCAGATCTTGCAGGGAGTTTCGTGGACGTCTCCGTCCGGACCGTAGCGAGTCGACACGTGCAGGGTGCATGTTGACAGGTTGAGGGCGGGCCGGCGACAATCCCAAGATTAAGCTTGTTTAACGAGTGGGTCTCCGCCAATCCTGCTGATGAGCAGTGCCACATCCGACGCGGCGCGTGGCACAAGCTATGTACATGATTTCAAGGTAGGACACCAGATCGCCTCAGCACTGTAAGGACGGTGTTAGCGCCACATTGGAGCAGCTGTTTTTTGGGTTCTAAGCCTTGAGGTCTTGGCACGCGTAATCTCGGGCCGTCAGGATGCTAGAGAGCGCTATTCGAAGGTTGACTCCCCAGTTCAGTCCCCCTAACTCCCTAGTAAAGGCTGGTGCATCATCGCACTCCAACTCACATCTCCCTGCCAGATTGGGGTGGTCAGTCTGCGTGTGCTTGCCTGCCTGCTTTGGCGCATGAGCGATCTTGCGAGATTTGGAGGTCACGGAGATGGGGCATGTGACATCATGTGAAGGTCAAACCCACGTTTCAGCATCGGCTCCCCTTGGTCCCCTGCCCTGTGTGACCCTCATCGTGCAGCTCTCCCTGCGTCAGATACGCAACACCGGTCGTCGCAGCAGTCAGCCTGCAAGCCCATCCACGCCCCGCCCATCGCTCAGCAACGGCCGCTCATACCTCATCCGGCACATCCACCTGACACTGACACACCGGCCTTCTCCTCGTTCCAGACAGTGTACCCGTGGGCGTGCCGAGGGCCCCGGTGCCTTTCGTTCCGAGGTCTCGACTGGCCGTCTCCGAGCCCACCACCGCCTACGCCCCGCACACTGCCCGGCACACCGACTACGCCGCAGCAGGGCACGCACCGCCTCAGCCGGTACGATCCCTCTTTCGCCGCGCTCCGAGCCGCAGCGCGATGGCGTGGTTTCCACGCGTCATACCCTTCTCATCGAGGTAACGTACGTTCCGTTCAAGCCATTCGACACGGGGCAACGTTGCCCACCGCAGTCCGAGGCGCGAGCCGACATCTTCGCGCCCACGGCGAGGATGGCAAATGTCATGTTCAGTGGCGCACTCTCTTGGCGCGTATCCGACATATAAGGCGCGAGGCAAACGTCCATTCAGCCAGTCTCTCCTCTCATCACTTCCTCAGAAACATCACAATGCGCGCCGCCTTCCTTGCCCTCTTCGCCGCCGCCGGCGTCCTCGCTCAGAACCCCGTCGAGTCGTGAGTCTCATTTTGTACTCTGGAGCTTACAGCAGCGTGACCTCGGCTATCGCATCGGTCGTCGACTCTGTCCTTCCTGGTGGTGGCTCAGAGACCGCCTCTAGCTCCATGGCCTCTGAGTCTCCTATGGCTTCCGAGTCTTCCATGAGCTCTGAATCGCCCATGGCCTCCCCCTCGGCCTCTGGCAGCGCGCCCGCCGCCAGCGGCGCTCCCTCTATGAGCATGTCTGCTCCCGCAGGTGCGGCCTCGTCTCAGAACCCCCTGCAGTCTATCACCTCGTCTGCAGGTGCAGCCCTCAGCTCGGCGGCCAGTGCCGCCTCCAGTGCGGTTGCGCCCAGCGGCTCGGGTGGCGCGGGCATGCTGAGCCCCAACGCGGGTTTCATCGCGGCAGGCGCCCTCGCCATCGCTGCCCTCGCCTAAGTGATGTCCTATGCAGTTGTATTCTTTGTGACTGTACCCAGTGCTGCAAGCCAGTTGATTCCGCCACCTCAATTCAGTCGCGCGTAGAGTTGTTCGCCTTGCATACTGAAAGCACACATAAAGTTTGGAGCGATTCCCACACTATCATAGCAACAGCGTGGTATCTGGTGATCCCCTCACCACGGGTTTACGGCGAGAGCCGATTTGTAAGTCACACACGGATTGTCGAGATCGATCCTTCCGGACAGATGGAATTGCCGCCGCAGGTGGGGGCCACAGGTCCACATACTAAGGATTCCTCACAGCTGGACAGCAAAGTCCGAACGGTGCCGTACGTGCCGTCTTCTCATGCTCGAAGGCCCCCGGGTTTGGGGGGGGATGGCTCATGCGCTTTCCTCCGAACGCTGCGACCGGCGGACCGGCATCCGCTAGCCGTAGTGCACTTGGCACGATTGTGTGAAACTGGGGACATGGCCTTCCGCGTCCGATCTGGTGCCAGCCTCATCAATCAATCCGAGGCAGCAAAGATGGGAGCCATGTTTATGAGTGATAGCTTACGCAACGCGACACGGGGCTCGTGTGACCATCGTGACACCAGGAAAACGCTGACGAGGACCGTTACCCGGCAGTGGGGACTACAAAGATCATTGACGGCTTCCATTTGTTGAAAAGATGGCTGGGAGCTTCGCAGCTTCGTTGCGACTCCGCAGCCAACAGGTGGCCAGCTTGAAGCCAGACCGGCGCATCAGCGGCAAATAAAATCCTACATCGGCTCTCAAGTGCAGCTCCCGCATCTTGAAGGTAGCCAGATATGTGTTCGTCACTGCTCTGGATGATTGACCTCTTGGAGGCTTTGTGTCACCTACTTCGCTCTGAAAGTTACCGCGCAAGACTGGCGGAAAGACAATTCCTGCATTCCATCCATTCGGACGGAGCAGCAATCACGAAAGCGTAGTTGAAGCCAATATTCACAATCGCTCGCCCATACGCTGCACTCCCATTCTATCGAATACAAGTCGTGCTAAGTGTGATGACTTTTACGCCCCATGTTGCCCAATTCATAAACGAAAATGCGCCCTCTTGGGACCGTGGCAGCAAAGTCACACCTAGAACGTCGATCTGCTGGCGGTGTTGGTGCTTGGCAGAACTCGGAAACTTCGGGCCGCACGATCCAGACTTAGCATTCCTTGACTCCCCTAGATCAAAGTGAGACAAGGGGGAAAATTGGGGAACTTATGATTGTCGGCGAAACAACATTGAAGTCATCAAAGCCAGAGAGAAAGACCGCCGTCTCTACATCCGCGAGAGAAGCGTGCGGAGCTCTCAGCACACGACCCATCACGCGCTGCATTTTAATAAGATCCCATCACCGCAAACCTCCTCCGCAACACTCGGGGCTACCCTGAACTCTCATGGGCATGTGGCGTCACATGACCTCAGCCAAGACGCCATTTTCATCTGCCGAGGCAGGATCTCCGCGGCAGCGCTCACTGCCGCCGGCTCCTCTCCCCGTCATGCGCGCGTGCTCTCCACCATCCCAGTAGCGACGCGAGATTGCCGAGGCGGGCAAAACATATTAGCGCAGGGATGACGGAACCTCTGCACGTGTCCGGGACGAGCGGCACGGGCTTGGCTGTGCCTTAGGCCCGGGGGTTGCTGCGGGGTGAATGGGCTGTTTCACCACTTTTACGATCCCCACGACCACCAACCTAGTTTGATTCAGTGGCCGAGAGGGCGAGCGGTGCTTTGCGGCCAATCATTATAGTGGGCAGATCAGTGGGCAACGGAGCAACTCAGCTGCACGGGGCCATCAGGACAGGGGTTAGGAGACGCGCGCCGCCCGCCGTTGGATGTTGGCCGGGGACCACATGCTGCATGCTGTGGAGCGGGGTACGAGGCGCGATCGCTGGTGCGGCACGTCCACAAATGGTCGTGTGAGGCGTGAGGCGTGGTGGCACACCGAGCCCCACTACGGCTCCCACGCTCCTATCAAGCTTATATAAAGCAAGGACAGAGCTACAAAGCCTCGTCAATTATTAACCGCTATGGCGACCTACAAGGACAGCGATAGCCTCAGCGACCGCCGCTTCAAGGGCAGCGAGCACGAGCAGCACGAGCACGCCGGCGGCGGCGCCCTCGGCCGCCGCCTCAGCACGGGCGTGACCGCCGACGACGTGCTCAACCCGCTGACGGGCATGCCGCGCGACCAGCTGCTCGCCGAGGCCGACGCGTTCATCGACAACTTCGGCTTCCAGGAGGACCGCGACGTGTTCCGCCGTGGAGCGCTCGTCGCCCAGCGCCCGAAGCAGTTCGAGACCATCGACGGCCTTGACGAGGAGGACCGCGCTAGCCTCGCGTCCGAGCGCGACCACATCTGGCGCCAGCCGCGCGCCCTCATCGTCTCGGGTGAGTGACTGATCAGCGGAGCGAGGAATACCAAGCTGCTGCCGCTGCCGCCGCTGCCGCCGCCACCGCCCCCGACGTCATGTGTCATGTGTTCATCATTGTGACTGACACGCAGTAATTGTTTGTGCGCTCGGTGCAGCCACTCAGGGCTGGGACCAGACTGGTTCCAACGGCGCGAATCTCTCATTCCCCGCCGAGTTCGGCATCGGCGCCGCCGAGGGCGAGCCTGGCTGGCAAGAGGACGAGTGGACCGTCGGTCTCGTCAATGGCTCAGTGTACCTCTCGGCTGCATTCATCGGATGCTGGATCTCGGACCCCCTGAACCACTGGTTTGGCCGCCGCGGCGAAATTTTCATTACTGGTATCATCCTCATCGCTACCCCGATCGCTTCCGGCTTCACCCACACATGGGAGGAGCTCATGGCTGTCCGTCTGATTATGGGAATCGGTGTCGGTGCGAAGGCGGCCACTGTGGCAATGTACTGTGCTGAGCTATCGCCCGCGCGCATCCGCGGCGCTCTAACCATGGGCTGGCAGCTGTGGACGGCCTTCGGCATCTTCCTAGGCTTCTGTGCCAACGCCGCCGTCATGAACACCGGCAAGATTGCATGGCGTCTTCAGCTCGGCTCCGCCTTCATCCCCGCCGTGCCCCTCACCCTCTTCGTCTACTGCTGCCCCGAGTCGCCGCGTTGGTACATGAAGAAGGGCCGGATGGGGGATGCGTGGAAGGCGATGAAGCGTCTCCGCCACACTGAGCTCCAGGCCGCCCGTGACCTGTTCTACGCCTACGTTCTGTACGCCGAGGAGCAAAAGATCGTCCAGGGCCGCACATACATGTCGCGCTTGATCGAGCTTTTCACCATCCCGCGCTGTCGGCGCGCGACTGTCGCGGCCTCCGTCGTGATGATCGGCCAGCAGATGTGCGGCATCAACATCATGGCGTTCTACTCGTCGACAATCTTCAAGCGCGGTGGCTTCAGCGACAAGCAAGCGCTTTTCGCCTCCATCGGTTTCGGTGCCCTCAACTTCGTCTTCGCCATCCCCGCCGTTTTCACCATCGACACATATGGCCGCCGCTCGCTCCTGCTCACCACCTTCCCGATCATGTGCATCACCCTCCTCATCGGCGGCTTCATGTTCCTCATCGAAAACATCAAGGTGTCTACCGGTCTTGTCGCCCTCTTCGTATACCTCTTCACCATCGCCTACTCCGTCGGCGAGGGTCCTGTGCCCTTCATGTACTCGGCCGAGGTGTTCCCCCTCCCCCAGCGTGAGCAGGGGATGGCCTGGGCCGTGTTCTTCAACAACTTCTGGGGCGCTGTCCTCTCCTTCACCTTCCCGGTCATGCTTCGTGCTTTCACGCCTACGGGCGCCTTTGGCTTCTACGCCGGCATGAACGCGCTGGCGTTTATCATGATTTTCCTCTGGGTCCCGGAGACCAAGCAGCTCACTCTCGAGGAGCTCGACCAGACGTTTGGCGTGCCGACCAACACTTTCATCAGGCACAACACTCGTACCGTGCTTCCGTGGTGGTTCAAGCGTTACATTCTCCGAAAGAACGTTGGCCCATGTGAGCCCATCCAGATCGAGCGCCCGCGCCGCAACTCCCTTGTCCAGACGTTCTCGCGCGAGAAGCCCATCGGCGACTACAACAAGGTTTCCACCCAAGCTACCCCGCCTGTGTGATATCTTTAGCGATTTTAAGCGAAGTGACATACCGTTAAGTTGATAATGCAAGTTGTCGATGTGAAGTGGGGTGCATGGTTTTGACAGAAGGAGCAGCTACCCTCCCGTCAGTGTCGCGCCTACCGCAGACATTGTGACCGATGCATGATGGGAATACAAACAACTACGACTAATTCTCCACCACAGATTTTCCCTTCTCGCTGTCTTCTTGGGCGCACTACCAGAAGCTACACCATCCAACAAACGCAACACAAAGATTCTCAACACTCGTGGCCTGTGTAACGAGTTCTTCAACCTGTTCCTTGATGTCGAGCGTGACATTAGGCTTGAAGTCACGGCCTGTGAGCTTGCGACGCACGCGCTCGACAACCTGCAGCGCTTTGTCGTTCATGACTTCTGGCCGGTCCGCCTCCACGAGGATGTCGCGCTCGTCCGCTCGCCCACCACGCTGAACCGCATACGGTTGCCCGCCGCGCTCCTCGACGTCGTGTGCGCCCTGCCGCTGCCCGCCCTGGCCCGCCGTGAGACGCCAGTTGATGAGTGGGTCGTACACGAATGCCTCGAGGACGGCCATGAGCGACTCTTTGTTGGCGCGTAGCACCTCCATCGACACCTCGCACGAGCGCGAGAACGTGCCCGTGATTCCGCACACCTCCATCGCGTGGATGAGCATCCGCGTGAGGCGGAACGGTACCTTCTCCGGGTACTTGTCGCGCTGCATCGCGACCTCGAAACAATCGCCGAAATCGATGTGCACAATCTCGCCCGTGATCTGGTCCAGCATCAGGTTAGAAGGGTGTCGGTCACCCAGACCAAGGATGTACCCGACCATTGACGTGAGCGCCAAAGAGCGCGTGTAGGTTGTACGCCGCTCAAGCCACGACTCGGAGTTACGCGAGCGCAGCCACAGGATGCGATACAGGTCCTGTCCCGTCGTATTGTCCAACGCGTACTGGAACACCTCGACCTTATGCAGCAGCGGTAACGAGTCGTAGTTGTCGTCGGCCATTTGGTTCATGAGGCGCGTCTCGATGTCGATCAAAATCTTGCGCGAGTCGCGGTAGTGCTTGATAAGGGCGTGCAGTGTATCACTGTGCGGCACCCAGCCGAGCAGACCGGCACCAGGGGACAGCGGCGTGATAGAGAACTGGCGGATGCTGAGGTGGCGCTTGGACGACTCTTGATCGGCGCTGAGAAGTGTATTGACCAGGCCGAAGAGCTGCATGACACGCTCATCCTGACGCAGGTCTTCGTGACCCTTGAGCACGAATGTGTACTCCTTACCGTCGCGGCCACGCATCGTGAAACGACGCGGGCGCTGCTTCGAATTGATAACGGTGAAGGTCGGCAGCACGTAGGCGATGCCGATGACGGGCTTGCCACTCTGATACGTGCCCGGTACGGCGAGGTCGAGGTCGCGCACGTTCATGAGCTTGGGCGAAACGTACTGCAGCTCGATGACGTTGAGGAGCTTTATCTGTCTAGCGAGACGCTGGAACGTGGCGCAGTAGATGTCCCACGCCTGATTGAGCTCGTTCAGGTCACCTTGCTGCCGGTACCGTCTGCAAAGGTCTCGCGCCAAGCGCAGGTCGTGGCCGAAGCTCTGAACGAACGAGGTCTCACGCACGGTCTCGGGGCCCTTCTCGATCATGTCGTGAAGCGGCTCTAGCACCTCGAACATGGCCTCCTCGTTGTGGTCCGCGAAGTAGTGCTTCGAAGCCTCCTCCAATCCTTCATGCCATTGCTCATGCCACAGAATGGCAGCACGAATCAGCTCGGTGCTGACCAGGTCGGCCTGGTCTACGATGGTCGCAGAGTGCTCGCGCATCTTGTCCATGATATCCTGCGCGACCTGCTTGCGGGTCGCAACATTGGACTTGGACGCCACCGTGAGAGGGTAAATGAGCGCCTGTGGGTGCGCCCGTCCGATCGAGTGAAGCAATCTGACGATGAGCTCACGGATGGTCGGCCGCGGCGTCTGAATTCGCGCAATGATCTGCGGGATGACCTCAAGCCAGACGTCGATGTTGACGGACGCCATGCCCTGCTGGATTGCCTGGTTGACGCCCGACTGGTAGCCATACTTGAACCAGAGCGTGAGCAAACGCAATGTGTCCTGCAGCGAGTTGCCCGGTGATAGTGCGATGGAGCGCAGGAAACCCTCCACGGCTGGGATGATGTAGGTCGCAAAGTGGGCCGGCTGCAAGCCGCTCTGCGAGACCTCGAGGCTGCCAATGACCTCAAAGTTGGCGAGTGCCCATGTGTGCCACGCTTGGTACCAGTCAGGGTCGAGTTCAGTTGCCAGTGCGTAGTTGCTGAGGACACTGGCGGGCGCAGCGGTGAAGCCCTGTTCCAACATTGATGCCTCCCACTTGCCGAGCTCGACGTGGCATCTGGCAAGCAGTTTGGTGTACTCGCCGTACAGCTTAACATCTGGAAGGATCAGGCGGCCTTGGTTGTTGCGCGGTCCCAAACCCATGTCATCAGACAAGGTCTGCGTAAAGTCGTGCAGGTAGCCGAGGGTCTCAACGCGCTCATCGCGTGAGTCGACCGCAACAGCCTGCGCCCACTTAAGCCGGTAGTACGCGAACACAATCGGTGGCGGTGCACGAGATCGACTCTGAACGTTGTCAGAAGAGCCATCGAGTGCACCTACCTCCGCGTCGAGGTTGCTACACGAGCTGCCAACGAGGGACGTGAGCGTTTTCTCGGCAAGGTTGAGTCTGTCGGACACGCGGCACAAGTCCGCGAAGCTGATCCAGGTCTCCATGTCCTCACTCGGCGTGAGGACAAGGGAGCGCACCTGGAGAATGCGCTGCCAGACCTCGACGTCACGCTGACAACCAGCGAGACGCTTGTGCCAAGTCTGCCGTTGAGTCGCCTGGCGCTCCGGCTGGTCTGCGTGGTCCTTGTATGAGATGATCTCCTCGAGCTCGGACAACATCTGGACACGGACAATGACGCTGGTGTCAGTGTATCGACGGCGCTCATTACTCACTCGTAGGCACGACCGTAGCTTTCCCCTGTGAGAGTAGTGAGTTCGCCATCCAATCTCTCGCGAGCCTTGGTAATGTGCCTCTTGGCAGAAGTGAACTGGTTGCGGTGAACAGCCAAGATTGCCTTGAAGAAGTTGCGATCGGCCGAGTCCGTCTTCATCGCGGAAATGTAGTCGTCCATCATGTCCCACTGGTACAGCGCCCATGAGGCAGCGGCGCCAAGCGGGGCGATCGTTTTCTTCTCCTCGCCGGCAGCGTTGGGCCATCTAACCTGGATGACGTCCGCCAACTCCTCCCACTCGCCGAGCGCATGCAGTGCCTGGAACTTACCCATGGCCAGCGCTTGCTCGTCAAACTGTGAGTCCGGGTCGGCGCTGCGCTCATTCCACACCTCGAGCGCCTCTTCCCAGCGGCCGAGCTTTTCGTACCAGAGGACGTCGTGCGTCATTTGGAGGTTGTTTTGGGCGTACTCGAGAGTTCCCCATGCTGCGTCGCTCTGCTGCAGCTTTTGATTCACCGAAATGAGATCCTCCACGACGGTCGGCGAAGCGTCAACAAAAAACTCGAGTTCCTTGTAGTGCAGAGCCTTCGCGTATGCGTGGAAAGCAGTGGCGTAATCGCCAAGGAGACGCGGCTCCAGCGCCAGCGGCTTATCGTCGTGCTCCATAAACTCGGCGAGATTCAGGACGGTGTTGACGACCTCGGAAGGCACGCCATCGTTAGTGAGTGCCTGCTCAAGGTGGTGCACAAGGTCTTCCTGGTAGCTCTCGTAGAGCTCGGTCCAGCACGACACGAACGCGACATTGAAGAGCTCCCGCGCGAAGGCGCCGTGCTGATCCGCGAGCTTCGTGCACGCACGAATGGCTTGTGATGGCGATTCGCGCATAAACTCTACGCCGAGCCTCTTCAGCCACTCCAGCCACTCCTTCTTTGTGGCGACATGTGAGCAGTCCCATGCCGATTTGAGTTGCTGCTGGTTGACCGGAAGCTTGTGCTGCTCAGCGGACACCGAAACCTCGTTCATCGAGTCGGCGGCGTACTGCTCCACGGGGCCGAGGTCGGGCGGCAGGCGCTCGCGGTTGAGCAGCTTTGTAACCATTTGATCGTACATCGGCCACACAATCTTGTTCTCGAGCAGGGCCTAATGTTAGCTTCTCTCTGAAGCGCGGCCTCAAACGCACCTTGTTGACCATGGGGATGAAGATCGCGTAATCTGGGCCAAACTGGAGCACCAAGACGCACAGCGTCTCCATTGCCGCGTTGCGCAGCTCAGGGTCTTGCGTGCTGAGCGTTCGGACGAGCGGGTGAATGATCTGCGATGCGTGGTCGCTGAAGTTAACCTTGCGGCATAACTGCGCGGTGGTTGTGAGCGCGGCCTTGCGTAGCTTCGTCGGCGCGGCCGGATTCTCGAAGCTGCGGATGATCACCGGCAGCACGAGGTGGAGGTAATCCTCGATGCTAGAGCCGAAAACAATGAACGCCTTCAGGATGTGGAGCAGCGTGTTCTCCCGCTGGTCGGTAAGGTTGCGCGCGGACAGATCTCCGTCGAAAGTGCGCAGGATCTGCTGCAGGAGCTGTGGAAGGTACGCTTTGAACTCGCCCTCGACGGCGCGTGCGATCGCCTCGACGAGAGAAATAATGGTGATCTGCATCATCGAATTGGGGTTCCAGTAGTCGTGCACAAGAGCGAAGACCTCGGAGAGGTAGTTGCGAATATGCTGCTTAACGATGGAGATGAGCTGGGCGAGTTGCTTCAAGAACACGTCCTGCGAGTCACGGGAGCCCATACGAATGACACCGAGGAAGGCAGGCAGGATTTGAGGCAAGAACCCAACACAGCGCAGGCGCTGAGTACGGAAAATGAGCATGACCGAGTTGATAGCGTCGTAATGGTGCTCCTTCATGTTGGCGTCATTGAGAACATTAACAAGCGAGTTAATGACGACCATCTGGTAGTAGTCGTCATTTGAACCGCCGTTATGGTTCATCAACAGTGTTATGTCCGTCACGCGCGGACCAGTCGACTCGGTTGTGTTGTCATTGTCGCCGCCGAGCAATTGTTTATGTTTGAATGGGTCCAGGGCACCCAACATACCCAGCGTACGGATCGCCTCCAAGCGGATCTGCGAGGATGTCTCAAGGCGCAGAATGCGGAAGAGGATGCCAAGAAGCTGTGGGTAGTCACTGTACGGTGTAATAACCTCGCCAGTGTTGGACACTACCTGGCCCAGGGCCTTGAGCGCCGCGTTCCGTTTTACTGTTGATGCGGGGTCATTCAACAGCTCGAGAAGCAGATCCATAATGGTCTTCGCATTGGAGACAAGCTCCTCGCCCGCTACGCGCGCAAGCTCGCCAATGCAGTTTACGCACGACGCTGTCACGGTTGCTGGCGTGGATGGAGACCGCGCGATGCGCAAAATGACCGACAGAATCGTCGAGGCATAAGACTTAACGAGGCTTGATGAAGCGCCAATCAAAAGACACAGCAGCTTAGCGCTCTCCTCCTTCTGCTTGTTGGCTGTCGAGTATTCGAGCTCGGTAATCAAGTTGATGAGCGACTTGCGCAGCGATGGCATAACATATGCCGGGTTGTGGTGGGCCAGGCGGCCAATGATGCCGATCGCGAGCTCACGGATCTTAAACTCCTCATCGTTGAGCGCCACGAACAGGCATCGGATGTCCTCGGCCTGGGCGAGGTGCCGGTCGAACTTCTCGTCGAGGCTTTCAAGCACGGCTTGCCTGATGCCTGGAACCTGGTCCGTAATGCCAACGGTCAACAGCTTCTCCAGGACGTCGTTGACGATCTCAATGGCGTGGCTGCTAGTCTGGTTACAGATGGGGTCGTTGACAAAGAGCTGGGTCGATGCTAAGACCGCCTCCTTGCGCACCTCTGGGCTGTCATGCTCGAGGTACGGGAGGGCAGCCTCCTGCACAAACTCATTGAGCGTGTGACCACCAAAATCGAAATTGCCAAGCACCTTGAGTGCCAACGCGATCGTCTCCGGCGACTGCCCCCCACCCGATGCCTGGATGACAACGTCACGAGTGATCTCGCCTCCCTTGGCACGCCGCACCGGTGCTCCGAGTGGCCGGAAGGAATGGCCAGTCAAGATGACCGAAAGAGTCTCGAGCAGGCGGTCCTGGATGGTGCGCAGGAGCGGCGGGATGTGGCTAGATATCACCTCAAGCGCGTGGTAGAGCGCTTCAGAGAGACCCCAAGGGAACATGAGATCCAGAATCTCATGCATCTGTCTCGTGAGCATCGGTCCCACGGCGGTGGTGAGCATGGCGAGACACTGGAAGATGGGTGCCTCAAATGGAGCGCCCTTCTTGCCGCGCATCCGCAAATGTTCCTTGATAATCTTGACGATATCGTCGATGAAGGGACGCATTTTGGACGCCAGCTGAATCGAGAGGTGGCCCAGGGCAACATACGCAATGTCCCTGTCGGTGGGCTTGTTGAGGGCCTGCAGGAGGTATGCCATGCTTCGGTGCAGGTAGTGCACCTCAAATTCATCGCTGTCGTAGGTCGCCATACTAGGGATGAGAGTAATGACCGACTTGCGGATCACAGTCTCCTTGCTGTCGCGATACTTGAGCGTGATCTCGCAGATTTGACGGTAGTACTCGCCCATAGACTGCGGTTAGCTGGCCATGCTAGGCGTGAAGCTCACAATTTGCTGGTTCTGCAACATTGCGCTAAAGGCTAGCAGCGATCCCAAAATAGAGTCGACAGAGCTGGCCTTCAGCAGGCCGCTCTTCGCCTCTTCAAAGATAACCTGGTAGATTTCGCTGCTGGACCTTTCACGAGCCTTCATGATGTCCAAACAGGACGACAGCAGCATTGAGGCGCGCTCGCGGACCATGGTCTGTATTGCGTCAGCCGATAGTTACGGCGAGGAAGCGCAGCACGCACCCTACTGTCGCGTAACGGGATCCAGATCTTCTCGAGGACGCGCGAGATAAAGGGGTAGAACTGGCTGGGGGCATACACGGCGAACTGGTGGAGCAAGAGGACGGCACTGAACCGCCCTACTTCTTGCCTTGAGTCTGAAGTCAGCGGGCACACATTGCCACGGCTTACCGTCAATCATTTGGATAGCTTGCCCAACCTCCTTGTTGAAGAAGGACTCGCCGAGGTTGGCGCCGGCCAACTTGACCATGTTACCGACGACGTGCGCCGCGGCGACCATGACAGTCGAGTCGGGGTATGTGAGCAGTGGCCTGAGGTCTACCTGTTAGCGAGCTCGACTTCGACCACCCACATCCATAGAGGCGAATATTATTTTGAAGCGCTCGATCGGGCGAATCATTGTTCGTCTCCTCCAGCATCGCGTCTATCGTCAGTGTTATCGCGCCAAAGACACCCACCGATCGCTGCTATCGAGCCCAGGCGCTCAGACGTTGTGTTGCTCCTTGTAAGCTCAAACGTCCGGTGAAACACCTCCTTCCACACATTCTTCTTCGAGTCGTCGCCGGGGAACTCAATGTTTGCTGAGTTGATCTGGTCTCAGATCATGTGGGCATGCGGCCTTACCTGCGCCTTGAGGTCCTCCGCCGCAGCAACGCGGACATCTTCTGACCTGCTGTGAGCGTTATTCTACAAGAGGAACTCACTTGCTCCCGAGACGGGAGAAGATGTTTTCCAGAGCCTCGGGTTGGGATGACATGGTGGATACACCACGGGCTCAACGCCCGGATCAAGATGAGAGGAGGGAGGTGTGACTGGGCGAGATGTCAATTGGGATCGCCGTGGTTTCGGGGAGGGGGAGGGGGGAGGGAATCGCTGCGATTGCAGATATGGATGGTCGCTATGCTGGTCCTTGTCGCCAGCTCGCTGAATCGCAAGGTGAATATAACGTTGACGCAGAATGTATGCTTCAGTGGCGGATTGATGTGTTCGTTTGAAGAGGAATAGACAGGGGGGTGGGTGGTATGGGGAGGTCAACTAGGTCGAGCCGCAGCCGCAGGCACGCGGCGTCATTGATAACGCAGGGGGCACCGAAGAACACGTATTAATTGGGCTTCAAGGTCACGAGTTGAGGATTTCGACTGGATTGCAACTTGAACAACTGAGGCTACCGGCTCCATCCACTCCCTCCCCTCGATCCTCGACGCGCTCTCGATCCGCCGCTCACACCGCCTTTGAGCGGGGTCTCTTCCTGCCTGACGGCCATACTCGCTTGAAACTCGCCCGTCATGTCGGCTACCCTCTCCAGCGTCGAGCAAAAGGTCTACAAGAAGGTCATGGCCTCGAAGAAGAAGGTGCATTGATCTCGCCCGCCTACCAGCTTCACATGCTGACAGCTAGGCCATGACCCAGCAGCAGATCGAGACCGCCATTCCGGGATTATCCAAGAAAGACTGTCATTCAGCAATTAACAAGATTCTCGGATTGGTGCGTAACCGCACTTGCGGCAGCTGCTGATCTGCAGAAACTGTTTACAGCTTCCAAGAGCTCGAAGGGTGGCGAGCTTGTGTTTCATGGTGTCGCTGTTGAGGATGCGCGCAAGTCAGTTGGCTTGGCTGACGTCCCTGTTCTTGAGTGAGCTGACCTGCCAGACAGAATACCCTCACAACTGAACAACAATATGTTCTTCAGATTGTTGACAAGGCGGGCAATACTGGTGCGTCCTCCCCCACTGTGTGGCTGATCATAGGTATTTCCAAGCCAAGCATTGCAAACCAAGTCAACACTGAGATCATGGCACGTATGCAGGTCTTCCGCGCCCTTGAGTCGCTGGAGAAGGTCGGGCTAGTTAAGACGTTCAAGAGCGTCAACGCGCCGACCATGCCGCTGTACATTCTCGCGCACCTTAAGCCTCCAGAGGACATGGCGGGCGGCATCTGGTTTGACGAGAGCAAAGAGTACGATTCAGTGTTCGTCGACACCCTCCGTGGCGTCGTTCTCAACTTCATTCAGCAGAAGGTGAGCTTTGAGGAGTTTTGAGTTAACGGCAGACCTTCCCTCAGCGCAAGGCCGACGCAATTTCCAAGCTGTGCTCCAACCCTATTTACCCCATCTCCAAGACTGCCGCCCTTCCTACGCCAGCGACGATCCTGTTGCACCTGCAGAAGAACAAGGTCACAAGCGCCCCCCTAACGGTGAAGAACGTCATGGAGATCTGCCGCGCTCTCGAGCTCGATGGTCTGATCGAGGCGATCAAGCCTATCGGCGGTGTCAGTGTTGATCCGATGTTCGACTCCGACTCGGACGACGAACCGGCAGCCAAGCGCTCTCGCAAGAGCAAACGCGATGATGACGACGATGACATGGACCCGGAGGAGCGCGCGCGTCGTGAACGGAAGGATCGAGAAAAGATGAAGGCCAAGCTCAAGGAGGCCAAGCGCGAGAAACAGCGAAAGGAGCGCGCACGTGAGAGGGAGAAGGAGAGGGAACGTAAACGCAAGGAGAAGGAGAAGGAGAAGAAGCGGAAGGAAAAGGAGCGGGAACGGAAGCGCAAGGCCAAGGAGAAGGAGCGCGCGCGCAAGGAGAAGGAGAAGCGCAAGAAGGTGAGCAGACTGTTGACGGTGCAGCTGACAGCAGAAGAGAGCAATGTCCACGGATCTGGACGACTCGGACGAGGAGCTGCGCGAGTTGGACGAGCCCAAGTCGCGTCGCAAGAAGCGTATCCTGTCCGACGAGTCGGAGCTCTCGTCGTCGGACAGCTTGAGTGACTCAGACACGGACAGTGACTCGGACACGGACTCGGACCTGTCAGTCTCGTCTGTTGATTCTGACGATCTGGACAATGGGACGATATCCCTCAAGCCTCAGTCTACTGCGGCGGCCATCAACCTCGCCAACCCCTTCTTCTCCGACACCGGGCGGCAGACACTCATTGACCTTTCGGATCAGGCGGTGTTGTACCGTGCGCTGCAGCGGCTCACAATCTCGCTTGGTCAGACGCAAGCCCCCTGCGGCACGTGCCCGCAGTTCAACTTCTGCGAGGAGGGCGGGCCGGTCAATGCCGATTCGTGCGCGTACTACACCGACTGGCTCTCGGGTGCGGGCGGTGGCTGGACGGCGGACGTAAAGGCTGAGAAGGCAAAGAAGGCGGCCGAGGAGGAGCAGGCGCGCCGACGAGCCCTGGCTGAGGCGAACGGTGAGACGTATGTGGAGGAGCCGATGACCAACGGCGAGATGGTGTACGAGGACGTGTACGAGGATGTGTACGAGGAGGACGGGAAGTTTGACCACAATGGGGGCATGGGTGAGGGCGAGGAGGGCTACTACTGAGCTCAACTTGACCCCTTGCACTCGAGACCTTGGAGTCTTCTTCCAACAGGAGAGGAGCGCAGTCTCCCGACCTACCACACTTAGCATAGATTGCATTATTTGTACCATTCTAGACCCTCCACGAGGACCATCTTTGATGCATGCGTGCCTCCCATCCACATTGGTCTGCAGGATTGTTGGATCTGCTGGCATGCAGTTGTGGGATGGATGGTGGGCGTTTCCAGCAGCTCAGCAGCATGGTAGTTGAAACCAATCTCTGCAAACTGAGCGTAGTGGTATTTGGAGGACCCTGAAATGGAGGCTGTAGATTGGCTGATAACCGCTGATACGCTTGGGTCACCCCGGAGACGTCGGGCGCGCGTAGGCATGGGGTGGCGTGCAACGACTCCGTCCTTGTACCCAAACGGCGGTACAGTATGCATGCAACAATGTATCTGGGTGGAGTGTTGATGCAGAGAGGTACAAGCGACGCGGCCCGACGCGTCGTCTGTCTTATAGATTGGGCAATTGGATAGGTGGCAATTGATTGCAGATTGTGCAGGGCGAAGACAAGAAAAAGGGGAGAGGTTCAAGATGTGACAAGGGAAGGTGCGGGGTACTCCAGGTGGGGCTCTGTCAACGCTGCCCAACTCATCCACTCACTCGATCAACCAACAACTCCTCTTTCTCTCCTTGTCTCCATCCTCCTCACTCATTCGCCTCTTCTTGGGACGCTGATTCCTCCCTCATCCTCTCGACTTCCATCCCCCTCTCCGTCCCCCTCCATTCGTCAGCACGCTGCATGCTCCTCTTCACATAAGAGGCTGCAGCAGGTAGACGATCTTCCCCCTCTCCCCCCCCTTCCACCTCAACCATGACTGGGGCTACACGGCATTCCACCTCGGAGCCTCTTCTTCCCTCCCCTCCTGATTCCCGCAATGGCGACGAGGTCCGAGTGGGCCACCCCGTGCTAGACCTGCCACTCGGAGACATCAAGAGCGGATCGCGTTTACGCGGCCATGCACTGCTCTACAGTGTGTCCGTGTTTCTGTCCATTGGCGTGTGGCTGTTCGGGTAAGTGGCCGAGTCTTGCGTCACAAGCGCTCACCAACCAGCTATGACCAAGGGTACGTTGCATGCGGCGCAGTTGACGCGCAGACGAGCAGTGCTGAACACGCAGAGTCATGTCAGGTGAGTGCCGCCGGCATGAGTATCACGTGCTAACCTCAGGCGTAATCACTGGACCATACTTCAAGTAAGACGCCGCGTGAGCACACTGACATCCAGGGGGTATTGTACGTCGCTTTAAGACACGGTGGTGGCGAAAGAGTGGCAGGAGACTAACTGCAAGTCAATCAGCCGACAGCCACACAACTCGGAAAGTAAGCCCCGGGGTCGGCGGACAAACTGACACACAGCATGGTCGCCGTTCTCGAGATTGGAGCATTTAGTGGGTTCTGTGTGAGTGGAGTTGCTGACCATAGTTACCTCGCTCCTTGCCGCCCACCTTGCGGACAAGTATGGCCGCCGTTGGACGATGCGAACCGGTGCTCTATTCTTCTCAGTTGGAGGCGTATTTCAAACCTTTTGTACAGGATATCGTGTCATGGTGTTTGGACGCTTCGTGTCTGGCTGTGGAGTCGGCATGCTCAGCATGGTCGTGCCCATCTACCAGGCAGAGAGTAAGTGAGCTCGTTGGAGTCGCTGACGCCAAGTCTCTCCAGCCGACCATGTAGGCTATCGCCTCAAGTGAAGCTAACCACAGCGCGGCTTCCTCGGCGCCCTTGAGTTCACAGGCAACATCGTCGGCTACGCCTCCTCCGTGTGGATCGACTATGCGTGCAGCTATATCGAGTCGGACTGGTCATGGCGAGGACCACTGTCCGTTCAAGTTTTCGGCGGCATGATCCTCGCCCTTGGGTCGTTTGTCTGTCCGGAATCTCCACGCTATCTCATCGACTCGGATCAGGATCTCCAAGGCCTGAATGTTATCGCCGATTTCCAAGGCAAGCCTCTCGACGACTTCAAGGTGCAGGAGGAGTACAAGGAGATCCGCGATGGAGTCCTGGCAGACGTAAATTCAGGCGCCTACAGAGCTGACCGCAGCGCGCCGTTGGAGACCGGTCGTACAAGGCGCTCTGGCAGCGCTACCGCGGGCGTGTTCTCATTGCGATGAGCAGCCAGCTGTTCGCTCAGCTCAACGGTATCAACGTGATCTCGTACTATGCCCGTGAGTTCTGAGCATGTTTGCTTTGTTGACGCCAGCTCTTGTAAGTGCTATGTCCCATTTTCCCGCAGGGTATTAACCACCGCGCGTTACAGGTCTTTGAACGTAAGTGGAGGCATGACATGGGGTCATCTAGCTAACCCGACAGAGGCTGGCTGGATTGGTCGCGATGCGATCCTCATGACCGGCATCAACGCCCTTTGCTACGTCGCGTCCTCCATTCCTCCGTGCGTCGCAAGAGACAACTGACAGATGGCCGCGCTAACCCCAGGTGGTGGCTCACGGACGCTGTGGGTCGCCGTCCCATTCTTCTTTGCGGTGCCATCGCAATGGCCATTGCTTTGACTGCCACGGGCTGGTGGATCTACATCGACCAGGCCATCACACCCAAGGCTGTCGTCGCCTGCGTGATCATTTACAATGCCGCGTTCGGCATGAGTTGGGGACCCATCCCATGGCTCTACCCTCCCGAGATCATGCCACTCCCCTTCCGTGCCAAGGGCGTGTCCTTGTCGACCGCGACCAACTGGCTGGCTAACTACTGGGTTGGCGTCACCACTCCTCTGTTCCAGGAGATCATGGGATGGCGGCTGTACATCATGCACGCCTGCTTCTGTGTGCTCTCCTTCATCCTGGGTAAGCATGACCGATGCATGATTGCTAACGGGACAGTTTACTTCCTCTACCCCGAGACGCGCGGTGTGCCGCTTGAGGAGATGGACAAGCTCTTTGGCGACGAGGCCGAAGGAAGCGACGATGACGACGACGATTTTGGCGCGTCCGAAACGTCTTCCCTTGTGCCCAGCATGCGCAGCGGTCGCTCGCCCTCGGGCCTGCCCACCTCGCGGACATCGTCGCCGATGCCAGCGCACGCTGGCATGTCCCTGTTGGGTCGGATGACTGACGCGGTTGGGCATGCCTTTGGCCGTCCCCCTCGTCGTCCATCTTCGCGTGGGCGCTACAATGCCATCCCTGGTGATCAATAGGAACTCGCGAGTAAGCTTGATTGCTCCTTGTATGAGTTGACCACAGGGCTCGACCCAGGACAGCGTCACTCGCTTCATGCGGCACGAGAGATTGAGCTGGGCGACGCGAGTGATCTGAGTGACTCCGATGCGCACCCCAACCTTCGTACCAGCACAGCAGCGCCGCTAGACGCCGAGCCTCACCCCTAAGCTCCTTCATGAGACATGTAGCATATGTATGCACAGCTTGGATTTTGGCAAATTGTGGTTGCCTAGCACGCTTGCGGCGTCGGCCAACGGCGGCGCCTAAGCCAGCTAAGCCGAGTCCGTGACGCATGCCACGTGTCGGGCACTTTGGGCTGCAACGTCCGCACGTCAACGTCTCACAACCATTCCTTTTCCATCCACTTCTTCACAACGATGCCCGCTCCATCGGACGCAACGTCCCTTGCGGACGCACAGTAAGGCGCAGAGCACGGATGAGCTGACAGCAGGAAGCGCGTGCGTAGATCATGCAACGGAGAGATGCTCACCCCCAGGCCACACCTGAGCACAAAGTAGTCATCGACTTCCTGCGCGGCAAGAATGGCCCCAAGGTCCGCCGCGGAGTGCTGAACGGCAAACGTGTCGACTTTTTCAAGGGTAAGTAAACGAGCGCGACGTGCCGTGCGTAACGTCGTGCGCCTACCAGCCTCCTCCCCCTCCGAGTGGTGCTGGCGCTGGGGTCATGGGGCGTCTTGGAAACAAGCTAACTCCCAGGCAAGACTGCTGTGCGCACACTCATGGGACCCGCGTACCAGAAGCTCGGGAAGAAGGTGCCTCCCGTCCAGACGGAGGAGGAGGCCGCGGCTCTCATCACCAGTCTGCTCCCATTGTGAGTTGCCTTGGCCTGTGGTGTGCTCTGGGTACTGTGGGCGTCATCCTTGTGTACTACCCTTTTCCCCTCGGCGCAGACGTCTCGGCGCGGATGCTGCTTTGTCTCCTACCCTCTCCGGGTCCGGCGAGCATCACACGACCGTCTGAGGCGCGATCCACTTCCAGTGCAATGGAGCTCGCGGAACTTGTATGATTCTCCTGGCACTTCTTTGCGACAGGAGATGTGTGATCCGCTTGTTTCGCCTTTACAAGCGGCGCTTCTACGTCTCTTCCTCTGGGAACTGCTGCACCCTTGTGGATTCTTCCCTTCTACCCCCACCCCCGGTTTCCCACTCATCCCAGTGCCTACTTCCTCCGCGTCGACCGTCTCAACCCCAACCCGCCTATCCCGAGCGGCATGCCCAAGCCCCTCGGCCTCAGTCAGCAGCAGCAGTTTGACCCCGCGGGATACTACAGCTGGTTTTACGACGGCTCGCCGTTCTGGAACATCGTCGGCGGCATCGCCATGGTTGCCGTGATGCTCGCGGGCGTCATGTTCCCCCTCTGGCCGGTCAAGCTGCGCATCGGCGTGTGGTACCTCTCAGTGGGCGCGCTGGGCCTCGTGGGCCTGTTCATCGTTATCGCCATCGTCCGCCTCATTCTTTGGTGCATCACCAAGATTTTTATGACCAAGGCGATCTGGATCTTCCCAAATCTCTTCGAGGACGTGGGCTTCGTCGACTCGTTCATCCCCGCGTGGCAGTGGGACGAGCCCAAGAAGAAGCGTCTTCGCAAGGTCGGCGAGAAGCGCAAAAAGGCCGTCTCCGCCAAGGAGAAGGGTCCCGCACTCGCTGCCCGCCCGCCCAACGCCATCCCCTCGGCCGTCGGCACGGCCGACCCCGCGGCCGCTGCGTCCGAGGCCGCCCGCGCCCCGACGCCCGGCAATGCTGACACCGAGTCGGGCGTCGCTGGCTCGCCCTCGGTCTCCACGGCTACGACGACAGCCATCGCGCCGCCCGCGACCAAGCCCACGCCGCGCAGCCGGCAGGCTGCGACCGTTGAGGAGGTTGACGACGAGTAGGGTTGTATCTACAGACCTCGGCATTGGTAGCGACAATGTGCATATACAGTTTTCATACCACCCTCGCTCATGCACTGCTGCACGCTTTATGTCTACGTCTTGCGAGGCGCTGATCGCTTCACTGCTCCTATGCCCCGGCGCCAAGGAACTGGGCGCGCTGCTGTCAGCTTACTCCGTCGCGCTAGCTCACCAGTTGCCTGACGGACGCCTGCTGCTCGGGATCGAGGGCATTTATCTGGTCGGGAGTGAGCTGGAGGACCTGCATAAGCATGGCCTGGGGTCAGTGATTTGCGTCTGGAGAATGACCGACCTTCTGCTCCTCGGGGAGACCAGCCAACGCAGCCTGCGTAGCGGGGGGCAGCGCGGGCGGGGCGGGCGGGGCGGGTGCAGGCGCCGGTGGCTGGCGATACCCGTACGCAGGCGCCGGTGGGGGCGCGGCGTAGGCGGCCTGGGGTTGCGGGGGATGCGGGGGCTGGCGGAACGCGGGGGGCGCGGCGGCGACGGGCGGGGGAGGGTAGTATCCTTCGCGCTGGTATCCGCCGTATCCTGGTCCAGGCGCGGGCGCGGGCACAGGTGCAGGAGGGGGCGCGTGTACCGGCGCAGCAGCCGCGGCTGGCTGCAGCGGCTGGATGCGTTGCAGAACGCTCGCGTCGACAATGTTCATGAGCAGCATCGCCTGGAAAATGGCATACGCGAGCTGCGGCTTGGCGGCAAGGAGGCGGCGCGCCTCGTCGGGCTGCGTGGTGATGAGCGCCTGGTGTGAGCACTGCTTCGACTGGTCGCCAATCCTTCGTCCACACCTCCACCACCCCCAACAACAAATCACCAACCCATCGCCAATGACCCACCTTCATCCCCGCCATGACCTCCTGCATCTGGCCTGGGTTGACCTCCGCGAGCGTCTTGCTGATGGCGTCCGTCGCCTTCTGCCCCGGCCCCGGCTCGGTGCCCGGCGGCAGCAGGCTGTGGTCGATTGGGGCAGGCGAGTCGCTTCGCCCACCGAATGGCGCTGGCCCCCCGACCGGCCCAGGCCCCGCCGCCTGCCCTGGCCGCCGGGTGAGGCGCTCGTCGTTGCTCAGCTCGATGCGGACCGGCCGCCCGTTAATCGGCACCTCCTGCAGGTTGCGCATGGCGCTCTGCGCGGCGGCCTCATCGTAGAACTGCACGAAGGCGTACCCCTTGCTCTTGCCGGTCTGGGGGTCGAACTTGATCTCGACGTGCGCAACAGGCCCGACTTCGCTGAACACGCCGGCGATCTGCTCTTCCGAGACGTCGTACGGGACGTTGGCGACTAGTGTTAGCTGGAGAGAGCGGATGACGTACCGAAGACGGTGCGCGTAGTCGGCGGCATGGGTGATTGAGAACAAGGCTAAGATGGAGAGGGAGTGAAATGAGATGGCTTTGCGGACGGGTGCTGAGAGTTCGAGCGCAGATCTATCGGGGTGTTGAGTCGAGAAGGCGAGATGGAGACAATACAGCAAAGGCGAAAGATACTCGTGAAGATGATGAGTGAGTGGTGTATTGTCACTCTTGACCGTCCAGCTCGGTCGGCTCTGACATCAAAGGCCCAACAAAATTAGTTCCGTCATACTCCTGCCCCACTCTTCTTTGACTTTCCTCTTCCCCTAAGAGCTGCTCATCGAATCATCGGGTATGCAGACTTGTCTACTGGAGGCTAGAGGAGCCCGATACCGCTATATCTCATCGTCTACTTTGCATCAACCTTTCATGTCTGCAGGGGTGAGTATTAACGCCTCAGAAACTTATGTGATGTCCCAATTTTAACGCTTTAACGGGTACACCAAAAGGTACACTCCTAGGGCTATTCCGTCCTAATAGCAGTTCTACTTGAGCTAGATCTCGGCCCGGGCCAACACACATGCCATCCGAGTTCGAAAAGACTAATGGCCTCCCATGTCATGAATGTGCTGGTGGGAAAAGCAATAGAGGGAATGGACCATGTGGATGGACAGGAGGATGGACATTTGAAAGTTCTAAGAGTTGGTGAGACGAGGAGTTAGCGAGTGTGCATACATGTGTCGGCACGAAAGAGTAAGTGGGTGAGAGTTGAAGGTAAGGGGATGGGAAAGGTGGCGAAGGGATGCAAAAAGATCGCAAGATAATACGCCTGCAAGGGAGAGGATTTATGTCTGAGAATGTATTCAGAAGTCCTACGTCGGGCAGGTTGGAACCGCTCGTGGCAGGCGAAGGGGGGGCAGACAGTAGAGGGAAGATGGTAAATCAGCCTCGGTGGTGAATTGGTGGCTGGGCAGCGGTTGATCTGCACGGGCTCATGGTCGTCCGCGGGAGCAGTGGATTCGATGCATTACCGGGATGATCATGATCAGCATGACCGGACCGTACACTGATATGATGCCATGAAGACATCACCCAAGTGCGTCACAGCTCCTGTGCGCCCCGGTGTCCAAGCCTGCACTTGTCCGAGTTGGCCATGTCCGATCTAGAAAATTCAGAGGTTGCAGACCGCACGGTCGCATGGCCTCGCAGCGCTGGGCAGGGGTCGGCGGCCCGAACGGAGGGAGGTGTCTTTCGCAGTACCCCGCCCATGACCCCTTGCTTCGCTGGCATTGCTCAGCTGATGGCCCTCCCCGCCCCTCAGCCGCCCGAGCGCCTCTCGTTGCCCGCGGTGTCCCCCCGGAACGCGAGCCTATCACCCAGTGATGACGGCAGAGACGCGACAGCTAGGATTGTGTTGTAAAGTAGAGAACGATTGCATGATTGTTGAGACAAAGACTCAGCGAAAGTAGGCACAAGCCGCATGGACACGGGCCGCATGCGAGAGTGCCACTTGAGTACTGCGACACATTGAACGGCTGGCAAATCTCGGCGGTCATTGATACGAGATGACTGGGACAAATTGGTCAGGAAGAGAAACTGGGACGCTTGGCCAGGGAGGTGCATGAGATACGCGAGATGACGGATGGAGAAACTGGGCTGATGTCAACGTTGATATACTGAGTGGTGGACGCTGGACAGACAAAGACTGGTGATAGGGGTACGCGCCCAGAATGCGAGTAGATTTCCAGCTGGAGGCAAGAACGGGGCCTCGCACCGGCTGCCGTGGATGCGGCACGAATGTATCTTATGATGTTCAACACCGGGGAAAGTCCTTTGCTCCGTGATGCACAATGGGCAAGCGGCGCGCATTGGGGGTCAGCTGAATGCGAACCCGAGCCTATGGATATCTATGACAGGCACCCCACTTGGGATATCCGGAAGGTGGAGGTCCGTGGCACAACTCCACAATTGTGGCATTCCTCTTCCACATCTCCTTTGCTAACAATCCTCACCTTCACGGATGCTCACTGCCGCTCAAAGAAGTCCTGCATAAACCACTCGTCTGCTGCTATACTGTGCTGCTTTTTCCGACACTACGCGCGCTCACGCCGGAGGAACAGGGCCCACGTAACCGGTCAAGCGGACGTGTACGGCCTTAATCTCCGTGTCTACTTTGTCAGCTTGCACACCTCGTTAGACGTCGTTACTCACAGTTGCTAAGGGCGTATTCTCCCAATTCACGCCCATGACCACTTGCTTTGAAGCCGCCGAACGGGACTTGCGAGTGAAGCTCGTTGTAGCAGTTGACCCAGACGGTGCCGGCCTTGAGGGCGTTGGCGACGCGGTGAGCCTTCTGGAGGTTCTGGGAGAAGACACCCGAGGCGAGGCCGTAGATCGAGTCGTTGGCCGCGGCGATAACCTCCTCCTCAGTGTCGAAGGCGGCGACGACGATGACGGGACCGAAGATCTCCTCCTGAACAATCTTCATGTTGGGCTTGACGTCACCGAAGACTGTGGGCTCGATGAAGTAGCCGGCCTTGCCGTGGCGCTCACCGCCAGTGAGGACCTTGGCACCCTCAGCCTTGCCGCACTCGACGTAGTTCATGATGCGGTCGTACTGGGTCTGCGAGACCTGGGGGCCCTGGAAGGTGTCGGCGCCGAACGGGTCTCCGACCTTGATCTTCTTCGAAACGGCAAGGAACTTCTCAATGAACTTGTCGTAGATGCCACGCTGGACGTAAAGACGCGAGCCGGCACAGCAAGTCTGGCCGTGGTTGAAGAAGATGCCCTGGGCGGCGTAGCGGACGGCAGAGTCGAGGTCGGCGTCGTCGAAGATGATGTTGGCGCCCTTGCCGCCGAGCTCAAGAGTGATCTTCTTGAGATTGGACTTGGCAGCCGACTCCATGATCTTACGGCCAACGGCAGTCGAACCGGTGAAGGCAACCTTGTCAATGCCCATGTGGCCCGAGATGGCATTGCCGACGGTCTGGCCGTAGCCGTTGACGACGTTAACGACACCCTCGGGGAAGCCGGCCTCGGAGATGAGCTTGGTCATGTAGGCGGCGGTGAGGGGGGTGAGCTCAGAAGGCTTCATAACAATGGTGCAGCCAGTAGCGAGGGCCGGGCCGAGCTTCCAGGCGAACATGAGGAGGGGGAAGTTCCAGGGGATGATCTGGCCACAGACACCGACGGCCTCGTGGCGGGTGAAGATGAGCTTGTCCTTGGACTGGTCGATGACCTTGCCCTGGATCTTGTCAGCCCAGCCGCCGTAGTAGCGGAAGCAGGCGGCCGACTCGGGAACATCGAAGCCACGGGCGGCGCCGAAGGTCTTGCCGTTGTCGAGGGCCTCGAGCGACGCGAGGATGTCGGCGTCACGCTCGACTAGCTCAGCGAGCTTGAGGAGGAGCTTGCCGCGCTCAAAGCCCGGAACGTTCTCACCCCAGGTGGTCTCCTGCGCCTTGCGGGCGGCCTTGACGGCGAGGTCGACGTCGGCCTCGGTACCCTCAGGGAGGTCGAAGAGCTTCTCGCCAGTGGTGGGGTTCACAACGCTGCAGGGTAAGCACCATGCTTGGGGATGCGCTTGGTCATGATGTGATATGACACGCCCATGATGCAAGTCAAGTGGCAGCAATGGCCTGTGATAGGGCCACATGCACACTTGAGCAGGGGGATATGCGGTAATCGGTTCCGGGGGCCGTCAGGCACCCTGACCCAGGCTCATCTCTCCGATCCGGCATATGACGGGATGATCAAGCATTCAATGACAGTCCGAGCATCGACGCCCGAAGATCTGCCAGCGACGGTGATTTCTCTCGTCATCATACCCGTCGCCACACACTCCACATGGTGAGGAGTTACAGGCAAAAGATTCGAAGGTCATGGACAGTACACTTGGACGCCAGGCCAAACAAAGGGACGAAAACCGCGGGCGCGATGGGAGATGGCTCGGTGCTATGATAGCCCGGGGCGGCGTCTGGGCGGTCCAAGCACTGTTCGCCCCCGTCTTGCTTGTCTTGCCCACCCGCTAAAGGTGGCATGCCAGCGAGGGCGCATCATGTGACAGCGGAGATGGAGCGCGTAGCGATGGCGAGTGATGCCTACCCTCACTACCCCGCGGCACGACAGCTCCGCTACGTCCACAGCTCCCACATCTCACAGCTCATGTCTCCGAGAGCAAAGGCGATAATATTATGAGAAGAGATGTACTCACGGAATGGTCTTGGCGTTCTTGTCGGCAGACTTGACGTACTTGCCGTTGATGTAGAGGTCAACGGGAACCTCGACATCGCCCTTGAAACCGGCGTGGTTGAAGGAGTGCTTGAAAGTGGCCATGACAGTTGTGAAGTTTTGTGGAGTATGGGGAAAAGAGATGCGGGGGACGTGGGTGGGTCTTTATACGTCTCTGGAGGGAGATGGGAACTACGCTGCGTGTTCCAGGACCAAGACTAGTCTCTCGTGCACTGCACGCTGACCCCACATTGCTGTTGTGGGGGGGGGGCTCGGTTATTAACTTGTCGGGTGCTCGGTCAGCTGAGCTCCCGCGCCTTGAGCCAACCACAACGACACAAGGCTCGGACCCTGTCCTCCGGCTCAAGCGGTTCTCAGCGGGTCGCGGCAGATGGCATGGCATGGCATCGGCGACCGGCCTGTTCCTCATGCAACCATGAGATGATGGTCGCTGGGGCCACAGCCCACAGCCCACAGTGTCAGAGCTTGGAGCATCGGTTTCTCATGTCCCAGGCTCAGCACTCTCGTTTACCCTGGCTGTACTTCCGATGCACAATCTGCTGCCCGGGTCATGTACAGCCCATCTGGTTGCACTAGCCCTCTCGGTTCAACCTACCCATATTGACCCGGGGCTCACAGTCACCGAGATGTCCCGGGCCGGCCAGTCAACCTCTCCCTCGCACCCGAGGCACAATGCTGCTCAGTTGCCCGACCACCGGGTCCGCTACGCGGTTAGCCCTGCAGCACGCCAACGCCAACGCCAGCGTCGGGTTCGACGTGGAGGCGCCGCCGCCCTTGGCATGCCAACGCGCATGCCACCGCCCCCTCGCTTCAAGCGGCTGCCGTTCCGTGACTTCTATTTCCTCCCCTTCTCCCCCGCTCTTAGTCTCCGCAATGGCCTGTCAATTTGCCTTGTTCACACTCTCCGTGCCGCTTCCGGTTTTCCACCAGCTTTGTGGCCGGTGGGCTTGCTTATGAGCTCACGCACGAGCAGGCACAATACAAGCGTCGTGCCTGTGCATGTGGGGTACCAGGCTGTGGACTGGGCGCCTCTGCTCCGAGACCCGTTTCGATCGCGCAGCGTGATTGATCAGCGAGATGGCTAGGCGGCACCGGTCTTGATGGACACCGGTGGCCATCGGAATGCATCTGATGGTGATGTGGCAGCCGCTGCGGAGAGGTGCGGCGACCCTCCGCTCGGTTTCGGACCGATCACGTTGCCCCACAGATTAGCGGCAACGGAGGGCTATTATCTGGCGACATTATTCTCTGAATTCATCCCGTTCTCCACGTGGCACACTGCTCGCCACCCGTCATTGTTGTTGCGATGTACACTTCCTCACCGATAGTTCAGTGAACCCACCACTGATCCATCCGAAGACTTGCAAGCCATGGATCAGGCAAGTGCTACATCTTCTAACTGCTCTGACCTTAGGACGCTTTCCGGTCCTTGTTGACTAAACCACGCGAAGGTGGCTCGTCCCGCTCCGGCGCAGTCTTGGGTCGCGCCCCGCCCAAACGCGGGTGGGGGACCAAGGCTAAACCACCGTGAGTGCGGGTGGTGGCGCCCACTGGCATTTCGCTAATCTTCAGGGCGAAGAAGGAGTCCGACAAAAGTGGAGACGGGACGGATGGAAGCCGACCCGCCTTCGCCCCCCGATCGCAGGCGAAGAAGGTGCAGGCGCCCCAGTACAAGGACCGGGCTGCGATCCGCCGCGCCGGTGGCGACGGCGAGTACAAGGAGGTCAGCTTGTCGGGTGGCTGACAGAGATGAAACGGACGCTGACGCTCCAGGTAGAGCATCTGTTGGAAGAGTTTGAACGGCGCAAGGTCGAGGCAGGTGAAGATGCCGACAAGGTGGGTCGCGAGAAACTGGTGACGTGCTGACAAGGAAGGTTGAGGCTCAGCGCGAGTACCTCGGCGGAGATGCCGAGCACTCTGTCTTAGTCAAGGGCCTGGACTATGCGCTGCTCGCACGGCGGAAGGCCGAGATCGAGGCCGAGAAGGCTGCAGGAATGGAGGACGAGCTGGAGCAACTCGGACAAACCATCAAAAGCAAGAGCCAGAGTAAGGAGCAGCCTGTTGAACCGACGAAAGATCCAAAAGGAAACAAGGTGATCGCATTGCGGTTGCGTGTGCTAACTCTTAGTTCAAGACTATCGGGAAGAAGGCGCCTGTAGAGGAGCCCCAGAGGAGGAGAAAGACCGTTGAGCGCGAGATTGAGCACAATGAGAAGGCGACCAAGCCCGCGCAGCGCCCTCGCTCGCCCGTAAAGCCGCCCCCTCCGCCTGACCCGGAAGATGAGGAAGATATCTTCGCAGACGCCGGCGAGTACGACCTCAAGGCCGGCCGCGAGGACGAGGATGATGACGACGACTCTGACGAGGAAGGGCAGATGGACATTGACGAACCTCAGCGTCGATCACGGTCGCGCTCTCGCGCTCGTCAGCGGTCGTCCTCGCGTTCAGACTCTCGCGGCCGCGGTCGCTCACGTTCGAGGTCGTTGTCTGATGGTGAGGTACGCCGCTCGAAACACGATCGATATCGGTCGACATCACGTGAGCATTCCTACTCCAGGTCACGTTCAAGGTCGCGCGGATATCGCGAGCGCTCCTACGGAGATAATCGAGGTCGGGATGCGTACAACTACGACGATCGGGGGCGAGGGCGGTACGACGATTACGATTACGACAGGCCTCGCGACAATGAATGGAGGCGAACGGAGCGTGATCGTCGCGAGGATCGCAGCCGGCGGTATGATGATAGAAGCCGCTACAGTCAAGACCGAGATTACGGCAGGCACGGCGGTCGGGGCGGATCGGGGCCCGCGCGAGAGCGCAGACCCAGAACTGAGTCACGCTCACGCTCGCGGTCTCCCCGATATCGGGACAAGGGTGATGGACGCGCGGACCGCGGCGCTCGCCCGCGGTCCCGCACCCGCTCGCCGTCGCCCGTGCCCTCGCCCCGACGCGCGCGATCGCGCTCGCTCACACCCCTGCTGCAGCAGACGCTACCGTTCGAGCGGTCCCCGACGCCGGAGAGTGACGATGAGGGGCCGGTGACGCGCTTGCAGCCTCTAGCGTCCTCGGCTATCACGGACCTGCGTGGCTTCCTGGCCGCGGACGAAGCAGATGCCAAGGCGGACGCGCGGCGGGCGTCCAAGGCGCGCTGGCGTGCGGCGCAAGGCTTGGCGATGCAGGAGGGCGTCGATGCCAGTATGCTCAAGCGCACCCAAACCGACGATCAGAAGGCCAACCGCGAGTATCGGATGCTAATGCACCGCCTGAACAAGGACAAGGACAAGGATGGCAAGGACAAGGGCAGCGGTGGCCCGAGCAAGTAGCTTGTACATGACTTCCGATGGATCGCTTCCGTCGCTTCTTCCAATTGCTGATGGCCGATCCGGATGGCGCGACATGTGCCGTGCCTGTGATCGGGTGCGTGTCCGGCTACGTTTATCCGGGCCAAGTGGCCGAGGCGATCGTCAAACAAGTTCCGCGCATCCCTGCAGCCCCACCCGAGCAGCCCGCAAAACACACCCGCACCCGACAGCGTTCCGAGTACACAACATGCCCGCGAACACTGACCCCCCTGCACTCGACAAGGCCGACCCCGTGCTGCAGCTGCTCACGCACAACGAGGCACTGTACGTCCACCGCTACCCCGGCACGACGGCGGTGCCGGGCTCGCTCTTCGATGCGCAGGACAGCTTCGTGACCGTCTCTCGCACGCCGCGCGAGGTGTCCGTCGTCGCGGCCAAGGGCGCGCCTGCTGCTGCGGGCATGCCGAATGCGGCGGAGGAGCACTGCGGCGGCCCGTGGACAGCCATCCGCGTGCGCGGCCCGCTGGAGCACCGTGAGTGTTATTGGTGGGTGTGGGCGTGCGAGAGCAGCTCGCGGGGATGCTGGACTTTTAGAGGATCTGGAGCAGGGCGGTATCGGGAGGGCGTCGCCAGGGCTGAGAGCTGCACGGCGTGTTGTTGGTGGCGGCGACGCCTCGACGTGTTCAGTGAACGAGGATCAACGCGTTTCGTTCCAGCTTTGTTGTCACCCCTGGCAACACCCTCGCTGACTCCAGACATGGTCGGAGTGCTCTCCGAGATCGCGCGTGTGCTCAAGGAGGCGTCGATCTCGATCTTCGCCATCTCGACGTGGTGAGTTTTTCGGGCTGGACGGCAGGCGCAACGCAGGACTGCCAATTCAACGAGCGGCGAGTCCCAGTGGCCTTCGCTCGAGTCGAGCGTCCTCCACCATCGACTGAGGCCGCGTCGACCCCGTCCTACACTCGCTTCCGAGGCGCCGCATCCGCTCCACTGGCGTCTATTCTTGTCTGACCCCAGGGACACAGACTACATCCTCGTGACGAGCGACACGTTGGAGCGGGCCAAAGAGGCGCTCGCGGCCGACGGGTGGCGGTGGGCGTAGGTCGCATGTGGGCGCCGAAAGCTGCGGCGCGTCATATGGAAGGCAAGCGGTCAAGTCATGTATACGGTCTTCGTCACTGCGGATCATTCTGCGGGGATTAGAGGTGGGCTCGGAGATGTCGTTGATGAGGCGCGTGGGCTATTCTTGGGACCGTTCCGGCACCGTCTGCCGTTATAGCCTCGTAGTCGGCTCGCCTTGCACTTCCACTAGCGGACACGTATGAGCCGTCCGAAAGCGGCCAGTTGTCAAGGACAAATGATGGTTGTCATCGTTGTCCCCCGCTCCGCGCACGTCACGATTCCACTATCTACACACTATGCATGGTATCCGCTATGGCTATGGCTACAACAGCTTCTACATCAACAACGACCAAGACAGACAAACCGGGAACTAGTATCGCCGCCGCCCGGGGCCAACGGGGCGCCAGTCGATTGCGCGCCCTCCGCCGCGCTGCGTGGCGCGCAAAGGGCGCACAAGGCCGCCGAGCTCGCGCGCACGCGCCGCGTCGGGGTCGTTGGCCGGGTTGTAGAAGTAGTGCGGTTGGAGCGGCTTGCCGCTGCTGTCGCGGCCGTTGCGCGTGATCTTGCCGAACATGGGGTTGGTCGCGAGCTCGGCGCCGGCCCACACGGCCCACGCGGACTCGTCGCCGTGCGTGCGCATGCTCGGCTGGCTCTCGAGGAGACTCTTGACGAGGTCGGGGAGCGAGAGCTTGGACGAGCCGGAGAAGACGACGGTCGAGGCCAGCAGGGCCGGCATGTCCACACCGGCCGGGGCGGGCGGGGGCGGCGTGGGTGTCGCTGCGCGCGACTTGGCGGGCGTGGCGGCGCGCTTGGCGGCCGGAGAAGACGCACGCGACTTTGGCTTGGCAAGGTCCAGCATCTCCTGCTTGACCGTTATGGCTTCGGGCGCAGGCGCAGGCGCGGGGGCCGGGATGGGCTCATCTTCGATGTCAGAGAGAGGCGAGGATGAGCGGTCGGTGCGGTTGTTCTCCTCGGTCTCTTCGCTTGTCTCAATCGGGGAAGCTGGTGGCGGGGCAACGCGGGTGGTGATCGACTCCGGGGCGGGCTCATCCCTGCCAGGTACGGCATCGTAGTCCATGTCAATGTCATCGCTACCAAGATCGCGAGGGGGCGAGGAGTATGCGTGGCGCGGTGGAGACGATGGTGGGAGCGAGAAAGGCGAGGGAGCGCTGATAGGCGCCGTTTCCACAGGGCGGACTGGTGGTGTGAAGAGCTCCTCGTCGGTCTCGTCTGGATCTTCAAGTGTAATGGCGACACCGGCGCCGTAGAACTCGACTTCGAGCGGGGCAGCGGGGTAGGTGCGGACATTTCCGGGCGTGATGCGGCGGTACTTGCCGCCGGGGGTGCGAACGCGGAGGCCGTTTTGGCCGACAACAAGGAGGCGGATCTGAGGAGGAGTAGTGGAGAGGAGCTCGACGGCGGCGTGGACGCGCGAAGCATGGGAGGCGCCGCGGTCGAGGACGACCGTGCGCGTGGGGTGAGCGGGGTATGCGAGCTTATCGGCAATCGCCTGCGGGGGCGCAGAGATGGCGGGTCTGCTGCGTACATGGTGCCGGCCAAAGACGAGGGTCTCGCCGGCCACCAGCCGCACCTGCATCGCGGGGCGGGAGGAGCGGGGGCGGGTGGGAGAGGTGGCGAGATGGCGCGGAGAGGAGGATGCGGCGACGGTGGAGGTGGAGGGTGTGAGGGGGCAGACCAGACGGGCGGGGATGGCCGGAATCTCGAACGCCACAGGCCCAGGGCCGTCACTTGACGGTGCCGGGGTGAGGATTTCGAAGGCGCGCTTCTTTGTCGGCGACGACGGGGTCGATGTGACACGGACGCGCTTGGGGGCCGGGTCCTTGTTGTAGGTCTGGAAGACGGAGCTGGGACGCTTGCCCGGCACGGAAACGGTGCGAGCTGGGCCGAGGGGGAAGAAGGAGAGGGGCGGCATGGCGGCAATAGCGCTGCGAGGTTGTTGTTGCGGATGAAATGCGAAGTGAGTAGAGACAATATGCGAATGCGAGCAGTCGAGAGCTGCAGAGGATGAAGAGGATGAAGAGGATGAAGAAACGAGCTTGCGGCGTCTATGCACTCTGATGCTCGACTTGGTTGATCACAAGAGATCACAGTCCGCGGATGAATCCAGGCACGGACATGGGTCGTGGTCGCGTCAACAAATCCGATCAAGGTGATCAAGGACTAAAACGAATAGATCCAGCAAAGTCACGTGCTCGTGATCTTGATCCTTCACCATCTCCACCAACATCAATCCGCATCAACCAGCCCCACTCGCGTGGTTCGCGTGGAATGGCGATGACGGGAGTCGCGTGGGCAGAGGCCATGCATAGGGCGGCACGTGGCCGATGCGCGGAGATGGAGAGCGTTTACGGACCACCGATCCTTGTCCACATCTTTGACACGTCCAGCATTCCAGGTCTAGTAATGTTCAGCTTCTTCGTGCTACATCCATGCCCTCATGTTCTATTTTACCGCCCACTACTACTACGCCGACGCGGCAGCCTCCGTCTTCTCGAGCTTGTCGAGTACCTCGACGCTCTCGGCATCCTCAAATGACCGCATCCCGCGCAGGCCCCAGCGGTCGAGCATGGCCTTGTCGACGTCCCACCCAGTGCAGGGAGTGGTCAGCATCGTTTCGCCCGTGAAGATGGCATTGGCACCGGCCATGAACGCCATGGCCTGCTCGGTCTCGGAGAAGGTGTGGCGACCCGCGGCGAGGCGGATAATGGTCTTGGGAAGGACGATGCGCGCAGTCGCGATGGTGCGGAGGACGGTGTGGACGGCGACAGGCTAAGGTCAGCGCGGGCAGGGAGGAAGGCGTTGTTAAAAGCACGAGGGATTGCTGTCGGCTATTACGGCCTCACACATCGCACTTACGTCGTTCTTCTCCAGAGGCGTCCCCTCGATTGGCACAAGCGTGTTGACGGGGAAGCTCTCCGGGTGCTCATCCATGCGCCCTACCTCCCAGATAAGGCCGACGCGGTCCTCGTCCTTCTCTCCCAGCCCAAGAATACCGCCCGAGCACACAGAGATGCCGGCGTCGCGCACCGCGGCGATCGTGTCGAGACGCTCATCGTAGCTGCGCGTGGTGATGACCTCGGGGTAGAACTCGCGGCTTGTGTCGAGGTTGTGGTTGTAGGCGCTGAGGCCGGCTTCCTTGAGTCGCCGGGCCTGCTCGGGGCTGAGCATCCCGAGGGTGGTGCACACCTCCATGCCCATTCCGCGCACTTCGCGCACCATGGTGAGGATCTTCTCGAAGCCACTCTTGCGGCCGGCGAGGTCTCGCCACGCCGCACCCATGCAGAAGCGCGTCGAGCCATTGGCCTTGGCCATGCGAGCGGCCTCGAGAACGGGCTCGATGGAGACAAGGCGCGAGGCCTTGGTCGGGGTCTTGTAAGATGATGACTGGGAGCAGTATTTGCAGTCCTCGGTGCAGCCGCCGGCTGGTGTCAGCGATGCGAAGGGGAGTGGAAGGAAAAGGAGATTGTGCAGGGGATCATGGGGGAGCTGGAGGGCGCTGAGTGCAAGGAAGGTGTCGACACTCCACCCCCGCGCCTCACTCAACGCGTCCTCATCTATACGTGTTCGCAAACTCACTCTTGATGTTCATAAGAGTGCACAGCTGGATGCGGCTCGCGTCGTGGTGCAAGCGATGGACACTAGCAGCACGGAAAATGGTTTCCATAAGCGGACCGTCAAAGATGCGCTGGACCTCGGCGCGGCTCCAGTCATTGCGGACGGCGCCGTCAACGGGGGCAGTGGAGCGAGGCTCGACAGCAACGGCGTGGCCGCGGGCTAGGCGGGCGACGGGGACAAGAGCGCGAGGCCGGAAGGTGCGGAGGGCGGCCATTGAGAGAGGGGGGGGGGGGGGGGGGGGGGGGGGGGGGACTGGAGGAATGGAGAGGGTGAGAACGGAGGTCGTAAATGGAGTAAGCGGTCAAGCGGTGGGCCTCGTGGCGCGTGGCAGCAGTACAAGGATC